GGGTTCGATCCCAGGACCTTTTGCGTGTTAAGCAAACGTGATAACCAACTACACCAACCGGCCGTATTGATGTGAAAAGAACTGATGTATAGATAGAAGTGCATCCATGCTTGTGCCGGATCCAAAATTGAAAAAGCAAAGCCCTTACAGGAAATTTGGCAGATTCCATGTCTAACATGACAAGAAAAAAAGAGAATTTGAAGGTAATGACCAGTCTGGGACTCGATCCCAGGACCTCTTGCGTGTGAAGCAAGCGTGATAACCAACTACACCAACCGGCCGTGATATGTTGTGTGTTGGCATCGTATAAGGTAGGTATAAATGCTTCCTGAACCTTGCTGGGGCTAAAATCTTAAAACAAATGTTTTGTAATGGTTTCCACACCAAGTACTCAACTCTGAGCCGTGTAGCAAAGGACAAAAAAAAAGCAAAATGAATGTGCCATTGACCAGTCTGGGGTTCGATCCCAGGACCTTTTGCGTGTTAAGCAAACGTGATAACCAACTACACCAACCGGCCGTGATATGTTTTGCGGTGGCATTGTACAGGTAGAAATACTTCTCGCACCTTGCCGGGACTAAAAACTCAAAAACAAAGCCCTAGCTGTGCTTCCACAGACTCACAGCAAGTTCTGGACTTCTCATAAAAGACAAAAAAGAATGATCGAAATATAGGCCACTGACCAGTCTGGGGTTCGATCCCAGGACCTTTTGCGTGTTAAGCAAACGTGATAACCAACTACACCAACCGGCCATAATATGTTGAGTGAAGCGGGTAGTGGGTAGAAATACCTGATGGTCAGCTGAACGTTGAAATATTTTTGCCTCACTGGTTGCGATGTGCATATATGATTGAGTAAGGCGCATTTTCAAAAAGAAAGCATATAATAGGGCGCTTGGTCTAGGGGTATGATTTTCGTTTCGCATGTACTCCAGAACGTGATTATGAAAGGTCGTGGGTTCAATTCCCACAGCGTCCAATTTTTGCAATTTTTTTTTATTGGGTGAAATTTTCATCTAATTACCTTTTCCCCAATCATTTGCTGTCTACATATGCTGTTGATGTTGAATTCCGGCTACTTTTGGTAGCGAGCTCTACACGTGCCTTTCTGGGGTGGGGTGTCCCCGCTTCTTGGGACTCCAAGGAAGGCGTTTGCTCTCTTTCAATTCACAATCCCAATAGAAGCCTCCACAATATAAGTAACTTGCTACTCCTCTCCTGTTCCCCCTCTGAGATCTCCCGGATGATTCTATCTCTACTAACGTTAATAGGCCCTCTTTTTTGATCATGATGCTAGGCTTCCTCCGAAGTTCCGAAACCTCCGAGATTTACTCTCTCTTTTCCCTTAGAAGATATCCTCTGTTTTGGATTCAGTACGGTATTTTCTAGATGCAGGTTAAGTAATAACCTCACGGGTAAAAGAGGAGGAGAGCTTCATCTATCAGATTGCATGTACAGCTTTGAAGACACCAGTTTCCGGGTTTGGGGCGACATGCCCAGAGGATTCACAAGAACAATATGCAACTGCGTCAAGGAACAAGAAAGATTCCCAGGAGTTCGACTATAGTGTCACAGCAGGCGCTCGGTCATGATGGGCTTTCCAGAGCACAATATCTTCATCCCGTGGAAGGCCAAGTATTCATCCCAAGTTCCCTACCGACATACATTTCTTCGTGTTTCTAGAAGACCGCACCTCGTTCTTTAGACCCGCTCCCTGTGGTTTGACTGCCGCTTTGAGGCTCTTGCTCGATTCGCGGCCAGGAAGCTGGAAGGTGGCCGCTATTTCAATGTTGGTAGAGGGGACCTAAAAATGGACCGGACCCAGAGAAGGTTGCAACAAAGAATTCACTGCGGCTTCTTGTCCTATATCACTTCACGGCATATCAAAGCATACAACGGCCCCGCCCGCCAAGCATAGCCAGAACTCTGAGTCCCACTGTCCCACTATCGGCATCGAGCAAAAGCGCATCCATAGACTGGAATTCGAAAGCGTGGCGGGGGACTAGCCACGAGTCAGACGACCCTTGTTCTATGCGTATCCCAAAAGACGTCACGACTTCGGGCTTCCAGACCGAGAACCAAGAGCGATTTGTTACCTTTGAATGCACGACTTGTCCTGTTCGTCAATATAGCAAGCCGTTAGTTATCCAAGAAACGGCATTTTCTTGTGCGCAACTACTCTCAAATGTCCGAATCCCCGTCGACCAGGGTGTTCTCGCTACATGGAATTTATCGAGCTGGATTTCAAAGCACGTTTCCAAAGGGAGAAGAGAAATCGTAACGAATCGAAGATATTGGACAGGCAATACGAAGTGTGGCCCCGGGAAATACTTGCACGGAGTATGTTGTACCGACCTCCCTATACTCCGTACAATGGCGGTGGAGATAAAAATCCGAAGAAGCTTTTATATCGGTCCAAGCACTAGCTAGACTAGCGCTTAACGATGGCCATTCTTGGAAGTCAAAAAACTACGAAAACCCGGGGCGTCATGTTTGTTGTCGATACTGCGACTGGCTAGGACTTCGGTTCATGGGGTGGGTATCGTCACGCTTAATGGAACGTCACTTTGCTATGAGATCATTGTGGGTGTCGCGTCGTCGGATTTGCCAAAGTGTGGAGAGCCCTCCTCTGCCGATTTCGACTATAACGCAACTACGAGATGAAATCAAGTTAGCCAACGGCCTTACTCTACATCTTACCGCCCAAGCAGAACTTCAAGAAGATTAGAAATATACGGACTTTCCTTATCCCCGAAATCCGTCCTTATCGCCCTGTCCTCCCCTCAATCTTATTTGCTTACTTGCTTACTACTTGGATACTTTGGGGATCGATGCGGCTTGATAATCCACAATGGTTCGAACCAGCTCCGCTCTTCGACTACAGCCCCCTCGAGGGCTGGAGCTGCTCATCAATCCTCATTACGAATATGTTGCTTGCTAATCGGAATAATTGCTTTCGCTGACTGTGCCTTTTTGGTGTTGCACCGTAAGCTTTTTCTTGACCCTTTCATTGTTCGTCTCTACTTTCCTTTCAGACCGGCTCGGGGAAGTTTGGGACCCTGTGCCTGTTGTACCCTTGCTTGTGTCTCAGTCTTATGAGTTTGAGTTACTGTGATATAAACGCTTTCTCCTGCCCACAATCCGTTCATAGGCTTTTCTGCGGTGACTTTATACTCCCACCATGTTTCCATCGCAGAATAACCGCATGTTCGCGGAGAGTGCTGAGGGCCGCACTCGCAATGAGGGGCCTCGCATTCCTCTGCACCATGTTGATGAGACCGGAGAACGCCCTCATGAACCAGAGGAGGCATCGCAAGCCCAGTCTACTGGGGCCGATGTCAGTCGGGATGGGGCTTGGGGTGAACGCGATATTGGACGCCCGGTCAATCTAGAAGAAGCTATGCAAGATTTCGAAGAACTGCGCCACCAGCTCACGGAACTATCTAAGACTCGGACTCAAAGGACAGAAGACAGGCGTAGACGAGCATCTTTCGGACTCAGGAAAACTTCGACTGGCGCGAGCCGTCGTACGGCCCAAGATGTCGAGGCACAAGGAGAAGAGAAGGGGGATGGTGACGGATTCGAACTCGGAGAGTTCCTAAAGGATGGGCACCTTGAGAAAAGGACTTCCGCAGGGTCTGCCAAGAAGATTGGAGTGGTATACAAGAATCTCACAGTTGAGGGAGTTGGCTCGACGGCAACCTTCGTCAAAACATTACCCTCTGCTATTATTGGTGTAAGTATACCCCTCCCCACATTTCTTCAGGGCCACTGTCTGCGGCTCTACTCCAAGTTTGATCGCATCGCATTGGCATCTCTTGCATGTACTAATTTCGGAATGAAATTGAGTGGAACTGAATGACCAGAGTTATTGTATCCATGCAGCCAGATCATTGAAAGCATCATTTTCGTCTATTCAAAATTTTGCTTGGCTTCATTCTTCCAAAGTTCTATAGCATGAGAATCTGAAGCTAATGACTCCTATATGTAGACTTTTGGACCTGATCTCTATAAGATCCTTACAAAATACATACCCTTCCTACCAAAGCCGGGGTCTCATGGAGCAAAACGCGTCCTGATACACGATTTTACTGGTGTTGTGAGAGATGGAGAGATGCTCATGGTTCTCGGCCGACCCGGCAGCGGATGCAGTACATTTTTAAAGGCCATTGCCAACAAACGGGAAAGTTTTGCCAGCGTCACTGGAGAAGTGCTGTACGGTGGTATTCCAGCCAAAGAGCAGAAAAAGAAATTTAGAGGAGAGGTCAACTACAACGAAGAAGATGATCAGCACTTTCCCACTCTCACTGTAGGCCAGACGCTCCAGTTTTCCCTTCTGAATAAGACGAAGAAACATGAGAAGGGAGAGATTCCAATTATCATTTCCGCTTTGCTGAAGGTATTTGGAATCTCACATACCCTTCACACTCTCGTTGGCGATGTAAGTTCTTCCCCCTCCCCCCTCTTCTGGCGGATTGAGAAACGGCAACTGATATAACACAGGCTTATGTGCGAGGAGTTTCGGGTGGTGAGCGCAAACGTGTTTCCATTGCTGAGACTCTTGCCACAAAGAGTAGTGTTGCGGCGTGGGATAATTCAACCCGTGGATTAGATGCTTCAACGGCTCTCGATTATGCTAAGTCACTACGAATTATGACGGATATCAGCAACAGGACCACCTTTGTCACCCTCTACCAGGCTGGTGAAGGTATTTATGAATTGATGGACAAGGTATTGGTCATTGATGAGGGGCGAATGGTATTTGCGGGACGAGCCAACGAAGCCAAGCGTTATTTCCAGGATCTGGGTTATTATTGCCCGGATAGGCAGACGACTCCGGACTTTTTAACTGCCTGTACTGATCCAACCGAAAGAAGATTCCGGAAAGATTTCGACGGGCCAATTCCAAAGGGACCTGTTGAGCTGGAGAAGGCCTTCCGCGAGAGTGATGCGTATAAGAAGGTTTTGAAGGACGTCGAAGACTATGAAAGGGCACTCAAGGAGAGCGACTATGCCGATGCACGACAATTCAAGGAATCGGTCCAAGAAACGAAGTCGAAGACTGTTTCGAAAAACTCTAGTTACACGGTCTCCTTCGTTCGACAGGTTCTTGCCTGTACCAGACGTGAGTTCTGGCTCACATGGGGAGACAAGCCTACTCTCTACACGAAGTTCTTCATTATCATCTCTAACTCCTTGATTGTTGGCTCACTCTTTTTTGGGCAATCAACTAATACCGGAGGTGCCTTCTCAAGAGGTGGTTCTCTTTTCTTCTCAATTCTTTTCTTGGGTTGGCTGCAACTGTCTGAGTTGATGAAAGCTATCTCCGGGAGAGCTATCATTGCCAGACACAAGGATTACGCTTTCTATCGTCCGTCGGCAGTCGTGATTGGAAGAGTATTGCAAGATATTCCCATGATATTCATCCAGGTTATTCCATTCTCGATTGTCATGGTAAGTACAGTAATACTGATGTTGGACTACAGTGTGCTGATGTGTATTCTAGTATTTCTTGGCCGAGCTCGATGTTGATGCCAGCAAGTTCTGGATATATTTTCTCTTCATCTATCTCACGACTCTCTGCATCACGTCTCTCTACCGCATGTTCGCAGCGCTCTCCCCGGCCATTGATGATGCGGTCCGGTTTTCTGGTATCGCCCTCAATCTTCTAATGTAAGTACTTCATAGCATTCTAGATTATCAGTTTTCTAACGGTATCTTGACAGCATCTACACCGGATACGTTATTCCTAAGCCTCAATTGATAAGTGATTATATCTGGTTCGGTTGGATATACTATATAAATCCTCTTTCTTATAGTTTCGAAGCTGTCGTAACCAGCGAGTTTTACAACAAAGACATGGCTTGTGCTCCAGCTGAGATAGTCCCAAATGGCCCGGGATATGGCAATTCTGCCTACCAAGGCTGCGCCTTTCCCGGTGCGGAATTAGGGTCCCTGAGTGTACCAGGCGCGAGATATTTAGAGACCTCGTTTAATTACACGCGGTCACATCTCTGGAGGAATTTTGGTGTTCTAATTGCTTGGACTGTTCTTTATATTCTAGTAACTGCCATTGCCACCGAACTTTTTGATTTCACCTCAGGTGGTGGTGGGGCTCTTGAGTTCAAGCGATCCAAAGCTGCCAAACGAGCACTGAAATCTGCTGCTGCACCCACAGACATTGAGAGCGGTGATAGGAAGCCTAGTCTGCCTTCCAGTGGTACCCTCGATGGCGGCGAAGATGATGCGATGCAGCAGATTTCAGGATCCGAAAGCGTTTTCACTTGGGAGAATATCGAGTATACTGTCCCATACATGGGAGGAGAGCGTAAGCTACTCAACAAGGTCAATGGCTACGCGAAACCTGGAGTCATGGTCGCTCTTATGGGAGCCTCAGGAGCTGGCAAGACTACTCTCCTGAACACACTGTCACAGCGCCAGAAAACGGGTGTAGTCACTGGAGATATGCTTGTCGATGGCCGACCACTGGGCACAGAATTCCAGAGGGGTACCGGATTCTGCGAGCAGATGGATCTCCACGATGGGACTGCCACTGTTCGAGAAGCCCTAGAATTCTCTGCTATTCTCCGACAAGAGAGTAATATTTCAAGAGCGGATAAAATTGCATATGTCGACAAAATCATTGATCTCCTCGAACTTGGCCCTATACAAGACGCTCTTGTCAGGTGTCTTGGAGTGGAGCAACGCAAGCGAGTTACTATTGGGGTTGAACTTGCTGCCAAGCCCAGTCTCCTACTCTTCCTGGATGAACCAACCTCTGGACTTGACTCTCAATCTGCTTACAGCATTGTGCGGTTCCTCAAGAAATTAGCAAGTGCTGGCCAGGCCATTGTTTGTACTATTCACCAGCCTTCCTCGATCCTCATCCAGGAATTCGATATGATCCTTGCTCTCAACCCGGGAGGCAACACCTTCTATTTTGGACCCGTCGGAGAGAACGGCTCAGCTGTTGTCAAATATTTCGCTGATAGAGGAGTCCATTGCCCCCCTGAGAAAAACGTTGCGGAATTCATTTTAGAAACTGCAGCAAAGTCTAACAAGCAGAAAGACGGTAAGCAATTGAATTGGAACGAGGAATGGCTCAACTCTGAAAATTCCAAACAAATTTTGGAGGAAATCCAAAGAATCAAGACGGAGCGAGGCAAAATCCCCCCACCACCGGCTACCTCACAGTCAGAATTTGCGTCGCCCACATGGCTCCAAATTACTGAACTCACGAAGCGATTGTTTATACAGTATTGGAGGGATCCTTCTTATCTTTATGGAAAGTTGTTTGTTTCGGTCATTATTGGTATCTTCAATGGCTTCACGTTCTGGCAAATGGGTTACTCTGTCACAGATATGCAAGACAGGTTAGTGTTATTTAGTCCCTGCCTTGCTGTTAGAAACATATCAGACTCGTCGCTAACTGTCTCAGGATGTTCACATTGTATATAATCCTGCTCATTCCGCCAACTGTGGTCAATGCCGTGGTACCGAAGTTCTACCAAAACCGAGCACTCTGGGAAGCACGAGAGCTTCCGTCCAGAATTTATGGTTGGGTCGCATTCTGTACTGCTCAAATAGTTGCCGAGATCCCAATTGCAGTCGTTAGTGCAACAATTTATTGGGCTGCTTGGTACTGGCCTACTGGACTTCCCGGAGGCACTTCAACCTCTGGCTACGTCTATCTGATGACGCTTCTTTTCGTAGGTCATCTACCTCCACTATTATGAACTTTTACTGATAAAAGTAGTTCTTCTTCCAAGCTAGCTGGGGTCAATGGATCTGTGCCTTCGCACCTTCTTTCATGGTCATTTCCAACGTCCTACCATTCTTCTTCGTGATGTTCTCGCTCTTCAACGGTGTCGTCCGACCATATGACCAGCTCTCGGTCTTCTGGAGATACTGGGTGTACTATCTGAACCCGTCCACGTACTGGATCGGTGGCGTCCTAGCCGCGACTCTAAACCACACTCCCGTGCGCTGCTCTCCTCAAGAAGCCGCTTACTTCAACCCGCCCCCGGGCTCCACCTGTTCCGCATACGCGCAGGACTTCGTCAACCGAGCAGGCGGCTACCTCACCAACCCCGACGCCACGTCGAACTGCGGATACTGCCAATACTCGAACGGGGTCGACTACATGCGCACCCTCAACATCTTGCCGAAGGACAAGTGGGGCTACTTCGGTATCTTCCTGGGCTTCTGCGTGAGCAACTGGGTCCTGGTCTACTTCTTCATCTACACGGTGAGGATCAGGGGCTGGACCTTCGGGTTCGGTCCGCTGTTCGGACTGATGGGCAAGGTTGGCGGTGCCTTACAGAAGCCCTTCAAGAAGGTTGGGAAGAAGGTGGCTAAGAAGAACAACTAAGAGAGGGTAGCTGTGAGATGAAGATATATTAGATCGATTTGTTTGTCCGGTGTTGCCAACGGCTGGTGTGTTTTGGGGGATGAGGGATTGAGATTTCTAGTATTAATAGTCCAGTCGAATTCATGCAGAAGACAGTGCGTGCAATCATGTATGGCAACTGCTGCTCGAAAGGGTGTCAAGAAAGGGGGGAGGGGTGTTTAGGATAAAAAGAAGTCAAATAAGTAAAGGAGTTGTTTAGAAAATACCTCTACGTAGTATTATAGTCGTCTGTCCGACAGATATTTTCACGAGTAGAATAAAGAGATGATGTATATTCTAAAAGATTTTCAAAAGTCTTTCTGTCGATCTGCCAGTCCTTGCACCCAAGGGTCGAGGCACGAGAGTTGGATTTTGGGGGACTGAAAAGAAAGGGGGGAAGGCTAGGAGGTTGTTTCGCGTACCCGTCCCACGCCCAGATCTCAATTAAGATTGGAGACCAGAGAAAAATTCAAACGTAGAAAGGGTCCTGTTATATTATAGTAAACGCTTGGTATAAAGCAAGCAAAAGGATGCTCAGAAATCTGGGAAGGGGGAAAGTAGTCAAGGTCTGAGACCTCAGGAGAGAAAAATAATCGCGATAAAAAATAGGGAAGAAGCAAAAAGAAAATCCGAGACGACGTTGACAAGATTCGAACTTGTGCTCCCGAAGGAAACAGCTTTCTAGGCTGTCGCGATAACCACTCCGCCACAACGCCTTGTTTTGCGTGTTTGATGTCGACTAGGGCGCTTGAAGCGGAAGAAGAGGCAACTATTCGCGTCTTTGAATTTTCCAAAAAATTATACCAAAACCAGAAAAAAATGAGAAAGAAAAAGTCCAAAAAGGTAATTCCATAGCGACGTTGACAGGACTCGAACCTGTGCTCCCGAAGGAAACAGCTTTCTAGGCTGTCGCGTTAACCACTCCGCCACAACGCCATTTACTGTTCGTTAGTATTCGGATGTCGTATTTTGATTGATAGCTGCTTATGAGAAGAACATGTGGGGCGTATCAGAAAAGGGAACAATTAGCCTTGGGCCCTGATTTGCTAGATAGGGCCCTTGCTCAAGTTACTACCTTAGGTAAGGTCAGGTAGACAAGGCTTTTAGTACTTAGCGGCCATGTTCACGAGACATGCACAAGATGTCAGTTATCAGATTGGCTTTCCAAGTACCGTAGGTCAAAAGGGCCAAGATAATCTTTGACAACGGAGTTGGCGAATGGAGTCAACTCGGTAGGATACCTACTCATGGCCAACAATTCATTCTCTTACAGCGTAATACGTCAAGGCCTTCTGCTTTTGCGCTTTTGCATCCGCTTTTCAAGATCTGATAGGAGCCCCGGAAGAGTGAGACAATGCCCTCATCTAGATATGTACTATCCATGCGTACTGTCGCGTGAGGAGTACGATAATGCAGGGTCAGGAGTCAAGCCCTCCAGCCTTTCAATGCTCATGCCTGGAAAAGAAACACGCTGCTGCTTCGCGGCTTCGCGGCTCCTCGTCAACACGACGTCCGTTCCTCCACGTGTGCCATTGATTGGCTGAACCACAGACTTGCAAGAACACAGCGACAGTGAGGCGTGGCGGTTTGGGGGTGGTTGGCGGGCAGATCCCTTGAGCCTTAAGAGCTTCAGGGCGTAGATCACAAGGTTGCCGCGCTGTATATAGGAGTAGTGTATAAGAGAATAGTTCCCAGATCTCCTCTGTCCATTTGCCGTCTTCTCTTCTCGTGTGTATAGGATATCTATGTCTCTATAGATATATCTATTGAGGTAGATGCACCGCTGAGTCTTTTGCCATCCCGGAAACAAGCTGTCGAGACAAGCGGTGGCCTTCCCGCCGGCCTGCTCTCTAGGTACCGTTCATCCTGCCAGAAGGCAAACTAAACCCGCAAACGGCGCACGCGAGTCTCCGCGAAGAATGTCAATGGTTTCCCCGGTGCAAGAAAAGAGCCTCTTGATTCAAGGTGCATTGGGTTGCCCAAGATGCGTTTCAACGCCGCCCTTCTCTTTGCAGCGTGGCTCACCCGCGATGTTGTACATGCAACACCTGTCCGCGGAGGTGGGAGCCAGGCCGATCTGCAGGCGCCATTGGAGGACCTGAAAGATTCACACCCTCAACCCGAAACCTCGCAACGACGACTGCAGGGCAGATTCTTGCACATCACTGGTGCGCTCGTCCCTGGTCCACGAACTCTTATCTGGCGACCCATGCTGACCAGCTCCAGATCTCCATCCAGATCCCTTCTACAAGGTTTATTCGTCGACCGAAGAGAACGACGCCTGCCATCGTGGAAAGGGCACTGCGGGCACGTACGGCGCTGAAACCACCGACTGCGATACCCCCTTCTCGCTGGTGAACGCGACCTTCAAATGGATCGCGGAGAATATCAAGGATGATATCGATTTCGTGGTATGGACGGGCGACTCGGCGCGGCACGACAACGATGAGAAGATTCCTCGAAAGGAAGCCGAAGTGCTGAGCACCAACAGATGGATCGTGGAGAAGTTCCGAGATGTCTGGGGCGAGGGCGGCGACGCCTTTTCAATCCCTATTGTGCCCACGTTTGGCAACAATGATATCCTGCCGCACAATATCCTCTCTTCGGGACCCAACAAGTGGCTCAAGGAATTCAGCCGTATCTGGAGCAGCTTCATACCGGAGGAGCAGACGCATGGCTTCGAGCGAGGTGGCTGGTTTTACGTCGAAGTAATCCCTAACAAATTGGCGGTCTTCAGTCTCAACACTCTCTACTTCTTCGATCGTAACGCTGCGGTTGACGGCTGTGCTTTACGGTCTGAGCCTGGCTACGAACATATGGAATGGCTTCGAATCCAGTTGGGATTCATGCGGGAACGCGGCATGAAGGCAATCCTCATGGGCCACGTCCCTCCTGCTCGAACTGGAAGCAAGCAGCTCTGGGACGAGACTTGTTGGCAGAAATACACTCTGTGGCTTCGACAATATCGCGATGTTGTCATAGGCGGCCTCTACGGCCACATGAACATTGACCATTTCATGTTCCAAGATACAGATGAGATTGATCTTGTCCTTCTTGGAGACAATCCGTCTGCTCTTCAAGCTGTACGGTCCAGCATGGACGACGAGTTCACGATCGAGTCTGCCAATGACTACCTGGAAGAGTTACGTGATAATTGGTCTGACCTTCCAAATCCAGCTGCTGCCATAAAGGATGAAGATTCTTCGAAAAAGAAGAAGGGGAAGAAGAGCAAGAAGGAAAGGGCTCTTAAAAAGATCGGCGGCCCATGGGGGGAACGGTTCCACACCACCTTCGTTTCTCCCAGCGTGGTGCCGAATTACTTCCCAACTCTCCGGATAATAGAGTACAACATTACCGGACTTGAAAATGAAAAAGTCTGGACAGATGTCCGCCCAAAATCAGGGACTAGTCAGCAGATTGATCGGCCTGTCGAGGAGGCCGAGATGTACGTTGAAGATTATGAGGATGATGTTGACGATACCGAGACAAGTCCTGGGGTAGATGATGAGTCTGTTGGCAAGAAGAAGAAAAAGAAAAAAGGCAAGAAGCACAAGAAGAAACCGTCGAACCCTGATCTTGTTATTCCGCCCCCGCCCTCGAAGAAGTCCCCTCCGGGCCCCGCTTATTCCCCTCAAACATTGACCATGCTTGGCTACAAACAATACGTTGCAAACTTAACATTCATCAACAACGACTTCACCAAAACCGAAGTCCCTGAAGATGATGTTGACGCAGATAAATGGCGAAAAGGCAAGCACCATGGCGAGGATCCGAAGAAGATTGCAAAACCGAACCCTTTCGAGTACAAGATTGAATATGACACATCCACCGACCCGACCTACAAGCTGAAAGATATGACTGTGCGGAGTTACATCGAACTCGCTCACAGGATCGGCCAGTATAAGCCCGTGAAAGGAGACCAAGTTGACGAGCTTCGCGTCGAGGAATTTGATGAGGAAGTCGAAGATGATTCTGATGCCGACGACGATGACGATGACGATTATGAAGATAATGATATGAACGGGGGAAAGAAGAAGAAGAAGAAGAAGAAGAAGCACAGGAAGCGCCGTCGCAAGCAGCTCAAGAAGAACAAAGTCTGGCTGCAATTCATCAAGCGTGCCTTCGTAGGCACAGTGGAAGAAGACGGCTTGCGAGCAATCGCAGAAGCTCCCGAGACCCCAGTGCTGCCGGCCAGTGAGGGGATACCAACAGATGCGCATGATGGCGAACTATGATCGAAGCGTGGTATAAAATCTGATTGCATTTAGCGTGGGGGAAACGGCGTTGACATGGCATCCAGGCACAATCATGTAGTTTTTGAAGTACAAGTTCGCATATTAGGGAGGGATCTAGGCTTTGCATATAAGTATTCGATGCATACATCTCTTTTGGAGAAAGCCCGCTGTTTGAATATATATATCATAAGGATCCATGCGTCCTCGATTCCAAATCTGGCCCCATGTGTTCAAACTTCAAGCATATCCTCGAGGTGAATTTGACAATGAAGTGAATCTGCTTCGTCGAAGATTAGCATCTGCTCTTGGATCCCATTCTACCTTCAACCCTCCTCTTTGGAAGCATGTTCGTATGAACCCTCATGATTCCAAATAGGTATATATTGAGTGAGATGATCGTCCCTCCCCATATTCATCTTTCTCTGACTTCGACACCTCACACGAAGTTAACAGTTATCCATCCTCGAATTTCTCATTCATACTTTTAGGGCTGCCACATGATTGAATACCACATCCACAATCGCACTTCCTACAACCCTCAAATCATAATAACATGGTCTTCGACCTCATTCCTGCTTGTACAATGAATGAATGAATGAATTGTATTATAAGCAAAAGTCATAACATAACAATGCTCGCTCTTCTGTAGCTGAGTGGTGAAATGCTTGGATATCTCTTCAACAGCTTGCACGATCGGCCAGGGCTTTGTTTTTCACTTTATTGGCAATCTTTCTTCTATTGAGAAGGTATACTGCTCATAACCAAATATAAAACCAGCTAATGGCTCCCTTGATATATGTATGTGTGTTGAAGTCTGTAGAATTGAAAGCTAGGTGTCAAAGTGTGTCTATATACATGATAACAAGCGAGGTCCAGACTCTAGCACCTTGGGTGTGTCGTGTTGGATTGGTGTTGAGGAGTTTGTTTTTGGATCCGTCATTGGGTTGCTTGGGTGTTGATTGGTATTGAGTTTCTAGATACCGTTATCAACTCAGTTATATCCAATACTTGTAAAGAAGAACATACTTGTTTGTAGACCCGTTGTTAGGTCGGGCTAGATGATTATGAGGAAAAAGACACTTGTTTTGGCATTCGTTATTAGGTTGCTTAGGAGGGTCGTGAGGGTAAGGTGCTTGTTTATAGACATCGGTATCAATTCAGTTCCGATATTTGCTTGTAAAGGAAGAACTTGATTGTCTCTAGATCCGTTGTTAGCTTGGCTTAGAGGATTGTAAGGGAGAAGGTACTTGTTCTAGATGAGAGTATTAGGTTGCTTGGGTGTTGCACTGGTGGTACAACAGATCTAAAAGACAATCTCCTCAACACCAAGGCAACACCCACAACCCATCGCTCTTTGGTTCAGTGTTGCCTTGGTGTTGAGGAGCTTGCTTTTAGATCCATTGCTCTGTTGTTTGGGTGCTAATACGGTTGTATCTAGATATCATTAGCCTAGTTCAAATACCTGCTTGTAAAGAAGCACTTGCTCCTCTCTAGACACGGTCAGCTTGGCTTAGAGAACTGTAGAGGAGAATGTACTTTTTTTTATATCCGTTGACTGAGTTCCAAGAATGCAGGGGAGAACGTGCTCCTCTCTAGATCCGCTGTCAGCTTGGATTAGAGGATTGTAAGGGAGGGCTGCTTGCTTTTAGATCCGTTAACTTAGCTCCAAGAATCGTGGGGAGAAGGTACTCTTCTCTAGATCCGTTATTATATTGGTATAGAGGATTGTAAGAGAGAACTTGCTTGGATCTGTCATTCAACAGATCTAATAATTGCAAAGAAGAATGTGCTTGATTTGGATCCGCTATTAGGTTGATTTAGGGAATTGTAAGGGAGAAGGTGCATATTTCTAGACCTGTTACTAATTCAGATCTAAGAAGTGTAAAGAAGAACGTACTAACTTTGAGATCCGTTATCAACTCAGATCTAAGAATTGTAGAGAAAAACGTATTTGTTTTGAGATCCGTTATCAACTCAGATCCAATAATTGTAAAGAAGAACTTGATTGTTTTGATATCCGTTATTATGTTGGTTTGGGAGATTGTAAGGAAGAAGGTGCTTGTATCTAGACCCGTTATTTACTGAGTTCTAATAGTTGTGAATGAGAACTTGCCTGTTCTTAGCTCCGTTATTATCTTAGATCCAATAATTGCAGAGGAGAATGTGTCTGTTCCTAGATCCATTATTAGTTCAGTTCCAATAATTGAAAGAGGGCCATATCTGTACCTTGTTCAATCACTGTGTCTTGTCAAATAACGTGGTTGTTGTTGGTAAACGTAGAAAGGGGCTCGTTTATTTCGCTACCCCTTCTTTGCTCCCCCCATCCGTCCCATTTCGACAACCAATTCACTTTTGTGAATAACAACCTGGTGACTCTATTGGCTAAGCTTAGCTTTAGCCTATCTTCTCACCATCCAGAACTATAAAAAAGATCTCGCTAACCCTTTATCCCGACTCCATCCATCTACTCCCCACACAACTTCCTCCCTCACCACAACCCCACACAAAGCAAACCCTCCTCACACACACATAACAATGTCCTCCTCCCCAACTGCAAGCAGCATTTGCTGTGCGCTTTGCAGCAGCATCGGCCACGTTTGGAAGCATTGCCCCGACCTCGAAGCCCTCGGCGCCACTCTCAATGAAGCCCCTCCCCGTGTGTCCACCTTCACCCTTCCTCTCGAACGTCGTGCATTGCCCCCGGGCATGAGCATAGAGAATACCCCCGCTGCTCTCATCATCGAAAACCTTCTGAAGTTGAGCCACTCAAAGGTTGATTGGGGCTTAGATCTTCAGATGTTCGCTTTCCAGATAGCTCAGGTGAGCCACTTGCCTGTCGATGTCTCTTCCATTAGAGTTGGCAGCACAGGAGTAACAGCAGTCATTCACACTCGCCCCGAAGAGTTCTTCGATAAAACATTCACCAAAGTCGAAGCCTTGAGACAGGTGTGGATCTCCACCCTTGCAGCCCGTGGATATAACACAATGGCTGCCACGGGCAACGTTACTCGCTATGAGATGCACGTTGACTATAAAGGCCACTTTGGCTATGAAGACAACTCTGGATCGGTCCCTCGCCCTTACAAAAGCTTGTACCCTCGACTCCGTCAGCCGGGTCAGAGTTCCCCCAGACCTGCCTATGAAAGCCCATACCCGCCGGTGTATCACCTCAAACAGCAAGGACCTACCGCAGCCAAGGCACAGGGCAGAGCTTGCGCAGCTTCTGATTGTATTTGCGGAGTAAGCCACTCCCTTATGCCCAAACTTTGATAAACAGCTAACGTGAGGCGTGCTAGTGTCCTCAAGGTCATAAAGCGGGAGCTCGTGCATCTTCTGCTACTACCAGAGTAAGTCTCGCTCCCTCCCTGTCTAGAATCCGGCAGATCTCTAATATCATCATGTCGTAAAGGGAAAGATCACTAAGCAACGCAAAAAACCAACAACTTCCCGCAAGAGACTTCCAAATTAAGCTCCCCCTCGACTGCTGGTGAAAACAAGGGATTTGGATCCTCGTCCTCACAGACTCAATGAAGATGGCGACGACTTCTGAGGAAACCATAAACTCGTTCCACACTGGTAGAAACTCTCATTTGCCTCCTTAAATGGTATCGACTTTATGCCTCGATCCATTATAGAGCAGTGGGAGGCGGATGTGGCTTATGAAATACATTTCTTGATGGCTTTGGCTCATATGGCCTGGTCTTGACTGCGTCTTGCGTTCTTCCTCGGTGCTTATGCTTTAGCTACCGGGTATTTCGACAGGAGGGTCTCTTTTCTTGCGTTGCTTTTACACCTGGGAAGCATATTCATGGTTCTTTGCCTGGTAGGAGCTTTTAGGTGTGGATCATTGGGCTAGCTGCTTGCTTTCGGGCATCCAAGCTTGCCATATGCGGGGGAGTTTTCCATACTCGGAGATAATGAAGTGGAACGAAGGAACGGATGAACGATAAATGATAATGAATGCATGGTCTTTACTTAAGATTCCTCGAAAGATGACTGATGACTTCATTTGGATGACTCCAGGAACTTGACTAGTAATCTCGGCGGTGATTGATGGTACGTTTTGTTAGACAACCTATAAATCTTAACCGCACAGTTTGGGTACATGTACCAACGTGAAATTGGCCGTGGATCCTTGATGTAACTAGCCCTCGTCATTTGAAACAAATTCAGTGATGGACAGGCCGAACACTATACGACATATCTTAATTTGCTCCCGCAAGGCCAGCATTTGGGGAGGAGAGATATGCAGGCAAACAAAACCTCAAAAGCACCCTACCAGACCGTCAATTGGTATATGGATCAGCAACATGCTTGGCTCTTTTTCGAAATAACAGGCTCACGAACGCCTTACTGATGGTTTTAAGCCAACCATCCAAGGTCTCCGTAACCCACATCAAGAACCTGCTGAAGAAAAACAAAAACATGAACGAAATACAAACTATAATTGCAAAAGCATCCCAGTAATCCTTTCCGGTGTACTTTTCCTGCAGATCCGGAATCTGTACGGAGAAATAGCTCGTCATTAAGCTGACAGGCAGGAAAAGGACACTGAGCTTGGCGAGCAGCGTTGCGGCACGTGTCAGACGTGCAGCAGCCTCAGAGTCTTTCTGAGCATTGATATTGAAGTACTATTTACCAAATCAGTGGCATATTTTGGATTGCTAGGTCGGAAAGGGTGTACAGTAGATATCAATGCATCTTTCTCCTCAAGAAACTCTCGAGTTTCGCTCAGGATTAAAAGCTGAAGCCGATCACTAAGTCGTTCAAAGCGCAGGCTGGCAGACTGTGCCAGTCTCACACCTTTGCCATCAGCAGTAAGACCGCTGAAATTACGAGGAGTGTTAACACTATTGACTGCAGTCTCTTTGGTTTCCAGAATTCGCTGGATGAGGTTTTTGTATCCGGCATATAAATGCTCCATTCGACGGATCTGGCGGCCGAGGATGTGAAGACGGGGAATGAGTTCAATGTTTGGAGCCGTATTGGAAGTCCTCGTCTATAAGAATTAGAGACCTCGTTTCATGCACATACTAAGACCTTACCATATCGCCTAGAATCGCAGTTTGCTTTAATGATCAGTTTATAGTCTTGCCAACCTACGAGGTATGTGGACATACCAATTCGTCAAGCCTTCGACGATAGCTAGCAATAGTCGAATAGACAGCACGCCAATCATCAAATAAATAGTAGAATAGATTGCTCGCGCCTTCAAGCCCTACGTTTCCTTGGGCATGATCCAAATCCAAGGCTTGCCGGACCGTTTGCATTGAAATAGGATCCGCGTTGAGATGCCCGTGGGTGGATAGCTGACTCAAAACGCTAAAAGTGTTTCCCCGTATCGACTTGAGATCTTCGACATTATTAACCGGTCCAGGGTCTTCTTGCAGTGTTATGACAGTATCTGGTGTGTATCAGCAAATATTTTTCCCATTCAAGTGATTCAGACCTACTGTCATCACAAAGTACGAGCCAGGACCACAGGGGCCTCTGCATTCCTTCAGAGACTACGCTATTATCATTTGATGCCGTTGGAATCCCATGCATAAAGTTAGCACCGATGCAGAGAACTATATAGTATTATTCAGTATTGGTATCATCTTGCAGAGCTTTGAAGAAGCTCACAATGGTTGCCAAAATCAACAGATTGGTAGTTCACCATGCGCTTCGCAATGGTATAATGGCTTGTATCATCTGTACTTCTTATAGAGGTATTGGGTCTAGGGGTATCAATGCTAGTCGTTGCAAGCTCTATGTCGTCCTTATGAGGATGTTGTAGCTTCTTCATCTTGAATCTACTGATATGCTTGTCGTCAAGCCGAGGCTCTGGTAGTTGCGGTCGAGATTGAAGAATGGCACGTAGTCTAAGAGAAAAAGCATAGTGACTTCCAAGCAGCTCGACGAGATCTGCTTGGCGGTTCGGAGCCCATATGTTTCTGTCAAGAAAGTCTGATTAGACAGGAGGATTTACAGTGCGGTTTCTTTCAGGGAAAGGGAGGACTTGCATCCATCGGACTGGTCTCTCTGGCAGGTTTCCAGATTTAAGCTGTGCTTCAATATCACTAACACCCAGATTAAAGGCGATCTGAGCCTGCTGTCTCCCGAAATCAACCACGAAGTTGAGCGTCGACTCGTCGAGCGCCAGCGCAAGGCTCTGGTCGTATATCTCCTTGTTGTCGAAATCTGCAAACAACCCGTCCCTGGCCATGATTGCTTGAATTCTGGAGCAAAAGATGCTTGCCTGGGAGAGAGAGGGAGAACATGATGAGCGGCTATTCTCTGTCGACGAGCTGAAGAGCACTGATGCACAAGGCTGTAGCGGGCGGCTGATGAGACAGACAGCCCCCTGGCTAGCGCCGCGAGGCAACAAAATACGTTACCTGATGTAGTAACATAGCCGAGCTACCGCCTTGTGATTGAAGTTGCGACTCACGGGCACAGTCACGCAGGACTCTGACCGTGAACAAATGAACTCTCGTAAATATAATACTCCGCTGCCTCTGGCCCAAACCCCTTTTGTCCTTTTTTGCCTTTTTTTGTGCGTCTCGCAGTATGAGTCACGCGGGACGGATCAGATGGATTTGACTATAACATCAACACTCCTTCATCCTGTGTCAGCACCATCGTGTGATCCTTTCAACTGATCCATCCTACAAGCAAGTGCGAACACCTTCACATGACAAGCATAGTACCCATTCTTTGTCAATATGACTTTTGAGATCTTCCAGATACCCCATGACGACGAGAGTGCTCGTTCTTGGCTGGAGCGGGTCAAGGCTTTCCGGCTCCTCTCATTGCAGACAGCACCTGAATCCTTTCTATCGACATACGCGAGCGAAGTCACCTTCACAGATGATATCTGGTACGGCCGTCTCACCAATCCGAGCGTTGCTACCTTTGTTGCTCTTCAGTCGGGTCGTGTTGTGGGAAGCCTTGCGCTAATTGGCCCACTTGCCCACCCACCAGAGGATCTTTCTCCTTTGGGAAATCCATGGGTGTCAATCGATAGAGATGCATTACTCAAGGAGCCAGAGAATTCACATTGGCGTATCAATGGCATGTTCACATTACCCGAAGTGCGTGGTCAAGGGATTGCCAAGGCACTCATTGAGAAGGCAAAAGTGTTCGGATGTGAGCAAGCAGCGCTCTCAGGAAAGGGCTTTGTTGGGAGCATTGCGGTGGATGCCGATAATCTACCTGCTAAGGCTTTGTACAAAAAGTGTGGGTTTGTGACTATCAAAGAAGAGCCTTTGTCTCATGGCTCCTCAAGGACAGTGCTTCTTATGAAATACACACCAGAGATTGTGGTATCGACCTAGCTAAGTCTGATCGTCAGCGTCTGTTTGCGAATAAGCATTTTTCACTCCTAATACTTGCAACTAGAGTTGGTTAGAATATTTCCAAGTGATTACTCAAGTCTTGAATGTAGGATTCAGCCAACTCTATCAACCCCAGATCTTTCCGCCTCATCTCGCTGCTCATAAAATGTCTGCTTTAATATTTAGCAGATATGGAAGTACAGTTCCATTGTCACATTTAAGTTTCAAGCATAAGGTCTTGGCATTTTGGCAGAGTTCTTGAAGATCATTACTCTTTATACAGGTACCTTCGAGCGGGATTGAACTTGGACTGTTGTAGATTATTTATTCTGGATGATCGAGGGAATGCATGTCAACAATCTCTGAGCAAGGATCAGAAGGCCCCGAGGTGGTATTTGGGCTTTTCTAGATATATCTGAAGGAGAGCTAGGTACCTACCTAGGTACCTATAGAGCGTCCCAGAGCGGGAGGGGGGACTGCACGTGATTTAAAATCATGCTCCCCTCATTGTAGATAAGGGATTTTAATGATTGTAAATTGTCAATAATCGCTATGAATAAGGCTATCCCCTACTGTTCATTAGGTACCTAGGTAGGTACCTAGCTTACTATCCTTCCTCCTGGAATTCTCTCCATCTATGTTACCTTACACCACGTGCAGATTCAGAGGCGTGCGCAGCGACACCCGCCCCGCTCCGCCCCGCCCCACCCTTCTAACTCAGCAAATCAAAAGCCTTTGAGGAAAGCAGGCACGAGACCCCGCGACCTCCTTTTCAACTTCACATCAGCCTTCTCCCGCCTTTGAACTGCCCCTCACTACCCCCCCAACCCTCGATGGTGTAAATAAATCCCCAGCTCTGCCTCAAAAAGCCTTCTGCACTATCAAGGCTCGCCATCTCGAAATTAATTAAACGATAGAACACTTCCTCAAACTTCACCTTCGGTTCGACGTCATCGCTTGATTTCCTTGCCAACCACCACTATCACTTCTTCCGAGCTTCGCTATCCTACTTGGCATCTGGGGACAAATTCTGGAGTCTTCCTGTATTGTAAGTGCTTATCTCTGCGCTCAAGTTGGTGCTCCAAGTAACATACTACAGCGCCTCACCGACTTTTCCTTCCGCCCGGGTGGCAAGCCAACAAACATCATGGGAACCTCAGGACCGAAGCCTGACGCAAGCAAAGTCCGATTTATACCCCTCACATACAATCAAGCTGAATCTCAGACCTCAGCCCTCCGCCTAATCCTTGCGCTTCGACCAGAGTGGGAGCATGATGGAAAGATTGAATTTATTCGCTTCACAGACGGCATCACGAATACGTTGTTGAAGGTCGTGAACAAGAGGCCCGGACTATCAACGGAGGAAATTGATAATGAAGCCGTACTACTGAGAGCTTATGGTCAGGGTACTGACCTGATAATTGATCGTGAGCGTGAAACCCAAAATCATGAATTACTCATGCAGTACAACCTTGCGCCAGCACTTCTTGCTCGATTTCATAACGGAATGCTATATCGATTTATTCGTGGGAATGTCTCCTCTCCTGCAGATCTGAGAAGGGAGGAGATATGGCGTGCGGTGGCCAGGCGCTTGGCAGAGTGGCATGCTGTGGTACCTTGTCTGCCATCGGCTCGTGAACCCTTATCCCAAGAAATCAACGGGAGCGCAAATTTTGACATGCCTACTCCAACACCTAGCAGGAAGGATCCAGCTTTACAGATGGCTATCGATAATGTTGCCCCTGGGAAGCCTGCGCCCAATGTATGGACGGTTATGCAAAAATGGATATATGCACTTCCTATCGGAACTGAAGCAGAGAAGATACGACAAGCAACATTGCAGAAGGAATTGACTCGGTTGGTTGCAGAATTCAGCAATCGGCCAGGTCTAGGTGTTAACAGCGTGAGTGTTCTCTTGAGTCTAGCTACCAATCCCCGGTCTCAGTTCAACCAGGCGCCCAGCGCTCCGTTTAAACAATGATTGCCGACATCTCCTCCTTTTTCTTAACTTATACTAACTAAATCAGCTTGTTTTTGCCCATTGCGACTTGTTAAGCGGGAATGTGATCATACAGCCGCGGTCAGCTGATCCTACCGCGGCTGGCGAGGCTGTCAGCTTCATCGATTACGAGTATGCCACGCCATCCCCTGCAGCTTTTGATATATCCAACCACTTTGCAGAATGGGGTGGATTTGACTGCGAGCACCACCTCCTTCCAACGCAGTCTCAGAGGCTCGACTTCATCCGAGAATACATCCGAAGCTATTTTGCGCATTTAGGCCGTGATAAATCTGAAGTAGACGAGGAAGCAGAGACGAGACGGTTATTCGATGAGGTCGACGTCTTCCGAGGCATTCCCGGGTTCTATTGGGGTATTTGGGCATTGATTCAAGCCAAAATATCCCAGATCGACTTTGACTATGCTTCATATGCCGAAGTGAGACTGGGTGAGTATTGGGCGTGGCGGTCGGAAACTGACGGCAGTCGTGCTGCGTCTGGGAAGGAAATGCCCCTCAGAGAAAGACGATGGGCACAAGAGGCATAGATGCGCATGCCGTGGGTGCCCCCCTCTTCCTGCAAAACCTTTCCATTCCTTTCTACAAGGAGTACATAACTTCACTGCCTTTAGCGTGTGCAGTTGATGGGCAAAATAGAACGATCTCCGGCTTCAACGCTTGGAAGGCCGCTAAGAGAATATTCTGGGGATTACGAACATAGAGGCGTTAGGTCTTCAACAACGATACCAAAGAGGGTAGCCAAATGGGCTTGGTGATGAGATAGTACTTTATTAGTTTTCGACTTCTCCAAACTTAGAGCGCTGGAAGGCGGGAATGAAAGCTGATGAATAGAATATACATGGATATTACTTACACGAGTTGACGATACGAATCTCAAATGTAGTGGTGTGGTAGGTGAACTATAAGACTGAGTTCTGGCCACTGCGTTCCAATCCTTGTATTGGCCTCACTTTCGCCCTCTTCCCATCCTTAATACATTACAGATGACAGTCAGACAGTAGTCTGCTCATAACCAGGTCAGTCAGTACCTTAGTGAGCATGTCACTCTGTAGGTATACTGTGCTCTGTACAGACTACAGTAGTATACCTTAGTCGAGAGGGGGGCGGCAGTGGAGCACACCTCGTACCTTATGTTAACCTTACATAATCCAACAAACAGTGCGGGTTAGGGCAAGCTCTAAGGTGCGGTCACCAATGATGGCGGGTGGTTTTCCTTTGGCTTTACTATTTTCGAGTCAGATGCAAGTAGTGAGACGTGGCTGAGATTTAAGATTTAGCATCCGATATAGGCGCCCACAGATTGACTACCTACCTACCTAGGTGGGTATACTAGTAGTAGTTGGGTGGTTTATGGCAGAATATCGAAGGGCTTTTCAGTTTTGGAATTTGCATCTTCCAGGTACCTAGGAGGTCTATGCCTAAGGTACCTAAACCTTGCCTTGAGGTACTGGTACCTTACCATACCGTACCTTAGGTACTGTGTAACGACAGTCTACTACTCGGATTCGGTTCAACGTCGGCCGTACGGAGTCCGGAGTAATATTACCCCGGATGACGATGGGGCGCGGCCGCAGGGGAGAACCATACAACGTCCGTATCGCTCGCGGCCTACTCTGATTGGTCCGCGGATACGAAGGCGGCAAGGCTCCCAGCGCAGCCTCACACGGGGGAAGATCCCATGCCGAAAGGGGAGCACTTCCAAATTCCAGCGAGTCGGCCGGCTATGCGAACTTCCGTACCGTAGTAGAATGGGGGGCGCGCGGATTGGTCAAGGCTACGTACGAAAGAAAGTACGGAGCTCTGGCGGACTTAAGCGCAGACGTCTCTGTCTCTTCCCCTTGCAACAATAATAAGGGATGGAGGACGCTTTCCTAGGATCAACCGCGGACGGTTCACATAGAGACCTCCTTAGGTTCCTTATGCCGATACAAAGCAAGTATTCTTTCTGGCTTTGCGGTGCTTGGACCTCTCTCTATCCTCATGGACCGCATGTCTATGATCGATGTGTGTTCTGTACGCTATAGTAAGGTACAGTAGGTACATACCTTAAGGTACTTTAGGTACCTGATTTGCTTTAGGTACCTGATGTACGTATCCATACCCAAATACCTTGGCTATACTTGTCACTCCCGCCTGCCGCGTACATACTAAGGTACTGTACGACTACGACGGTACAGGTCTACATGCGAAGGCACATGCCATCCACACAAGGCTGAGAAGCGCGCCGATTCGGGCGGGGGAGCAGTCTAATTATAAATAATAAAGCATCCTCTTATAATTGCTGCGAGGTGATGAATGAATGGATGAATGGATGAATGGATGGATGGATGGATCTTTAATCCTATATATATTTTTGTTTTTGCGAAGGATTCAAAAAAGACAATATGGAATGAATCCTGCCGCGAGAATAGACGCGATGCATGGCGGATCGGTGCTTCCGGTCAAGCCTTCGACGCGAAATCAGTAGACCCCCAACTTCCAAAATAGGTTGTCACCAGCCACTTCTAATGTGGCGCACCCCTCTACGCTAGACCCTAATTGGGAAGTAAAGGTCGCTAAGTTAAGGTAATTCAGGACTAAAGCGTGTCTAGACCCCGTCTTCTCGCTCTTCTCCTCGCTCCGGCTCCCCTCGCTCCCCTCCTCGCTCCCCTCCCCGCTCCGCTCGCAAGTGCCAAGCGCAGTCCCGAAGCCGACCGCGCCAGGCACCAGTCGCCAGGAGCCAGGCACCAGGCAATCAAGAAGCTCGTCCCTGGCTCATCCATGTTCCTGACTCCTGACATAAGGTACTTCGATGTCGGGTCCCTACCGAGCGAGAGCAAGTAGCTATCACCAGATCGACGATACACAAATTCCAAAGGAAAACCCATCCACTGCCATGTTCTCTGTTCTCTCATCGATGTCACTTTCACCGCTTGCACCGCCTTTCCCCGTTGCTTGGGGAGTTGGGCAATTACAGCTCCGTGCCCCTCCCTGCAATGTGCGCGACTACGACTCGACGACTCTGCAGTCCTTGCGCGAACTACTCTGCCGACATGTCGATCGCACCCCACCCATCTCTTGTGCGGCGTACCGTGGGAGCTTTGCCAGCCTTTCCTGTACTGTACCCAGCAGCTCATGTACCGGTCTCTGCTGGGCCTCAGTCGTCGCTCTGGTTGCCGAATAACGGGATCCGGAGAGTGAAGCTCCAGCGGGCTGAGCCCTGCCGGCGAAGCAAAAATAGCAAGGTTTGGTTCGGACCGTTGGGCTTGCTTACCCTCATCGTTGCAGGATGAAGAGGCTTGTCAGTCATGACATGGACATGATTTGCATACTCCCTCCCTCCCTTCTCCACTCTCTGCTCCCTCGAGCCCGCTCGCTCGACTCAATCTTAGCCACGGCCGAGGTCTCGGGATTTCCTGGGAAATGCCCAGGGTCGCCCTAGCTTCTCAAGGCTGAAGACTAAGACCCTGATCTCGAAAGTCTCGGCTGCATAGGGTAGCACTTTGCCCGAATGGTAAACGGTAGGGAGGAAGGCCATGGGTATTAGATCTCACCAGCTCCCGGCTAAAGGATTGAATCCCTAGACCTCCTCGCGACCTCTCTCGAGCAGTTATAATAACTCTTTCACTTCCTCGCCATGTCGATGCAAACCACGGTCACTCGGCGCGCGCAGCACTACTCCCTCTCTACCACCATGGACCCAGCTGCGGAGAAGGAAGAACGTAAACGCGAAGTAAGTTCACCCGTGTACTGACCGCGCTTTGGAGCGGGACTAACTGAGCTACTGTAGTATAACCGCCTGGCGCAACGAGAATTCCGTACGCTCTCACATACCTGTTTGTATGGCCGAAACAAAAAGCTAACTGGAGTCTTCAGGGCGAAGGAGAAAGGAACATTTAAAGACGCTAGAACAAGCGCAGAGGGAACAGAGCACAGAACAGACAGAGGAGATCGAGCGCCTTCGGCACCAGAATGAGGAACTCAGAAGAGAAAACGAAGCTTTGAAAGCCCAGATCTACGGCCCATCATCATCTTCAAGTCACGATCTCATGTCCAACCCTCTCAGTGTACCGCCTCTCTCAAACGAGCGCGCCTATTCTCTCTCCCCCTCGATCTCAGCTGCTTCGATGTCGGGGGCGGGCAGCCCACCACCTTCTCTTGGTTCTGGCATGATGGGTCTCACTTTAACATCTACCATGCTGCCGCCGAGTCTGGTAACTTACGCCGATCCCTCTGCTTTGTCAGATCAGCCGTACTCTATGGTACCTCCATCTGGTATCCGTCATAGTTCACAAAGCTCACCTGAGTCCTCAGGGTACGGAAGTTCTCGACCTGCGATGGGAGCCTCTTTTCACAACCTGAATGTTCCCGGGACGATTCCAACACAAGCATCTCACTTGCCTCACTCAAGGGGGTCCGGCTCCCAATTATCGTCAGTACACGCCTCTTCGCAGTTTCTTGCTCAGACTAACCCGTATCCCAGCTCAACTATGATGGGCCCCTATAGTCGCAGCAAAGCCAAAGCTGATATTATGGAGATGTTCCGGCCGTTGACCTCGGATCCATCTGTCGCTACCTCATCCGAGCGGCATTTAGCGGTCTTAAGGTCTCTGAGCGATAGTCTGCCCGGGGTCTTGAAACCAAGCAAGAACCAGCTGGAGACGCCTCACTACTATGGAATCGACCTTGTCCCCTCGCCATCACTACGGGAACGTCTCCTGAATGTTACCGCAGACGTAGCCCAGACCTTCCTTTCCGAGATCGGTATCACCAGCGGCGGCGAACGCAATGAGATGGGTCAGTTAATCGTCTGGGGTGACGACGCTTTCAACGAGACGACGTGGGAATTCTCGCAGACGACGTTGGAGCGCTGGGGCTGGTTCTTGGGACGCGAATGGGTGCAGCGGAGTAACTTCTGGCGACAGCAACGAGGCGCACCTCAGCTCCCAGATTGGTAGGCAGGCTGGTGGTAGAAGCGGCCGGGGGGGATTGGGATAGCATAGCGAATGGCGTTGGCATCAATCATCACGGGTTAGTCATGATTATGACGGGTTACGAGGAAATGGAAAGGAAAATAGAAAAACGTGCATCATCATAATCGTAGTTAGGATTATGCTGGGGTTCCAACGTCCTTATGTGAGGGAAAGGGAAAAGAAGAAGAATAAAAGTTAGTTATGGGGGTCCTATATACAATTGACATCCACTCATCAGTCAGTACCTCCTTACTACCACCAAGCAGAGCAGAGCCTGATTTGGTTGTAAACACCCGATAGATACATATCTCTATCATCAAAGAACTCTAGATCTATCTATCTCCCCCATCTCTTTACATAGGTACCAACTCTTCTCGTGATGGTAGGTAAGGTAAGGTGGTTGGTTCATGGTATGGTATGGTATGTATGCGTGGTATGGGATTGGGAAGAGAGAGAGAGCTGGGGGGGGGGGGGGTTAGTTTCACTGATAGTACTAGGTAGATACGTTATACTCGGAAGAGGGAATCGTGATGCTGGACTGCATATCCTCACATCGGCATTCACTTCCATGCCTTATATACATATCCATACCATATCTAAAATCTGATATCACTAGGTACCTAGGTAGTCTCCGTCGGTATCTATCTATCTATCTAGATATCTACCTCAGGCAGGCAGAGGAGGTGGGGGGAGGGGGGGGTATGTGTGAGTGTGTAGAGCTACTTAGGTACCTAGGTACCTAGGTTTAGGGCGCGAGGTTTCTTTCTTTTTTTCGGCATTTGAGATCGATGAGTATAAAAGAGGAGTTGATGAGTACTAGGTAGTGAGAACCAAGGTACGGTGGAAGTTTGTGGGGAATTTGAGGGGGAGAGTCCACGTGATTCGACTTGATGTGTTTCTTGAGAGAAGAAGGAGCGAAAGTTTAGGGATAGCTTCAAACTACTCTAATCAAGCATTCAATTGATCAATATGAAGACTTGGGGGATAAATGCGAAAAAGGGACTACTCATATGTTTTTAAGCTTCAACGAAGAATGAATAATAAAGCTCTCTCGGTACGGTACGGATATTCTCCTCCCTATCTAATCTATAAATGAATATTTATTTTGCCAAGGTAGTCATTTCAAGGCTCAGAACTCAGCTAGATAGAAGAATTACAGGTGTCTCCATCCATATCAATCGGCAGTAGTAACAGGAGGGGAGATGTTTGAGCGATGTTTTGATTATCAGGGGGGACGCTTGTCCGTAAATTAGATCAAGGAATCGAGTTACCTTCAAGTAGTGCACGACACTTGTCGGAAATCATTGTCCACGCTTCTTCCCATCAACAACTTCCCTGTTTCTTGGCTCTGACTTTGATAGATAATACCCTCCCTATGCACCGAGATAGAAAAGAAAGCCTGCCACTGGATTTCCTGCATCACTATCGCAACTTCGAAAAATTATCGAGCTGCAGACACTTCGAAAATCTCGTTGGCTTTGCTCCGATTAATATATGGGGAGGTGTAGTAATGCTCGATGTGAATTCAGGTTCGATTCCTTTGAGCCGTGGAAATATCATGGGATCACTAGATCGTCAATGGCGACCTTTGCCATTCGAAGAATTTCCAGACATCCTCCGGTCCTCTCGCCAAGACATTTCCCTTGGCCGTTATCAACAGTGGCTTCTGCGGCATCCAAGAGCGCGTGACGGGTCCTCCGGCGGTATTCCATTTCGCCGACAAGATCTTTCAGGCCCTTGTGCTTGAAGCCTGGTGTCTCATTGCCATGAATATCAATCCTCAACAATGCTCGTACGGTGGTGCGCCATTGCATGGGTGGCATTTCGACCGCACTGAAGAACGCTCCCTTCTCAACACAGAGCATCGCCTCCTGAACGGTTGCCTCTCGACAACCCAATCCTCCGTAATCATGGAACCGAAACGTCTTTGTTTGTTGACCAGCTGCAATCGCCGCGTCAGTCTCCTCATCAACCATCTTGAGTAGTCTTTTATATCCATCTGCAATAGTAGGTATCATAGTCCCGAGTAGCATCGTATTGTGGAAGGCCTCAATAGGAGGAGGACCAGTGTTCCATACAACCGCGCCGCATTGAACGCACCAGATACTCTTCGCAGCTGTTTCTGCTGCACCGCGGACAGTTTTAAGTGCGGATGTTATATCAGAAGGAAATTGCTGCAGTGATGCTAGGGACAGATACATCGAGGCCAGGCAACTACATGGCCCTATGATAGTTGATGAGGGATTTTTGTCTGTGTTGGCAGTGTTCGTTATTATAGATGATCTTGGTGCCGGCTCTAGGGAAGGTATATTGCTCTCGCCGGTTCCCAAGTCGATATCTTCAAAATTTATAGGAGGGCCTCCAACCGGGTCTCCAAAATGCCAGATATGCTGATCACTATTAACTTCTGTGCCAAGGCCCTCGAAAACATTATCTAGGGACGAAATAACCGGCTGGCCTGTTGTAAAGTATGGCTCGGCCAGTAAGTCATCGTTATAATCGAGATTATCTGCGAAGGAAAGCAACGGTTCCGGGTCTTGATTGTTGTCGTTCTGACCTGCTTCTTGGATCGTTGTCTCGACGAATTGTCGTTTCCTCGGCCGACCCATAGGTTTCGACTTAGAATAATGGCATATGATATTCTCTCGCTTGCATCGATCGCATCCATCTGGATCTTTGGAGCATGCAAGTTTCCTTTGCCCTGCAGTTGATCAGTAATTGCAGGTGGAGAAGACGGACTGTTGCTGGCCGCTACTTACTGCAATGATCGCACGCCCGATGCGCAGATTTCACCGCAGAAGCTGTGTCGATATCTTTAGGATCCATGTTGAGCGCGACGGGTTATAGGATTTAGGTTGAGAGGCTGGGGGACTGGAGTTGATCGAACGTCGATATCAGAACCATTATTCCAGGGGCCAGATCTCGTATACATACCTACCTTACCTACCTACCTTACCAAGGTCCCTTGTTCGAGGCCCTCAACTTGCTCAAATCATTGCGCAAAGATCCAGTCCCCTGAAAACCACGCTAAGATAAGCTCTAGCGTTGCGATAGCGAAGCTCGACAAAAATTATTCTCCAAAACCCAAATTCTCGAGAAGTTTCGAAAACCACCAAAGTCTCCCACAATGGCGCCTCCAACGATCCTTCGAAAGCGCAAAGCCGCGACCCGCGACGTGCCCGAATCCTCAGATGTGGAGTCGGATGCCGAGTTTGGCGATGGGCTGCTAGAGGGAATTTTGTCACAGAGTGAGGATTCTGAAAATGATAGTGCTGAGGAGGGGAGCGAAGAAGAGGAAGACGAAGAAGAAGACGATGAGGAATTGTCAGGCCTCGATAGCGACGAAATACCATCTGATGAGGACGAAGAGATGGATGATGAGAATGGAGGGTTGGTAAAGAACAATGGGACGAAGGCAGACGAGAAAGATTCGAACGTCGCGCAACCTGCCGCCGAGGATGACGAGGATAAACCAAATTACAGGGTTACGACGGACGCCAATGGGGGAGTGAGATATGAATACGATGAAATAGACCCTGTCTATGATTCCGACGATTCAGATGCGCCTGTTACTACTAACACAATCGGGAATATCCCGTTGTCGTTCTACGATTCCTACCCCCACATTGGATATGACATCAATGGCAAGAAGATTATGCGGCCTGCGAAGGGGGAGGCACTGGATGCATTGTTGGATAGTATAGAGGTGCCGAAGGGATGGACTGGTCTTACGGACCCGGCCACAGGCAAGCCTCTCAACCTAAGCCAGGAGGAACTGGAGATTCTGCGGAGGATACAGGCAAATGAAGTGCCTGAGGAGGGTTATGACCCATATCCCGTGAGTCCTTCCCTCAGTATTACAATAATGCATGCTAATGTCATAGGCTACGGTCGAGTATTTCACGGGTATTGAGGAGGTTATGCCTTTGAGCGCTGCCCCTGAACCAAAACGACGTTTCCTTCCGTCGAAACATGAAGCGAAGAGAGTAATGAAGATTGTCCGTGCCATACGGGAAGGAAGGATTTTGCCATACCGACCTCCGGAAGAACGCGAGGAAGAGGAGGACGAGGAAGTCCACTATGATATCTGGCAAGACGAGCAACCTCGGCCAGAGCATGTCATGAACATTCCAGCACCGAAGATGGCTCCACCAGGATATGATCTGAGTTACAACCCGCCTCCTGAATATCTCCCAACCAAAGCCGAGAAACAAGCTTGGGAGTCGACCGACCCGGAAGACCGAGAGAAAGAATACTTACCTACCGGATACGATTCGCTTCGAAAGGTTCCAGCGTATGACAGATTCATTAAAGAAAGATTTGAGCGGTCGCTGGATTTGTACCTGGCACCACGAGTTCGGAAGAATAGACTTAATATTGACCCGGCATCTCTACTTCCAAAACTGCCACGACCTGAAGAGCTGAAGCCTTTCCCTACGGTTTGCTCTACTCTCTTCCGTGGTCATGAAGGTCGGGTGCGAAGCTTAGCTCTTGATCCTTCTGGAACTTGGCTGGCAAGTGGTGGTGATGATGGTACAGTGCGTGTTTGGGAAGCATCAACTGGCAGACAAATTTGGAGTGCGAAGATTGGCGACGAAGATGCGGTTGATGCCGTTAGATGGCGACCAGGAAGAGAGGCAGTAATTCTATCTGCAGCTGCCGGCGAAGACATTTACCTCATTGTCCCCCCTATAATGGACCCTGAGACTGAGACGATCAGCCGAGAGTTGGTGGATGCAGGATTTGGATACGCAACGAACGCAACTCAACCGCTCACAGCAAATGGTCAACGGAAGGACCCGGTCGCGAAGTGGGCTCGTCCTGGATCCCGTCTTGAGGACGAAGGCGTCCTGCTCAAGATTACAGTGCGAACAACAGTCAAGGTCATTAGCTGGCACCGACGTGGAGATTTCTTCTCCACGGTTTCCCCGACCGCACAGAGAAGCGCTGTTGCTATTCATACTCTCTCGAAGCACCTCACACAAATTCCTTTCCGCCGTCTTCCAGGTCTTCCTCAGACTGTCCAATTCCACCCTTCACGCCCTCTCTTCTTTGTTGCTACTCAACGTACAATCCGAAGCTACGACCTCCAGAAGCAAGAACTTGTCAAGATCATTCAACCCGGTGCTCGCTGGATCTCTTCGTTCGATATCCATCCCGGTGGAGACAATCTGATTGTCGGTTCTTATGATAGACGTCTATTGTGGCATGATCTCGACCTTTCTACTCGACCCTACAAGACTATGAGGTTCCATCAGAAAGCTATTCGAGCTGTGAAATACCACAAAGGAGGCTTCCCACTTTTCGCAGATGCTAGTGATGATGGTAGCTTGCAAATCTTCCATGGCAAGGTTGTCGGTGATATGATGGAAAATGCAACGATTGTGCCAGTGAAGGTTCTCAAGGGTCATAAGGTGAAGAACGCCTTGGGCGTTATGGACATTGATTGGCATCCAAGGGAGCCATGGTGTGTTAGTGCTGGCGCAGATGGGACTTGTCGTTTGTGGATGTGAGAGCAAAGGCTTCTATATATTGTCCATATCATTTGGAGTTATTGGATAGTTAGATATCATTGCAGCTAAAGTTGAGCTTACTGCTCGAAACTCTGAACCATCAAGAAATTTCTCTAAGAAATCGCTCCTTCTGAAAAATTTCAAGGTATTTCCATGTCAGATGGTTCCTCCCTTGGTTCAATTCTCTTAGGATCTTGGCGTCTTGCTGCCTGTTGTTTTATGCCAGAGCAGATGAATGGCGCTGTATCCATTCATCCGTCTCTCACCCCGACGGAAGCTTGGAAATCGGTTAGCAGACACGGTAGCTAGGTACATACGGGGTACATGACTAGTCACATATCAATGCTATCTACCTTACCAACCTATCAACGTACTCGTATGTCTCGAGAGCAATGAAGCCTTATTTGGACCTCAAATATCCAACCATTTGATCCCCTCCCGAAATCCCATCATCTTCCGCTCTATTAGCTCCCTGTAACACGGCTATTTAATGACGCGCTATGTGGACGGTTGGGCGGTGCGATTTATAATCGTAACCAAAGAGAACAACCCCTCAAAATTGGAAATCTAGCAGCAAGGCCCAGAGCGGGGTACGGTCATACGGAAAGTATCTATTATTATATATTATATATTGTATTACTATACAAGCCCAAAAAATTCCTGTACAGACAACTCAATTGTTTTCCCGTCCCATCAGAGAGAAAAAAAGAAAGGCAGATAAGACAGCCTGAGATTCCCCAAGATGTCGAACTTCCCGAAGTTAGTCCCTGCGTTCACGGCTCAGGTAAGTGTCATTCATTCATTTATTGACCCCGCTCCCATCTCTATTGCCATGCGATCAATCAAAGTACAAGATATCGTCTCTTTTATTTCATTTCGAGAAGGGAAACCCAATCCAAACATTTGTCTCTTTTTCTTCTCTTCTTTTCAGCAATTGACTAGCCCTCCTCCCAGATCGTCCTCGATGCTCCCGTCGCCATAGGACAGGTCTCCAGCGGCACCATCAACGCCGCAGCCCCATTCGCAACTGATGGATTCCTACGATCCGTGCCTGGCTACCCGGTCAAGGTCGATGGGGTCTTTGCCCATGGCTCTGATTACATCCGGCAGGATCCGTCGGGGAAGCAGGCACGTCTCGAAGTCAACAGTATCGTGAAGGATAAGAGCGGCGCCGTCATCAACTACAAGTACACGGGGATCCTGAACGTTACGCCCGAGGTGGGCGCCATCCTGAGCGGGAGTCCTGATGCGAAGACTACGGAGTTTGGGGATGCTTGTAAGTGATTGAGATGCTGGCCGCTCTTTGTCGTGGTGAGGCCGACTGATGGGATGATATATAGTCACTCAGATACTCTTCCAGACTGGTGCAGAGGAATTGAAGGCCATAGAGAGCAAGGTATATGTAGGAAGTGGCAGGTTCATTATTGAAGCTGGAAAACCTCCCGTGGTGGAATATTTAATCAGCGAGGTCACGGCTTGATATCGAGAGAAGAGATACCGCGTATACTATATGGACTACGGCTACCTGAAGACACATTTGGTTAGTTCGCTAGCATCCAGTAGTATCTATTAAAGTGCTTCCATTTCTTCGACTACCTATGGATGGGGCAATCTACTACGTTGAAAGCATGCTATGCCTTGTGAAATCACAAAACGCCATGTCGAGTATCCCTGCTGAGCAATGCTGGTATCACTCTTCGAAACCACGCAAGAAGACTCGTTATTTTCATTCCAGAAGCAAATCTGATCATGCGAGAAATTTCATGCCATCATCAATCCCATCTTGGTCGATCTCGTCAAATCAAATTCGCCGTGCTTTCCAACCTTGCATGCTTGTTTCGCTCACTGAGTGACTCCAGCAAGCTGAAGAAGACGCTCTCCCGCTCGAATATTGGCGAAGCCGTATGCTTTTGAAGTCTTTGGGAATGTTCCATTGGCCGCCCAAAGGTCGATCAAGGGTTGCATTGGCTCCAGTTCGTTAGGTTTCAACATGTCAATCTCCGTGGCCGTAAGAACAAAATGACTGAAGCAACTGTTCATGCTCTTTTCGAGATTGAGATGATAGTAAGGATCGACGAAATGGGCCCAATAGAGATGAGCGTAGACACGGAACATTTGTCGGAAGATAGTTTGGCAGACCTCAACAAATTCAGGTGGGAAACCACTGCTCTTGCCAATCCAATCGCCCTGGCCAGCGAGTTGAGAAAGAGAGACGTTCAAAGTAGTCGGGCCAGCTGGGATAGGCGTGTTTGAGCCAGGAGTGTTGAGACCGCCCGATGCATAGGTCGCGCTTGAAATCTCGGGGGCGGCCGTGTTATGTGCAAATGAAACGCCAGCCGGATCAGTTGGGAAGATGTTGGTGTTATCGATCTTGCCAGAAATCCAACGCTGCATGAGCGAGATATATTCATGAGCAGGGACCTCAACAGGCTCCTTGCGCGAGTTCAACCAAGTGAAAGAGTGGTTTCTGTATCGCAGCAAAGTCAGATAGATTTCGACGCGGGTGATCATAGAGACTTACGCGCTAGCAGACATGCGGGGGCAAGTTTGGGAATTGCAAATCGAAGTTCCATTCTCCTCTTTGTCATGGACGACGCGGACGAAATTCCACAGGTTGCGGTAATGCTCAACGACTGTTGGACATTGTGTTAACGGAGCTACCCTGCAAACGCAACTTGAATGCCCTACCTTGGTGAGCAATCCACTCGCCTTGCTCTACGGTCTTCGGGCGAGCTGATAGGGTCATGAAATTGCCTTTGACGATGTGCTGCGCGTAGGCATTATTGAGCCACAATGGCAAAGGACGATGAAGATTGTACACTGCAAGTGGGTCTCCATTGGGAAGACTGGCAGTGGAGTCATTCAAAGAAAGGGTCTGCGATAGAGAAGGTGAGTTCGGGAGCGGCGGTACTCTCGGTGCCAGGCTGGCAGAGGAAGAGCTGGCCTGAGAGGCAGTTTGCGAGCCTGCTTGCGAAGTGGCTTGAGAGGAGGCTTGAGAGGGGGCTTGAGGAGGGCCTGTAGGTGATGTTGGCGATGCTCCATTTTGGCCTCCCGGGGCTTTGGTGCCGTTGTTCTTACCACCGCCTCGGAAGCGGCCACTACTGTAAAGAAAGATATATTAGCAAAGCTTCATAGATCAGCTCTAAAAGCAACGGGGTCCACAGAACAAACAAAGCAAAGAGTAGGAGCCAGTTTACTCCCAAAACAACAGCGCCCATGAGGACAACGGTCGCCCTGAAGGCAATAACCACACGTCTCTTGAAAGTATCCATGATTGAGGCTACTAACGTGCTAGATCTGGATCTGCGCTGTGGAAGTCACTCGACTTGAGGGATTCTGATCTAAGATATGAACGTCCTCGAAATGTCGAGCGCCGAGACACTAGTCAAGCTGCAATCAAGCCGCAATCAAGCCACGGTTCCTTCAGCAAAAGATCTACTGGAGGGAAACATAAAGTCTTCTCATCCAAAAACACGACAACACAACAACTACCAACGTGACTGCAAACTTGAGAACCAAGCCACATACATCCCTGAAAATAGGTTGGACATCTTGTGCAGAGCTGTTTGCTCCCAGTATTTCTGGCAATTAGGTGAGTGTCAAGACGCTTCGCCGACAGTTGCAGTCGGAGACGGTCCTGTTATGGTCAAGAGGTTGGAAGAAAGAAGCTGAGGTTGTGAGAAAGAATAGGGGATCCAGGTACTCAATAGAGCTTAGAATAGCTCTGCCGCTCCTCGCGTACAAAGGCGGTGTCTGAGTTGGGGCCTTGTCGCCTCATCTGGTCGCCTGATCGCCTGAGGCATGGAGATGGCTTTGGGTGTATCTTCATTCATCTCAGCGTTCCTTTCAGCCATTCTGTTCGTCTTACTCGTCGGCGGATTCTTCTTCTATCTTGATCGAAGAACTCAAAAAGTGTAAGTGAACAATTTCTTATATCATTACTATCAGACTATGAGCCTCAAAGCATTGGCTGACCGTTTACAGCGCTCGCAACCAGAAGTACGTCGCGAAGAAGCGCGCATTTAAACCCGTGTTGAAGAAATACCACGGAGCTCCCCGTAATACTCGAGGCTACCGGGCCATTTAAAGCAGGCGCAATTTTTGGTTTCGAGCCATACACTGCCTACAACCATGGCTTCCGCTTCTGAAGACGACGTGATGGAAGATGCAGGCGACCTCGATGATGACTTGTTTGGCTCTGAAGCTGAAAATCCCGATGCTGGAGTGCGCGGGTTGAGTGACAGAGAGTTAGATTCAGGAGACGATGAAGACAGAAATGATAGAGCTCCCGAGAGAGACGCCGAGGAGATCGATCATGATTCACAAAGAAATGCGCGTGTTCTGGACTCAACAGTATGGAGGCATCCATTACCAAAGCCTTCTGACGGAGAGGTAATATGGTATCTTCCCAAGAGTCAGACCCAAGCTTACACACTGCAGTTCAACACTTTACGACTACCAAAGTTTCTCGGCATAGAACCGCGTCCTTATGACCCCGAAACATTCGAATTGCCTGTATCCGATCATCACACAAATACAAAATCCGCAAACTTTTCTGCGAGTGCTGTTGCTAGTTCTACTATGCGCTACCGAAAGAACCCATCCACTGGCAAATTGGAGAGCAATACCGTTGTATACAGATGGAGTGATGGGAGCACAACAATCTCAGTCGGTGACCAACACTACGAATTGCAGACTAAGCCTCTTGCACCACCAAAGGATAGTAAGACATATCAAGAAGTACAAGATTCGCACTCATACGTCGCTTCCCCCTCGATTGCATCTCAGTTGTTGGTCATGGTTGGCCATATGTCAAATCAGTACACCGTTAGACCGAACAAGGACATTGAAGATGATGCATTAGAGAAACTGCAAAGAAGCTTAGCAGCTGCTACTCGAGGAGGCAACAAGGGAGATGATAAGAGTGGTCCCCAAGTGATCACCAATACCCAAGATCCTGAGCTACAAAAGAAGAGGGCAGAGATAGCTGAGAAAGAAAGACTGAAGGCTCAGCGCCGCCGCGAGACTGCAGCTGAAAAAGCGAGCTTGCCACGACGTCCAGGTGGTGGCTTGAGCGTGGAAGATTTGGAAGGCCGCGGAGGGTCAAGGGCTTCTGGATCGGGGCGTAAGCCTCCAGGTGCTAAACGCCCAAGAAGAAGACCAGAGTACGATTCAGACGATGATCTCCCACGAGGCAGAAATAGGGAGGACGAGTACGACAAGGAGGATGATTTCCTTGCTTCCAGCGACGAGGATCTTGAAGAGGGAGCGGAAGACGAAGATGAAGAAGAGGAAATGGTTGACGACGAGAGCGAAAGAGAGGAGCCAAGATCCAAGAAGCTGAAGTCATCCAAACCGGAGGAGTCGAGCGATGCTGATGCTGACGCTGAAGCGGACTTGGACGACGAGGCACCTCCTCCCCCAGTTACCAGCGAGTCTACTGGTGGTAGAGGCAGAAAGCGTAACATCATTGAGGATGATGACGATGATGAGTGAGCAGAAATGGAGAGGGACACGTATCTGGCTGCGCATTATGCTGGAGCCAAGAAGCTCTTGTTGAACCGGTCATTTTTCTGAAAATACCCCATGGCATATGGGTAGCGCATCAATGTATAAGTAGAACAGACACGCAAAAAGTTCAGGCGTGGTTAATACACGCTTTCGTATGGGAGAACGAATAAAATGGCAGCCAAACTCCAAATACAGCTGATATCTTATAAAATCTCGAACTAAGGTGTTTCTTGTCTGTCAGCGTGAAATTTCCATCGTATTAACGGCCGGTATAAAGCGCATTGACTGGATGGACTAGTCCGTACTATACCTACATACCCGAAAATCCGGGGAAGGCAACCTTGAGATCGCGTCACATGTCAGGGATTTTATTCCCCTCTCCTCGTCTTTCGTTTCCAACCGTTCAATCCGTACCTCATGACCTCAAGTATGATGTCCGGCCTCCACGGTCTTTATAAGTTGTAACTAATTGATCCCTTCGACAAGATTTCAAGATGGCAGGGCTATTGACGGCCATCTGGAGAATGCTCTGCGACGTGCTGCTGTTCTGGCAGACTGTGAGTCTTCATCTTATTCGTCCAATCGAAAGTTGCTGACTCCCTTCTAGAGATTCTTCAGGTGGTTGACGCGCAAAAGGCCTGTGGAGGTGTGGTTCGATATTCTTAGGGATGCTAAAACTTACGAGGAATGGGAGGAAGCAGCTTTCCAACTCGATGTCCTCCTAGGCAATGATTTATGGTATGGATGAAGCACTGTGGCTAAGGGCAAGTGTTCTAACATACTTTATTCTAGGCGGCAGAATCCAACGTCGAAATACTACGATTATCGACTGATCCACGAACGTCTCCAATCGATTATAATTGCACGGGAAGAAGGGAATATACTACAGCTGGTCAACCTCCTGCGGTCTGGTCTCGTGCGAAATTTGGGCAATATCTCCGCACCTCGTCTATATAATCGGGCGTTTGCCGGGACAAAACTTTTGATCGAGGACTATATCACACAGGTCGCACAAGCAATTACGGAAGTTTCAAAGCTGCCTACATCCCCAGGACCTGATGGCAACGGTGTCATACCCGGCTTTAGCAGCCAGTCAAAATTGGATCTCTTACACGACACAAGACAAGCTTTTGGGAGAAGCACATTAGTTCTCCAAGGGGGAGCAATCTTTGGTCTTTGCCATCTAGGGGTAGTGAAAGCCCTATTCGCCCGGGGACTGCTACCAAGGATCATTACTGGAACAGCGACAGGGGCACTGATTGCAGCTTTAGTGGGTATACATACCGAGGACGAGCTACCGAAATTCCTTAGTGGTGAGAGCATTGACCTCTCTGCTTTCACCGGCAAGAGGAGGAAAACCAGGGTAGAAGGTGGGGAATCAAGCCCTGAATTCCTCGATGGCTGGTGGGGTACATTAAAAAGGAGAATACGGAGGTGGTTCCGGGAAGGGTATTTCCTAGATGTCACCGTTCTGGAAGACTGCGTTCGGGCAAATGTTGGAGATTTGACCTTCGAGGAAGCATATAATCGAACGAAGCGGGTGCTCAACATCACAGTGGCAACAACAGGACGTGGAGGGGTGCCCAACCTCCTTAATTATTTGACGGCCCCTAATGTCGTATGTAGAAACCAACAGTTGCTAAGATATGAAGCTGACGATAATAGTTGATCTGGTCGGCTGCAGTTGCTTCCAACTCATCCTCCTCGTCCTTATATGGACGCTCGATTACTTTGAAATGCAAGGAGCCATCTGGAGCCGTCGTACCATGGGCGGCAGCCTCGGAAACGACATTTCGCCCATGGACTCATGCCTCATACACCGATAGAGACTCGCCATTAGCTCGAGTCGCGGAACTATTCAACGTGAACCATTTCATCGTCAGCCAAGCCAGACCATATATAGCACCGTTCCTCCGAAGTGATATGCATGGCCCTTCACCACTCTACACGCGGGGTGGGCGAACTTCGTTAACCGGGGGGCTCCTTCGACTCGTCACTATGGAAATCCATCATCGTCTGCAACAGCTAGACAGTCTTCAGCTCCTTCCTCTGTCGATAAGACGTTTCCTAGTTGATGAACAGATTCCCGCGCCGTCTGTGACCCTCGTTCCTGAGTTGTCTGCTGGTGATTTTGTGCGGCTACTTGAAACACCGACACAAGCGAGTCTGGACTACTGGATTCTTCGAGGAGAAAAGAGTGTTTGGCCTGCTGTGGTTGCACTGAAGGTCAGATGTGCGATTGAATCAGAGCTTGATCGTGGATACCAATTCGTGAGGAGGAGAAAAGCGAACGGTTTGAGGAGGCGAGGCAGTGCAGTTGATACTGCTAACGAGAAAGAAGAGAGAGAGCGAGAACGTGCTAATAACGTTGGCTCGAAATGGTAGATGTTCGATTCAAATACAAATCATTGGGCACTCGACAGCGTTATCTCAGACGTGGAGCATGGAATATGCACGGAACACAAGGGGGCTGCATTCGTATATGCAATGGATCGGAGTCTAACGAGGGAGGCTACGACTCCGCAAGGCTGAATGAGTTATTAATGCTTGAGCTTTGCCGAGGCACGGCCTTGTCGGCCCACCACCCCGGACAAGGCTAGAAGGTCGACACATGCAAATACCGGGGAAGGTGGAGGATCAGCTGAAGCGTGAAGGGAAGACGAACATCTGACGTGAGATGCGGCTCCAAAAGAGAAGATGAGCGATACCGGATTGAGGGGGCTGTGCGACAGCCACGGGTTTCGGCGTCACCCGATCTCTGAGATGAGCTTCATGTATTCATGTAGTGCTTATGAGCCAAGTCGGATAGGCGTGGTATAGTCCGGCCACCACGGGAACGTCACCATTGCTAAGCCGCTGCTCGGTGTCTATCTACATGGCTCGTCAATCTCAATCGGTGCCCGAAGCCGAGGTGTGACAATGAGGAAGCCGAACACTTACGAGTGATATTTCATCATTACCAGCTTGGCGACATCTACTCGGTGTAAGCACATGTCAGCCTAATTGGTATCAAAGAGCTCTGCGGGGTGTTGCGAAATCGACAACAATAGCCGCTGTCTCAATAGCCGTGATCCTATTATTGCGTCGATTGTACCCCAAGTACCACGTGAAACGCAGTGAGCAGTTCATGAAATATGGCGACCTCATATGCGAGCTTGCCGTTGAATCCTTCGCGAAATACAGTCTGAAGTCCCATACTGTCCAGTCCAGAAGTGAGGCAAAACAACGCTCCTCAAATGATTGGGTACGGTACAGCCGCATCTTGAGCTTGGAGACGGGAATGTACAAGGGTATTCTGCACAGTATGCCGAGTGCGGCAGAGACTGTCAGTATGTCAGGCTTGGAACTGTCAAGCCCAACCCGCGCTCTGCATGCTTGGGCGAACTGGACGAGGACACGATCCCAATGGTCGCTTTCCTTGGGAAATGGGAATGTTCGCAGTCCGATCTTCGGCTTGGTTACATCCAGATGATCACATATTGCCATATCCAGCTTCCTCTTCCTACTGCTCCGCCATCAGTGCAAAGCGGCATTATCAGGTCAACGTGTTTCCCTTTATAAGTATAAATGCAACCTTCTGACCTCTACCTCTCTTTCTTTCATCAACAAAGCGAAGCTATCCCATTTCTCAGCCTTGTTCCGACGCTGTATCCTGACCCCTGCAATCACTACTGCTTTCTCTTTCTTCAGCGTTACACACAATCGCCAACCTGTCTTCTCTGTTGGTCAGCCTTGTTATTCGCCCGTATATTCCCTGGCATCTACGAACCAGAGGGGTGTTCAATATGGCGCAATACCACCGCTTCAAAGAAGATCGTGAGCAATGCGAACGAATCGATCAATGGGAGTGTCTTAAATGCTTTAAGACGACCTCAGCCTCGCGCCCTCCCGTCTTCAACCCCGACAATTGTAGCTGCGCTGAAGCAGGCTCGCTCGCCGCTGGCATCGGTGGCCCACCGCAAGCAACAGCCTTCGATCAGGCCCGCTACCCCTGCGAATCTCCAGGAGCAGCATGTCACTATGCAGCGCAATCCTACGCCTCCTCGTCCGTGTCCGCCAAATGCCCCGAGGGACCTGAGCGTGAGCTCCCCGATATCGAAGTTGCCGACTCGATAGGCTCTGAATCCGGGCTCAGCGAAGTGCAGCATCGACGCTCGGTCTCCGCACCTTCCGACATGTCCTTTCAGATGCGGCGCTTCCTTTTCGAGCAGGATTACGACCAATCGAGTTGCATCGTCGAGCCTGCCTCGTCCGAGATGAGGTTCCTGCAGCAGGATATCTTCATCCAGTCCGAGAACACTCAGAAGAAGAAGAGCGAGAAGAGCAAACAAACTTACCAGAGCATGCTGAGCTCCATGAGCAGCGACGAGTATTTCGTCGGCTGCGACGTGGATCCTATGTCAGGGGTCGGCTCCTGGGATGATGGAGGAGGCTACGTGTGCTGTGGTGAAGGATATCCGTTGTCGATGAGTGGTCTGGTGGAGGATCTCTCGGAGTGACCATGATGGATGATGACGACTGCTACGATTAAGACGGTTGGGATTCTGGCGCCTGGTGTTTTCTTGACATCTGAACACTCGTTTTGCTTTGTATAAGGTAAGTGTATGATGGATGGTATTAGATTGGCATACTGAGTGCCCGCCGGCGTTCTGCGTTACTCTTTATGGCTATTAGCATTTCCTTGGTGTATCATACATATATTCTAGTGAGTACATGGATATCCTGGGTCCTTGAATCTACTTTCGAGGGTTGGTTAAGACGCTAGGTATCACGGGCGACCGTTTTCGATTTCGAGACTTAGCACTCAGTGTTTGTTTGTATTGTATATTGAATGAGAATTCCAATACCTTCCATATATCATATCTTAACATCTCATCTGGTCTGATGGCCTGTACCCGATGAAACCCAAACGGATTGGTAGTAAATATATCCAAAGTTCCATATACAGAAGACTCTCATAGCACCTTCCTTCTCTCCATCACCATCTTATATAAAGCGCATCTCTAGGATCCTGAGAATCAAATCAAACCGAAGTAATAGTTGATTCGAACATTGCATTATGGTGCGATTTTAAACATCCAGTAATCGGTACGGATTCTTTGACTTCCAAGCTTTCGAATGAGATGAAGAGATACATACCCCCACCTTCTACATACGTCGAAGCTAGCAATCTAACCAAAAAGCGTAGTTTTGCTTTCAATGACTCTTTGCTCGACATTCCATCAGGTAGCTACTCTCAAATCCCAAAGACAAAAAAATAAAAATAAAGATAAAGAGAGGTTGACAAAAAAAAGAAGAGGGGGGAAAAAACAAAAAAAACATACAACAGCAGGTATTCGCTGGTGGTCACCCACCCAACTACTAATCTGCCGATCTAAGGCTTATGTATGGCAGAGCGGACGGGATGCCCAGTTCTCCTTAGTCTGTGGTCGTATGTACTTGGTTTTCTTCTACTTTAAATCATATATCAATAGCCTACCTACTCTGTACTCCGTGCTTAGAATATGGCAATAGCAAGCAAGCGGGAATCCCCTCAACCACCCCCCCTACCTTAGGAATTTCTCAACTAGGTAGATCATGAACTCCCATCATCTATTTTAGAAATCCGGATTTTGGACTCTTGGCTCACAAACTGTTTCTCGGATTTCTGGAAGGCGATTTTTTATCTAGCCAATTAGCTAGGTATCTATCTATCTATCTGCTGATTCTTGTAACTTGGTGATTGGGATCATGTATACTTTTCAAAATGGATAGGTATGGCTGTGTATATCGCAGCTACCTACCTGGGTCGCCACGGACTTAACTTGACTTGACTTGTCGAGCTTTTGATACGTATCACAAACAGTAGTTCTCTTACGAAAAGAAAAAGAGATACGGGAGAGAAGATGCTAGGATTGATGAGGTTTATCTATGCAGGGACATAGAACATGACTATCGTGCCGTGATTTTTTAGGAGTTCGGCTTCAGTGGCTGTGAGCGGCTAAGGAAGAGGCTGCGTAGGTAGCAAGACTCTATTATCTGCCTTGGTACTGTAGCATGAAAACCCTTGGGAAGGTCCATATTCGCATGTTCAGGTGATGTAGGAAGCCTTTTGGTAGTTCGCCATGTCCTATTTTTAACAGTGCATATGTTACCTACTCCGTACTCTCGAAACACGAAGACTCCTTTCCGCCTCCCTGCAACCCGCCCTCATACAATGAAATACATTCTTCCTTAAGAGGAGTGTGGCAGATACTTCGTTCGTCAAATTTACATTCAAGAGATGACGCTTATGCGCTTAACCTCCAAACCCGATCTCGTCTTCCCACATAAAAAAATCAAACCGTCAATATCAACTCCGCCCAATGCAGGGCTTCCCGCTCCCAATTTTCTGGCCATGTTTCCAATATTTATCTTTAAACGTCCATCATCTTCATTCGACTTTTAGTACACTTTCTTTTTCTCGTCGATACTGTATTTGCCAGGTCCGCTGTTCACAAGCAGCAGAAGTCCCCCGACAATAGACAGGATCTGGAAGAAATCGTATTTGGCAAAATCTTTGTGAGGGTGGTGCTCGTGGAGCTAGGAAGAAGATCAGCCATGTTTCTTCACCGAGGAGCGATTCAAACTTACCGTCCAGAAGTTGTTGACCAATAGGTTGAAAATGCTCAAGATGACAACCAACATGATCGCACTGAATTTTGCCTTGAAGCCCACGACAACCATGACACAAGCCACGAAGCCAAAGAGCGCCACAATGATTCTCCAAATGCTCCATTTCCCGCTAAACACGAACCCAATGAAAAGGAAAATCAGCAAAACTCTACCAGCAAGCTGGAAGTACATTTTGCGGTCTTTCTCATCGATCGAGGGTAGACCGGCGAAGGCCTTCGATTTGCGGACCCAAGAGTCGGAAAGAACCATCAGCAAGCCACCCATAACAGACAGATTGCGTAGAAAGAAGTTCAGGTCGAAGATGAGTCCATATCCAAGCGCTTGGGTGACAACAACGCCAATTAATCCAGCAACCGCGTAATCAGAGTATTTCCGCGTAATAACGAGAGTCGAGCAAGTGAACATGGCGATGACATTGCTGAGCAGGAATAGGTGGGTGATGCCGGACGGAACTGCAATTGATGGGTCAGCTCTATCTCATTGGGAGCAAAACAGCAGAAATTACACACTCTTGCGGTAGTCATGTAGATATATTAATTGGTCGCTCCATTGTGTCAGAATTCTGAGCGCATCCTCCAAGAAAGTCACAACGATGAGGAAACGGCCAATTGCTGGTAGGTATCTGCAAGAGGGAGGTGTTAGCAACGGGTCTACGAGATGCTCTGCTCGCAGATATCGATTGGAAGAATGACAGGGACTGCTGTCTTCGAGGACAGTGTTTGTCTATGACGGGGGCGAACATACGGCTTGACTGGATCGCTCAGAGTGTCCAGGAAGTCTTCGATCTTGCTGGTTTGCTCCCTGATCGCGTCAAGGGGACTTGGATCGCTATCCATATCTCCTCTGCTGGGCGCGCCAAACGCGTTATGATTCGACAGGTTATAACCTGCTGTTCCGCGGATCTGGGCCATCTTGAGCAATCCACGTAGGACACTGAGGGATGTCGGGGGTTGATGGCAAGCGGCTATCGGGGAGCCAGAGGGAGGTTGTAGTGCCGGGTTGATGGTTGATGAGAGATTCTCTCAATGCGGTTCAAGGGAACAAAGAAGTAAAAATGTGTCGGTAGTGGTGCATCTGTGGATTTTAAACTTCCACTCAATAGCTGCTTTTGCATTCGGCAACAGGTGTCCTTTCCGGGAGCGAGGGGCGCAAGCGGGTTGGATGATGATGGTAAGCGCGCCGCCCGGCTGTCAGGATTGAAGAAGCCCTTGAGCCTCTCTCTCAGCCTCCGATCCTCTACGTATTTTTGGGCGCGAACCAATGGCTCTTTATGAAGGGACGCTTGGCCTCGTTCTCTTTTGCCTCTTCCTGCCCTTTTTCTCTGTTCGAAGAAAGTCGGAGTGATCCTGAGAATTCTGGAAGGAAGCCGGGCTGAAAGAGGATTGAAGTTCTCGAGCATACAAATATAGATACGGAGTCGAGTTAGCTCCTCATCCTTAACACAAGTTCGACTGCACGGAGTAAGGTGCTAATAATAATTAATTAATTGGTACCTGACTTTTATAAGACCAAATTCGATAGACTTGGATCTCAAGGCTCATCCTAATATCCTATAGCCCAGTAGGGTCTTGGAAATCGGCATGGCACTAGGCGTACCTATGTATAAGGTTATTAAGCTTTAAGGTCCCCTTGCACCGAAATGGCTTCGACCCCGTATTTCCAAAAGACAATAGTAACACTTCTTTTGATTTATAAGGAAGGCCTAAATGCACGAGATCATCTCCTTTAGATTTTCGTCCCTTTCTCTTATGATACAGGGTGTTATAAGGTTATTATCCCAAGCATATAAAAGTGGGCCAATATTTCGATACTTTATTAGAACCTGCATGCTGCTGGTCTTACAACTACTGCGATGGTCGTAGGTATTCTAAAGGGGGTCTGTCCACTGAACATATAGGGGTGATAGGCTGAGCCGAAAGGAATTTCATTCCCAGGATCAACACGGTTATCCAACAAGTAGTAGCCAGCTCTAAAATCCGATATGCCTTGGAGAGATTCCTCATGCAAGACAAGACAGGTGGAAGTAGCATTCGAAGCAGGCATCGAGGTTCTTGGGCAATTCGTATGCATGGTGGACCGAGCTTGTGTGATAATACAGATAGGACTCGGAACTGTCAATATTTCCACGGACACTGTTTTAAGGATACAGTTTCTTTGATAGCATTTGCCATAAAAGACGTTGGCACCGTCATGGCACTGAGCCAGGGGCACATTGTGGAGAGTTGCAATTTAGCTAGAACTGGGTGACCCAATGTCCAAAGGTTCAGACTACGCGGCAACTTGACTCTATTCCACCACCGGGGAAGAGCGTTCCCTCTAATATCCTACACCACCAAACGCCTAAACCGCCCCGAACTGCCAATGTCCAGACACAAGGCAGCTCATCGCAGGCTGTTCAGATCTAAAGGAACACTGCTACCACGTCCCGCACGATACTTCTTTGGCCGTCCAACGAAATCTCTCGGCTTGGGGAATTCGGACTCGTCCTGGAATTTCCATCTTGAGTCGTTTATGACGACTCTCTTCGAAGAGTCTGAATTCCTAGTGGGACTAGGGTTTTTGCTGACCCCGTTTGATGATAATGTATAGGAGCTTGCATCCAACATTGATCTCCCTGGCTGCGGGGTATGTGTTTGTTGCCGAGAAGTTGGTGGCGGCGGCGCAGAGGATGGTGCTGGGGGTGCACTTGGAGGGGGAGGAGGTGGGGGAGGAGGTGCAGCAGCAGAAGATGCCTGTCCTGCAGCGCGAATGGCTGCTTGCACAGCTAGGTTGTGACCAACACTACTAATATTTGCAGAGGGCGGAGAAGTCGGTGGAGGTGGGGGAGGTGCTGTCGAACGAGTAGATCCATTTACTGGAGGTCGAGGCGCTGATGAAGGTGGAGGCGGTGGTGCAGCTGGTGGGGGTGGAGCAGCAGCCGGCGGAGGTGGGGGAGCTGGTGGAGGGGGAGCAGATGATGGAGGCGGCGGTGCTGGAGAAGGGGGAGGCGGTGGTGCTTGTGGAGCAGCGGGTGCCGACGCTTTGCGCATCCCAGGTGGTGGTGGTGGCTTTTTGCCAATCGGAGGAGGGGGCCCTTTTAACGAAGCTGCAGACGCAGGTCTTGACACGCCAGGTCCAGCGGTCTTTCGAAGATTTGCAACTGAAGGAATGAACGGGGCCGGTGCTGAGCTCTGGGAGTCTGGTCTCGACACTGGAAGCTTTGGAGCAGGCGCAGTTGGTGGTTTGGGGGCCGCCATCGTAGGTGGCTTTGGAGCAGAGCTTCGTGATGACTCTGGATCTGATGTATATGGGGAATCGGGGTTCGCTGAACGCAGGTTAGCAGACACGCAGATTGGAGAGCTAGAAGGCTCACCTCCTGTATCGATCCCCCCACCTCGTTTCTTCAATTTGGGCATCCCGCCAGCAAAGAGTCCAGCTAACTGTGGCGGTTGCTCTAACCCGGTGACAGCACTACTGTCCCTAGAACCTTGGTCGCTATTACTCCGTGCTCTATTTCCCGCAGGTACAGGTGGCGCAAGTCCTCCAGGTGGTTTTACCATTCCCGGAACCGGTGGAGCCCCTCCTAAAGGTGCCGCTGATGCTCCTCCAGATGTTTTCCCTATCATCGGCGCCGATCGGTCATTTGTTACTGCTTTCTTAAGTTTCGTTCCCTTCGTGATATCAGAGAGAAGTGCGCCCTATAAAGAGTTAGCAACAGGAATTGACTTGCGAAAGCCCAAACCGGAGTCGGGCATAGTTACGACGGGGGGCTTCACCCGGCCAGCTCCTGCCGGCGGTCTGGAGGGCAGGTTCCCAGGTGGCGGAGGGGGAGGGGGAGGACCCCCTCTACCTGGCATTGGCGGCGGAGGCGGTGGTGGAGGCATGGCGGGGTGTTCGGGGTATCAGAGAGAATAGCTGTTCCGGCGTATCGTATGTGGGAGAAACGGGCTCGCGATTGAGACGTGGGTTGTGGATATTATTGAGGCATCAAAGCAATAGTCGAATACCTCCAAGAAGAACAGAGTGCTGAGAAGTGATGATCTGTATCGTATGTATGGCTATGACGCAGGCGCTTAAAGATAAAAGAAGCCTCGAAGCGTCAAGAGAAGAGTTCAAGAATACATGAAGTACGAAGCTCACGATGGATCGTCGTCAGTCCTGATGCGAGGCGCAGGGGCGTTCACCCGTCGAGCCTTGCAAGAAATGTATGTGGTTAGTCAGCTGGCAGGGGGGTAACCACACCACCCTGCATTTCCTTCGGAGCTCAATTCAACGACATCAACATAACAAAACACCAATTGAAGATTTGCCGAAGCTTCGAGATCCTCGCCATCATGTCGAGGCGTGCCTTAAGGTCGCGGACGGAAATATGCCAGCTCTGCGACTTTATGATAACCCGGGGTTCACCACTCAGACAACCAAACCGGCCGCATAGACCCTTCAACTCTCGCAGCTTTACGACAACCAGGAGGCATTATACCCAAACGCTCAAAAGCCCGAACGGCTCGGCACCCTTGGCAACCAAGCGATCATCTCAGCTCGTCGATGCCACGCAAGCACAGGATATAACGGGTAATCTTTCTGAAGACCAGCTCCATCGCGAACTCACGCAGGCCGCTGCGAACTGCACTGCGATAATACATGCAGGCCAAGTCCCTTCGGAGGAAGAGGTGCTACAAGCGCTGAGACGGTGTAACAAATTGGCAGAGCTCGTCGTATCCGAATGGTCGCCTGCACCTCTCAAAAGTGAAGACCGCGCGGCCTCCGCTCTGCTCTCCTTGGACGAATCCTCGACGACGAAGGATCTCCCTCCCAAGCTCCCTGCGTCGATCCAATATGCGATTAACCATTTGTCAGAAGCCGTCTTCAAGCTGGTCGAACATTCTACGGTTTTTATCACGCCGGGAATTTTGGAATTATATGTCAAGATACAGGCCAATCTTGGAAAGCCAGAGACATTTCCACAGGTTTTCGATATGTATGCCAATAAACCTTTACCACAAGAGGGGGGTTCTACTTTAAAATTTAGGAAACCGAACCCGGACAAGGTATCCAACGCTGTTCCTATTGCTACTGCCGATCGTGCTCTCCAGACCGCTATCGATTCTAGACAACTTGGGGTTGCGATGGACATTGTCGAAACCACGTATGCTACCAAGGCATTTCGGCGAGCTAAGTTTGTCCGAAAAGGCCTCCTTCCAACTACGGGTGTAGTGGTGGCCCCTGTGGCCGCATATACGGTTGCTTCACAACTGGCGGTTCTTCAGACGACCATGGATTCCACACTGGCTACAAATATTGCGTTTGCTGGTATCATGGCATACACATTCTTTACCGGTACGATTGGCGTTGTTGCTCTTACTACGGCAAACGACCAGATGGACCGTGTAACCTGGGCACCAGGCATGCCTTTAAGAGAACGGTGGGCGCGGGAGGAGGAGCGGGCAGCAATGGATAAAATAGCGCAAGCGTGGGGCTTTCGAGAGAAATGGCGGAGAGGTGAAGAGGAGGGGGATGATTGGGACGCACTACGGGAGTGGATTGGCGGCAAAGGCATGATACTCGATCGGGTTGAGCTAATGGAGGGGATGGAGTAATTACTTGTAGGTCTAAATATTCTTTTCCACAACGATGCTTCTGCAACCTTGTGCAGTACTCGCACTATTAGATAAGAAGTCTTCTTGGCTTGAACGTCATGAACATTTGTTTTTCCCACAACCTTCCTTTCTATATTTACTTCAATTCCAGAACCTCGCCTACATTTTAGGTGACGTTGTTCACTCTTTTAACAATTCAGGCGACAGCGCTACAACACAATAAACCTATCTATCTGACGCCCATAATTGGATAGAAGAGTTATCAGATCTATATTCACGACCGCGAGGACTCTCGCCGGGAATATACCAGAGCCTTGAATTCGAGTATTGAGGAATCACGTCTCGATTCTGGGTCTTCTACTGCAACAATGGTTCTGGACAAATGCCATGAATATGGGCTCTTGATGCACCACCTTAATCGGGGGCAAGCAGAAGGACTCTTTTGGGGGCTTTTTGGCTTTGTGATTATTCTTCTGATCACGGCGGGACTGGCCTGGACGAGCTCCGAAAGGATCGTAAAGTAGGTCGAACGCTCGCGGCGTGCATTATTATCAAAATCCCAGTTTACTAGCAAGTAGCTGGTCTATAGCGATTCCCCCTTCCTCCCCACCCTTCAGTTTATATATATTGTTTTGGAACGTGTCCCTGACTTACCCGAACAGGAAGATAAAGGAGGCGGAGACGGACCTCGAGAAAGGGTATGCACGCGAGGATCTCGAGCACAAAAAGAAGCAGTTGACCGAGCGCCAGTACATCACCGTGGCCATCACCTCGGTGTCGGCGCTCGCTGCCACGGTTGCGACTATCATGGAGGCCTTCGCGGCGCTGACGCTGGAGTACTGCGATGGTGAGGACCTCATGCAGTTCTACTGGGGCTTTTGGACCCTCATCCAAGTCGGCTCCGTCATTGCCATGATCGGCCTCGCTGCCTACCACTACTACAGCTTGAACGATAAGGACCACCCGCCGTGGATGGTGGCGCTGGGGACGCCGGTGTTGGTCATTGCTGGCCTCGGGCACATGGTGGTTCTGGGCGTGCGGACGGCGTGGAGGAAGTTCAGCGGCTATTCGAAGAAGAAGCAGTCACAGGTCCCAAGGAGGGGATCGTAAGTTCTTCCCGCCCCAAAAAACCATCGCACTGAATGTTGTTTGTATATTGATGTCATTGAAACTTATAGGTCCACCAGCATGATCCTCCGCAGGAGTAATACGTATAAGGCTACGATTCTGGGGTTCAGGAACGACGGCGAGGTCATCCTTCACTTCCCCGACCGGTATTATAGACCGCCGCAGCCGAATGGGACCGAGTTGCTCGGCTTCGATCCGGTGGATGGCGGCCCCATCCTCCTGTATAAGAACGTTTATCCCGAGGCATCGCGAGCAATCTCGGTTTCTAGCGGAGCCATGCGCCAGGTTGTCACAGTCGAGGACAAGGATAAAAGTCCTCCACAACAAGCAGCGGTCCAAGAACATCAACCTTCAACTTCAGGCGAAGCATCGTCACAGGATGCGGTTGGGTCATGAGTGGCCTAATTAGTCTTCTAATTTCTTCTCTTTTTATAAATCGTTGCTGCGTTTCTCGAGGGCCCGATGTGGTATTTTTATATATACACGCCAGGTTCTCTGTTCCAAGTTCTCTGTTCTTGTCACTAGACTCTTCCGGCTCTACCCACTTGGATAATCTCGCCAGTCCGCTGCTCGTCACTTCTCAGGACCGGCCACGAGGTACCATCAGCCTTCACAAAGGTAACCTCCAACTTCGTGCCCATGATCTTGAATGACGACGCTGCCGGATCGATTGGGCCAAACAGGGGAACTACAGCCTTGTACCGCTTCGGTGGGGTATCGGTTGTAGTGAGGTCTAGGGAGAGTTGGTTGGGGGCAAATTCTACTTTTGCTGTATCTTTGTTAATTTTCTTGAGGAAGAAGGACGCGATGGAGGTGGTAGGCGTCTGGTAGAAGTCGTGCCTGAAAAATCCAGGGTTAATAATCATGCGGCAGCCTCTGATATTTGTGAACTTACCGAACCGTCTCCAATACTTCTTCACCCCCCACATTTCCCCCCTTTTTCTTCCCACTCCCAATAAACAGATGCCGGTCTTTAGTCTGGCATCCCTCTATCTTCATGAACTCATCGAATTCCAAAACCTTCCGCTTGCAGCAGGTATAGCCCTTGCTACCTTCATGAAAAATAGGAACCCCAGGATGGAAAACACATTTCTCATTCTCTCTGCTGCCGCCATCGTATTGATGTCCACATGCTCTCCGTCTACATACCTTCCCCTTAGGGATCTCTAAGCTTGGGTCATCGGACTCTGACTCTGGTGGGGGAGGTGGGGGTGTGGCGGTCGGTTGCGCTGCTGAGACGGGAGCCCGTGAAGGCTCAGGAGCGGGAGTAGCAGGCTTGGAGGGGACGGCAGCGTCTGAGGGGTCAACCTCCTTCTTCTCGATAGTCGGCGGGAGGTCGGTCGTCGAGTGCTTGCCAGTTGTGCATGGAGGGATGGAGAGGAATTCATCAAACGTCAGGACTCGTGGCTTGCAGCACTTCCAGCCTGGGGAGAAAGTCAGCAAGAGCTACTACACCTGCGAGTAGATATCTATCCTGGGACTGTTGTCTACCTTTTTGTCCTTCGTGAAAGATTGGGGGGCCGGGGTGATAGTGACATTCCTCCTCGGGGTCTGTGTACATCTTCCCACAAGACTGGTGAACACATTTTTGCGCCATCTTGAACTGACCGTCACTGGCAAAGGGGTGGGAAAGGTTGGGTTTGCGAAGAAGCAATTACGCGATCCAAAAGGTTGAATCTGCAGCGTCGTCCTGGTGTCGTTGAGATCTTAGTTAACCTCAGTACGTATTTCTAGAATGTACCACCACCGATTTGGGGTCGAGAATCTGCCAGCATCGGCCCTCACCGCCCTCGCTAACCAGCTCCATAACCCCGACATCTTCAGGGGGCCGGGCACGCAACAAAATCATACAACTCTTGGGGAACGATTTTGGCTTTTTATTGGCTCGTTCCATAACAACGCCTAGTGAGCGTTATACTCCTTGTACCTGGGAAGGACTTATACCCCGTACGGCGTAGATGCGGCTGAGCTCGTGGCTCACATCAGAGGCAAACAAAGATGCATCCAACATATCGACTGCTGCAACGTGCCTGTCAAATCACGCTCTTCACTCGAGCCAACTGCTCATTGTGCACCAAAGCCAAACAGACATTGTCCAACGTTTGGGATACTCGCCCCTTCTTGTACAAGGAAATCGATGTGATGACCCCGGAAGCAAAAGGCTGGCGAGATCTTTATGAATTCGACACCCCTGTGGTTCGTTCACTCACAGTGCTCAAGTCATTGAGTTTCTTTCGTAGCTAATGTTAGTATTCAGATCCATGTCAGTCGTTCTGAGAAAGGGGAAGAGCTTCCAGAGGCGGCATCCAAGGCAAAGAAGCTCATGCATAGGTTCACGGATGAGGAAGTGAAGGCGGTGATGGATTCTGTGGAGCAGGAATCTATTTGATCAGTGCTGGCCTTGAATTACGGGTCCGATGATTCTCACTCTACAATGTGACATTCCCGGGCTCGGGTCATTTGGCTGACTTTCCCGCGGGTGCTCTCTCACTGACATACGGAGCTCAGCTGATTTGATCCCAAGCATATCTGAATTATAATTATGGGTTCTTCGCCTCTATTTACCATAAGGGCCCGTCAGTTTTGGCCCAGGACCCAGACCCTTTGCCTTATTCAATGCGTCAATCACCCCGGCTGGCAAAACGTGCATGTCCGTGGCTACGCTTATCATATGGAAGCCTTCATCGGCGTATCTTTTGGACTGCTCTCCGGAAGTGCAGAAGATTCCGGCTTTCTTTCCCGCGGCGTTGGCCGCTTTCAGGACTTTCGAGATTGCTGCGTGCAAGTCATCGTGCATATTGCCATTGATAATTGGATGTCCGATATTATTACCAAGATCGAAAGGTCCAACAAAGAGAACATCTATACCTGGAACCGCCGCAATTTCGTCAACGTTCTCGAGCGCTTCCTTGGTCTCTATCTGGACAATTGTGAGGATGGCATCATTTGCTTGCTGCAAGTAGTCCCCGGAGCTTAGAGATGGATGGAATCTCTCCATGGGAAAGGGGCTGCCGAACCCACGGACTCCCTGAGGCGGGAATTTGGCGCTCGACACAAGCTTCCTCGCATCGTCGGCGGTATACAGGAGAGGGACAAGGACACCATGGGCACCCGCATCTAACGCTCCTGTTCTTTATTAGCAATTATCGGAATTTGGAATATTAGGCATTGGTCTGAACTTGCTCTTTACCATGAAACCTTGATTATCTGGAATCCTGACAATGGGACTTACCCCACAAGCTGCTATGGCAGGTACGGCTTCGTGCATCGCGGCATCTATGTACAAAGTCAGATAACGGTTACAAGAGACAGGCACCAGACGTCAGTCCCGTGTGGATCTAACGGCCACTCGTCGACCGAGAAAGACATCATGCTACCCGATGGCGAAGGCCGAAGTTCAAGAGATCTTGGGGGGGGGTATAAGGGAAGCTGGGATTTCCGTCGAGAGAGCGATGGGCCGCAGAGGGGGGTTAAAGAACAGCAGAAGTGAAGCAGAGCCCCCACTCACCGTCCATATTCCCATGTTCGCAGTCGACCAGCACCCAGTCAACTCCGGTTCTAGCCAGAACTCTGGAGACGTTGCTGCCTGGGATCATCTGCCAACACCCCATGGCGGGCGCCTTCCCCTCCTCCAGAGCCACCTTCAGCCGGTTGGCAGCAGCCATGGACGCCATCCTGAAGGACGAGTTATGGGAAGCAGCACAGCCACAATCCTCCTATTCCTAAGACTTGCTTTCGGGTGACTGACTCAGGATGCGAAAGGGGCGTGTGAATGACTTTGGGCATCGATTGTTCGGAGGTGATTCTTGAGAAGGGGGATGGCAGTCAGTATACAGCAGGACACAATTACCCCACACTTGGCCCATCCCGCGAAGAGTGGGGTGGGGGTACATCTGGGATCTCCGGATAAGGCGGGTCACGTGGTGCCATCGGCGCAACCCGAGTGCGCGGTCCGTCGGCCCTTCTTAGGAGCGCAAATGTTGTACGGGAATGGGAAGTCTGTACTGTAATAGCCATGTTATAACCGCGACTCGCGAGACATGCCACCATGCACCTGGATAAAGTCACAAGATCCCCCCACTCCCAAAGCGGCAATTCTCGCCTCGCTCGCAGTTCGGGATCTCGAACCGGGCCCGCGACCCCTTTTCCCCTTTTTTTCCCAGGCGTCCCGCGGCTTACTTACCGCTCTTCTGCCCCTTTTCAGCAATGCTCCCTCCCGGAAGGCAGCGCAGTGATCCCGTAGGACCAAGGACCAACTTTCAAAGTCTGGTTCACGGAGACCGGGGGGCCGCCGTGGCCCATCGGAAGCAGAGCCAGGCCTTTCTCGCTGCGGCGCTGCATGTTGGAGCGCCCCTGGGCCCTGGTCCCCCCTGGTCCCCGGCTCTACCCCTCATTGTTTTAGGGATGGTCGCGGGCGTTCGTGAATCGTAACAACGTGCTGGATTATTGGATCGCTGCTCCACACAGCAACGTGGGCGCTTGGACAGAACCATGGGCGAGCACCGCCATGCATGGGGGGTGTTGTGTTTGAGGAGGAGGGAACAACATGGGGTTGGCATAGGTACTGTACCTACCCATGGGCAGTACCGTGGATAGGATTGGGTTGGTATGAGTAATCGATTGGGATTGTATGGTCTCTGGAGGGGAATGGGATGGGAGAGGGAGGTCAGCTGTTCATCTACCTGGTAGGTAATAATGATGGTGGTGATGATGGTGATGATGATGGGATAGCAGTATATTACGGTGTAAATACCCATGATCCGCAAGGTAAATACGGGAGTGGCTTCCGGGATATAAGGTACACCGCTCAGTCGGTGCCCAATAGCCGACACTCGCCGTCAAAGACCGACGGTCCATGATCCGTCGAGAGATCCCGGAGCCGGATGATTACATAAGGCAGCGAACCCCCACGGCGCACGCGTCACAGCCTGACATCCGCCCGGGATCCCCTGGGCGGGGCGAGGAACCACGGCGGTGGGTGGAGGGGGGTTTAGTAGTTTACAGGAGTCAGTCCTTTTTCTTTTTTTTTTCATTTACAACTGTTTGGATGATTATTAGAGGGGTAATGCAATATATAATAATGCAATACAATAATGATCATAAATACTAAAGTATGATTACTCAGCTGCAATCATTCTCTCGCTCTCCTCTCCTGTTGATGACCTGCAGCTGCTATCCCGATGCGGTAGTCTGTCAATACCAATAACCCAGAAAGCCAGAAGCCATAACCCATAACCCATAGCCCAGGACCCAGAACCCACTTCGCCCGCCGCTTCTCCAGTCTCCAGTCTCCGGTCCGCATCCTTGGAAATCCTTGGAACGCCCATAAGATTAAGACTACGCCGCTACCCGCCCCCCCTATCGTGAGTTTTTTCTTAATTGCCTCATTCTTCTCCTTTCTCTCTCTCTCCGTCTCCTTTCTCCTCTCCTCTCCTCTCTCCTGTCTCGCCCTCTGCATTCTGCTCTCTACCGTGTCTCTCTCTCTCTCTCCCGCCTCCCTGCATCACACTGCTACGTCTATAGACAAAGCCCTCCTTCAACACGGTTCATGAAAACGCCCTCTCCCTTCTCCTCCACCCGCTCTCCTCTTTGTCTCCTCCACGGCTGAGGCTTCAACTCCTGTCGCCTGCCGCCGATCTCCCTACCCAACCCATCTCTCCAACCTCTTTGCTTGCCACTCAACAACCGCCTCCTCCCGCACACGCGACCTCTCTCCCGCTCCCTCCCTCGCGCCGTGGATCCATAAAAGACCGTCGCCCGCCCTCCATCCTCCAGACATGATGCTGTCATACGAGAACCGCACGCCCGCCGCCACGCCCGCGCACACCATGACCAGCACCGCCTCGCAGACCCGGGCCAGCGCGCCCGCCCCCGAGCCCGAACACCACCATATCTGGATCGTGACCGGCCCGGCCGGCTGCGGCAAGAGCACCGTCGCCAAGTTCATTTCTCAGGCGCTCGACCTCCCTTTTATTGAAGGCGACGAGGTATGCAATTACCCCTTTTCAGTCCCCCCCTTTCCCTCCCCCCCCTTTTCTTTCCCCCCTTTTCCAATTGACACTGACAATCCCCCCCACAGTACCACCCCAAAGCCAACGTCGACAAGATGACCCGCGGCGAGCCCCTCACCGATGCAGACCGCTGGGACTGGCTGACCCAACTGCGCGAGGAGTCCCTGCAGCGGCTCGCGAGCGGCGCCCACGGCGTCGTCGTCACCTGCTCGGCGCTGAAGCGCAAGTACCGCGACGTGATCCGCGTGGCGCCGTACTACGCCCGCGGCGCCCGCGTGCACTTTGTGTACCTCCGCGCCACCGAGGACGTGCTGCTGGCGCGCGTGCAGGCCCGCCGCGGCCACTACATGGGCGCCAACATGGTGCACAGCCAATTCGACGCCCTGGAGGAGCCGGCCGAGTCCGAGACCGATGTCATCAGTGTGGACGTGAGCGCGCCGCTGGAGGACGTGGAGCGCGAGGCGTTGCGGAGGATACGGGATGTGGTCCTGGAGGATTGATTGATTGAGCGAGCGAGCCTGTGGTGCTTTCGATTCAAAAAAAGAAAGCCCGAGAAAAACAACCCCCGCGATGCTTCACCAAAATTTCCTTCCATCAAGGCGTCTTCCGGCACGAAACAAATCCCCATCTATTCGAGAAACCCCTCTACACTTGCTTTTTCATTTTTGATTTTGGGAACCACGGGGGTTTGGGAGTGGTGTATCAGGCATGTACGGGTACGGTTGGTTTGGGAGTTATATCATCACCATCATCATCATCATCATCATTATCATCATAGCATTGTCATAGGATAAGGTACGATACGTACGATAAGAAAGATAGGATATCAGAGTCAAAAAATAGCATTCGAGTTCGTTCTCGTTTCATGGACTGGACTGACTTGTAGGAAGGAATGAAAGGAAAGGAAAGGGGGGATTGAATTGAAATGGAATGGGAGAAAGAGAGGGGGGAGATGTGGTTGGTTGATTGGTTGGTTGGTTTACCTTAATGTTAGGTAGAGATGAAGATATAAAAAGATAAGATAAAAAAATAATAATATCAAGATATACAAAAGAGAGGTTTAGAGGGAAATGAATCCATCATCGTTTTTGATTTCAATTTTATTTCTTTATTTATTATTCAATTCTCGGTTTATAGATAAAGTAGATACATCTCCTCCTGTATTGTATATCCCGGGAATAGGGGTGGCCTCCTTTTTCATTTCGCGGGGTATCTACCTAGCAACCCCGTGTAACGTGACGAGCATCGAACTCAACCGTCACCATCAGCATCACGTTAAGGCTGAACTGAAGTGAAGTGAAGTAAAGTGAAGGCCCCTACCTTACCTACTACCCACCCACAACATAAGGTAAGGTAGGTACATGCACTATATACCCAGCCAGCCATGCATGCGCTCGTAAATCGGACGCTCGCCGAGCCGCATCAGCTCAGATGCAGCAGCATGGTATCCGGGTTCTCGACAAAGCCACGCACCAGCTCGGCCGCGCGCGCCATCGTAGCACCATCAATGACGCGATGATCCGCACTCCAGCTAAACGTACTGATCTGTTTCCGGACCACCTGGCCGTCCTCATCGAACGCCGGAACAGGCCGCACCTTGCCGATGCCGAGGATCGCGACCTCTGAGTCGACCAGCACGGGGGACACGTACGTGCCGCCGATATTCCCGATGTTGGAGATGGTGATGGTGCCACCGGTGAGGTCGGCGGCGGGGAAGCGGCCGGTGGCGGCGAGGGATTGGAGACGCGAGAGCTCGAGCGCGATGGAGTGGATGGAGAGCTGGGAGACGTTTTTGATGACGGGCACGATGAGGCCTGAGGGCGTGTCCATGGCGATGCCGATATTGTGTTGGGAGCGTAGGACGAGGACGGGTTTGGAGGTGCTGCGGTCGACGTCGACGCGTGCGTTTAGGGAGGGGTAGCGGTGCAGCGCCATGGAGACGGCTTTGATGATGAAGGGGAGGTAGGATAGTTTGCTGAGGTTGTCGAGGGGCGCCTGGGCGAGTCCCTGGTTCAGCCGCTGCCGCAGGTCCGAGAGCTTGGTGAAATCGATCTCGTCTGCGTAGACGAAGTGTGGGATGCTCAGGGATCTGGTCATCGTCTTGAACATCTGGGCTTGCGTGTTGGTCAGTTGAGTGATGGTCTCCTTCTGTGGGCCACTGTCTGCTGCTGCTGCTGCGGCGGCGGCGGCTGGAGAAACTGGTTCCGCGGCTGTAGGGACGGTATCTCGACGCTTTGCAAATTGATACACGTCCTCCTTCAGAACGCGGCCATCCCTCCCTGTGCCCTGGACATCCGCTATGTTGACATTCAACTCCTTGGTGAGGTGCCTGACTGCTGGCGTCGCGAGCGTGGCATGCTTCCCTCTAGGTTGGGGTGGCTTCTCCGGTTCTGGCGTCTCTTGGCTTGGCTTGCTTGCTACAGCTGGTGGCTCTGTTGTATCTTCTGCCTGTGTTGTATCTTGTGCCCGTGCCTGGGACTCCTCGCCAGCACTTGCCGCCGTCAAAGCATCCAGATCCTCCTGCTTGATCTCGCCCTGTATATCGATGTCCAGCAAGGGCTGCCCAACTTTGGCCATCTCCCCTGCTTCATAGTGCAGTTTTTTTATGACTCCCGCGAATCGGCTGGTGATCTCTACCGACGCCTTATCGCTCTGGACCTCACATAACTTGTCCCATTCCTCGACACGAGCTTCAGGCTCCACGAACCATTGGATGATCTCGCATTCCCGAATTCCTTTTATACGTCAGACCGTTCAATCATCTGGGAGATTTGATTCATCTCACCTTCACCGATGTCGGCCAGTAGAAACGGCTTTACCACTTGATATCTTGTAGATGCGTGAAACGACCGGGCTGGGAAGTGCCTCGGCAAGTTGAGGCCTTTGTAGATGTGCAATTGTCTCGCGGACAATCGTGAAAAGAGCTGAGTACGCATTCTGATCCCTATAGCCTCTGCGAATCTCAGGCGAGAAGGAGAAGAGTGTATGGGACTCACATTATCAGAGGGATTGAGGGGTATCAATGGTTACTGGGGTTCTCCGCAATGCGATGAGGTAGAGCGGCTATCGACGGTATATCGACGACAGGGGTGGGTTATCGAGATTTCGGGACTTCCCGTGCGACTGGAGGTTTTTTTGAGGCTCATTCAAGGACCACGTTAGACGCGAGTCCACCAAACACCATGCTCCTCTTACGACGGCCATTAAGGCCGGCCAGCATAAAGTACGATTCTGCGGTCTGTCTGGTCTGCCAATGGCGTTCGTTCGGATCTCCAGCTCGACGACTCAGCGAGAACGGACCGGCAGCACCTGAACCTCTAGCACCTCCCCCCCCTCCTCCACCATCCGCCCTCGACGATGCCCCACGAGCTTATGGCAAAGCAGTCTCCGAATTTACTCCCAAACCTCTGAACCGCCCAATTGGGCTACCGAAGCCGCCGAGACCTGGGCAAAATTTGAGGGTAGATACAAGGACCTGGAGACAAAGGAGGGATGACTTCGTGAACTATGACAAACATCTCGTCAGGCGGAAAGAGCTGTGAGCACGGCTGTGATCCAATTGCAAGTTTGGGCGAGAGACTGATGATGCTTGCTAGAACGCAGAAGATGTCGACCCCGTACTTTCGAGAATGGAGCAACATGCGGCTCCACAAGGGGAAATCCTTCCTCGCTCCCCCGGCCCTGTTCCGAGCGGAACGCGCGCTGTACTTCCCAAACCTGCACGGGCAGACCCTGCTGAAGGACAAGAAGCCGCGCGATACGACGCCGGTCCTGGAAGATAAGATCTCAGTTGTGAGTGTCTTCAGCAGTGCCTGGGCCGAGAACCAAGCGGCCACGTTCGCGTCGGAGAAGCAGAACCCCGAGCTGCACGAGGCGCTGAAGAGCAGCGGTGGCGCTGCACAGCTGGTCCGGATCAACTACGAGGATAACGCTCTCAAAGCTATGATCGTGAGAATGTTCATGCCAAATCTGAGAAAGCAGCTCGGTGTTGATAACTGGGGACGCTACTTTCTCGTTAGGAGAGGTGTTACGGATGAGATGAGAGATGCCATCGGTCTGCTGAATAGCAAGGTCGGCTACACGTATCTCCTGGACTCCGAGTGTAAGATAAGATGGGCTGCAAGCGGACCTGCCGAAGGTGACGAGAAGGAGGGCTTGGTCAAAGGTGTAAGGCGCCTGGTGGATGAACTGAAGAATAAGAGAGCGAGCGTTGCAGCTCCCACGCCACAGCAGGTTGCAGGCACTCCAAAAGCGACACCTGCACGAAACCAGAAGAGGGCTTAGTCTGTAATCTGGTATAATTGTCCGATATACCCATACATACTTGTACAATAACAAACCCGGCTCCCATGCCATCTGAACGCCCGCTCCAAACGCTAGCAATGTATATGAGGCCCCGTTCACATGAAATATAAGAACATAAGGAAGCAGAAGGCAATGAAGCTTCCCATAATAATCCCGTCCCTCCTCTTCTTCGCCGATATCCTCCCTATCAGGCTATTCAAGCCGGGCACCTGACTTGCCGCCCCTGTAATCCTCCTCTGGATGCTCGCCAGTGTCTCCCTCTGAAGCACAAAGCTCTCATTCACCGCATACGCCTGGCTGAGCACCGAATCCGTCATATTATTGCTGTTATCTATCCTCCGCCTCTCGCCGATCATATACTCGGCTTCCGCCGCCTCGGGGTTACTGGAGTGGTACGCATTGACGTCGCTCCGCACGTTGGACAGCAGGTTGGCGCGGTTGCGAGCCTCTTGCAACTGGGACTTCAAGCGTGCCAGCTCTCGGCGGTGCTCCTGTAGAACCTCGCGGTGGCGAGAGAGATTGTTCTGTTTGGTGGCGGAGGCTGTGAGCGTGGCTTCTGAGTCGAGGAGGCGTGATAGCTGCGAGATAAGGGTTTCCCGCTGGAGGAGGGGGCATTAGCATTTAGTCGACTGGACAGAGAGGCTATCCTACCTTCTCTAGGATCTCCTGTATTTTGGATTCCGTCTGTCTCTCATCTTCGGACGGTTTAATGGGTATGTTTGGGACGGATGCGAATTGAGAGAATGTATGGAATAGAGTGTCTGTCTGCAACGATAGATTAGTCCCGAGCCCAGGGTATTCTTTCCAAGAGCCGTACCTGTGTTTCTAATGATCTCGCCTGCTGTCGAAGCTGGGCCCAGCCCGTTCCCGTGGACGAAGCCATCCTATTGTTTAATTCGTGAGGGGGAGATTGAAGTTCCGTTGTATATCGAAGGCCCCCTTCAACCAAACGTTGCCTCTCGGGGCAATCGATGCGCGGCCCGTGCCTACCTCGTCAGGCTACGATTATTTGATACGCGCACTCCCTCCACGTCCTAAAACAGCGCACACACCAGTCACGGGACGCACTCAGACAATTTTCCATTTTCTCGCACCAACCGAAACCTCGAATTTGTGACTTTTCGCGACAACACACGACCTCATTTCGACAACGGTACTCACGACAAACCTTCAAGATGGTAAGGATGGGCCCGGCTACAGCATATCTATAGCGGCTCAGAGGGCTAATACACTTCTACAGTCGTCCGGAAAAGTCAAGGCTGGCCAACTCTGGTCCAAGAGCAAGGAGGACCTCACCAAGCAGCTGGGAGAGCTGAAGACCGAGCTTGGTCAATTGCGCACACAGAAGATTGCCGGAGGTTCATCCGCCAAGCTCACCAAGATGTGTGTATCCCTTTGTTTTGCTTCTAGAGGTAGAGAGAGAGAGCCGTTTTCCTAACATGGGTTTTCTTTTCCAGCCATGATCTCCGAAAGTCGATCGCCCGCGTCCTCACAGTCATCAACGCCAACCAGCGATCGCAACTCCGCCTCTTCTACAAGGGCAAGAAGTACCTCCCTCTCGACCTCCGACCCAAGCAGACCCGCGCCATTCGACGACGCCTGACGAAGCACGAGAGCGGGAAGCAGCTGGAGAAGACGAAGAAGCGCGCGGTCCACTTCCCCCAGCGGAAGTATGCTGTTAAGGTACGATTTTTACTGTCTCTTTGTCTCTTGACAATCTCAGCAAGAGAGAGAGTCGATCGAGAATCCCATCATATCCATAATGAAAACGAGAGATTATCTTTCAAGATATCCCAATCTATCTATCTACTTTTTCTACCTACATACATACCTTTCAAAAGACCATCCAACTAACGAGAAAACCCAAAAACAGGCTTAGATTTGAGAAGATCGCAGGCTGGCGTGGTTCGGGATGATTTGTGGCATGGCTCTTTCGCAAAACGGCTGGATGCTTTTTTCAACGGCCGGTGTATCATCGAGGATATAGCGTGGCGGGGCATGGCGCCTACTCAAATATAAAGAGCGGCATTGAACAAATACCCTACCCATATTTGTGCTCTCTCCCTCCCTTGCTACGCATAACTTCGGAAATTCTTTACCGCCGCCGCACACCGGAATGATATGAATGAATGAGTGCTAGATGGTGAAAACGTGTTTGTGATTTTTTTGCTGCTGGCCTATTCATACGAAATCCTCCCTTCCCTCTTCCCTACCGTACCGGTATATCCTGCCCATACTATCTATCTAAGGTATCTGTCCGAACTATTTCATCAGCTGACCATGACCATGACCATTAAATGTGTACCTAATGAGGTATACATTCCCTCCCGCAAAGAGATATCCATCCATCCCCCCTTCCCTCTCCCCCCAAACCCAATCAATTCCTAAACCCCTCCCCCATCACATCCCAATTCCACCCCCCATCACACCCCATCACAAACCCATCCTCCATTTCCAAACCCCCAAATCTAAGAAATCTTCACTCCACTCCATGCAATTTCAACTCTAACATGAGGTATAGGAGAGACGGGGTTAAGTAAGTATATGTATATGTCTATAGAGAGAGAGAGAGAGAGAGTTGGTAGATAGATCAAAACTAAACTAAACTAGACAAATAAGTAAATGGACAGGCAGAGAAGAGAGGGATGGATGGGATGGATGGATGGGATGGGATGGTGGACTTTTTAGGTAGGTAGGTCCTGTCCTGTGCTTTTGTTTTGAGAGATAGATGGATGGATGGATGGATGGAGAGAGCTTGGGAAAGAGAGGGACGAGAGGAAAGAAAGGGAGATGAAGAAGATGAAGAATCCGGACGCCGGGGTATATATATTGCAGTACCTAATGAACTACAAGGATAATAATGATGATTGATGACAAAAAGAAAAAAGAAAGCCTCCAAAACCCAGCTACTACCCGCCGGCTACAACGAAAAAGAAAAAAAAACTAAATCTCCAGTGATCGATCCCCAGTGACGCTCACTCACTCCCCGCCAGCAATATCAGAAGGCGGAGTCGACGATACCTCCGAGGCTGCGAACCCGACCTCGCTGCCCTCCGTCTCCGTCTTGACAGAGCCCGTCGACGAGGATCCGGCGCCGGGCTCGTTCGACGAGGCCTTGCGGTGGATGGACTGGTGGCGCTTCAGCTGATCCAGGCGGTGGAACTTCTTGACGCAGCCGGGGAACTTGCAGATGTGGACGCCTTCCTCGCCGTGCGTCTTGCGGTGCTTGGCGAGGTTGGAGGATTCGGAGAAGCAGGCCCCGCAGCCGGGGTAGGGGCATTTCAACGGCTTCTCGTTCGTGTGGGTTCGTTCGTGGATGGCTGGAGGGAAGATTGTTAATCTTGTGTTTTTCTTTTTGGAGAGATGAAGGGAGGTTCTACTTACTGCGTGCACTCTGTTGTGGGAATGTTTTCCCGCAGTATTTACACTCCCATGGCTTCTCCCCCGTGTGAAGACGTCGATGCTGTTTCATGGATTGAGGGGCTGAAAATACCTCGTTGCAAATGTCACAACGGGACATTTTATCTACCTAGTGTTAGCCCTTTCTCTCGTCGAATACTTTGCAAGACTTACAGCCTGTATGAGTTGCCATGTGCCGCTCCAGTTTTCCTCGTTGTGAGAACCCCGCCTTGTCACCTAGTTTTGCCGGACGACCACAGTTCTCCCACTGGCAGAAATAGCCGGATTTATTGCTTAACGACATCAGATGCTCATCTTTGACGTGCTTCTGGAGGTCCTCCTCGGTATTGAAAACTGCCCCACAGACATGGTCAAATCCAATCTTCCACTTGCAGCGATTGTTCGCATCGTCTCCGGGCAATTCGTCATCAGCAATGGCAGTGGGATATTGGACCATCTCAGTGTGTGTAGCGCAGTCTGCCCCGGTATTGGTTAATCGTAGGTCCGGCAATTGGTGGTCCTCGTTGAGATGAGTGAGCAGTTGATGCTGATCTGGAAAGAGGGTACCACAGGAGTTCCATTGGCAAAGCAGCGCCCCTGAAGCTGGCATGGCATGGGCCTGGTCGAAATGGTTGTGAAGCATGGCTGGGTTCAGGAAGGTCTGATCTAGAGAGCAATCCGGAGCTGGACAGCTGTAATTGTTATTATCGAAAAAGTTATAGCCATGATCTATTTCCAGATGATGCATGGGGTTGTAATTGATACTCTGGGGGCAATTTTCTGTCGGCATAGGACAATTGAAAGTCATCTGAGGGTCTAGATGGACCCGGTGGATGTGCTCAGTCCATTCCTGCTGGCTAACAAGCGGTTGCGGACATCCACTCCAAGCACAATTGAGCATCGAAGGGCCGTTGCCAGCATTTGAGCTCCCCATAAATCGCGAGCCCCATTGAACAGGAGGAGGGGCAAAGAGCGTGCCGGTGCCGGATAATATCAGGCCCGATTCATTGGTATATGGCGACAGGGAATCGCTCGTAGATTGAGGAGTAGGCAGAGCCCCAGCTGGGGAAAAAGTGTTCTTCATATTGTTGGCCATCGAGGGTGTAGAGGGAACAGAAGAGCCGGATGCGCTTTGGATCTCCTCAACCCGCCCCATGAGATTCGGATCGATCCTGCTCTCGGGCGAGAGCTGGGACATCTGTGTCGAGGCTTGAGCGTTCCATGGAGAGTAGTCCCAATTCGAAAGCCTTGTCGATGATGGGACGACTTCTTCCGGTTGTCCTTGCTGAATAGCCTCGCCAAGGCACTGGTTCATACAGACTGGTTTTGAGCATTCCGGTTTCCTACAGGGAACAAGAGCCTCTCTCCGGACCCCACAGTCTGGTTCCAGACAGGGAAGGCCTTCAGAGCAACTACTGCAACATTGGCTGGTACGAGTATCGGAGACCGAGCTGCTGGCCCAGTGTTGGTCATGATTATGATCATGATTCTGATCAAGAGTATGGGCCGCTTGAAATTCTTGATTCTCGTCCAACGGGGCATTCTTTTTTTGGCGCTTCGCAGGAGGCGGAGCTTGAGGATCTCTCGCGGTTCGTACACGTTTTGGAGCGCCCATTGCGCTCTGCAAGTGGGTTTGGCCGTTTGCCAGCCCGTAAGGGAGGCTTCGAGGAGGAGCAGGAGGGGCATTCATCTGGCTTGGATGCGACATAATGAGGGAGGACATTGAGAAGCCGGGCGCATTGTGAGAGCGAAGCATACCGTCGGGCGGGAACTGAAGATTGCGCCGCCAGACATCGTCGTCGAAGGGCGAGGAGGTATAGGCCAGAGACGGCTGATAGACGGATTGAGGGGTGTTATTCATGCCGGAAATGGCGGCGGCGGTACGGAGGTGATCCTGAAAGGTGCCCATGACGGGGCAGCACAAGGTTGAAGATTCCAAGGATTCGAGCGACGCTGGACCATATGGGAAAAAAAGATGCAAAGGTTGGAGAAGAGAGAAGGCTGGCGGGAAGGGGAAATTTTGCAGAAAGAAGAGAAAACCGTGGGTTGCGCGGGGAGCAAACCCTTAGAGCGTCCAGTAGCAGGAAGATGATATCAGGTACGGGTACCCGTCCGGGTACTCAGAAGGCTGAGAATTCGGATTTTGACTGGAGGATCGTCCGCGGGGGACAGCGAGTGGGTTCGATTGAGAGACAAGACAAGACAAGACAAGAAAAGAAAAGAAGATGATGATGATGAAAGAATAATGAAGAATATTCTTTGGGTCATGAACAATGGAGAATGAGCTCTTCCAGAACAATATTCGAAGGAATAACGGATCCATCTTCAGCCAGGAGAAAGACGACCTTTTGCCCGAGGACTGACGGAAGTGAAATGCGCTGACATAATCCATCGCCCCTCATTGGCCGACGATCAGCCCCGCCGTTATCGATAAGACAAGACGACAGGAACGCCTCAGGAGTCAAAGGACGGTCGACGGTCGGAGGGATGGATATTCCGTCGATGATGATGATATCGGCGTCAATTGGGAGAAGAGAAGTAGTTCTGTGACGATGGATCTCTCTGCCCGTCCACCAAGGGAAGAGTACTTCTTCCATTGACCCATCCGAATGGCAGCCAAGACAACAGAAGACACTCGATAATAACTCGGCACCGCCACGGCTCCTCGCTCGCGACAACGCCCCCCGCCCCATGTCATTGCGCCGCCCGTCGAATGCAGTACCTCACCACCAAGTACGTACTACGTACCTTATATATCCATCGCGTACCAAGTCCAGCCAGGCGCGGGCAGCAAAACAAACCCAATTCTTATACCGGTCCCGCTCTCTTCTCTCGATCCTCGTCATCCACCCATCCTCCTCCTCCTCCTCCGCCTCCGCATTTCGACGTCGTCCACTTCGCGCTCTGCGCACTCCGCCATGGGAAACATCTGTGGCAAGCCAAAGCTAGCCGCGCCAGATCCCTCCGCGCAACACGACCGACCAAGTATCCCCTCCACCGCGCCTCCCCGCAACACCAGACCGACCTCGTCCGTGCCCAAGAAGGTTGGCGGGCCGCCGCGGACACTCGGCTCCTCCAGTGCGGCTCCTCCCCAGAGCGCCGAGGATGCGCGGAGGAAGGCGGCCGAAGCGGCTGAGGTGGGTAGCTAGTTCATTCCAGCGGTCGTCCCCCTTTTCCCCTCCATTTTTCGTCTGGGGATGGATGTTGCGGCATTGTGCTGATTTGCTGATTTGTGTAGGCAAGGGCGAGAGCTGCGAAGGCCCCGAAGGGCAAGCTGGCGAGCCAGTTGCAGGAGCAGAAGAAGCAGACCCGGATTGACACTTTAGGCGCCGCCAGTCGAGATGAGCGGAGGATGAGAGATGCAGATGCCGCAGCTGAGGCAAGGGCGTTTAACTAATTAATCGTGAGCCAGTTGGTTAGTTGAGTGAGGGAAGGTGCCTAGAAGCACGCAGCATGGTTACAGACACGACGGAAGAGGAGCGCAAGTTGGTTACTCCGCAATGGGCCTCGAAGCAAAACTGCATGATTTTGGACACGATGAAAGAGGAAGATGATATATCTAATATGCTGCGATGGCGCATGAGGGTGAGTTAGGAGTTTTTTGGCAGAGAATGAAATCCATTGAGCGTTCAAAATTTCCTCAGAATCTTGTGCTATATTTTCTTGCACGGTGTCACCAAACCAGTACTGACTACACAACATTATACCGTCCACTTGCAGGGGCTCTGCCTTCTGCATCTGCCGCTGCCATCGTCCCCTCCTTCAATAACCTCATCAACTCCCTCATTGCATTAGTAACCACGAGCTCAGTATCCCCCTCGACGAGAATATACAATTTCGGGTCGCCGCCCGGTTGCACTTCCTTCCCAGGTGGATAGAAGCTCCCTTTGGTCGTGATCGAGGTGCCCGTTGCTTCAAGGATCTTGGCCACGTTGGTCCGGTTCGTGACAGCCCATCTCGCTTTCTGGGGGAAGTCGTTGATCTCCAGAGTGGCGTGGAAAGCACCCGCATCAGGTCCCTTGTTATCAATGGGTACCCCGGATCGTAACTGGCCGGTCTTATTGAGTCGAGCATTGATGGCGTCGATGGCCGACGTGACTTTATCAAGCGGATTCTTCGAGCCGCCTGAGGACGAGGAGGCTGCAGGCTCGGTACGGTGTACCGTGATCTTGCCATCCAAATCAATCCCCTTAGGAACGCCGAAAGGCTGAGGGGTGTGAGGTGAGGCTGCGGGTTGGACGGCAGAGGCAGCTTTGAGCACGATATCCTCGTCCGCTTTCTCCTCCTTCTCATCCTCATCATCCCCGTCAGTCTTGTGCGTCTTCCGCTCACGGATTCTCGCTGCTTCACGTTCCGCATCAAGCCGCTCCAATCCTTTTCCTCCGAATCCAGAACTGTCTTTTGATTTGCCCGTCTTGACTTTGTCTCGGAACGATTTTCTCATCTCGTTCAGCCGTTCAGGGACAGGCTGTCCAGACTGCTCGAGGGCCTTAGCTATCCCTACGGAATACTGCTCCTGGTCCTCGGTAATGAAGGTTACGGCTGTCCCAGTATTTCCTGCTCTTCCTGTACGACCAGCTCTGTGAACGTAATCCTCCAGATGATTTGGCGCGTCAAAGTTGACGACTAATTTGAGTTGCTTCACATCGAGGCCTCGAGCCGCTACCGAAGTAGCAATCATTATAGGCACAACTCCAGCTTTGAAGTCATCTATCGTCGAATCGCGATCGATTTGATCCTTGCCACCATGTATTGACATGCAAGGGTACCCTTTACGCATCAGATCCTTCAGTAAGTCATCCGCCTTCTCTTGCCGATCCACGAATATAAGAGTACGTGCATCTTCGTCCTTGTCATACAGCTCTCCCAGTAGCTCCAGCAGCCGGTGGAATTTTTCCTTTTCCTCGCGCACCTCGACAATCTGGGTGATCTCTTTCGCAACGACACTTCGTCCACCGACAGTAATTTCAACCGGTGACTGGAGGGTCTTCTTAGCTAGAGCGTCCATGATTCGAGGCATGGTAGCTGAGAAGAGAATTGTCTGTCTGTCGGGTCGGATGTTGGCAAAGATCTTCATGACTTGAGGCTCAAAACCCATATCAAACATGCGATCTGCTTCATCCAAAACAACGTAAGTGACTCGCCGAAGGTTTGTGACCCTACCGGAGTTGGCTGCCAGTAGATCTATCATTCTTCCCGGTGTGCAGACTATAATTTCAGCTCCCCTTTTGAGATCGGCAATCTGGTCCTTGATAGGAGCTCCACCATACGCGCAGACAGCACGAAGGTTCATAGCTTTCAAAAATGGCTTACACTCTCTATGGATTTGGGTTGCAAGTTCTCGCGTCGGTGTCATGATCAGGCCTATAGGGCCATCCGAGCCTTCTAGTGGTCGTTGGTCTCGAATATGGCGGAACATAGGCAGGAGGAATGCGATCGTTTTACCGGAACCTGTTTTGGCAACGCCGATAACATCTCTACCAGACATTATTGCGGGAATTGCTTGCGACTGGATCGCTGTTGGCCGTTCATAGCCTAACTTGCGGATTACCTCAAGAGATTGATAATTGAGACCGCACTGCGACCACTTCTGCACGGGTTTTGGCACTGCTTCTCCAGCAACCTTTATGCCGTCGAGCTCAAGCCGTAGATCTGCGAGGTCGGCTTCAGTCATGTCTGCTAGTTCTTCCGGTTCTGTATAGAAGTTCTTGCGGAACGGCTCAAGATCCATCTTTGCATAATTTATTGCCGGTAAGTCTTTCTTTTTCCTCACTTTGCTTGCCATTGCAAGAATATCGTCTGGGTCGGCTTCGATAGTTTTGAGTTCTACATCGTCGTCCCCAAACAATGGCTCTGGCTCCTGCTGTTGACCCTTGCTCTGGGTCTTGTTGAAGGTGCCATTTGTATTCGGAGCAGCAAAGGGGTCACCCATCTCGTCCATAAATGCGTCCAAGGGGTCAATTTCTTCTTCCTCCGCTTCGGCAGGGCGGGCGTTCGCATCGGGCGCGTCATCCATTTTGATGTCCCCATTTGTAGCGGGTTCAGTAGTATGATCCAGCTCGCCATCCTGGTTGGCCTGTTCTTGGAGTCTTTCCTCACGTTTCTCTGCGGCTGCCCTCGCTGCTGCCGCGGCCTCTTCTTCGGTGCCTGCAGCTTCCATGTCTACATCATCATCCTCTTCTCCCTCAACACCGTTAGCGAGCGCAGCATCAGCATCATCGGCGTTTGCCAGAGGTAGGGACGGTAGCTTTTCAAGTTTCTTTCTAGATTCTTCATCATCTCCAAAATCCAAAGCTCGTTTTGAGGAGGATTTCTCGTTATCGATACCAGATTTAGCACCAAGCCCGAATGCACTGAGGTTCCCCCTGGCTTTAGGCAGTGCAGATGCTCCTTTGATATAGTCAGCACACTCTTCAAATATGAGCTTAGAAATTGGGTATGTACCATTTGATGCACTGTTGAAGGCTGTTGGCTTGTTGTCAGCGTGTAACCCTTTGGCTGTAGAAGTTAAGGTAGCGGACGCTTTAGATAACTCTTTGAGTGGTATATCATTCCCCAGAGTACTTGCATTATTCGAATTCGCCACCGCTTTCTTCGCGATCGCTTTTGGATCGAATTTCCCGGCGTAAGGCGCTGGTGACGCAACATTGGGAGTTCCTGGAGATAGTGGCGAGCCAACGGAGGTTGATCTGTTGGCCTTTTGATCTATATCATCCAGAAGTTTTCGAGTCCCTCCTGCTCCAAGATCTTTCTCCTTACGTTCCTTATCCTCTGCCATTTTCTTCTTCCATGCTTCCAGCTTCGCAAGACGTTCTGCCTTCTTCTCGGCCTCAGTCTGGGCAGCGGGGGTTGGTGTTTTGGGGGCCTGTATAAACAGTTTAGCCATTTGTTTACCAGAGGGTGATGGGTATGGGCGAACCTCGGTGGCTTTCGCGCTTTCCGATCTACTTGGAGCCTTCCCACGATTATCTTCGCCTCTGCTACGGGACCATGAGTCAGTAGAATCCTCGCGGCGCCTTCGAGCCCTATCATAGGAGTCGTCTCGCCTGTCCCGGTAATCCCGCTCTCGGCTTCTGCGTCGCCGCCTGTCTGGAGATCGCTCCCTATCGGCATATCTATCTCTGCGGTCCCTTGATCGATCTCGTCGGCCGGACCTGTGATAATCATCGTCTCTGCGGTCTATCGATCGTTCCCTTCGACGATGGGCATCGCGGTCTCTGTGGCGACGCTGTCCAAGACCGTGGTTAGTAGAGTGTAGAAGTGCTCCGTCGGGTTGAGATGCCCTTACATCTGCGCTGCGGGAGCGACTGCGCCGTCTTTGGCCCCGAACATCATCCCTCCGATCGCGATCCCTTCGGAAATCATCATCTCTCTTGCTTCGTTTCGAGGAGTGCTGGCTTCCTACTGGCGATGGTGAGCGAGAATCCCTGTGCCGGACCATGTTGCCTCAGTCAACGGTATTTCGCGGGCAGAAGTACTTTCTGGCAGAGTTTGAAGGCAAATTCTACAGTAACCCTAGTGTTCCCGCCTCTGTCGAGCCCGTGGATTCGGGAAATGCGTGTGCTGAAGAAGAGTGGTGCTGGGAGGTAATTCCACGGCGGCGTTCAACATGTATGGAGGTGAGGGTATGTAATAAGGTAGGCTGAGGCTCACATGTGGGTGGAGGCTGATGAGAGAAAGCGAAAGCCCAAATTGGTTTAGCGTGAAGCGTAGAATCCGCGCGCTTGGAAGCTCCGTCACTGGGGAGCTCGCGTGTCAGAAAGGGAAAGGAAGGGGCTGGCTGGTCATGCTCCAAACACGAGCTCCATCAACATCGATCTTGCAGCTCATTGCTGCCCCTCCAACGTCAATCCCCGATAATTCTGCTCTGGAGTGCCGACATCTACCGAAACAGCAACAGAGGCACCTCGAGTGTAGTTTCGAAAATCATCATGTTGTCGAGTATTGGACGATCGGCCATTAGGAGGGTGGTCGCCGGGGCGTCGCAACCGTCAACAACCCGAGTATTCCAGAGCGTCTGGCATCTACAAGCCGCTGGTGTCTCGAAGAGCACTGACAATGCTTTATCCCGCACTCAAGTATCTTTTGAGTTTCGACGATTCCTCGCTGCAGCAACCAAAGCCACTCGGGCAAGCAAAACAAGTGCAGAGTCGAAACCCAAAACACCAGTGAAGAAGGCGAAGGACAAGGCTGCTGCCAAGCCAAAGACGAAAGGCAGGCCCAAGAAGAAGAAGATTTTGACCCCGGAAGAGAAAGCAAAGCGGGAGGTCCAGAAGCTTAAGGCGCTGGTATTATCACCACCAAAGCTGAAACCAACCTCGGCCTGGAAAGTCCTCTTCTCGGAACTATCTGTCCCTGGCCAAGCGGTGTCGGTATATGCGAAGAATGTTGCGGAGAAGTACAAGTCCCTGAGTCCTGGTGAGCTTGAGGTATAACAGTCACGCCGTGTCTTTTGTGGTAGTTGCTGACAAGGTAATCCCTAGGCATACAATCACACAGCCAACCAGAACAAGGAGGCGAACGAAGTTGCTTTCAAGCAGTGGATCCAGAGCCACACACCTGAACAGATTCGGGTCGCCAACAATGCGCGGATGCTCTTGAAGAAACGGACTGGCAAATCATATCCACTTATCCCAGATGACCGAATTCCCAAGAAAGCTAGAACTGAGCACGCTCTGTTCACACAAGACAGATGGGCCTCTGGTGACCTGAAGGGCATCAAATTCAGTGAAGCCAGTCGAATTTTGCGGGACGAGTACCTTGCCTTACCAGAAAGTGAACGCAAGGTTAGTGCATTGATAAAGAGCTCTTCTCCCACTCTGAAGACTAACTTTCTACAGGTATACAAAGACCGCGCCGAGGCCGATAAGGAGAGATACATCCAGGAGTTCAGAGCGGCCTTCCACCGCGATCCCCCATACCTCCACAAGCAAGCGACAGCCTAATTTCAGTTTCTGTTCTGAATCATTAGTCTCTAAGCCTCGTCTTTCTACGATGGGAACTCTTTGGCGTGAGGGTGAGGGCGAGGGTAGTTTAAGGTATTGATATCTTAGTGCTGGACGTGGGTTGGCAGCAGGTGTCCAGTCCTCTCTGTCTGTATGTCTGTATGTGTATGGTTTAGGGGGAGGGGGAAAGGGGGAAGGTCTTCCGAGCGTCTCTAATGCGCTGCACAATTTCCTATGTTCTTCGAGAAGGCTTCTTTCTTGTAATGAATGTATTGTAAAGGGCCCCTGGCTGTCTGCGGGCCTTCGATGACGAGCAGAGGGCAGAGAGGGAAAGAAAGAAGGTGAAAGTGGAAATACTATTGTTCCAGTGTCATGTTATGCTAAGGTGAGGCTGAACCTTGTCAAAGGATTGCCGACAAGAGACACAGAATGTACCTATCCACAGAACAGAACAGCATCACGCAACACAGAAGCACATGACATCTTCTAAAGCGCCGCACATTAACCAGATTGATTAATCATGCCTTACTCATAAAAACTCTCGTCAAGATGATCGCGAAAGAAGCGAAAGAAGCGAAGAAAGACGAGAAAGCTTCTGTGCATTGGCTGACACTTTCCTGACAGCGCCGGTCTCTCGGGCTGAAGGCGGCGCTAGGCTCGAAAGGCACGAAACATGCTCATATTCTCTCAGACGAGCCCTCTCGCTTGCCAAACGACGATACAAAGACTGCAAAATCCCCGGCCCCAACGACGTGCGCCTGTATGCGCAAGTAAGAGACGCGCGAACAGTAATCATGATAAATAGAATCGTCTACTTCCCGCGAGCAAGGTTGGTCTTTTGGCGCTTTTCTTCTTCTGCAACGCATGCCGTGCGGGCGCGAGCAAGTTTCCTAGGACCCTTGATGGTCTTTCCCTTTGTATATCTGCTGCTGATCCCGCTGTTGCCCCTCTCCCACTCTGAACCCTCCCCTCCCGTCTTTTCTGGAGATGCGGGCATGAAAGAGATATGATATAATTCTATATCTATATCTGCCTTGTCTACCTCCTTTGCCTTCCACCCTTCGATCTCTTCAATCAGCATTTGCGCCTTCTATTCCCTCTGGGCCCCTTCCCCCCCCACATCTTTTGGTGGGTAGTAGATACCCGCGGGGCATCAGGTCAGAAGTCAAAAATCAGATCAAGTCGAGTTTCTTCACTCCTCGTCCTTCTGCCACACACAAACAAACCTTCGTTTCCTATACCCCCCATCTGTCTTTCACCGCCCCTCACGGTCGGTCGGTTCAAGCACGACAGCGTCGGATTCAGTACATCTCAAGCGACGCCGCCTCAAATACCGCCAATATGGATATGGATATGGGGGGTGGTTCAATGCCCACGGGCGGGCTCAATGCTTCAGGAATCGACTTCTCCAATGAGACTCAGGCAAATATGTTTCTGGGTGAGATCTTGGACGACAGCGTCTTCATGGTTGAGGCCAACATGTACGCGAGGGATTTCTGGTGGGGAGTGTGTGCGCTCATTGCTGCCTTTGGCTTCTTCAATATTGTCCAGAAGGGCACCGAGATTTCGAGGTATGTAAAGCGCTGGATAGCCCTACTCTAGAGGCAACGCTGAACGTTTTCAATAGGATACGTGCAGCGGCGGCCAATCGACCTCGGCCGGCCTCCCCCTCAAATATCGTCTCAAAGACGATTGCTTGTGTTACGGCAATCTTCCGTGAAGCTTCCTATGCTCAATATACACCGCAAAATGGCCGATTCCTTAAGGTCCCTCCCATTGGAACTATCATCCTAGTAGTCGGATACTTGTCCTGGGTGCTCTTGCTCGAATTCATGAACACTGACATTCCAGGGGCCCAGTACCATACGTCGATGGGGGTCCGAGCTGGTTGGCTGGCCGTTGCTCAGGTTCCACTGCTGATCTTGCTTGCTGGTAAAAACAACCTGATTGGATTTATTAGTGGCATCTCGTATGAGCGACTCAATGTCGTCCACCGATGGGCATCGAGGATGTTGTTTTTCCTCGCCACTCTCCATGTGATTCTCCTCCATATGGCATGGAACAAATATGGTCTCGGGGACCTGGAGTACTCCACCGATTCCTGCATACCCACAGGCTGGGCAGTCTACGCTATCCTGATCTGGATGAATCTCAGCACTTTGGCACCCTTCCGGAACTTTTCCTACGAGTTCTTTGTCGTCCAGCACATCATCACCTTCTTCGGATTCATTATCGCTGTGATGTTTCATTTGCCCGAAACCTATTCAAGGGTCTACATCTATATCCCGATTGGTCTCTATGTATCTGATCGGGGAATTCGATACCTCAGATGCGCATGGAACAATGCACGTCCTCCGAGAGCTATCATGACCGCCCTGGACGGTGGCGTAACCAAAATCACCGTCAAATGCAAGGCGATTAAGAAATGGAGCCCTGGAGCACACGTCTTCTTGTCCATTCCAAGATTCGGACCTGGGCAATCACATCCTGCCACTATCGCATCTATACCCTCATCCCATTCCGGTGATCTAGTATTCATCCTCAAAAGCCACAAGGGCTTCACCTCACGACTCCTAAAATCCGCCGTAAACTCTACCACGTCGCTTCTCCCAACCACCGAAGACTCTGGATCTCCATCACCTGAAACCTCGACACACATCGCCCTTATTGATGGGCCTTACGGCGGCTCTCATTCCGACTTCGCCACTTTTGACACAGTTCTCCTCATATCGGGATCTACCGGCACCACCTTTACCCTCCCCATCCTTCTTGACATTGCTGCTCGAGCTCAAAAAGCGCGCTTACCTGTCAAACGCCTGGTATTCGTTTGGATTGTCAAGAATACCTCCTGGACATCATGGACGTCTTCGGAACTCACCTCCGCCTGCGAGGCCCTCCAAGCAGCTGGCATTGAGCTTTCAATCCAGATTCACGTGACTTGCGACACCAACTTCACAACTGGGGAAGAAGATCAAATCAAGGAGTGTGGATGCCAATGTGACAAAAGCGCCGGCCCATGTTGCTGCGTTAACGTGGAGGAGCCTGACAGTAGCCAGGAAGCAATTGATGAGAAGGACCAATCTCTCGGCAAGGATGACCTCGAAGTTCGTCTGCAACCTCGGCCCAAGATCTCGAGTCTGAATTCAGGCACCAAGTCCCGAATCCTCCCGTGCGCATCCTTCCACAGCGGGCGACCAGATTTCTATTCCCTGCTGAGCGAGTTGTTGGAGGAAGCCGAAGGAGAGACCGGTGTCGCTGTCTGCGGTCCCCTGGGCCTGAACAGCGATGTCCGAAATACGGTGGTCAGGTTATCGGATGAGCGTGCTGTGAATAAAGGGACAGGAGCTGAGGGTATATATTTACATTGTGAGGGTTTTGGGTGGTAAGGTAGATACCAGATTACATGTGGGTCTTGAGCTTTTAAGCTTGGCGTTGGGAGGCGACTACATAAGGTACATCAATGAGTTATGAACGAATACAAATACATAATATGGTACTGAAAGTTCGCAAATTTCCTGTGCTATTCATTATCAATGAACCCGATAGAAAAGGTAAGGAAAGAGGCACGCTCGGTTAGGTTAGGTATTCAGGGGTAAGCACGCAGCCTGCTAAGAGAGAAAGAAGACTCACCACGCGAAATCAATCTATCACTAGAACCACTTTTATGGACGAATTATTCATTGATTCATTTATCAGTATCCATGATATATAAAATACATACATAAGACTCTCAAAATATAATTTCAAGGTAGATGGATGGACTAGATAATACAAGAAAGCATACCCATAAACTGCGCCGTACGCATCTATGCATTCCACTTCCCAAAAAAAACGTGTTTCAATAGCCAGGCATTATTCCCCTCGCAGAAGCAGAAGCAGAAGCAGTAGCAGCAGCAGCTTCGACATCGCTGCTAGTCATAAACCCATGATTCGCCGATCCCTCGTTATTCGTCGTCAATTCCCTCAATAAATAATCCGCACCTCCATCCTGATCCGCCCCCGCTGTAGCATGTTCATCCCCAACATACGAGCCGACGCCGACGCCAGCCCAGAAAGCTCGGGCGGCGCTGCGAGGGCCCCAGGCCCAGCCGGCACCGCGCGAGAGCGGCAGATGGTAGTAGCGGAAGGCGAAGAGGGCGCAGGAGGTGCCGAGGAAGTAGCCGAAGAGAATGTCGAAGGCGTGGTGGCGGAAATCGGAAAAGCGCGTCGAGACGATGTAGATACTGGATAGGAAGGGGATGATGGTTGGGATTAGGAGGTAGAGAGGTGGAGAGGCGGAGTGGGCGCGGAGGAGGGATGGGGAGGAGGCGGGGGTGTTGGGATTGGAGGGGCTGTGGGGGAGGTAGGGGATGGTGAGGCTGAGTTTGGAGGCGAGGAAGAGACTTAGATAGTTTAAGCCCGCCGAGGAGAAGGAGGAGTGGCCCGAGGGGAAGCTTCGGAAGCCGTCGTTCATGATGGATTTGTCTGTGTTTTGGCAGATAGCCGCGGTGACGAGGTTCCCGACTTCTCCTATGGCGTACTTTGACGCGTTGGCTAGATCCGGGTTGCAGCGGGATAGAAGATCAGGCTAGGGGCAAAGTTAACGAACTGGTAGTGGAGAGGATTGAGAGAGTGCTTACTCGGGGTCTGCCGAAGAGATTCTTCATTCCGTCGGTGATTAGAAATGCTGATGCTAGGGAGAGGCCAAGTCCAAGCCATCCTTGATGCCATTCCCACTGTATGGTTGAGAAGTCAGTGGTTACTCAATTGGGAACTGTTCAGGGGCTGTGGGGCATAAAAGTAAGGGGGTGTTTGCTCCCATACAATGTATGTCCCACCAGCGATGGCTCAAACAGGGTGGTTTTGCTTCCAAGGAATCTTACAAGTTTTCGTCGCCATATCAAAGACTTCGGTGTTGATTTTGATACAGCAGGACCCGGGACAAATATCATCGAGACTATAAAGATGATGACTCCCGGAGCCACCAGCCCGCAGAGGACCAGAGTCGACGTTGAGATCTTCTCCTTGACGACATATGGGAAGCTAATGTCTGGATCGGCGAGCGAGAATGGGCGTTTATTGGGCGTGATAATGGAGAAAACAGCGCCAACTACAGCGGTGAGTATTATGACTACCCAGTCAAGTACATATGAAAAGATCAATTTCGCCGAGACGCGGCCTGGACGGGCTCGCGGCTTCATGCTGGAGCTCATCTTGAGCGTGTCGGGGCGTTGAAAGCTGATTTGTCTTGCAAGCAGAAAAGATCTGAAGAGAAAAGAAAGAAAATATCACAGAAAAGAGAAAAAGAGAAGAAATGGAAGGCCAAACTTATCTCAGGCTTTGGGACGCGCAGATGTTGAAAAAGCCAAGAGGTCGAGGCACGCGAGCGACCTTCTCGCAACAGCTGACTGGCTGTCTATTGTGGCTTTGCTCTGGGAATTAAGATTCGGGTATTTTTAGATAGGGATAAATGCAAACGTTCAACGTAACAACCGTCCATTATAATAAGCCTGCCTCCTTTTGTCTATTCTTTTGAGCTTCTCTTCTCCAGGAAAGGCTGTTCTGTGCTTGGACTCTCTTTCTCTCTCTCAGTCGACGTCCAAGGCCGATTACTGTCACCAGTCTCTAGGCGGACCCGCGCGGTAGAGCTTGGAGCTTGGAGTTTGGCGCTTGAAGCTTCAAGAGGCTCGGTTCTCACGATGCCGAGGACTTTCCATTGGCTGTGGTTTGCCTACAGAGCAATGCAGATATTGCAAAGGTAGCCGCCGTGTTGTCGCGCGGCAATGGATGAAGCAGTGCGCTTCCCCGTTCCCCGTATCATTACGGCGGACTATGCGGACACCGGAGTAAGGTACAGCGGGGTTAACCCACCTTGGCGCTTTATCGGCACGTGCAGTCCCCGGGTCAAAGATTCTCCGGCGCGGGACAAAATGATATGATATTGCCATATGTCACCATCAACTCCGTATCTCAAACGTCGCGGGTGGAGAAGTTTAAAGTGGCTTTTCGTCATACTCCGTGCATTGCAAACAACTGCTGACGTAAGGGCATCGTAAGTCCGAAGGAGATATTGTGGAAAGCCTAAGTGATCCCATTCTTATAAAGCGCCAAAGCTCGCCCCTCTCTTCGTCTCTCACTATGTTTGCTCGTGCAGTTCGTCTTTCTTCGCGTGCTTCTTCCCAAATCTCACCTGTTTCATACAGACCTATTGCACTTCATCTTCACCTCCAACAACAGCGCAACATGACGACCCACAAGCTTAACACCGGTGCTTCCATCCCCGCCCTTGGCTTCGGTACCTGGCAGGACAAGGACGACCAAGAGGCCGCCGTCGCCGAAGCTCTCAAGGCCGGATACAGACACATTGACACAGCCAGAGGTGAGTTCTCCCCCGGAGAGACAATCTGTTCGTTTTTACGGCATTGGCTAACAGTCTTGGCTATGCAGTTTACGGGACTGAGCCCATGGTCGGTGCCGCCATCAGAAAGAGCGGCATTCCTCGATCTGAGATTTTCGTTACCACAAAGCTTTGGAACAACAAGCACAAGCCTGAAGATGTTGAGCCAGCTCTTGATGCATCCCTCAAGGATCTCGGGCTGGAATATGTCGACTTGTACCTGATGCACTGGCCCTGCGCTTTCAAGCCGGGTGAAGATCTGTTCCCCAAGGACAAGGATGGAAAGAACGAGACCGCCAATATCTCATACATTGATACCTGGAAAGCCATGGAGAAGCTGCTCAAGACCGGCAAGACCAAGGCCATCGGAATCTCCAACTTCTCCAGGGCCGAGGTCGAACATATCCTGAAAGAAGGCTCCGTTGTGCCTGCAGCTCACCAACTTGAGTGCCACCCCTGGCTACAACAGAACGACTTCACGGAGTGGCAGAAGAGCAAGGGTATCCACATCACAGGGTACTCACCTTTTGGCAACCAAAACGACATCTACGACCGTGGCAAGAACATGGGCAAGCTGATGGTAAGCATTCCAGTGTTTCGAGTTATTTTGCATTGCTAATTGCATCTCTTCCCAGGATGACCCAACTCTTGTCGAGATTGGCAAGAAGTACAACAAGACCGGAGCACAGGTGGCTTTGGCATGGGGTGTTGCGAAGGGCCACTCCGTCCTTCCAAAATCCAAGACTCCCTCTCGGATAAAGGCAAACTTGGAGGGTGACTTCAAGCTTGACCCTGAAGACATCAAGAAGATCACTGCCATTGACAAGAAGCTGAGATTCAGCGACCCGACCGAGACCTTCGGTTACAACTTCTACACCGACCTGGATGGCAAGCAACAGTAGAGGGTCACTCATTGTATATGACTATGATACGACGACGACAGAAAAACGAGATTTATATAGTTGGCCATTGAGTGGTTAAAATAACGATTATGTTGGTGACGAACGATCTCTATGATATGTGATATTCATACTCTTCATTTCAGAATCAAGTGACAGTTAAAAGACGCCGATTCCTGCAGCCCCTTGAGCACGTCGAATCGATTTGCCAGAGGTAAATACTCCATCTCCGTCTCCGTTTCCGTCTCCGTCTCCGTCTCCGTCTCCCTCCCTCTCCCCCCCTTTTTGAACCCCACCTCGCGGGAATCCCACATACCGCCGTCACCCCCCCACCCCTCCATCCCTTCCCCCTACCACTTCCTCCCCTTTTTTCAAAGCCCCCCTTTCCCATAAAACCCCCGAAATCCAAGTCAATCAATCAACTCACCGTCTCTTACCTTACCTAACCATCTACCGTGCGATGAATTTAAATAAATAAATAATTACTAGAGTCTGTGTTGAAATAGCGTGGTATGGGACGGGGATTCTAGGTTACACGGGTATGGTCCTTGAATCGGACTTAAGAGCAAGATACTCCGTACTCAGGATTTCACTGTGTTTGGTATATTATGCTTGGTATGCGTGGGCACACTGTAAGAGCGATAATAGAGTAGGAATAGGGGAAGTTGTCAAACAACGCCATTTCTATACTAGGTAGCCACTCTAAGGCTTGATACGACACGGAAACTTTGCGTCGGATAAAGCCTTGTTCAACGCCTGGCAGTGTAACCCATCACTTCTAAGAAACATTCATGAAAGAAAGACAATCCATAGCCAAATACTCGAGACTGCTTTTCTTTCGGTTCAAAAAAATTACGCTCACTGGCCCTCCCCTCGCACCATCTCTCTCTTTTCCAGCCCCTCGATGTTGACGTTCTCTTCTTCCTCCTCTTCCGAATCTTCGGCGTCAACATCCTCTTCATCCTCCTTGAAACCACTTTCGATCTCGAGCTTGCGCAGGCGTCTTCGCATATCATCCCTTTCTGCGTGCTGCCACCGTATCAAGGTCGCTGGAGCATGGACCTTGAAACCATAAATCCTTGGCACGTATCGATCGTAGCTCTTCGTAGGGATCAGGGCCGGATAAACTTGAAAAATGATGTTGTGGAAGGACGAGCCGAAGTAGGCACCATCGATAGCAGAGTGCCTGGAAGACTTGGGATTGTATATATCTTCACATCTGGCACAGTAGAGCTTGACTGCCTTCACGTTGGGGACGTCTGATTGGCCCATGGGCAAGAGGGGGTGTGACTTGCACATAACGCGTGGGCATTTCCCGAAATCGGCCTTCTTATACTTCTCGAGCTATGATGAGATATCAGCATGATCCTTATTAGGCTCTCGGATAATCACAAACCATCTTTGCCAAGCCCCTCGTCGTTACAATGTATCTTGCATGCACAAGTCCATAGAGGTGCCTTGCAGACTTTTCGATGGTCTCCCGCATTTCATCATCGCAGTCGAGATCGAAGACATCTGTGACAAGATCCAAGGCATATTGATAGTATTGTACTTCTGTATTCAGGCCGGTAAGATTGAATCGGTCCGTTAGATAATCCTCGTCAATTTCACAGAAGTATTCGTTCCCCCGCGAAGAGATGAACTAGAGAGAAATATTAGCAAATGGTCACCAATAGCCCAAGTAAAATAGGTAGAGAACAAGAAATTTCCAGGAATCTCCGGAACGCTGCACTTCTAGACGAAGCCTTTCTATATGCTCAGCTACTTCCGCATAGAAAGCCCTTCCCTCTTCGACGTCAGTGTTGCAGCGATGGTTGGTTCTGACAGCGATAACAACTTGCTCATCATCAACCCGCGTGGCTTCGACAGAAAACCGACGTTTTGGTTGAACCTCGACATCACTCAGCTGGCTTGCTCGCCTCTTGCGAGATATTGCAAGGTCAAGTGCAGCGATAGAGCGGTCAACAAGGGGTTCGTCGGATGCAGAGGCACAAGGATGGTTTGCTCGTGATTCTTCCATGCTTCGCAGGTGTTTGGCAGGTGTGTGCACTTCGTCGCGCGGAGGTGAGCTTGGATTTGGAGTGGCCGCCGTGATGCTAACGTGCTCATCCAAGCCGTCCTCCACCACAGTCTAGCAGGCATCGCACATGGCCCTCCTTCAATCCTCCTCCGTCCCTTGTGCCTTCCTCCAGAACGGGGGCGCATGGCGCAGAAAGTATGTCTGATGAAAGGTTCAGACTTACCCAGTCTCTCCAGTAGCTTGTGTAATCGCTATCCGTCTCGCTGTTGAAGTCATCCATGATTCAAGTCGCCCTTCAGCAGGTGCTCATAGGGCACTAGCCAGGTAGGCAGCTTCGTCCGCTGATATCGAGGAAGGCGTCCCGAGGCTGGCGTTGGATGGATGTTGGTGAGGCTCGGATTTATACGAAGCGATTTGGTGCAGGCGCGGGGCAATTGATCTTACTAAGCGGGAGGCCGCCAAGGCAAACATTGTCTAAGAGGGGCTATATGGAAAATAATCATGCAAATTGATGGTCATATTCAAATAATCAACTATTCCGGACTCGCTATTGAGACAAATACACTGCGCTATAACGCCCCTCTATGCCGCGAAATTCAAAACCCTAAGTTACTGTCCATGTAGCCTTTTCGCCGTGCGGTGAGAGATAGCCTTCTGAGCCGCTATCCTTTATACTGCTATCCGACCTTTCATCCTGGTCACTATCATCCCTACCATTCATATTGCGAGAGGAAGATTTGATCGCCCGCGGGATCTTCAGCCTGCTCCCTTCAAACATGAAGCTGCTGTTTTCAAGTTGGTGCCCGGGGCTTCTGAGATTCACGAGCTCTAACGCCTCCACCAGCGTGGCTCCGCTCTCATCCAAAGCTGCTAGAAATCGTGCAAGCTCTTTACACAATTCCCAGTCCCCTTCGTCCTTGGCTCTTGCGAGCAGCCGGACCAACTGTTCCGAACTTGAGCTTAATTCCTCGAAATTGTGGAGGATAAGCAAGTATCCACCAGCTGTCTTCAGCAAGCCTCTCCGAAGAGACTCCTCGAAGAGCTCCTGAGGAGGCGGTAGGTATGTGAAAAGCGTGCGCCATGATCGCACTTCCGTCTTTCGGGTACATTGCACCACAATATCAAGGTATTGGCTGAACGAAGACAAAAATGAGAGCACACCAGGTAGCAGAGCGGTCTCTGGAGGCGGTGCTGTATCTACTTCTTCGTCAAGAACATTGTGAAGGAGGATCTCTAGAGAGTGGGCAAAGTATGCGAGGTTTCGATACTGGTGAGCGAAGTGTAATGCCGCAGGCGAATCATACCGAGCCAGATGGAACCGAAGAACCTGAGGTATGAACAAGTGAGTCTGGTGGTGGGTTAGCACAAGAAAGGTATTTGGAGTTCTGGAGATACAGACCCCTACGGTGAATCTGAAAAAAGCGAAGCTCACATCCCTGCGCTGAACAATCTCAGGTTCAATGCCAATAAGGATTCCTTTCCCTAGTAAGACTGATAAGGGGTAGAAATCTATCGGTATTGAAACCATCGGTGGTAACTCCCGAGCCAGTTCCGTAGAGGCAGATCGAAGTACATCCTGGACATCGGTCCAAACCTTCATATCATTGCCCTCAAAAGTCCATAACGAGTCTCGAAGTGGGCCATTTCCCTCATCCTGACCATTTTCTTCTCCGGCTGTTCCGTAAACCGACGCCCCCACACCTCGTGGAGGGTTGGAAACCTGCTGATCTCTCATCAAAGCGTAGTATTCGACATTTTGAGAGATTACACGCATATCATATTTGAGTTGGTTTTCCTCGTTGAGTGACGGCTGAAGGAGAACCAACTTGCCGTCAACGAGAAACAAAACAGTGGCAACAGCAACATCCTGTGATGGGTCGCCCTCGACTAGCTGCTCCTCTGGTAAGATCCAGCTGAGACCCCTAACTCTAGCAGGCGACCTCACGATCCCGTGAAAGGCAATTTGGCCAACTTGAACAAGTTTGACTGTTCTAGATGTTGCCATAAAGATATAGTGATATAAGAGATTGTCATAGGTATAAACCAAGAGCGAGTCGTCCCCAGAAGGTGCAATGAGAACAACAGGGGCTGGCAATACCTCGACATGAAGCACTAACGAATTGTCAAGCGCTGCCTCGCGAGAGAAGAGGCGTATTTCAAAGGATTCTCCAGCTTCCACAGCAGCTATGAGAATATGTTGATGCCAGCACATACCTCCTCTTACCTGGAACTCGTTTTCCATATTTTCATTGACGAAAGTTTTCCATCTCCCGCTGTTGACACTATAGTGTGCCAACCCACGCCGACCAGCCACGGCGACGTATCTGCCGTCAGCAGATATGGCAGATGATCGGATTGGCCACTGATCCACCAAGTAACTAGAAGGTATCTGGGCAATGTGCCACAAAGATGTTTCGGCCGATATTGTTGTCAAGTCGGGTAGATCATATCCTCGGTATATCATTAAGCTTGATGTGGTTTGAAGTAATGTTCGAGAAATGTTGGCTGAGGTATAACACCCAGTGATGGCGCTTCGAGCCATCTCCATGGTCCATATACGATCATCCCGTAGGCCAATCATTAGAATATCTGACCCTCCTCCAATCCAAGCAGCTTCTTTGATGCCACACAGCCAGCCTTCTTCGTTTTGCTCGGAAAGATTTCGATCGGCACTAAAACTTGTAGCTCCAGGCTTTCCAAATACACTCCACATAGCCCAACCATTTTCATATCCAGCAAAGAGACAATATCCATCGGGAGAATAAGTTAAACATGTCAGACGGCCTGAAGATTGTCTAGAAACCGAGGCTTTGTGTGTGTGTGAGGGTGGAATATTACCCACATAGTCTCTGGCCGTGTAGACATGGATTGTACCATCTGTACAGCCAATAGCTATGAGAGAAAATCTAGCATTAATAGCGGACTTGGTTGCATATGATCCAGCAGTATGGGGAGTGTGAAAACAGTAACCCATGAATAGTTTCTGGGGTGCCTCTGTGTCCGTTGACGGAGAGACCCGTTGCACGGCATACGCTCTGCCATCGCTGGTAATCCAGGTAGACAAGTTCATGGGCCGGTCATGAACCATCTCCGTAACAGTCGACTTCTTCGACAACCACTCCATCTTGCTAAGCAGCTCAGTACTTGTCTGTTTTCCGGTGCTATCGGGGGTCCATCGTATGCATTGGATAGCTGCCGGTTTTTGGGTTGCAACAACAATCTCATCATCAAGTGCCAACGCTCTTCCAATACCAGCATCCACCTTGATCACCATCCGAAATCGAACACTTACATCCCGGACCCCTCCTCCTTCCCCAGGTCCCCAGAGAATCCTGTCTCCCCCTTGACTTCGTGTCCCACTAAAATTACTCTGCCTCCGGGCTTGACCATTTATATGATTCGCAAAATGGGGTCTGTATACCCGAGTGTCTGGATCAGTAGCCAAGCTATATGTGATGAGGTAGCCGAGCGTAGTCTGAACGACGAAGATGGCAGAATCAGGTCGTACAAGCAACGAAACATTTGGCCCGTAAGTCCTCAGAGATTTGCTGGACCTCACAACCATAGCTAGTATGGCGGTTGGCTAGACTAATTAGAAGTGCTGGTACCATAGGCTGGGATAGCATACCTTCGTCTGCCATATTGTCAGAGACGTTGATGTTATGACAGCAAAAAGATGCCCCGTCCTCGATACTCTCAGCGCCAGTATGGGTTCCCTTCCTGCGAGTTCTGAAGCTCTGCCAGGTACAGAAGAGTCGTGTTCGAGGAGTCGCGCTGACAGAGGACGTTGATTATCTTGTTCGACAGGCTTGATACCCGGAGTCATTGGGGTCACCGGCGTGGACGTCCCAGAAATGGGTTCAAGGCTGTAATCTGACCTCCCTCCTGATCCATTGCTTGGGGCATCCCCTTCAACAGAGCCAGTACCCTCAGTTGTTTCGCGCGATTCGGCATCATCATCGGACTCGACAACGCGCTTTCTTGTTGTCCTGCTGTTGCTTGCTGCATATATCCGGGGTGCTCCAACGGGCCAGTACATGGCGACGCAATACCGCTGGATACTTCATTCGTATGCTCGCATGCCAGCGAAGTGGCACAACAATGGGCGCACGTTCAGAGAAGCTCTTGGAGTTCAATTCATTTCGAAGGCTGAAATACTGTAAGTATGCAGTCGAGCTCGCTCCTTCGAAGGTGTACTGGATGCAACTGGTACGGAGGAAAGGGGGCTATTGATTGGTCGGTTGACGACGAAGTCCCTGGCTGTGTCTCGCCCCATCCCAATTCGCCCACCCATTCCACGAATACCATTCACCTCTTCTTCAACCTTGTCCATCTCATTATCCAGTGAATATATGCCATATATCCGTCAGCTGGATTATTACTTGTTGATACTTTACTGGCCGCAGAAGTCGAAAGTGTCAAGGTACCTAGATAACTTTTTCAGTTTGCCTCTCCGTACTCCTCCTTGTATTCTGTACCTGCAGAGAACCTAGGATCTACGCCGAGAGATGGCGCCGCCCCCGCGCCAAAGGCTGAACGTCTCTAAAGAAAGATTCTCTTTACTTTTCAGTACTGCGAAGACTCAAACCTACCACGATCCTGGATCAAGAGGGCCAGGTTTTCACAGGTACGTCTTTACAATCTTCTCCTGTCGCGTCCTAGCCTCTTGTTCTTTCTCTCCACGGACGTATCCTTGTATATGCGATCTCAAAACGTCATCCTACACAGTCATAGGCTTTCTTTTTTGGCCAATTGATCATGATCGTATCCATTCTTGGTGAAATTCAATGACCTTTTCTCTTTGGAATTCTCTTGACAATGAACCAAAAAAAATGTGATCAATCAATCTCCTGTCCTTCATAAACCGAATCAACAAAGTAGTTGAGCGGCGTCACCGGGAGTCTGAGTCACTGTATTACTTTTGGTGGACAAGGAGAGGACAACTCTGAGTTTTCCAGGTTTCGAAATGACACGTTAGTTCTGGGTATTCGAATGAAAGAGCTACATAAACAGAGGCGTTGAACCATGCGACTATTTCTTTACGTCTTCAGCAGTAGCTGGTTGTTGAAATTCCAGTTTTCCACTCCAAAGCTAACTTACAAATTGTAGTCTACGGACGATTGCCTGGAATCCCCTGGGTACCTTGATAGCCGCTGGATCTGCAGATCGAACCCTACGGGTGTATGAACCAAAGTCCCCCCATAAACGGCCTCTGCTAACTCTTGGTTGATTTAGTTGGAATCCAGACCGTCCTAATGTGAAATACTCCACAGATCTCAAAGGTCATGCGGCAGGGATTGAGAAGGTCGCCTTCAATCCTGTAAAGGACGCTGAGCTGTGTAGTGTAAGCAGCGATGGCGTCGTCAAATTTTGGGACGTGCGTACAAAAGCCGTGGTCAATGAAGTAAAAGGTCTCGGCGATGCCTTCACGTTGGCATGGTGTCCAGATGGAGAAACACTCGTGGTTGGGAACAAGGTACAGATTCCTCCCATCTTGCTCGAAATCCTATGACTGACAAACTTCAGGCTGATAATATATTTATCTTGTCACCAACGCAATCGACACCAATAGCATCTCATCAACAGTCTGTTCAAACAAACCAGATAGCATTTTGCTTTAGTGGCAAGAAGATTTTCCTCACAACCGGGGAAGGGAAAACTAAAATTCTTTCATACCCTGACTTTAAGCCGATTTTTCATTACAGCTATGACCCAGATACCCCTTTTACACTTAATGGCCATACCTCATCTTGTCTCTCAATCGAGATGCAACCTACCGGGCGATTCCTTGCGACTGGCGGTTCGGACTCTATCATAGCCCTCTGGGATACAACGGATTGGATATGTCAGCGGACGTTGATTGACATGACTGGGCCTGTTCAAAGTATCAGTTTTAGTTTCGATGGGAGTTTCATCGTGGGCGGCAGCGATGAGGGCTCTGGATTGGAGATTGCACACACGGAGACTGGGGAATATGTTCACAGCGTCAAGACATCAGGGGCGTGCCCTGTTGTTGCCTGGCACCCATCCCGGTATTGGCTTGCCTATACTGATCTCGGCAGTCTAAAGATCGTTGGTATTGATCCAGAAAGGAGATAAAAGCAGATCGTTTGTTACATCTGAAAGAGGAATTGTACATTACCCATGACGTTTTCCGGAATTCTCCAAGCTATGGTGGTCACAGTATCGGCTTTGTCTTTCTATCCCGGTGGCCGTTGTGTATGTTCTTCTAGTGATGTGAGTAAATATTGTACAATGTTGTCAACTCTGCTGGTTTATTCTTTTGTTGTTCTCGTTCTGGAGAGCATTACTAGAATTGTCTTGGTGACTTGGGATAGCAAAACAAACAGCTTCCTTCCCGCTTTGGTGTCAACCGTGTGGCTACAGTGTTTGAATGGTGATATGATTTGTATGTCTCTTGATCGCATCCCTTTCCTAGGGAATGCCTACTTAAGGTACCTCCTCAGCTTCTTGATGATAGCACGTGATCGGTCCAATATCTCCCCGGCTCGTTACTCGCACTGAGCTACGGCCGAGTCGCCGCTGGGCGATGTGGCATGGCCGCTCGGCTAACAAACCCAAACGCAACGGCGTTGTTGCCTTGAGGTCCTGGGTCTTAGTTCTGACATACTGAGCTGTACGCAGTACGTACAGAGCACATGGCTGTTGTTGTTCAAAGCGAATCCTTCGAGTCGCGCGCCCTCTCGCTTCTGATCTTCATGGCATCTTGTCTCGTCTCTCTTCTCCTTCTTCCAAACACATCCCCCCCTCCCTTCAAAGCCCTTCCTTTGTTCGTTGGCAGTGAGATCTCACTCCATTGATGTCGGAGTTAAAGCGAAGCGAACGCCGACTCGTATAATCCGAATTTAATTATATACTTTTTGGAACGAGCAATTCCCACCGCAGACTTGGGGAGCGCGGGGCGCAATCTCAGGTCCTCTGTCCTCAAAACATTCAATTTTCAGAATGAATGTAATGAGAATCTTTTGGCAACCCACCAGAATTGCATTCGCATCTACCTGCAACGATTTAGCGCCCATCTAGGCGGCTATCCCGCAAGCATCGCATAGAGCTCCAGTGTACCATTTCTCATTTTTCGCAACGGCAGGTTGAAATCTAGCAGGGTCTGTCTTGTGAGGAGGCGAGGTTTGGTTGAGCTTATTGCAATCCTTGGAAGTGCGCTATAATATTCAGACAACAAACATCTGTGTCGAGACTATGTCATCTGCGTCAAATACCCCTCCCGAGGGCTTTTTCAACGATCTCTCCCGCCCAACAGGGAGCAATGGACGAGACAGTCATCAAAGTCTCCCTGTGGATGCGAATGCTACAGCTGGGGGAGCAAGCGCCGGTGATTCTGTTGTCCCCAAGCCCAAACGCATCGCTTGTATCATATGTAGGAAAAGGAAGCTCAAGTGTGACGGATCAAAGCCAAGCTGTTCGACATGTACGAGATTAGGCCATAGTTGCGCGTATGATGAGGTTCGCAAAAAGTCGGGGCCAAAACGAGGATACGTAAAGGCCCTGGAAGAGAGATTAAGTACGTCTCCCTAGGGCTCACTTGGAATATCTCTCGATATCAAATTACCAAACTAACAGGCTCACGTCTCTACAGAACAGGTTGAGACATTGCTCAAAACACAGGACCCTCTGGTATCCGTACCAGAAGCTGGACCAACAAGCTTCACAAGCAGCCAAAGCTCTGGAGTTGGTCTTCAGCCTGTTGGAGCCACAGATTTCGGATCTCAAAATCCACCTGGAGGAGTTGTAAATGAAGTTCCTACAGAACGCTGGCGTTATAATGAAGGATCTCCTCAACAGCCAATAGATGATCTGGGATTTAATCCTGATATCAATATGAGTATGGGGCTTGACGATACCCCTTTCACTTGGGAAATGATTGGGCTTGGTCTTGAAGAGCCACTACCACCTCGAGAAACCATCGACGAATTGTACGTGGTGGGCTTGATACACTCTCCAGACAACACGCTTACATGCAAGCAGACATCAAATATACTTCGAAAAAATACATCCATCTCTGCCGATGATACACAAGTTTCGGTATCTCGCAGCAATGAACCTGTAAGCTATTGGAATTTCCTTGAGTGGATTTTCCTCTGGTTTAAAAAGGGCTTACTCCCTCTGTCTGCATGCCTGATTTGGGATCCACTGGATCAAGTGCCGCATGGCGTCTGGAATATTGCTTTATCTCTTGTGTTTCAATTTTGGAAACTTCCCTTTCTGATAAGTTATACTTACCGACTCTTAGGGCGCCAAATCAACGTCCTCCAGTTACCTTACGATATGCTATGTGGACGCTCGCTGCTTCAGTGTCCGAGAAGTACATGCATCTCAAGGACCATTTCTATCAGCGATCACGGAAGTACATGGAGGCCGATTACCTGAAGGGCCATGGTGAACACATGATATCTGTCGCGCACGCGCAAGCACATGTTTTACTAGCTTCGTTTGAATTCAAGATGATGTATTTCCCGAGAGCGTGGATGAGTACAGGTTCGGCAATACGTGCATGTCAAATGTGAGTAGTAACTCTCACGTCAATCAAATTTCTGCGTGCTGACTCTGCACAGGATGGGTCTCCACAGAATAGATGGAAAAGGGTTGGATGTAAAGCAATGCCTTCCTGAACCTCGAGATTGGACGGAAAAGGAGGAAAGACGGAGGACTTTCTGGATGGCTTTCTGCGAAGACCGTTATGCGAGCATCGGAACAGGCTGGCCGATGACCATTGACGAGAGGGATATACTGACAGACTTACCTGCATCAGAAGAAGCCTTTGAGATGAGTAAGCCGGAACAGACGCTGTCGCTCTCAGAGTCGATGAACCTTTCTGGGGCATCTAAGCTCTCTTCCTTTGGAGGAGTTGCGTTGATGGCTTGCTTGTTTGGCCGGAATCTTGACCATTTACACCGGCCTGAGCCTAACGACTGCGATGATGATTTGAATGGGGAGTTCTGGAAACGACACAGGAATATGGACAACATCCTCCTCAACACATCACTGTCGCTGCCTTCACATCTGAAATTACCCCATGGGCTATCTAATCCGAATATCGTTTTTACTAATATGAACATTCACACGTCCACAATCTGCCTCCACCAGGCAGCGATATACAAAGCCGATAAAAACAAGCTTCCAGCTTCGATAAGCGCAGAAAGCAAGGTACGATGTATAACTGCTGCTAGTGAGATTGCTAGCATCATGCGGATGGTTTCTCATATGGACTTAGCATCTGTAAGTCTTCTTCCTAATCAAGGCACATACGATGCTGATAGAGCCTAGATGAATCCGTTCGTGTCATTCTGCTTGTATGTAGCGGCTCGCGTTTTTGTTCAGTATTTGAAGAGCCGTCCGGACGATAGCCAAACAGGAGACTCTTTACGATTCCTCCTTTCAGCCATGAACGCTTTGAAGAAAAAGAACCCTTTGACCGAGTCGTTCTTAGTACAACTGGATGTTGATTTAGAAGGTCTTGGTATGCGAAATCCTAAATATAAACCCATCTTCGCATATAGCGAAGACAATGTAAGTCCACTCAAGCTGCCGCTCTCGGATATCGCGACTGACAGAGATAGCTCGGGCTCTCAAGTGCAAAAATGCCTCCTCGCACGAGCAGACAGACCCCCAATGGAATGCCTCGACGCTTTCAAAACGAGTGCAATTTCATGATAATATCTGAGGATAGGGAAGTCCATTTGGACAATAACACTCCAACAACTTTACCAGATGCTTCGACCGATTCGGGCCACGAGTCAAATCCAGCCTCTGGAGTAGAAGCAAGTGCTGTTAATGATGCATACAAAGCTTTCGATGGCGGGAGGCTCAATTGGCTTCCCCTCCGAGATCAGCAGACTGGAGATCTGGGACAAGACGTTCAACGCACAATGCAAGGTCTGGTTCTTGGTTCAATACCTCCTGCACCATATGGGGAGCCTGGTAACTCCAGCAGTTCGGGCTACGTGAACAGCGGAGGCAGCAATACTGCGGATACGGGCATGTCCCCCGATACAGGTCGCTCAGGCTCTAATCGCCCAACGCCCAACTCGCCCAGCCCATCCGAACCACGGCTGAACATGCAAGCGGGACAGAGTAACCCAGGTGGCAGTCCTTATGAGACCAGCTCGGGAACATCACATCAAGTACAACACTCAACCTCCCACAACAGAACGCTGGACTCGTTCTTCTCCACACAACCTGATTATAGCGGTATCCCCGCAATGGGCCTCGCATCCGATAATCCCTTCAACATCCCCGAGACGCCCAGCAGGGACTTCCCACCCGGGTGGGAGATGACCGAGCAGACAACAGGCTTAACGCCTATCGGGGAAGGCGTATTCCGACACCTCTACGGACTCGGCCCCCTGGATCCTATGCCCATGGATCTCGGATGGGAAGGGAACTCCTAGGCAGACCTCCTCCTCCACTCCTCTAATCGAAGGCGAACACGGAAGTTCTGGGGGGGCGTTTTTTTTTTTCTTCTTTCTCTTTTTGGAAACAGTAAGGCATATATCATCAGGAGTCGGAGTCGGATAAACATGTAGCGCTATGGGAAACACTCCTCTTGGAACGCCATACTTTTGTATGCGTAGGATACATACAGGATACCATTCTCCTTTTACTGGGGCGTTCTTTTTCTTCCAGCTTGTAAAAATAAGCAAAAAATACTTTACTCTTTGAGCTAGGGGAACTGGCGTTGCTCTTCTCTTCTCGCTCTTGTCTAATACCGAATATGTATATCGATGGATAGGTAGACAGCTACGGCAGGCATGTATAAGAAAGATTCTGCTTCCAGACCTAGATTCGTGACATGGCTTCTCTCTCTCTCTCTAGCTTTTATGAAAGTGATGATGATGTTCGCGGCGAGAAATCAATGGATACATACACTCATGCAACGAAAGAAAGGAACCAAGTAGTGGCCAGGTTGAATTCTATCATCTCTGTCTTGCGGGAGCCGAAGCACGGAATGGCTGCATGCAGAGCGATGTCCCATTACTGCGGAGAGGACTTGTGGTATATGGAAATGTGTGAAGCTTCTTACAGAAATCCTACAAGGACCAAGTCTTTTTGGCACATGGTCTAGCTATCTCTAATTTATACACGGGAGAGACCCTAAAATGTACTGAATGCACCCTATCAACCTCCGGGAGATAGATCCTCTGCAGATCCCATATCCGGATTAATGAACCGCCAACGTTCTCTCTCTACGCCACTCTCCGCTTTCCGTGGTTCCTCTCGCGCGGTGTCACAACCCACTTGTTTGGTTTTCTGACGTGGCGGGTCTTGTATCCACCTTTGGCCTACAATAAAGTTAATGGGTTTTCACGAAGAGAGGCGGTGGTGGAATTCTCTAGACTTACAGGCATACCCCAAGGACTGACTGGATTGACATTACCCTTGGATTTTCCTCGTCCACCACCGTGGGGATGATCAGCTGCAGTATGATTAGCTCACAAATCGTGGCCTAGGTTTGAAACGGAATGCCTTACCGGCGTTCATGGCAACACCTCTGACTGTAGGTCGAATATTCAGCCATCTCGACCGACCAGCCTTACCAAGTTGCCGATGCTGGTAATGGGGATTGCTGGCAACTCCAACAGTAGCACACGCGTCTTTGCTGACATGTCGAACTTCTCCGCTTTGAAGGCGTACAGTGACGTATTTTTGGCCGCCTTTCCCATCATCATCCTTCGAGACGACGATGCCGTACGTCCCAGCGCTTCTACAGAAGACAGCCCCCTTGCCCTTCGTAGAGCCAATATTGTAAATCTGAGTCCCAACAGGAATCATATGAAGTGGCAAGCAGTTGCCTCGCCAAGCAGTCTTCGCAGCCAACACACCAGGATCTACTACACCCCCCATACTCTCCAATAGATCCTTTGGAATACCAGCTCGGTAGCTCTGCACTGTATCCCCAGCCCTCATGCCTTCAGCAGCTATGATGTAGCTCTTTCGGCCTGTAGCCTCTTCATTGAGCAAGGCGATATGCGCGCTTCGTCCAGGATCGTGCTCAATTCTCTCGACGGTGTGTTTTCCGGGGGTCATCCGGTCGAAATCAACAATTCTTATTCTCCTCTTGTGACCACCACCTCGATGTCTGACGGTGACTCGACCGCTATTGTTTCTTCCTCCTTTCCCATGGCCCTTCTTTGAGAATGTCAGTGGAAGAAAGGGCCGCCCTTTCCACAGGTGGTCGTTGATTGGTCTTTTGAGATGCCGTACACCGGGGGTTCGAGGCTTATACGTCCGCATCATGAAGGCGGCATTGCTATCGTCGGTGGTGACAGGTGGCGCAAAGCCAGCTGTCTCTACAGGAGGAGGAGGAGCTGCGACTTCCACATTCTCGACGACTGTTGCATAGGTACGGGGTAGAGACTGCCGGACAGAGAGATATCTGCATGTCGCCCTCGAGGACTGCCGCAAGAGTAACCTTGGTTGCAACATTGCGGGCAGAAGCAATTGATCCGTCCGCCAGAGGAATCTACCTCGCAATGGCGTATAGGATGGGTCGGTGGGGATGCTGTCGTCGAATGTCTTGCTGGACTCGGAATTTCATGAACTTCGATCGATTTAAGCTTGGTTTTGCGCAGCCACAGTTCACTTCAGCCACACTGCTAAAGATGCCTGAGGCTTTAACTTGGTTGCCCCGCAGATTCTGGTTGCTGTCAATAAAGCTCCACCACTCTCCACCCACTTCAGGGCCACTTCAGACTCGCGAGTTTCCTTTAATTCCTCGGATTCTACGCACCATTGACACCAAGGAGTACCACCCGCGTATAAACCCTCAGACCAAGTTCCCCTGGTTCGTCCTACGTACAACTCGCGTCCTCGAGTTGATTTTGTCTCTGCTGCACAAGGATTTCGCGTTGGATTTCCCGTGTGTCTTGGAGGGATTCTCTCTCGCGCTAAATCGCCAGGCATAACAAGCGAAAACCATACACATCCAAAGCTCGTCCCTTAAGTCTTCACGTCTTTCCAACCTCTCTAAACACAACAACAAGCCCCTCCTACCACTCCTCTCGACACCCTAATACCTCCTTACTTGTGAATCCTTCCTTTATCATCGATCCTAGGTGACGCATTGAGTGCCTCGGGGACACTCCGTCACCGGTTTAGGAACGGTACACAGAGGATATCAACATTGTTGATATCTGGCGAGACGGACTCTATACAACGCCCATAACACCGAGAGTAGGACCTGTCTGGGCTCTAGTTGGTCTCATGTATGTATCCACCTCTTCCTCTCTCCTTGCGAAGGCACGGTCGCGTCGCGGTCTCGTCTCTGATCCGCCCAGCCACTACGCGGTCACGAATTTGATATCGCGTTTTACTGACGAGCATGCAGCTTCTACCTTGAACAACATCATCACACATAATCATTAATACTTCTCACAACAAAAATGCCTCCCGTAAGTCAAACAAGACACATCAAGGACATGACCTATGGTCATGATCACAACAAACAAACCGCTAACAAATATATCAGAGTCGAGTAACCACCCGGCGGACGGTCACGAACGAGAATGACGAGAATGGTACCGCGTCAATGCGTCTTACCAGATCCAAGGCGGCTGCATCCAATGAGAATGATGTCAAGAAGCCACTCCAATCCAAGAAGACCGCGGTCAACACGCAACCACTCCGCAGACGTGCCGCACTCGGCGACGTGAGCAATGTTGCTAAGGGGGAAGTCATGGAAGGAAAGAAAGCAACTGCTAAGGGTGGCCTCGTGTCCAAAGCAGCACAGCCCACAGGTGTTCAGAAGAACCTGTCGCGTACCAATTCAACCCGATCGATACTTGGTACAAAGGACACGAATAAGAAGGCCGAGGTGAAGCGTACTGGTTCTGGTGTCATGGCAGGAAAGAGAAAGACGAGCGCCACATCCTCAAATGCATTGTCGATAAAAGAGGAAACTCCAGCTGAAGATGAGCAGCCATCGAGAAAGAAGATACACCTTGAGGCCCAAGAACAAAAAGCTATTGAGGAGTCGAAAGAGAACAAGGCTGAGCAGGAGATTGAAGCGAAGGAGTTGGTTAAGCAGTTGCCTGACGATGTTGACGACCTGGACCGTGAAGATCTGGATGATCCATTGATGGTGGCTGAATATGTTGTCGAGATCTTCGAGTACCTGAAGAAGCTGGAGGTTGCTACTCAGCCAAACGCCGATTATATGGACCACCAAGAGGACTTGGAGTGGAAGATGCGAGGTATCCTCGTTGACTGGCTCATTGAGGTTCATACACGCTTCCATCTCCTCCCTGAGACTTTGTTCCTTGCAGTCAACATCATCGACCGCTTCCTCTCGACAAAGGTTGTTCAGCTCGATCGTCTTCAACTAGTCGGTGTCACAGCCATGTTCATTGCCTCCAAGTACGAAGAAGTTCTTTCTCCCAACGTGGCGAACTTCCGTCACGTCGCTGACGATGGCTTCACGGAAGAGGAGATCCTTAGCGCTGAACGATACGTTCTCTCCGCCCTCAACTACGACCTGAGCTACCCTAACCCAATGAACTTCCTTCGCCGCATATCAAAGGCTGACAACTATGACATTCAAACTCGGACCTTGGGCAAATATCTCATGGAGATTAGTTTACTTGACCACCGCTTCATGAACTACCTTCCAAGTCACGTAGCAGCTGGTGCAATGTACCTGGCACGCACTATTCTTGAGAAGGGCGAATGGGTACGTCTGCATTGTACTGCTATTATTTCAAATGCTAACATAGGCCAGGATCCAACCTTGGCCCATTACGCCGGCTACACCGAGGAAGAAATTGAACCCGTGTTCAAGCTAATGGTCGACTACTTGGCACGTCCAGTCACCCACGAAGCCTTCTTCAAGAAGTATGCAAGCAAGAAGTTCCTCAAGGGTAGGCCATGCTCCATCTCAAACTGGTTGACTTGTGCTAATTTACTTCTAGCCTCCATTCTCACAAGACAATGGGCCAAGAAGAACGCTGCGCTCCTCGGTATTGATGTTTCTTTGCCGTTGGACACGACTTCCCGATAAACAAAAAGTCCTTATTCATATTCGTACACAACTGGCTTCCATTGCTCTGTGCTCTGCTGGATATGCCTATTGGATGGGTCACGGACGGAATTTATGATAGATGGATGCGCCTTTTTCAACTACCCATAAACATCAACTTGCTGGATCAGTCATGACCTCGAGCTGGGCAGGGGTTGTGCGAGGTTATCGTACAGTTGTTGAGAGGTGGGGCTGTGCTGCATTATCATTTCATTTTCTATCATTCGGCGTTTATGTGTTTTTCCCGGCAGTACGGCGTATGGCTTTATCCCTCCTGTTGTTATTGCCTCTGAGAACTTGTCTGATTGCAGGGGATTGACACCAAAGCCCGTGCAAGCTTCCATCGCTATTGTATGCGGAGCCGGAGGCTTTTGTGTTGCTAAACATGGTCACCTTTGTAGATATACTCACTGACAATCAATTTTCATTAAGATAAATCCGTTTTGTTGCTATTGCCATGGGGATCCTCGTTCCTCTATAGGCTGGGGACATAAGGTACACATCAATTGTTTTCAAGACAAATTAATGAAGGTAGATAGGCTATGGGGCCCACTGCTGTAGCTAGGAAATATGTATTACTAGAAATCAGAATCACAACCAAGTGCACTCATCGTCAATCTCTTCCAACTTCCTCCTAGGGTCGTGGCATGCTCTCAGCACCAAGTGACGGCCAATTTACTGGCCACTAAAAAGGCAGCTTAAGATCAGCTTCAAGGATCAAAATCAGACTCAAGGTCATGGTTTAATGTAGAACAGATTAAATATAGTCAAACTTGACATCGGAAAGTCTCTGGTTTGCATAATGAGCCTTAGAGTCAATCCCTTTGTAAAGCTTTGGACTCGTACGGAAAACTATACGGATTGTAGAATGATTTACCAGCAGTTCGATCTAATACTCTGGTCATAATCACCTGATTGTTTGCACCTCCATGAATTGGGCAAAAATGAGAGGGACTGTCAATAATCCAGACTTCACTGAAGCGGAAATATCATATGTATTTCGGGCGGTGAGTTACGCAATCTGTAGCACCTACTCAGATAACTTTCCCCGGGGTCATGGCTAAAATTCCAGGCTGTGAAAGTCAACTATCCAGATGGAGTGAAAGTTGAGGAAAGGGGGGTGGCAACCTCAAGCGAGGAACTTTAGCGCGTTCTCGATAAGAGCTGGAGGCTGGAGCTTCATCGTCAGCGAGGCCGAGCCGCAGAGACAACAACACTCGAGAGTCATCCTAAGCTCGCTCCACACACCTTTGCTTCCCTCGGAGCCGAGCATATCAGTCGCCATGTCTCTAGATCCCCCAACCTATCTTTCCTCGCTCCAGATCAACATTCGCCAACGGCCAATTCCCTGGGATGGCGCTGTCCGAGCTGGCACACTCAGTGAAGATCAATTGAGCAAAATCCGAGCTGTTGACAAGGTCAGGAAAGAGCAGAGGAAGGAAGTTGTGGAGAGCGATCTGGCAGGGTATCGTACTCTGTTCTTGGGCGGTGATGGGAAGCCAAGTGTCTTTGAATCGGCCGCAAAGCGCGAAATTGTTGTCCAATACACCTTGGTACTACTTGGCGACTTACTCGATGGTATATATGCCTGTCTGTTTCAACAAATATGGATAAGGAGCTAATGGGGAATTTATAGGTATCCCAGAATTTGCGAAAGCTCTTTCTGAGCACCCAAATCCATACAAGCCTTTCCTACCTCTCCTGGCGCAATCGAGCAACCCCGAGGACCCCATTGGACTTCTCACTTCCACCGTCCTCACGAGCATGATCGCTGGAACACCAAACCTGTCAGAAAAAGCGGCATCGGCAATGCCCCCACTGCTGTCATATTTGTCGACATTGACAAAAGCCTCGGATGGAGGTCTACAAGATATTGCGGTGCTCGAATATTCTGCCCTACTACGGGGGAAGAAAGCAAGAGAGATATTCTGGAAACAAAGAAGTGAAACGGTGGCGCCTTTAATTGAGATTCTCCGAACCGCAGTAGGCGTTGGTGCGAATGGGGATCCTGCCTCGACGTTATGGAGTGGTGCTGCTAGTGTACGAAGCGGCGCTGAAGGAACCTTAGGTGGCGGGGTCGGCTTGCAGTTACTCTACCACGTTCTATTGGTTCTGTGGCAGTTAAGTTTTGAGGGGGCGTCTATTGGTGATGGTCTTGAAGAGTAAGTCGAGAAGGAAGAAATAACGTATGAGGCACAGAAGCTAACTTTTGAATAGCGAGTACGATATTATTCCTCTTTTTACACAACTACTGAGACTATCACCCAAAGAGAAGATCACTCGACTTCTCTTATCATCACTATACAATCTTCTCTCCTCAAACAGGCAATCTTTACTGCCTGCGGCAGTGCTTGCACGCCTCCCGACCCTCTTGCAAAACATAAGTGGCCGTCATCTCACAGATGAAGACCTTCTGGACGACCTGAAAAAACTTAGCGATATGCTTGATGAGTACACGAAAACACAGACCACGTTTGATGAATATGTGGCCGAAGTAAATTCTGGGCATCTCCGGTGGTCACCACCGCATCGACATCCCACGTTCTGGGCAGAGAACGCGCGGAAAATTTTCGAATATGAGAATGGCGAGTTGCTCAAAAAGCTGGCAGTTATCTTGGGTAAATCTTGGGACAATGATAAACAAGTCCTTGCTATTGCATGCAATGATGTTGGATGCCTGGTAAAGGAGGTTCCCGAGAAGAGATACCAATTGGAGAAGTTGGGTTTGAAGACGAAGGTTATGGAGTTGATGGCTGACTCAGACGAGACTGTCAGATGGGAGAGTCTGAATGCTCTGTCGGGATGGTTGAGGTACAGCTTTGAGACGAAGTGATGCTGTAAACCTGGCACTTGTAGCTGTATTATCATGAGCTTTATCACGAGCCCGAATTGGTTGGCCGAATTTTGCATCCAAAGCCCTTTTATACGTAGTTTTCAGTAAGCAGTAATAGCAAGGTAGTGCTGGAATGTTATAGTAGAGAGCAGAGGGAGAGAATTGTTTTAAACTCTGGGTTGACGAATTGAATATCTTCTGAACGTGGTGAACTCTTCCGAGACAACCCCCACTTCCAGAGCCGAGCTGTCTGTCTTATCCCCCCATCCTCCGCGAACTACAACTGACAACACCAACGAAAAAAACCTTCAATTGCAATTGCAATTGCAATACGTTGGCCCATCATGAAGCATCTAAGAGCCATATCAAGTGCTAGCGATGCTGCTCTAGCTTACCGCATTACATCGCGTAGCTCGCGTCCATTTTCAACAGCTCTGACCAGAAGAGGCACATCGCATCCCTGCTCCACAGCATTCACGCGCAACCCGACTCCGCGACAGCTAGGTCTTCCAAAAAGGCTTCAAATACCAGTCCGCCATGCATCGACATCTGCCCCCTCTGTTCCACTCCGCAAAACACCCCTCTACGACCTCCATGTTGAGCACGGCGCGAAGATGGTGCCCTTTGGTGGCTTCCATATGCCCGTACAGTACTCTGCGCAAAGCGTCAGCGCTTCACACCACTTCACCCGCAGCCATGCGTCTCTATTCGACGTCAGCCATATGGTACAGCACCGCTTTAGCGGCCCAGGAGCTACCGCCTTCCTGGAGAAGATTACCCCTGCTTCGATTACGGAATTGGAAACACACAGGAGCGGATTGAGCACGTTGCTGTGGCCTACTACTGGAGGGATTGTCGACGATACCATAATCACAAGATTGGGGCCGGAGCTTTTCTACGTGGTTACAAATGCGGGGTGCCGGGAGAAGGATCTCAAGTACTTCACTGAGCAGTTGGAGGAATTCAAGAAAGCCGGAGGGGAGAAGGTTGACTGGGAAGTCTTAGAGGATTGGGGATTGGTTGCACTGCAAGGACCGTTGAGTGAGGAAATCTTGAACTCTGTGCTCGTGGAACCTGAGGAGGCAAATTTGAAGGAGATGTATTTCGGGCAGAGCAAGTTTCTGAAGGTCAAATTGCTGGGAATGGATCTCTCAAGTCCGTTGTTGGTTAGTAGAGGAGGATACACCGGAGAAGATGGCTTCGAGATCTCGATTCCCGGGGATCAGGCAGTTGCTGTCACAGAAGCTCTCTTGCAGACTGCAACACCCGAACGCCTTCAGCTTGCCGGTTTGGGCGCTAGAGACAGCTTGAGGTTGGAGGCAGGAATGTGCCTTTACGGACATGATCTGGACGATACCACCACACCGGTTGAAGCAGCTCTCAGCTGGGTCATTGGCAAGAGTCGGAGAACTGGTGGAGGATTCCACGGCGCCGAGACTATCTTAAGACAGCTCACGCCAAAGTCGAAGGGCGGCAGCGGCGTTGACAGACGCAGAGTTGGATTGATCGTGGAGGGGGCTCCTGCCAGAGAAGGCGCTGTGATTGTTGACGAGAAGGGCGAGAAAATTGGAAACATCACAAGTGGATGCCCAAGCCCGACCCTATCAAAGAACATTGCAATGGGATACATCAAGGATGGCTTCCACAAGGCTGGCACAAATGTTGAGGTCGTTGTCAGGGGCAAGAACCGTAAGGCTCAAGTTACAAAGATGCCATTTGTCCCCAGTAAATACTGGAAAGCTGCATGAGAGATCGTCCAAACAGAGATTTCTTATGTCCTATCAAGTCATAAACTGAGGGATGAAGATTTGGCAATCTTCGACAATGTCAGGCATTTTTCACTGGGTCAAGGGTTTTAAAAGGGGTGAGGTCGGTCTCAACTACCGGGAGATTATTATCGATTGTAACGAGATGTCGGATTAGGCAAAAAAGAAAAAAAACATGTCAAATTGCGGTTGTCTCTTGTGTCGTTTCACGATTCCCAGAACCGAGAATGGGGCACAAAAAACCCACGTCAGACGCAGAAAATATCATGGCCATCCGAGCAGACCAATGATCAACTGTAGTGAGGACTCTAATTCCTCCTTCTTTGCAACGAGTTCCTCCACATCCCAGTTTGCCCAGACGAACTTGCCTTTCAAGATACCAGCCTCCGGACTTGCTACCCAAACAAGGAACGAAACAGTGAGTTCGACTATCAAGCCATTAAGAACTTTGATATTCGAGGGGAACACGGGAGACGCACCATCATCAAAGGGAAGAACCAAGCCTGCGTCAACACACTTCTTATTCATAGGAGTGTCCAATAATCCCGGATGAACTGTCACGGTCCCGACATGCGGAATTCCCCAGCGCGAAGTACTCCACCATCCTAGTCGCCGCCAACTTGCTAATTATATAGGAGCCCATTCCCGGATGAAGAGTCGGGGTATGTGCACCTGCAGTGCTTACTAGGATCAGCGCGAGGTTTCTAGCAACATGAGCAAGGAAATTTTGGCCCAGAATCAGATCCCCCCTAACGTTTACATCGAAGCTTTTCATGAATTCATCAACGTCAGCGCAGCTCGTGACAGGAACGATATCTGGCAGATAAGGTACCCCGCGTTCGCGACGAGGATATATCAATAGGGCCGAAAGTGGAATGGGTCGTTTCGAAGACTTGGTTAACAGAGGCCTGGTCTAGGATATCTGTGCGGAGGGCGAGGATCGAGACTCTTGAGTGCTTGAATCTCGATCTCTTTCTGGGTGGTAATGAGAGAGATGACGAGGTTCGTCCGATGATGACTAGGTATCTTGATAGACCCGGATTTGGCAAAAGAGCGTGGGTGATGTATGGACCAACCCCTGAACTGCCGCCGGTGATGAGGCGGTGGATAATTTGGGGCGTGAGGGATCGATCAATGGCTGGGTATGAAAGACTTTGGTGTATTGTGGGAAAGCCCTTGTGGGGTTCCAGAACGAGATGTTTTGATGTGAGATATCGTGAGATTAAGATGAGGTCTTTGACTAGGTTCAATACCGGGTTGAAGCCATACATACATGTTCTCCTTAACGATTCCAATATATGACTTACATAGATATGAGTCCCAATGCAAAACCACCTCTTCTCAAATCCCCAGTTCCGCATCTCTGAGCGTTCTTTACAAACCCCAACCCAGGTTTACTCACGGTAAAAGTCTGACCATCATTCCTAGGATTTGTTATCTGGCAGCGAGTTGTTAGCACTCAAGAAACAATTTTGAATTCTTGAGCTTATTCGGCGGCTTTCTAAACTGGCTGCCCCCTTCGAATCGAGAGGAGTGAGGAGGGATTCCGTGTCTTGTTTTTAGAGTTGTCTGCTGGCGTTCTGGATATGTTTTGGATGTGTCTTGGTTGGTTGGTATGGTATTAAAAAAAGGAGAAAGGGGGGGGGGGGTGTCACGCAATGCAACGAGAGAACGAGAATTACAGATATTCGACCTCTGGATTTACTCAAAGACTATTACGATTCTATAAAAGTGGATACACCAATTGCACGAACAAGAGAGGTCACGAACAAATGTACCCGTTATCTTCTGGTATACAAAAAAGGCTTTTCCACATCCTAAAAATCCATCTATATAATTACTCCACTCCATCCAATACAATCATTTTTATATATACATTATCATTCTATCCCACAGTTGTCAATACATACGATGTAATTGCACTCATTCTTTCGCTCGTAAGCTTGAGAGAGATCCGAAGAAGTTCTTGCGCCACATCTGGTTCTTCCTCCTGGAGCCTCTCCCAGTTTCCGCGATCCAACAGCCACGCTACGCAGTCGCGCTCCGCTTGCACTGTTGCGGTGCGGTCCGTTTCAGAGAAGAAGGGAAGTTCCCCACAGGTTGTTCCCGCAACTATGCTCTCAAAGTAACGGCCTTGTGGTAGGTCGTAATCAGCTCGAAGTATACCGTCCTCGAGGAGGTAGAATCCTTTGGCTGCTTCGCCACGACGGTATAGAATTGTCCCGGCGAGATATTGCTTCTTGACGAAATATGGGACGGCACGAAACCAGAAGTCCTCGTTCTTGTCTGTCAGACCTTGGAATGTCTGGAGGATGAGACGTAGAGGCTGCTTGAAATTCTGGTAGCGTGACTCCATAGGATTCTCATCGAGGGTTGTGGCCGCAGCTTGAAGAAGCTGGTTGCGCCGTGGTGAGCTGAATTGGGTATCAATCGTGTGCGAACGCGACCGACCTCGACCTGGAACATCGAGATGGTCGGCAGGAGGGTTGCGGCCGATTCGTTCTTCTTTACTCGCATAGAAAGATCTCAAAAGATCGTTCTCACAGCTCTCCAATGCTGAATTGAGATCCGCAAACATCCTGACTTCATTGCTATCATCGTCTCGGCCAAGACCAACTGCGCGGAGACTCATGCCTAATGGGCCCTCTGGATCGACGCCGCTCATGACCAGGATAACACCCTTTCGACTAAAAACTCTGTTCAGGCGGCTGAATGCCTCCGCAGCCGAGTAATCGATGCCTGTGACGTGCCAGAGGTCAAAGATCAAGAAGCGAATAGGCCGCTCATTGAAAGCTTTATCCTCAATCAGAGCACGGATACGCGTTTCCACGCTCACTATCGTGCCGAAGAAGAGATAGCCGGCTAGCTTCGTGACGTGGATCTGTGTCCCAACGTTCCGAAGATAGCGATACTGGATGGGATTTCTCCGAACTGTCGAGCCAGCGACTTCGCCAGAATAGGAAGCGCGCACTGCTGAGATTCGCGACGTCTGGACCACGAGTGATACAAACGCCAGGCCAATGCCTACGAAGATCCCGACCACGAAATCATAAGTGCCCATGACGAGCACGATTGCGACCACCTGAGAAGTTACAGCACATCAGCCCTCCGCAAAACTGGTTGATTAGAAGAGAGCTTACAGTCAGATACTCAAGGGCCTTGAGCTTTTTCCTCGTATCCCAAATAGCCTCTAGACATAATTCGAACCCAAGCAGAAAAATCAAGGTTCCAACCATCATGACTGGAATAAATCCTATGACGGCGGGACCCAGAAACAAAACCCCCATAGTGAGTAGGGCAAGCATAATTCCAGCCAGCCGGCTACCGCCACCCGCCTTCAGAAAGAGGACACTGTTGGAGTACACTAGGTAATTCTGGATGCTGCCCGCAAACCCTGACAGGGCATTGGAAATGCCGTGAGCAATAAGCTCTCTGTCCAAATCCAAGTTGTCTTCCTTCATACTGAAAGCAAGTGCAGGGACATTGATAGGGACATGCAGTACACCAAAGAAGGTCAATGCAAACATGGCCGGGATGGTTTCCGCTACGGCGCCCCAGTGTACGAGTTTAAAATCTGTCGAAAGTAAGTCGGGAACAGGGAGGTATTAAGGGTTATCTGCGACATACCGTATAAGGTATAGAAATACCACCATGGCTCACCAACCTCTGGGCCCTTGAAAACCCATCCAGTCTTCCGCAGGTTTTCCGTGTCTAATTCATCGAGCGAGAGCACGAAGAAGTAGAAGACCGCCGGGATTGTCAAGATATATGCTGGGAGATAATACTTCGAGGTGATCTTCGATTGGGACCAGTAAAGGAAGACAGCAAGAACCAATGGAATAACCCATAAGATCAAGGTATTCGGCTCAAGCAATTTTTGCAGTGTAGCCACATCGTAATTCAAGTTGCCATCTAGTCGGGCGGTTACTTCAAAGCCTGTGGCGATTAAGAACCAGCCGACTCCCCCAATACAACCAATGAGTATATGTCTGGGGATGAAACCGACGATATACCCAAAGCCACAAGACCCCATTAAGAAGAAAATGAAACCAGTGAGAACAGAGCTAATAGCGTAAGAGGTAATCGTTGTAGCAATGACAGCTTGTGGATTATCCTCTCCCACTTTAGCCATTATCATGAATGCCATCTTGTGAAAGAAAGGGACAACTTCAATCTATATCTTGGGTAAGCAAAGCACTCATATCGGAATGTCAGGCAACAAACCATTTCTGAACCAATTCCCCCTTTAAAGATACTACCCCCGCAAGAATACACTAATTGGGCGACGATAGTGCTAACATAAAACATCGAGATACCGGCTGGGCCAAGCTTTTCAAATATTGGTTGTCCAAGAGGAAACAATATCATACCTGAAAATCGTTCGGATTAGCATTGCTTTAGGGATGCAAGGAGCTGGATTGAAAATGGACAGCCATGCGCTCCCGGTCCAGACTTCTTCGGGATCCAAGCGATTTAGGGATAGAAAGCGTCAGGGAACGGGAAATAGAACATACCATATGACAGAGCATCCAAAATATTGAGCAAAAGACCGAGGATAACTGCAGGAAGACAAGAAACAGGGGCCACAACGGCATCCCGCCAGATAGCTTGCCGATTCCATCTTTTCGGATTCAAAACCGTCCGAGCAAAGTCGACCCCTTTTTCCTGCGGCCATAAGATAATCTTGCGGAACTTTAACCACGAAGGTTCCCTCCTGATATCTTGACCTTCAATGTCATGATGCCCTCCGATCCAGTCAGGATGATGACTCTCAAAAGCTGAATCCTTCGATATTAAAGGTGTTCGCTCTGTAGCGTCTACTCTAACACCGTTTGGCGTTATGATCAGACGTTCCTGCTCCACATCGTCGTCCGTGTGATGCGAGTTCCTGTCACGACGGCCGTCGTCTTCGCTTGGTGATGGTCTATTCGGAGGTTCGTGCCTCAGCATGTCTGACAGGATTGAAGTACCAGGAGATGGCCCACTCTCTGGCGTGACTGGCTCTGATACCTCCTGTATGACTTCGGTGCGGATGTCTTCAGCATCTCGATTCGACGTTGTCTCACTTTCGGACCCTTGATTGAAGTAGGATTCAAGTTGGGTAGGACGTTGGCGAGCTGGCGGCGAAGTACTCCGTACGGATGTTTTGTCTGAGAGGGCGTAGGAAGCTAGCTCTGCCGTATCTTCTCTGACATTTCGAGCATGCTGTGTGCTATCGACAGGTGCTACACGTCTGATTAGTATCTGTAATACGAATTCTTTCGTTTTCTTGCGGCGAACCTAAAGCTCCATGGTACGAATGGTGGACGTATGACCTTATCGGTTCTCTCTGACCAGAGGCAGTAGCAGGGTTGATGGCTGAATTCTGCCCAGAATCCCCCCGGAAAGAACCATAATTGAAATTCGACGTGGCATTGGCCATGCCGTCAACAGAACCTGAAGCTCCCGGTATCGAACGGGGACTTGAACTTGATTGAGAAGCCATCGAGGAAGTGCGGAATCCTCGACCTGGGCGGGAGGCAGAAGACGATGAAAGTGACATGGCACTTCCCCTCTTCTACCACGATTGGAGAGATACCCAGTCCCGTTGGCCTCGCGCGCTCGAGACTCGAGGAACCGGGGGGTGCCCAGAGCAAGATGCAGCAGCAGAGATGCAGAGGAGAAAGGCTATGGGAGATGTGAAGACGAGGGAGGACCCCGACTCTTCCGCTAAGCTAGATAGAGGAGCATGGTTATCTAGGGCGGGTACAGAAATCTCAGAGACTTAGTCGATAGTCGATATCGATAGTCGATCCTTGCAGCAGGGCTTTTCAGGAAATGCATTCCGGCATTCGTGCTTCTATGATCATATCATATCATGTCGATGGTGAAGAAACATGTGATTTTCGCGTTGTGGCGCTGTGACAAAGCACCCGCCACACGAGGGGGATCTTCTGCCTACGGAGTTCTGCACGAAGATCTTGGCGCGTAGCGACGCTGCGTGTTTTGATGCGACATTTTAGGTGCAAAGTTACTCTCCAATAACATCCCAGTTGCCAGAGGCCGAAAGAAGCATCGCGGTTGAGGAGACAGGGATTGAGGGATTTCCCATCAAGGTGCCGGCAATCGATGTCTCAAACATATATGTAAAAATAAACATGCAAAAATAAATATACAAAAATATATTCCATTTTGTATGCGGTGTTGATATTTGCAAACCCCCGTCTACTGCAAATACAATGGTACTCCATAAAATTCTATTCATCACGAGAACGCTGATTGACGCAATTCTAGCGTTACCCGCTGCAAGTTGCAAAATCTGCCTGCAAAATTTGATCCTGGCATGATTGCGGTTTATATTGTTTTGTTCTATCACGAGGTACTACGCTATATACCTTGTACACAACGTCAGATACCCCGTACATGCCTACCTTACCTATCCTACCTCCGTAGAGACGAGTATACCAATATCAACTACTGAACCCATCTCAGTAATACAGGCATTAAAGCTTTAAAGCAGGCTCATTCCTTTGTCTGTTACTTGCTCATTTACACGTCCTGAAAGCCTTGTAGCGATTGATATTGACATCTTTGCAAAAAGTTATTCCCTGTCCGATAAAAATATCCCTGCTGCCCCACCACAGTTCTCTCAGCTCAAGATCCTTGGATTGCGTCCTCGAGATCTCTGCTCTTCCACAGAACTGTGGCTGGCGGTACTACCTTCTCTCTCCCTTTTTTTCTTCGATACGAATGCACGCTCCACTTGCAGTTTTTTTGCTTCCCACAGGCGCAACCTCTATCTAGCCCCTCTTTCATCCGGTCTCACTGCGGTGACCAAATCAGAGCACCTATCGGATCAGATCAACACCTCCGCGACGTCTCCTCGATCAACGAGCGCCTCCACGATGTCTCGAGTTCAGACTCTATAGAGTATGAGCTGGTTTATTCTCCAACCGAAGGTGGTAGATGGCCCTTCTTCACGTGGGCACATCATCCCCGTAGACTATTCTCGAAGCCGTTTCAGACCTCCAGTCTTTCAGCTGAGCTTTTGCAAATAGCCCTGTGCAATCAACCGTTCGACATCTCCTTGACGGACATAGAACTGAGAATTCTTGGTAAGATTGATTGTGCTACATATTTGATTAGCAAGTTGTGGTCGGAAATTTATATTTAGACCCACCCGTATTCAGTCTGTATTTCACCAGCATCTTTCAGGACGCGAACGTCGATAAATAGATCTCGCGGAGGCTCCAGACTGCCTGTCAAATCGATATCTGTCCATTGTCCCTTGTATGCCGCAAGTAAATCGCTGTATTGTCGAACGTATTCCTCCTCCTCGGGACTTAAGCTACTGCTGTTGCCCTCGCTATTTCCCAAATCCGCTCCTCGGTTCTGGCCTTCATTGGGACCTTTCTGCTGTTGCACCGCTAGGTCTAATATATCGTTACCATTCCAAACCATTTCCTCTAACTTATCGGTCCGAGTACGGTGATATGCGAGTAGACATCTCTTGTTTCGGCGCATGCAGAGGTGGTCGACGAGAAGCGTACAGGCTGTTGCAGGGTCGGCAGAGGGATCGAAGTGCCCATTAAATGACTGGAGAATATTCGTGGCATCCTTATCCAAATCTCGTACTTCTCGGGTCACGGCGCGTACAATTTCAGTCGCGTAAGGGGGAAGATGTTCAAGCTTTTGAGTCCGCTTTGCTTGCTGGACCTGGACTGAAGGTTAGCCCGGGCTGAGGAGACACTTGGTGGGTTCTTACAAGCTTATTACCCAAGTCGCCATACATCTGAAAATGACACAAATTTTCAACTTGCGAATTGGATTCCTTCAGCCTTCTGCTCGGGTAGAGAAGTACCTACGCACCGTGGGACGTGGCGCGCTTAAATTTTGCCATAAATAGATGTACCTACCACACCTTAGTAATGTAAGTATAGGATTTAGACGCCAGTAGCGCGATGCTTGACCTTTGAGCTTGACCGCAGCCGTTATCAATCATCTGCATTGCACCGCCATTTGTGGAACTGCAGCGATAGGTGACAATGGTACCATTCAATACTTCGAACGATATATCCTTGAAAGATTTCTGCCCTTTGACTAGGGGGAGGACGGCTACCTGCATGAACAATGGCCTTGTTAAAACAAAAGACAGTCAGTCTACAGCCCATGCTCAAACTTATCAGATGGCAAACATTACCCGCGATCACGGATGACTGGAGGCGGCTGCAAATTATTTCCTACGTGGAGTAGATCTATCATAACCTGCGCCAGGCAAGAACTCCCTCGGAACACTATTGGAAAGAAATTCAAGAACCTGCAGCGCCAGTATCGCTTCCACAAATGCACTCAACATTCCCTCCTTATCTCTTGCCCTTTCCTTGGATGACATCTCTTACTCAGGCCCCTCCCGGCTTTGGAAAGGTCACCCCTAATCCGCTTTCACTAGTCTTCAGCTTGCATTCATCCAGTTATCAAATTCCTGGCTCTCGTCGAGCGATTCAACGTGCCAACCTTCCTGATGGCCTCTCAGTACGTGCATGTGCTGATCATGGATTTGTGTGCTATTCATTGCGAGCTCGGGGTCAATGTAACTTAGAGTGGGATCATGGTGGTTTCGGTCCATCATGTCATACGGAGACTGCCATTGCTGGTCGTCGTTCTGACTACCGCCATCGCCGAAAAAGACACCTTCTGGGTGAACCTCAGCATAGAGTCCACCACCGTACGCTATTTGCTCCTGTGGCATCAGAGAAGGATCGATTTTTTGTTCTGATCCCGGGTGTGCTCCGTACTGGGGGTACGGATTCATCATATCATACTCTTGTCCTCCTGGAAGACCAAGGTATGAGTGAACACCTGGTGTTGGCGCTTTTCTGATTATGACGTCCTCGACATTGGCCATATTTGGATTACTTTGAATTATCTGCTGGTAGTACTGGTCAGCACGCAGGTCCGCCTGGTTGTATTGCGCTGGAAGCGGCTTTCCAGGATTAGTGGCTTGGTAGGACGACTTGTTATAGCCGCCATAGTTGGGCTCCACTGAGTTGTCTCTTGACCCATATCCGTAAGCCGAGCGCCTTGTTGGGTATGAGACTGGTTGCTCTGGCCTAGGCGTTGACCGAGGCCGTTTGAGTCTCTTCGATTGTCCATCATGCCAGTCGAAATCGTCCAGATCCGACTCTTCAGACATTGGCTCTTCGGAGACTTTTCTTTTGGGAGCCTTGGTTGTCCCTGGCTTAGTGGGGGAGAATTTATACCCCGGATGCGCGTTCTGGTGATTCTGTCGCTCGATTCTGGCCCACTCGCTGAATTGCTCCTTGACCGAGTCCGGTTCCAAGGGCCAGCTGTCGCCACAGACTTGCGAGACAACTTGATGGTTGTTTTGGAGGCACCAGTCTTTTGTCCGGTTCTGGTACGCTTTACGATAGAGCATGAAAGAATTCATAGGACGCTTGACTTTCCCAGGGAATTTCCCATCCTCGACTTCTCTCCGTCGCTCCTCCGCGGATCGGTTCACATATGCTTCGATATCTGCCACCGGCACATGTGTCCAATCTTTTGTTAATTCGCTCAGCGGCTTTTCAAGTTTTGCAACTTTCTTCTCCGCTTTTACTTTGTCCTTCTTGGCTTTCTTCGCCTTGGGCGATTTCCCAGCCCGAGAACGCTCTTCAGGCATAGGCCGCAGATTCTGCTGGTTTCCCTGGGTACTATATCTACTTCTTGTTCTTGGCATATCGCGGTTCATCGATGGAGTAGGCGGCGAAGTCGCTGGTGTGCTGTATCGGTCTTGATATATTGACTCTTGATACTCCGGGTTATAGTTATCCTGCTGCGATGTTAGTGGGCTGCTGCGGTGCAAGATATCACACCTCTTACATATTGTATCCCCAATCCTGAATCTTGATGTTGATGGTATGAAAATCTAGGCTGCTGGCTAGGATGGCCATATAATTCATCCTGCCCAGGTGTTGGCGAGCCGTAGTTCGACTGTAAATGAACTCCCTCATCATGTTGGTATGGTTCTTGTGGGTAAGGACTATTCGCATTGTGTCGAATGATATGTTGGAGTCCATGCTGGATAATTTCGCCGCCATTCGATGGTGGCGGGGAGAGAGGCATGTTGGTAGGTGGCATTCCCTAATACCGTGTTCAATGTACTGTTGCACAGGCTTCTTAAAACTTGTTGATATCTGGCAACGTTTCTGGTTGGCGGAGCCTTGGGTATATGCTGGCTAAGTGGCTCAGCGGTGTGGAAGATATCCTGTGAACAACTGATGCGATGTCCAATATGCTATCACTGTGTCGTTGAAGCCGGTGTCGATCTGATGCAATCTTCAAAAATCCTCTCAGAGAGGCACTTGATAAGAATCGATGCTTTCACAAACCTTCCTCCTGATCTAATTGGTGGTTGTGAAGGCGAAGCAACGTGGAAAGCACATATGAGCCTCGTCAGTAACGCGGTCAGAGATCTTGGCGGCGAAAGAAGTGCTGAATCAAGTGAAACCGGAAGTATCTTCCTGAAGGAAGACCAAGAGCTTCTAGAAGGAAGATCTTTCAATCTTCTTTCGCCTTAAGAAAGAGCATCTGAGGTTCCAATCATTAGATTCTTGCCTGAGAAATGAATCAAGTGCGAATGGTTTGTCTTTTCTCTCGGGTTGCGTAGTATCAGAGAGTTTGGGATGAACCTATTGCAAGAAGCCGTCCTGCAGTAACGCGCTTTCTCCTTAGCAGCACGATGTTCTGGAACCGTAAAATCGGGAGACAGAGCTGCCAGTGGCCAGTGTCCGACACCCCTGAGACTGATGCAGAGGCTCTGAGTCTGCTGTATATCAATATTTCTTTGTTGGATGATGTGTCAAAGGCCTGTTGGAGGGAGCAATGACTCTATTCACAGTAACAGTGTAGGAGCGAGGCGGTCTTTGTTCAGAATTCTAAGTCCAAGAAAGGATTTGGGGTTGAACTTTATGTACTGTGCACCTCAATATCTTTGATGAATTAGGAAATCCTGACAAGGTCAGGGTGCTGTTTCCGGCCAATTACTGCATCCGCTCTAATGCTCTCCGCAACCGCTGGGCCTATAGCAAAAATCCTCAGAAGCGGACACTACCCTTCTTTCGCATGCGGATTCAAATAGGCACATGGATTCCCCAACGGCAACTTCATAGGATGGTGAAAACATGGATTCATATTGCCAACATCACTTCATTATGGCGGCTCATGCCCATCCAGTATTCCATTGCAGCATGATAATGGCCTACATCCTTAACCAAATCGTTGATTGCTCGTTGCAAGACATCACTAAGACGCGTTTCCGTCGAGGCTGCATATGAGTACAAACAGCTGGCCCAAATTTTGAATTAACACCCATGGATGGGATTTGGAGAGCTTCTCCACCAGTTCACGCAGAGGTCCCCAGATACTATTAGCAAGGACAACCCTGCTGCGTCTGTCGGTCGCGGATCCGGTGGCGAGGAATGCTTGCTGTGTTACACGGATCTCCTGCAAAGCTGTCTCTAGGCTGAGGAATGCAGCCACCACAAGCCAGCGGTTCAAAACTGCCGAATGCACAATCTATTTTGAGCGCCGTGGGCTAGAAAGCATGGGATTCATAGACGTCTGTATCTCCTGGAGGTTTTGGCGACAGTGTGCAGAGCTCACGATAGCACATACATATCACCCCGGCATTGATCATGGCAGGCCGCGCGAACGCGAACTCACCGGCTACCTGCAGTAGCGGCACTGCACTTATGAGATGGCAGAAGGCTGTTTGGACGTCGGTTTCACCGGTATCCGGATGCCTCCCTGCGCTTATTAAGGCAACAAGCCCTCCAGTGTTGATACTGGCTGCCATGAACAAGTTGCGATTCTCAGACTTTGCTCGGACTCCAAGCCTCTACCCATATCGGATCTAGGATGAAAAGCTCAACGCTCTGGCTGAGGGGAAGATCGCATAGTGCTATTTAAGTATAAGCCTCCTCACGATCTCCCCGTTCGTCTCTCCGTATTAATTCAGCCTACCGATACGCAAATGAGCGAATGGAGCGTTCGAATCCTCTCGAGATATACCAAGAGCTAGCTGTTGCCACTGTACCAAGCAAGAGCAGCGTGGAAGCCACATGTCTAAAATATAGTTCCCGTGGCCAAATGATGGATAACCCCGTATTGGCTGCTGACAACCATTGCGGCTTGAGACAACACGGGCCAACGGGTCGCTTCCTCACTTCTCCTTACGCGGCCAGCCTGCTATCCCAGGATGCTGACACCAGAACTGTATAGGAGCATTCGAAGGGGACCGAGGACAAGCCCTGATTGCCCATGGTTGGACACATGACGTTATTATGTTGAGTGCCTGTGGTCGCAAGCAGTGTTCATGTGGTTTGGGTCCTCATTCCGCGGAACGGGCGCCCTGGGAGGAAGGAATGTCCACTGGCTGAGCGCGGCATCATGTAATTTATTTCACAGATAGAACTTATTAATTCTGCGGGGTTTCTGCCGCACGGTGTCGTTGTGTCGACGAAAAGAGAGTCAATTATCTATCATGCATTTACCATCTCCCTTTAATGCAAACGCTCTGTATACCATACATTTTCTCAGTACAGCATCCCTTAAGAGGGCCGGCCACCCATCCAGACCATGCCCACACAAACTTCCGCCCTCTCGTGCGCCATAATCTGAATCCCAGAATATTATTCTTTTAGTACAAGAAGTGCGTGACCAGATTTCCAACCAATAAAGACCCCCCACCGCCACTGAGGAAACCCATCAAGCATTATCCTTTTATTCAAGAGTTGCCGCCTTTGTTTAGCAGACAAAGGAAGCATCCGATTAAAGCGCCGTCGTGCCCACGCAACCTGCTAGTTCAACCAAAGACAACATCAGAAGCTCGCGCCATGCCCGTTCTCACGGCTCCGTTCGGGCTCCGAGGGCTTAACCGGTGGTGTCAAGTTTTGGAGCTGTGGACTGGGGGACAAAGAGGCCACCGGTGGCAAGACTGATGGCGTGGCCGAGGCCAGGTTTCCATTAGATGTCGTTGGTCTGGGGGGTGAATGCTTGGTCGGGGAAAGTCCTGTCGCGACCGGCGGAAGGGGTGAAGAATAGCTTGGATCCCCAACTTGCTGAAATTGAGAAAGCTGTGTTCCGGGAGACAATGCTGACTCCTGCTCGTTCGGCCTCGGATTCATCGGCGGGCTGCTGGATAGATTAACAGCCGGATGGCCTTTGTTCGCTGGCGTCAGTACCGGGGTGCCAGAAAAGGGGGACGGCAGGTTGATTGAGCCCTGGCGATGATATCTATCATTTGATGCCGGAAACTGACCATTCGGGGCCCGAGACGGGGATGACTGTCCGTTGCGTTGAGATGTAGCTGGGGAGTAGCTAGCAGTGTTGTACTGAACTGGCGTGCCTTGACCATTGCCATTGATGAAGGAATAGGACTCGTGCTGGACGGGCGGAGGTAGATTAGTAGGGCTATGTGGATGGGGAGATGAGAACGCATGCGCGCTTGGAGGCCTTTGGACACCAGAATGAGCAGGAGTTCCGCTGTTAGCATAAGGTGAATAGTGCTTTCCGCTAGCAGATGCACTGCTGGACGGTCTGTCGTAAGCCATGGCGGTGGGAGCAGGCGCTGGAACGGAAGGCATTGCCATCTTCGAAGGTTCCTGAGGTACTTGGTGACCGTTACTCTGGGATACACCCACAGCAGCCTCTTGTGGAACGTAAGGTACCTGCCACGGCGTACTTTTCTGGGCAACACTCGGAGTGAACTGGGCTGTTTCCGTGGGAACTTTTGTTGTGTTGTCGTGAACGGTATGAGGTGATGAGTGAAGATCTCCACTGCCGTTTGCACCTGACTGATCTAAGACTGCTGGCAAGCCACTCTGCGTAGGAGGCATCGCTGAAGAGGAGGATCCCGGTCGATTGAGCTTGATCGTTATTGGGGGATGAGTCTTCGCTCTTTCAGCGTCCTTCGCACGGCGCTCACAAGTCTTGCAGATGAAATGGAAATCATCCCGCTCGGCCTCCTCACGGCTAACACCGACACACTTACTGTGCTGCCAGATATTGCACCTCTCGCATGCAATGCTATGCGTGCCGTCGTCAATCTGACCATATGCGCCACAAATGCAGTCAAAAATCCAATCTTCCTCGTTCAGTTCTTCGAGCGCCTGCTTCTTTCTTTCTATCTCTGCCTTCAGCTGTCGCTCTGATAACCGGGCTTGTCCCGATTCGAGTCTTTTGCTGTCTTCAGAAAGATTGGCAAGCTCTTCCTCGTGAAGAATGCGTCGCGCTTCCCTCTCCTTCAATCGTTGTTCTCGAGTCTTCATACGAGACTCCCTCTCCTTCTCTAACTTCAACCATTTTTCTTGCTCCTTCTTCGCCATCGCAAGCTCAGCCTGTCTCTTTCGTTCGGCTTCTCGAGCCTCTTCTTCCTGTCTTCGCTGCTCGAGTCTACCAGCAATTCTACTAGATCTCTTCGCTGTAGCTAATCTCTCAAGATTGAGTAGCTCGCGTTCCTTCTGCGCTGCCTTGCGTTTCCGAGCTTCCTCTTGTTTCTCAAGAATTGGCAGAAGTTCATCTACTATGCGTTTGCGCAAAATCTTCTCGTTGGGATCACGGCTCTTATCGATGGAGGCAACGAAGGCATTAAGCTCATCCAAAGTAACAGCCAGACATTCCCATTTCATACCGCCAAATCCGTCGTCCTCCATGTCGGCATTTGTATGGTCCTCAGCAGCTGATTCTTCAACATGTTCAGCTTCACTATCTGCAGCTTCTGAGACCTTTCGACGTTTGCTAGCTCTGCGAGATGCTTTGGCTTTTTTCGAATTCTTTTTGGGCTTTGACACTGGAGGCGGAGGAGGAGGGTCAGTCCGGCGGTAGAGTCGGTTATCGTCCAGGAGAAAATAAGTACGGTCTTCCGCGTCCCATCCAAAGGGTTCAATCCGCTGTTTGGCTGGTGTTAGTTGAGCCACTAATAGGATCCAGCACCAGACAGCTTACCCAGATTGTCTGTTCGGTATCTTTTTGTTCCTCCATCTTCTCGCGAATGCGATCAGGATTATTAAGTGTCCATTGTGTAAGCTGTTGCAATACTCGGATCTAACTTGTGTCAGCAGGATCCAGCTCGTGCAGTTTATAGAATAGCACCTTTGTAAAAACATCGAACTCATTGAATTTTGCAGGCTCTTCTTCGGTGCCGAAGGGGTTGCGATGTGGCGCTTTAGCAACGTATTGCCTTCGTGTGTATTCATCGAATAGTTCAGGGCTATATAAAGTCAGCCAAGTACCGCAAAAGAGGGGTCAAAGACCAGCGCTTACGTCAAGCCTCGGTGCGAAGACACAAATTTCAGGAGAGCAAGGCCAATCTCGGGTAAAACAGTTGAATGAGTCTTCAGGCATTCCGCCTCAAGGTCCTACACGTAATTGTATAAGTATCGCAGCCGACAACGGGGTTGACCAAAAGGGGGCATCAGGGAGACGAGGGGTCGGCCTTACCTCGACGTCCAGGTTCTCATCAATCTTGACAGCCCGTCCGAAAATGAATATCCACTGAACCAGGTTGGCAAACTCCCACATATTGCGAATACGGTGAAGCAGACCGTGTTCCTTGGGAGCCTCGGCGGCCTCCATTTCTTGCCGTCCCCTCTTCCTGGAAGAGGCCATGTTGAAGGGGAGGTCGCGTCTCAAGAGCAGTAGTTGTGATGGTAGGTGATGCTTCGGTAAGACGCGATGTGCCGAACTAGAGGTAGGATGCTCGCGCAGTGGGAGATGAACGATGAGGGCGATCGAGCAATGTTGCTGTAGGATGAAGTGTTGAAAGGTTGGTGTACATTTTCCGCCGTCTAGGGGGTAAATTTCATTGATCGACGACGCGAAGCGTGAAGTTGAAGTGATGCTGCGATTACCTACTTTCGCTTACGTAAGGCGCACCATGACTGCGGCACGTGAAAAATGGGGTTAGAGGCGGCGGCGGGAATAACTTATTCCGGATCCGGATCCACGTCCAAATCCGGTCGATGAAGTTCTAGATGGGGAAAGATGCGCAGTTACGAGGTTCCTGAGATAACTCGTGTGCCTTGAGCCTCCAAATCCAAACTCTCTCTCACGGTCTGTTTGAGCTGGCCTATGCCTATGCATCTACGGGGTATATCTCTATCTTTTATCTTCTTTCGTTTATCTTTTCTTTTCTTTTCTTTTCTTCCCTTTCCTCTCTCTTCTCCACTCCTGCGCGCGCGTGTGCACACGCAACTCCCCTTGCCCCGGCCCAAAAATAGGGCGCCTCAGCCTTGGCGCGTCCCGAAGCGGCCCCTGCCTTCAACCCCCTGGCTTAGCTGTTGCTTTGCGCCAAACTGTTCGTGTCGGAGTACGTTGTGTTCCAGAAAGAAGCATTTCAAAAACAACGACATCCCACCTCCAAATTCTGCCCGGTCGATGGTTGCGTACGCCACAATACCGAGAGCATGTCCTTCACGATCCTTTCACAATGACCAGGACGCGCACCTCCCATAATGAACACGACTTGATTTGACCAGCGTCTACCTCCTACCCACCTCCCTACCTATCTACATGCGCCCAGCGGGCCCTGTGCACAATCCTCGAAATCGGCCAGCGATAACGACTATACACTAATACAAGACTCTTGGGGCATTCCCGTGAGCACTGGCCATAATGCCTTTGAATCAGAACACTTCACAACCGCCAGGGACCCCTTCCACTCCCCCCCAATCAATACCTTTGCGGAATCTCACCCGGCCGCCTGATTCTGCAGACCTAGGAGATGGAGTTGGTAGACATGCCCGCGGAAGAAGTCTGTTAGGAGGCACAGGTCCATTGAGTGCGCAAAACTATGGTCCACGATATGAGAGACTGGGCGACACGTCCCCGAGTCCGACTCGAAGGGCAGCCCACCAACCGCACCTGGCTCCCCTACAAACCACAGCACCCCACGAAGAGTCTCAGACGCCGATATCACCAGTTGGTAACCCAGTCGATTTTCAAGCCGCAATGGGATTTGCAGGCCTTCTTATTCCCGACATAAGTGTATCACCCGTCCCCCGAGAAAGGTCAACTTCGTACGGATCTGCGGACTTTGGTCGTATCTCGCCATATCAAGATGGAAGTGGAGGGGATAACCAGTCATATTTCGCTGCCGAATCGGATATGGTACCCCTTACTGACCCGGCGCAGCTACAACCCATCAGTGGTGCACGCCCCTCAGAAATGGAAGCCCAGCGACATGATAGATCTAGTTTTCGTTCTGTAAGCTTTAGCTCACCAGGACCGAAACATAGGATTTCTAGGCTTGGGGACGACCTTGAAAATCTTGAAGGTAGACCGTCGCGGTCAAAAGATTATATGTATGGAGCATCCTTGACGCCTGATGGTAGGACGAGGTCGCGATCACCATCAACTGCAACCGCACTCTCGAGGGCTGGATCCATCGTAAGAGCAATGTCGCAGCGTGTCGTTAATCTGAGTGGTGAAGCTGAGCTTATTGAAGAGAGCGCTCGTCGAGAGGCGTCTCGACACACTTCTCGTAGGGCTTCCCGACGGAGTCGAGCGCTTTCCCAAGAAGAAGATATCAGATCCGAAATATCAAGCCTCAGTGAAGAGTCCGAACCACAACTCCGACGTAAGGCTGATCCAATGGGTGCTGGCCCGAACTATGGGGCACAACCTCCTACCGCACCTGTCGAAAAGGCAATGCGGTTCTTTAGCACGGTTCAACCTGATCCTTCGTGGGAACAGGAAACACCAAAACCGCCGAATCCTCTGAAGGGTAAATCCTTAGGCATATTTTCTCCAGAGAGTAGGATCAGAAATAAGTTGTGCGACCTCTTGGTTTACCCCCTCACGGAACCTACAATTTTACTCCTTATCGTGGTTCAGACTATTCTCCTTGCTGTCGAATCATCTAAAAACGTTTATACGACTGGAAATGAACGCCCAAGGCGATGGGGCCACACTGCAATCGACTACGCTTTGCTTGCGCTGTTCGTCATCTTCACTTTCGAAATTGTAGCTCGAATCATTGTGTCCGGCTTCATTTTTAATGCCCCTGAATACGGCGAAGGGCATGGCACAAGAAGTTTGAAGAAGGCAATAGCCGATAAATACCGTGCTGTTTTTGCACCTCAGAGGCAAAGCTCTCTCAAAGCTCCTCGAACGGCAACGTCTTTCAGCGCCCCTGAGCTTCTTCGGTCCTTTACCGCAAAACCAGGGGAAGGTATCCGAACTGTGGAACAGGCACAGCGCATACAGCTAGCCCGGCGAGCCTTTTTACGACACTCGTTCAATAGACTTGACTTTGTCGCGGTCGTATCCTTTTGGATAGCTTTTGTCCTGGGCATCAGTGCGATAGAAAGCGATTACCACCTATATATTTTCCGTATGCTGAGTTGCTTGCGAATTCTCCGATTACTTGCCATAACGCATGGTACCTCTGTACGTGTACAATCCTCCCTATAGTGCCACCGCTAACATTTAGGACAGATCATTCTAAGAAGTCTGAAGAAGGCCACGCCGTTGCTTCTCAACGTATCTTTTCTAATAGGCTTCTTCTGGCTCCTCTTCGCAATTATAGGCGTTCATAGCTTCAAATCCAGTTTCGATCGTCAATGCGTTTGGCTCGATCCATCAGATCCATTCAACAGTTCTGGCCTGGCCTATACAAATGTCTTACAAATGTGCGGCGGGCAACTCAACAATGTCACTGGTGCCCATGAACCTTGGCTGATTGGCCCTCTGACCAATCTCACAAATGGCTCCACGACTGCCAAAGGTTATCTCTGTCCCCAGGGATCATTATGCCTTCAGCTTGAGCCGGACCAGCTTCCCTATAATGGAACGGTCAGTTTCGACAATATATTCCAATCGTTGGAACTTGTTTTCGTCATCATGACAGCCAACACCTACTCGGACCTCATGTATTACACCCTTAACTCCGATTATCTCGCAGCTGCTCTATTCTTCGCTGCTGGTATCATCATAATGACGCTGTGGCTTCTGAACTTGCTCATTGCTGTGATTACCTCTTCATTCCAGGTCATCAGAGAGGAGAGCAAGAGGAGTGCTTTCGCAGCAACTGTGAAAGGATTGGTAGATGACCTGGATATCAAAAGACCAAGACAGATCAGCTCCATAAAGAACTTATACAACAAGACCTACTGGTTCTGGATCCTCGTTATTACGTATGGCCTAGTGTGCCAGGCATTTCGAAGTTCCACGATGTCACCGGATCGGGCGAAGTTCATAAACAATTCAGAGACTGTTGTGACCTTCCTGCTCCTGGCTGATATCATCCTCAGATTCATTGCCGACTGGCGGGGCTTCCAACATGACAAGAAGAACTGGGTTGATCTTGGGCTAGCTGTCATTACTATGATTATCCTGCTCCCGCCAATCAGGCATTCTGGTCAGCCCTATGCTTGGCTAACACTGTTTCAAATTTTGAGGATATATCGTATCATCATAGCGGTGCCAGTCACCAGGAGCTTGATTACTCTTGTCCTTGGAAATTCAAGCGGTATCGGCAACCTCATGCTATTCGTCTTCTTGGTGACCTTCCTGATGTCAATTTTTGCCGTACAATTGTTCCGTGGCGAGTTAACTCCAACGGACCCTTATGGCAACATTATTAAGGTCTCCTTCTTCAACATTTACAACGCTTTTCTCGGGATGTACCAGATATTGTCTAGCGAGAACTGGACAACCATGGTTTACAATATCACTGCTTTCGACACTGCTCATAACACTGCTTGGATGGGCGCTTTGTTCCTCATCGCCTGGTTCATTCTCGGCAATTTCATCCTGGTAAACATGTTCATAGCTGTTATCCAGGAGAATTTTGATGTATCCGAAGACGAGAAGCGCATGTACCAAGTCAAGGCATTTCTAAATCGAAGAGAACTTGGGGGCTCTTCGAGTAATCTATCTTTGTCGGCCATATTCCGCTTCGGTCGTTCCAGAACCAAGAAGGACGCCTTGGACTATGGCCCAGCGACGATGGAGATGCTATTAAAAGACGCCGTGGTGAAGGACTTCCTCGATGACGAAGCTGGGAGCAGGCAAGAACCAGAACCCCAAACTGCTGAGGTAAACGTAGAGATGCCTGCCGTGAACCCGGGTGTGCTATCCTCCCTCTGGGGAAAGTTTGTGAATCGAGTCTGGGACCGGGAGCCAAATCCGTTCTATTCTAACATCCACTTCTCTGGAACCGACGACACAGATGCCAGGACGATGGCAAAGGAAGCAGTAACCCAAACATCACAACGCAAAAAAGCACAGCGCGAGTATTTGGCCCGGCACCCAAATTACAACAACTCTTTGTTTATATTCAAGCCGAACAACCCTGTTCGACGATTCTGCCAGAGGATTGTTGGGCCTGGCCGCGGAAATGAGAGATTTGACGGCGTGGAGCCGAACAAGGTTGTCTGGTATGCTTTCTCCGCGTTCATATATGCTGCAATAGTGGCAATGGTTTTGCTTGCCTGCATAACCACTCCCCTATATCAGAAGGAATACTTTGGCAAGCAGCAATTCAGCGTGAAGAATTGGTTCGTATGGTCCGACATGGCTTTTGCTATCTTATTCACCGTCGAAGCCGCCATCAAAGTTATTGCAGACGGATTCTTTTGGACGCCAAATGCATATTTCAGGAGCTCATGGGGGGCCATTGACTTTGTTGTCCTCGTCACTTTTTGGGTCAACGTCCTCACTGCACTGTTGAATGAAGGTGCAGTGTCGAGAGCCATAGGGGCCTTCAAAGCCTTGCGAGCCTTAAGACTCCTTAACGTTAGTGATAGTGCTAGGGATACGTTTCATTCCCTCATCATTGTTGGAGGCTGGAAAATCTTCTCTGTAAGCAACATTCTGTACGGGCTTGTAGACTTGTGCTAATTGCTACCAGGCTGCCTTTGTATCTTTGTCTCTCCTGATTCCGTTCGCCATTTATGGCGTAAACCTTTTCAATGGCCAGATGGAGATATGCAATGACAACCAGAGCGGGATAACGAATCTCTCTGACTGTTTTGGAGAATGGAACAGCACCCCTTTCAGCAACAATTGGAGTTTACTTGCGCCGAGAGTGGCAGCCAACCCGTATTACAGTTTCGACAACTTTCCGAGCTCTTTGTTCATTCTTTTCCAAATCGTTTCTCAGGAGGGCTGGATTGACGTCATGTGGAGCGCAGAATCCATCACCGGTCGAGGCCTTCAACCCCAGTACTTCGCCTCCCAAGGCAACGCAGTCTTCTTCGTTATCTTCAATCTTCTTGCCACAGTCTTCATACTTACGTTGTTCATTACGGTGTTTATGCGCAACTACACTGAACAAACCGGCGTGGCGTTCTTGACTTCAGATCAAAGATCGTGGTTAGAATTGAGGAAACTTTTAAGACAAGTTTCACCGTCAAAGCGGCCCTCCAACACAGACAGACAGAAGTGGAAGGATTGGTGCTATAAGAGAGCCGTGAGAAAGCATGGTAAATGGCAAATGACCATGACCATAGTTCTTGTCTTACACCTTATCCTTTTGATGGTGGAATACTACCCCGAACCATACTGGTGGGAGCTTACGCGGACCTACATCTTTTTGGTATTTACCGTGTTTTACATGGCGAATGTCATTGTTAGGATTGTTGGGCTTAGCTGGTCGCGGTTCAGCAGAAGTTCATGGGATCTGTTCTCGATCTTCGCCGTTTTTGGAACCTTCACTGCCACAATTTTGGTCATAGCAAGACCGAACTCGCAAACGCTTCTTCAACTGCATAAGACGTTTTTGGTTCTAATCGTCCTTCTTATCATCCCGCGCAACGATGCGCTGGACCAGCTGTTCAAGACAGCAGCTGCCAGTTTGCCAAATATTGGCAATCTTCTTGCGACTTGGTCCGTTCTGTTTCTAGTCTTTGCCATCGCGCTGACTCAGACATTTGGCCTCACTCGGTTCGGGGGCCAGGAGACAGGCAACATTAACTTCAGGGATGTACCTAAAGCCCTCATTTTGCTCTTTCGCATGAGTACTGGCGAAGGTTGGAATCAAATCATGGAAGACTTTGCGGGTATTAAGCCGCCGTTTTGTGTAGAAGGCGAGACGTTCTTCGAAAGTGATTGCGGAAGTACATCTTGGGCCAGAGCCTTGTTCATATCCTGGAACATCCTGAGCATGTACATTTTCACAAGCTTATTCGTCTCGCTCATCTATGAGAGTTTCAGTTATGTGTACCAGCATTCAAGTGGACTTGGAAAAGTCAGTCGCGAAGAGATTCGACGATTCAAACAGGCATGGGCAACCTTGGATCCTGAAGGGACCGGATTCATTACCAAAGAGCAATTTCCACGGCTCTTGGGCGAACTCTCTGGACTTTTCGAGATGCGCATTTACAGCCAAGAACACTCCGTTCGGAGAATCCTGGAAGACATACAATCAGAGCCTGCGGGGGGCAGAATCCTATCCATGTCGTCTGTAGGTGGAGCGAGTGGCGTGGATTTGAAGGCATTGAATAAAAGGCTCTCTCAAATCGACCCAGCGGAAGTCCGAAAATCAAGAGCTCGTTACAACCTCTTTTATGAAGAAGTTATGGTCTCGGCCGACGTTGACCGAGGGATATCCTTTACTTCTGTGTTGTTGATCCTGGCCCATTATAATGTCATTAGCGATAACAAGAGCCTGAGGTGAGTCAATTCCATCGTAGTTCTTACAGCCTGCTAATGAAATTCTAGATTGGAAGAGTTTTTACGCCGTCGGGCACGTTTACAAAGAGTCGAGGAGGAAGTCCGCAGGCGGATTGTTCTTGGTTTCTTTGATACCATGTAAGAGCATATTGTCCGCGGTCTGTAACCTGCTAATCATTTCACAGGTACTGGTCGAGGAGATTCCGAAAACACATGGAGAATAAGAGGTCAGGACGCATGACTGACATACCCCAGCTTGGCCCGGAGGTCTTTGTCGACGACACGTACGATATAACAAAACAAGCCAAGCCATCGGTCTCGCCATTCCTTTCGCCATTTGAGGGAGGGGATTCTCGTGATTCTCGTGATTCTCGTGAAGCTTTCATCACTTCTGGCTGGGATGTTGGTCGAACTCGACGAGGCACGGAAACGTCGATCAGCGGCCTTCCAACCTCCCCTACCAGCCCCGGGTTATCGCCAAAGCAAAGCGCTCATAAAGCATCCAATTCTAGCTTTAGCTTGGAGGCCGAAGATGCTGGGAATGGAGGCGGGTCCGGTAGGAGTAGCAGGCGCGGAAGCACAGCCGAGAATGTCCTCGAGGTGCTTGACAATTCTGCTTGGGGCGAGAGCATTCGACGCAGTTTCACGATGAAACGACCATCTGGAGCTGGAGGGCGATATTCGTAGTCTGACGCGCGAAGGCCCTACGCGGATAAGGAAGGACTTCACCAGGGTGCACGTATTTTTGGGATGACCGATCAACCGAGGAGCGGGGTGTCTGCGTCCGTGGGCTCTGGCCGAGCCTGCGGTCGCAGCATGAATGAATGAGTTTTGGAGGCGCAAGCGAGGGAAGGGTAGGTGTCTGGTGGCACCAGGGACGCGGTAGGGTTTGCCGCGACTCACGCACCGTTATGATGTGGATATGCAGGCCTAGACAATGGAGGTTCATACATGGTTATTTGGTCATAATTGGGCGTCGCGGCGCAATAGGGTGGGTGGTCGGGTCCCTTGTGAGGATTCCCCTCCAGTGATGCATCATTGTATAAGAGCGGGGGTCATTGGGATGAGATAGATGTCTGTTTCATATTTACCGTGCATAGCCAAGGAGTTATAGTATGTAGAATTTCACAAACGGGAGACTGACTCGTTGGATTTGATCTGTACGAGCGAGCTTCCATCAATCATACACTCAGAATATAATTATAAGAACCCACCCTGCGTACCTACTGTACCGGATCAAAGACTATTATCACAACGACGAAGGATGATGGATGGTGTTTACTTATGGAATCTCGACAGTTTAAGGGTCTCGTGATTCTTAGATGGATGCCCCTCAAGCTCTGTAAGAGACACAACGATCGTGGTAGCAGTGTATGGCAGGTGTTCCAAGTCAATAATAAAAGTCGAGTCCCTGAATCCTTTCAAGATCCCTTGGAGCGGATGCAGACCTGAGGCATCATGCACTCCCCCTCCAGCACTCCCTGAAACCATGGTAACAGCCCCCTAAGAATCCGTTGCTCGCATGCTTCCGGGATAATAGTGATACTTTTGTTTTCAATTCTACGACAATGATGAAAAAGAGGGGAGGTTTGCTTTGGATGAGACCACAATTTCAGGAACAGGTAAAAAGCGAAGTAAAAAGCCGGTTTGGACAGAGATGCGCGGTAGGGATCTCCTTGGTGGAGGTGGGTGCGCCGGTTTGAGAGATGGGTGAAACAAGCGTGGCGAGACTCGTCGAAGGGGTGTTGCGGTGAAGGAGGGGTAGGGGGGAGTTTCTTGACTCTTGAATCAAGTTATCTGGAGCGTTCCTGAACTTGGTGCTGGATAGGGTTCTGGCGATCGTTGAGAGGGGGGGTCTAGTCTAGTTGGTTTGAGCGAGGAGTTGGTGTTGATGTACTCACAGATGCATATGTGGATGGAGACATATGTACCTATATATATGGATACGATGTAGGTAGGTAGATACTTGGGTATGCCATGCTTTAGGAAACGTGTCTACATATGCATGCACATGCACCACGACCTATGTAGACATTATCTGTACATTATCTAGATGTACGTGCTCGTGATCTCGCATATATACGGTACATACCATTATACGTTAATACCGTATAGTTGCTGCAGTAATGACAGCCAGAGACACGATCCAATGCAGGTCCCAGCTGAACCTCAGGCATATCAGGCATATCAGGCAGCCACCCGGCCCTACACGACGTCGCACACACGCGTTGCCCCTGCTACGAAACGAGACGCTAATCCCCTTCCCGACTAGCCCCCCCAACTCCCTCCCGTGCATCTCTTTAATTCCTTTCCCTCCGTCTCGCCCGTCTTTTCTTCTGCGACGCTTCGTGCTTCGCCTGTCCCTGCACGTCAAGGAAGTCAAGGAAACGCCATATGACGGTAAGTCTCACAGTCTCACTCTCTCGCGAGTCTTATATAGTCTTATAGTCTGATAGTCTCATGCCCATTATTCATGATCTCATCCTTAATTGCTCTTCTTTCTGCCCTTCGTTCCTGTCTTATCCCTTTTCTTCCCTTCTGGTCCTTCTAATCCCCTCCCCTCTTCACGCTATTGAATTCCATTTCCTCGACAACGGTCTTAGGCCTAGCATCGTCCAGCTGTACCTCTCTGGCCCCCTTAGTAAGCACCTGGTTGTGTATACTTCAAGTCGATTGTTCTCCTTCTCGGTGCTGGCCATCTTCTGTGTTCAGAGATACTCGAGCAATTGCAATCAATTCATCAATATCCAAAACCCTCTTCTTCTTCCAGTCCTAAGTCCGCATTCCTACTACATCTGCATCCTCGAGGCTGCGCCTTCAATATACCCTGGGCACCGATCCGAATTGATACTTGCCCTCTGATCGATATATAATACCACTCAATCGTCTTCAATCGCACCCTCCATCTCTATAATTATATTCGACGGCCATGACAGCAGATATGCGCACCTCCCGCTTCCCCTCTCTCTCCCTCTCAACCATCCGCATCTCTCCCCGCCGCAATCAATCTCCATCCAGCAGCTCGACGACCTCGAGTGACCGCCACTCTTTCGTCTCGAACGCCTCATCGCCCATAGACACAATCAATGCTATCATGCACCGTCAGCCTTCGATGATAGAGCTAGATGAAGAGAGGAGGAACTTCGCGTTTGGCTTGGAGATCTTAGAACCGCGACCTGTGGTCTACTGGGGCGGCTTGGAGGAGCGAATGGGATCCCTGTGACGGGATAATGCGACGGATGGTACGACAGAGACGTGATTATGAGGGATTGGAGGATTTCTAGAACTTTTAATGTGGCTGAAGATGGCAAGGGCTCGTGTTGCCGGGCGGAGACTGCGGCAGGATCGAGCTCGAGGGATGATGACGGCATTCAAGACCACCTCGATTTGATATACGGGCTGGCTTGGGCCTACGATGGAGTAACGGATTCTATTCTGGCGCCTTTGCTTCTCGGGGATGTGGCTTTTATTTTTCAGTCTGTGGATAGGCCTGCGTTGCCTCTTGTATATTCTATATACACAACTTCATATTAGCTAGGGTAGTTAGTTAGGATTTCAACGAGCAAAGGAGCTAGATAGATATTTCATGTAGATACAATACCAAACCTCTTTCCCCTCCAAAAAAATACAACTTGAAGCATCATAATTCGGGGACTTGAATGCCTCGAAATCCCGAGGCGCCCCTTTTCGGTGGATCGCCGGTCGTTAGCGAGGTGCAAAAGGCCATATCGAGGCAGCAACGACAAAGAAAGTTTTGCGCCGGCGACGACGAGCGATGCAAGCAAGAAACGCCGGTGAACACGACCTACTCGACTCCCAAAACCTACAGGTTCATCACTACCACCAAGATCATTAATTATATGTCTTAGCCAAAGCTTTCCCGCCCCTTCCATTCATTCCACCATGTCCTTCGGCACGCAACCCGAGGCTCGTCGTCCCCCTGAGTCTGAGGAGGAGGACCCAGCAGATATCGAGTTACCCTTGATCAGCGACTCGATATCTAGTAGTATTGGGGAAGATGATGACTTGATGACACGCCCCCAGGCCTGGAATCTATATACCTCCCATTTCCTCTCGACGTGGAACGTCCGGACGTATGAGTTTGCAGCGGTGAGTTTTTTTTACCTGGCTTGTGCTGAACCCGTGTGGCAGTGGCTGAGACGGCCCGCAAGATCATTTTCACGGCAGCGGCGTATCCGGATACGCTGGTTGCTACGTCTATCCGGTAGGTGTTTGATCTGTTCCTGAGTTCTCACTGTGGAGTGGCTTGCGGGTGGAATATCACGTGATTTGAGATTGGGCGTTTCGGGGTCTTTGCTTTGTGGAGAGTCGCTTAGGTATAGGGATGACTGGCTTATAAGATGGAATTCAATAGAATGATCTAGTGATCATGTTTGTGATAAATGGGAGGGTGTTGGATGCCATTGTTCAGTCAACACGCCTCTTCTTCGCTTGGTTCTGTTTCATCAAAAGCTGTCAATAGGGTACTTAGACAGCAACTGTGACTACACTTCTCGCAATTGATACCTTTCATGGATAGAATGCTGATGTGTCACCGGCAGTGGTATCGTGCGGGCTCTGGCATCAATTCTCTTTTCATCGAGTGTTGGACGATGGGTTGACCACTCCCCTGATCGGCTCAAAACTCTTCTCTGCACCATTTCTATCAACAGAACCGCCGTCATCAGCGCCTCTGCTCTATGGTACTTCATTGTTGAGCCAAAAAACGACAGCCATGCAAGAGCCCTGGCTGCTTCCGAGGGCTCTGCTGCTCTTCTGCGAGGTGCTATCTTTACCTTGATCCTAGCTCTGGGGATCCTAGAAGGGCTCAGTGCTTCTGGCAATATGCTTTCGATGGAGAGAGACTGGGTAGTGACTGCTGCGTCGCCTGTTGGCCAGCCATACGATTTAACACATCTCAATTCTTCCATGCGACGGATCGACCTAATCTGCAAACTCATCGCGCCAATCCTGATATCCGTCATTGTATCAGCGACGAATATCAAGATCGGAGTCTTGGTGGTCGGCTTCATGAGCGCTGGGAGCTGGGCCGTGGAATTCTGGTGTGCGAGAAGAGTGTGGCTTCGGAATCCGAGATTAAGGGCGCTGAAGGCCGTCGATGTTTCTGCTTCTGCCTCTGCAGCCGCTCCTGAGCCCGGGGCCCGAAATCTCCTATCGCGAACCGCTCACGGGTTGCAGAGATATGCTGATGATTTTCGGAAATACTTCACGTCGACGGTTTGGATTCCTTCGCTGTCTCTCGCTTTCCTGCACATCTCTGCTCTGACGTACAGCGCTACCTTCATCACGTATTTGCTGGCTGTGGGCTTCTCGCTAGATCTGATCACTGTTGCTAGAGCGGCTGGCAGCGTGGTCGAGATCAGTAGCACGGTCGTCACGCCCGTTGGAGTCAGTTATCTAGGGAAAGCGAAGAACCATGGCCGTACGCACCACGATCGAGCGAGGGAGAATGAGGAGGAGGCCTCTACTGCACTATTAGAGGAGTCTCCCGAGGAGGAGCTACAAGCCACTACCGAGACAGGCCTCGAGCGTCTTGGCCTCTGGGGGCTTTCTTTCCAGCTCATAAATCTTGTATCTCCCCTCCTCCCCCTTCCCTCTCAAACTATCCAAATCCCAAACTAACCAGGCCCACAGATCCCCGTCGTCTTCGCGCTCTGGTCCCTCTCCCCCCCTCCAACTCCCCACCTCCTATTATCCCGTCTTCTCACACCCCTAACCACATCCCGTCCGCTCCTCGCATTCACGCTCTTCTTCTTCCTCTCCATCTCTCGTCTCGGTCTCTGGGTCTTCGACCTCACCACGCAGCAGCTCACGCAAACCATGACGTCGCCCTCGCACCGGTCCTCTTTCACCGGCGTCGAGTACTCCCTCGTCTCTGTCTTCGAGTTGAGCCTGCATGTGATCACCATGGTTTTGCACCGTCCGGATCAGTTTCGTTGGATCGCGATGGCGAGTTTGGGCGCCGTGGCGCTGAGTACCGTGGCGTATGCGGCGTGGGTCGCGAAGATGAGGGGCCATCTTGTGCATTGGGAGAGGATTGGCATAGGGAAGGGGGGCATGTGTTAATGATTTGAGGGCGTGGCGAAGGGTGAGATGATACCAGAATCAAATAAGGAATCTTTATCTTAGGAAAGAACACACGCTATAGAAGGTCACCTACGACTATAGACTATAGAGTCTCTAAAAGAAAAGTAAGAAGCTGAGAAAATTGATAGATCGGTTCAAAGATTCACTTTTGTTCGCTAAGAGAGCTGTTTACTCGCGAGGACTTGAGTTGGATTTAAAAGATCTAGGTAGTGACTGGGTTGTTTAGAGTGTGTAAAGAGTAAACAAGCAAGCAAGCAATCACTTTTAGTGACTGAACTCACAAACTAGCAACTGAATAGCATACAGCGACTAAATGGCATCTGACAACTGAATCCTATCTGGCAATCAAATCCTATTTAGCAATCAGATCCTTTCTAGAAATCGATTTCTATCCAGAAACTGAAAGGCAGCTAGTAATCGAATCCTATTCAGAAATCAGATCCTACCTATTCAGCAACCGAACCTTACCCAGCAATTCAACTATTCCAGCAATTGAATCACGTTTAGCAATTACTGAATCACAAATAGTAATTGATTCTATCTAGCGACTGATTCACATCCGACAATTCAGACAAACTCGTTAATTTCCTAATTCGTCAAATCAACAACGAACGCGTCTCTTTCGATCTTGCTACCCTTCACAACCTTTTTTGATCTACAAAGACCACTACAACAACAACAACAAAGCTTGATCATGTGTAGCATCTAAAGCAAGCAGCCTGTCGCAGATCAAAGACCCTTATTAAGGGCACGATATCGCTGATGATGGATGATAACGAAGTATCTTACGAAATGTTCGTAGAGGCTTTGGAGGTGTGGAATGTTCGTTGGCGTCAGATTTTCGAAGAGCGGAATAGTGACGCGGGATCGCTTTGGATCTTGGAGAATGCGACAAAGAAGGGTGGATATAAGGGGAAGCAAGGCCGCGAAGATCAGCAAGGAGGGATGGAAGGCTTGGAGGCTGGTTTCGACAGGGTCTATTCGCAGGGCTCTAGCATCATGAATGGTCCTAGTTCGTCTGCTGCCTCTCCTCTCATGTCAGATAACGGTTCGGGCCAGCAACAAGATCGATCTCCAGGGTCAGAAGGACGACAACCAGGGGCTTTTTTGACTAGGGATATGAGCTTTTTAAGCCTTCCTCCTCCTGCGCTTCCTGACGACGAACATCCCTTTGACACTGCCGATACAGCAAACTCTGTGGCTAAAGATGAGATGGGCCTCCTTGAACTTCCTCCGCCAATGTACGAATCAACAACATATGATGACTCCTCTCGAGAGTCCGAGTCTTCGGTCCCAAGTTACCTTCTAGATGGGGAGGATTCATCAGATCTAACTAGATCAGTGGTGTTGCAGCGAACTTCGTCCATGACTTTTCTACCAGCTGACTGGTCTGATTCCATGATGCCTGAACACCGTTACTATGATGTGGACACAAGAGATGACCAGACCCCAAGCCCATCTGCCTCCTTGCTACTAGAAGCATCACATATATTGGAAGAAGACTCCCAGGACTCCGGCCGTGAAAGAAGATGGCTTCGAAGCCCCAGCCCGGCATTGACACCATATCCCTCACTGGAGAGTTCGGCAGCGTCTTTGGAGTATGGGCTTTCTCAGACTGTGGATTCTGGGGATTTGATGCCGACTATCTATCCGGGAATGGAAGACTACCCACCGGTTGAAGAAGATGGTTCAGGCCCAGACACCGAGGATTGGAGCAATAGATCACGTTCGCTCTTCAATTCAACCCCGCCACACCATCATCGGGTCGTCGGAATCCCTGTCAACCTCTGATGGAGCAGCAGCAGCAGCAGCAATTTCGGCGTTTGGAAACTTGGCATGGGCGGTAACTTTAATGGAGATGCGGAAGGCTGGAGATACGGAAGGCGGGCGTGCTTGGTGTTTGTGTAGGGATGAATGATGGTTACGGAAAATGGAACAGCGAAAGAGAGGCTCTTCAGACGATGCTGCTGGAGACTGTACTCGTAGTATCGCGATGACTTAAGGGTTCTCAATTGAAATTCCACCAAAATGACAAGATGACACTTGACAAGGTGCTTGAAAGCCAACTTGGTTCCAGAAGAGAGACAGCGTTCAATGAAACCGCGTTGTCAAAGAAGCCAATTGCAAGACTGATTTCAGGAATTGGTATATTGGTTTCCTAATTTCCGCACTGCGGCACCTTTACATCAATCACTAAATGTGCTGGCCTCACTATCGGCATAATGCAGTGCATAGGAATCAACGATAAATGAAGGTCTTGATCTCGATTAGAGACCACATCTTCACAAGTGATGAAGTCCAAATTCAGTTCAAACTGGGGCCTGGCGAGGCTCGGCCCGCTTTGGGCCCGGCCAAAGACCAAAGGCGCTAGAATGAGTTATTATTCCCGACACCCCAATATCTACTAAACTATGACCCACCGCCCATTGTACTATGGGATTCTTGCATGAGAATTACAATTGATTATTGAGGACACACCGCGCCTTGATAGAACGTAGACCACACGATAAGACACTTTCCCCGTTGCTCTGCGCACTATCGGGATAAATATCAATCCCAATTGCACAAATCATCCGCTCCTAATTCCATTCCACACCACCAGTCTGCTAGAGTCGAGAAAGCGCCGTTGAAAACCTGCAGAATATACCCCTCCCAGTCCCTCAAGAATTGATTTGATAATACCTGTCGTGTTCGCCTTTAGCTAATTGTGGTTTAGTGCGGTACCTACGCTCGGTGTTGGTGGTTTTGTGAGGAGGTTGGGTGGTGGCTGGGAGAACAGCGACAATAATTTCAACCACTCTCTTTAAGTCCATCTCCTAAACAATCTTTCCATCCTCCTCCATTTCTCACACATCCCAAAGTATTTTCTAATACTAATTGTGGTTCGTCGGTTCTCCTGCCTTGGAGCGCTGTCGATAAGGTCGAGGAACTCGTTTGTTCTCAGCCCCGGATTTCGAAAATCGAGGTGGGGTCACACCGCCGTTATCAGCAATTGATCGTTGCGACGCTATAAAAGTCCCCTAAACATCTCGATCGGACTTCGAAAATAAAGACGGCACGATGCGACTTTCACAGACTCCCCCGACACTTCTCTCGCTCCTCCTCGTCGTTCTATCCCATGGCCGCGCTGTCGAAGCTGCGCCCTTCGAGTTCCCTAACCTCGGATTGGGTTTGCTGCAAGAAAGAGGGGGTGGTAATTGCGGTGCCGACCTTCAATATACCTGCACCGAAGGCCAAACTTGTGCCACCACTGTGAACGCAGCTGGTTATAACATCGCCTACTGCGCTGCTGGTGCTCCTACTGCCGCAGGCGGTGGTGGAGAATACAGCTATGCCGTCTACACAACGACCTGGACGGAAACCGATCTTCAAACCCGAACCAGTACTTGGACCTCGTCGTGGCAAGCCCCAGCAACAACCGCAGCCCCAGCACCAGCATCAACAACAGCAATGTGCAGCCTGGGACAAGAAGCATGTGGTTCTATCTGCTGCGCCAGCGACCAGACCTGCGCAGGCGCAGGATGGTGCACTGCGGCCGCATCCACCCTCTGGTCATACACTCCGGCACCCACAGTTACAAGCACCTACTCAGCACCTCTGCGGCCGACAAGTGGAGGAGTCACGACTGATGTCCCCGAAACAACAACCCAGCCATTCATCGCACCTGCCACTGCTAGTGGAAGTTCCCTGCCGCTCACTATGCATGAGAAATCGAATGGTTTGAGTGGAGGTGCAATCGCAGGAATCGTTATTGGTGTTATTGCTGGCATCATCCTTCTTATCCTGTTTTGCTTCTGCTGCATCTTGAAGGCTGGATTTGATGGTGTGCTCGCAATTTTCGGCCTCGGAAAGAGTAGTCGGAGACCGACAGAGAAGGTCGAGGTTATTGAACGGTATTCAAGACACGGAAGTGGAACGGCTTCGCGCAGAGACACCCACAACGGATGGTTTGGAGCCTCAAGACCAAGTCGAGTCACTGAGACAAGAAAGAAGTCTGGTGGCTTTGGGGGATTAGGTGCTGTTGGTGCTGCTCTCCTAGGTCTTGCGGTCATTTTGGGATTGAAGAGGAGACACGACAGAAAGCAGCAACAACAGAGACCACCGCCGTCGGAGATCAGCAGTTCGTATTATTACTACACCGACTCATACACTGGTACGAGCGAAAGTGAGTGACCCCTCTCTTTACAAAGACATGAGCCCCCACTAACGAATTTATAGGCAGTGAAAGTTCAGACAGAAGAACGAGAAACTCAAGACGGCATTAGAATGCACATCTCGAGACGGATATGATTTGAAATTCTGCATATGTTTAGAGCGTGTTATGGAGTTCATGGGGGGTTTCTGAACAGCTTGCAAATTTGACGAGATTATCGATGCCGAAACAAATATTCCAGAAATTGGAAACGAAGAAATGCGTTGGACGAAAAATTGGGATTGGAAGGGGTTATATGCCGACATGGTGGAATGTGTACAGGCTCCGAGGTTGAATGACGGGACGATGTACAAATAATGATATGGGGAGCCATGAGGTTAATACATGGCAGATATGAACATTTCACGCTTGTCCCCTGTGATGTCTTGCTCAAATGAGACGTGATGCACTTGCAATTGATCATTGTGTATCCCCCAGTGTTGGTTCGTTCTTGTAGCGTTCTCGAAATTCCGGCCGACCTTGTCAATTTTTGATAAGTTGCTTCCAGACAATCAATTAAAATTTGACTTTTTCCAGACTGAGGACCATAACTGATTTGCAAGAGATTCATTCAGAGCACCTCGCTACGTGACATGCAAAGCAACCCTTATGCTCCCAGCCAACAGGTAATTGAAGAAAAGTGCCCAGCCCGCTTATTCCTCGACAATGTTACCCTTCTCCGAAACGTACAAACCATCCAAGAACTACATCGAAGCGTCAGTACACTTGCCACGTTTTTGCAGGGACCGAGCGTATTTACCTTTCGGATATCCTTGTTTCGTACTCTGCAGATTTGTTGGATGTCGGCGGCGCTTTGTGAGACGTTCTCGAGGGAGTTTCCGGAGAGCTGGAGCTCATCCTTTTGGGTGGTTGATGCCTCGACATCGACACCTGGCTGCATCACGACTTTTCGGACAATCTTCTCGCCAATGAAGTTTCTATGCATTCCGTCAGCACCTCTCCCCCCATTTCCGTGCAGATTTTGCAGCCCAAGATAACATACCTGATCTCAACCTCGTACAGACCGGTCTCAGCGTTCTTGTCAATGTTGACGTTGATGGGGAAATGTGCGTAGACATATCGCATCTTGTACTTGAAGCCCTTTGTGACACCGATGATCATGTTGTTGATGAGGGTTCGGACGGTTCGGAGGGTAGCGACATTCTTTCGGGCGCCGTGGTGGAGTTCAATGTTGATAACATCCTTCTTGGGGTGCGAGAAGTTGACTGCCAAGTGGCTGAGGTTCTTGGTGAGTTTACCTGCTCCTTCATTAGAGATGCGGCCTCTTCTGCCTCCCCTCCAAATACCACATACCTCGGGGACCCTCAACGGTGACAAGTCTTGACTTGATGGTGACCTTGACTACTCGGGCGAAGAACGTCAGCAAGCTATCCCGCGAATCCATGCGACATTTGGTAGGATTTTTTCAATATCGTCGACCTCCCAAATGCGCTTTCCAATTCCAACCGGAGAGCAATTGTACTCACCACCCTCAGGGACGTTCAAGGTCTCGTTGGAATGAATGTACTTCATCTTGGACCTGCTGCGTTAGTCGTGGATGGCGGAGGGAGGGAGAAAGTCGGAGGTCGTCGCTGTTCAACTTTGCCAAATTCAATTTCTGTGTGGGCAAGCCAAAATGCCCTTAGCGCAAGGTCGGTTTATCACGTGCTTCGACTACCTAAGCGAGCCCCTTCAACGTCCAAGCGTCCCTTGTACGGAGTAGAATACTGTAACCAGCCACTGTAGAAAAGGTTTAAAGTTGCTTCAGTTGTCTTGGAGAAATCAGTATACTCCATTCATATTTATGCCTATTCCAAACTTTTTTTCTAGAAGCAATCTCATGGCTTTTAGGTTCTAGCTGAAGAACACTGAGACAGAATCTCTTCCTATTCCGTTTGCCCGAAGAAATTAAGCGTAATTGTACTTGTTAAAATTCTCCCTCTATGGAGAAACTTCTATCAAAACATGCCATAGGCAACTATTCGAGTTTTGGGTTTGAGAATGTCAACATGGGGTGTGAAGGCAAGATCGACCGTTCTGTCTCATTGGTCGGCCTTCTCTAGACCCCACGTCTTCAGCCTCGCGCCAACTCGCACTGCATATCACTTCTCCAGACGTGTCATGCTACCTTCCCCTCTCAATCGACTGACGGTCATTCATCGACACTTCACCATGAACTCACAGGAGCTGGAGAACTTCCTTGCGGACTCTCCGCCTACGACGGTGAACCTGGTGATTAAGAAACACTTCGAGGCTCTGGATGATCAGCAAAAACGCTATGCACACTATATTAGCAAGTAAGAACCCCTCTTTGCCTCTGATATTGAATCCGCAGTGCAAATTACCATACAACACTTTGTATAGTACTTAGAATAGCGCAGCTGAGATTATGCTAGATCTTCCTTTACCGGAACACGTATCACTCTCCGCCAGACTTCCCCCGAATCAGAAAGCATATTCGACTTCATAATCGAGCTTTACAAGAGTTGCAATGGTGACTGGGCTGCTTGCCAGAAGAAGGCCGGAATCAGCGACGATGAGCTGAAATACTTCCTCGAATATGCGGCGATGTTTCTAGGAAACTGCGCCAATTACAAATCTATGGGAGATGCCAAGTTCATCCCTCGGTGCAACGAGGAGGCATTTGCGGCTCTGGCAGCTACTTCCCCGGAAGCTGAAAAGCACTATAAAGCTACAAATGGCGCAATTTTCTCAAGCAACAACTCTGGGATCATGCATCTGGGGTACTTAGAGGATGGACACATGACCACTTATTATCCTGATTCCAAGGGAATCACGAAACCTGAAATCCAGGCCGTAAGTGAGTGGATGCAGAAAAAGAAGCTTCTTGTGGTAGGTTCATTTTCCATACGTTATCAATTTCTGGTTTCTGATTTACTCTGGTAAAACTCATTTTACTCCCTCATAACCTTCTTACTTTCCTGATCCATTTTTCGTATACAAATAATATCTGTACGGAAGAAGCATCGGCTAGGTTTTGGATCGAATAGCTGATGCTTCAAAAGGAAAATACTAGATTGAGGAAAACCCAGGATGGCACTTTCGAGCTCTTGATCGCATCGGCAGTAACGCAAGTTCCTCCCGAAGGTGGCGATATTGGAAAAGAAACCGAATTTGACATTAATGATGGTCTATTAAAGGGCCATAAGATCAAACTGATTTATGGTGACCACTCTAAGGAGTTGGCCCTTATTGCTGAGTATCACAGGAAAGCTGCCGAAAATGCTGCGAACGAAAACCAGAAGAAAATGCAGCTTGCATATGCTAAATCCTTTGAGACGGGGTCTCTGGAGGCATTCAAAGATAGCCAGAGATTTTGGATCAGGGATAAGGGTCCTATGGTGGAGTGCAACGTTGGTTTCGTTGAGACCTACAGGGACCCTCATGGAGTGAGAGGTGAATGGGAGGGCTTTGTTGCGACTGTTAATCTTGAGCGCACTAGAGCCTTCGGAGGTCTTGTCGACATTGCAGAGTCTACTATTCCGAACCTTCCATGGCCCAAAGACTTTGAGAAAGACAAGTTTCTGAGCCCAGATTTTACCAGTCTCGAAGTTCTATCTTTCGCTGGGTCCGGGATACCCGCTGGAATCAACATTGTAAGCCGCCCAATTCCAATTTCTTTAATACTTCCTTATCCATACCATGCCCAAGCTTGCTGTCTGAGACCAAGAAGAGAACTCTATGAGCTAACTTTATAACAGCCTAATTATGATGATATCCGACAAACAGAAGGGTTCAAGAACGTTTCTCTAGGAAATGTACTGAGTGCCAAAGCCCCTAATGAAAAGGTTCCTTTCATTTCGGAAGCAGATCTTGCACTGTTTCAGAAATACCGCGATCCTGCCTTCGAGGTGCAGGTAGGAATCCATGAGCTCCTTGGACACGGCACCGGAAAGCTGCTGCAAGAAATCGAGCCTGGTAAATACAATTTCGATATACAGAATCCACCTATCAGTCCAGTTACCAACAAGCCAATAACGACATGGTACAAACCGCGCCAAACATGGGGATCTGTTTTCGGAAGTATCGCGTCCAGTTACGAGGAGTGTAGAGCTGAGTGCATAGCGATGGCACTGAGCTGTGACTTTGAGATCCTTCGGATATTTGGTTTCGGCGACGGCAAGGAGGATATCAACAACGAGGCCGGTGACGTCCTCTATGTCGCCTACCTCCAAATGGCCAAAGCGGGAATATCCTCGCTGGAGTTCTGGGACCCCAAAAGCAGAAAGTGGGGACAGGTGCACATGCAAGCTCGCTTCTCCATTCTGAAATGCTTCTTGGACGCCGGTGAGGATTTCTGCAAACTGGACTATCAAAAGGAGGATCTCTCGGACCTGACCATCAAGCTCGACCGTCACAAGATCACTACGGTTGGGCGCAAGGCTGTCGAAGCGTACCTGCAGAAGCTGCACATCTACAAGTCAACTGCGGATGTGGAGGCTGGCACGAAGTTCTACAATGAGATGACGTATGTTGATGATGATTTCTGGGGGACGAAGGTGAGAGCACAGGTTTTGGCCAACAAGCAGCCCAGGAAGGTGTTCATCCAGGCAAACACGGTTCTTGATGAGGAGACGGGCCGTGTATCCCTGCTAGAGTATGAACCTACTTGTGAGGGTATGATCAAGAGCTATGCAGAGAGGGGGATTTGAAGGTAAAAAGAAATGGTAGGGTATAGGTCCACTCGAGCCAATTTTACCTAGTTGTTGCTATTGCTATTGCAACAATTTAGCTTTGCCCCTGACCCTATTCTTTTGCACGGAGCTGCCGAGTATTCCAACCTCGTGATCATACCTTGGCGGCTTATCTCCTTCAAAGTCAGTATCTTGCATGGTATCATTCACATGCACAACACACGAACAACCGTATTCCTGCCTTGTGATTTCTTCGTTATTGCAAAGCTGATTACAAAGCGCCCTGGCAATTGAGACCATAACATCAGGTCAGAAATGCAATAGACTCGTCAATTGTCCTCCATCCGCTGTTCTACGCCCGAATACCCATCCGTTCACCATTTCATCTCGTGTGGTCGATCTCCCTTACGCAGGCTGAACGAGCTGGCGAGGTATTGCTGGAGGAATTGCTCTTTCTTAATAGTTGCTAGGATGGCCTTGTCGACGGCCTTCTGGTCGGCGGCGCGGCTGCTTGAGGGCTTCTTCTTCTACGCGACTATTAGTCGTTGCTCCAAATCCCATGCTTTTCTGTAAATTCTCACCTCTGGCTTCTCGCCTTGCTTGAAGAATTCCTCCTCTCCCTTCTTCTTCTTGTCGGCCTTCTCCCGAGCGAAGTACTTCTCGGAAGCTATCTCATCAACCTTCTTCTGGTCGAGACCGGAGAGATCGATCTTCTGGGAAGTGGCGATAACATAGCGGGCGTTAACTCTTCGGAGGGGAACACCGTTGACCTTGAATGGACCAGTAACGAGGATGACACCTTGAGAGAGGTTCTTCAGGAGGACAACGCGCTTGCCGCGGAAACGGCCAGCGAGGAGGATGAGAATGGTACCGGGAGTGAGAGTTGGGCGGGGAGTGTGGGCACGGATGGACTTGCGAACCTGAAGCAAGCTGTCAGCTGTAATTCTTTCCCGTTTCACGCGTTGAATTGCGAGAAGTGGTTGATCAATGGCGATCTGGGGCAATTGTAAAATCGCACAGCCCAAATTGACCTCTGATCATTGCAATTCTACAACAGTATCTGTCTTCTAGGGAAATGGTGAACCGACCTTCTTTGGCTGGGCCTCATCTTCCGCAGGGTACCACTTGCTGGCCTTCTGGGTGTGGTGAGGGACCTCCCTCGTCGACTTGCCGAATGTCTTCTTCTGGGCGGCAGGTATCGTAGCTTCTGCTTTGGCCGACATCTTGGCGAAGAACCGATTTTCGTCGTTGTTGCCGGTTCGTGGTTGTCGTTGTCGTCTTGGAGTTCGAAGGTTGGATTGGAAGGTTGCGCTTTTGGCGTCAAGGGCTTAGGGTACCGCTTGCCGATTTTTTAATTTTGTGTGGGAGCTCGGGGTTCGCTAAAATTCGCAATCACGTGCTAAATCTTGGCTGTCTCGTTTCTCAGGCAATAACTTTAGCTCCACTCCCTAGCTCCAGTTTCCGAGAAGCTTCGCTCCAGGTTGACGAGCGTCAACAGAGCCTCGTCATTCAACATCGAAGCTCGCCTCAATTACAAACCACGAAAGATGTCTATCTCACCCATTATCACATTTAAAGCTGGCAGATGTGATCTCGACGTATATATTCCCCTGTTCTTTTCGAATTAAAGATTAATACTAACAGCCGCAGACATCAAGCAAGCCGTACAAAGTCACGCCTGATCCTACACCTGGTTACATCTATCTCTACTCCGAAGATGGTACGTATTCCAAGAAGCTTGCAAACCCGGAGAGCTTACATATCTTAGAACTCATTCACTTCTGCTGGCGCGAACGAAGCAAGCCCTTGACCGACGAAGAGAACCTCGATCTTGTTATGTTCCCAGCTGACGGACATTTCGTGCCATACGAATACAAGACCCGCGACGAACCTACATCTAAGACCAACGGTCGCATCTTTGCGCTCAAATTCTCCTCTTCCTCTTCAAGACATCTATTCTGGCTGCAATCGAAGCCCCAGGCGCGGAATGGCGACGCTAGCTGGTTCAGCCCCCGAGATTTGAAGATTGGCCAGATTGTCGATTCATTACTGCAAGGGGAGGAGGTCAACGTATCGCAGGAAATTGCACAAATACGAAGCGGAAACGGCGGAAACAATGACGATGAAGATGAGACTATGGAGGATGTTGAAGGCCACGGAGACCCATCACAGCATCATGCTGGCGGAAGTGGCGGCGCTGGACCAGATGCCACCGGCGGAGATATCAGGGAGGAGGGCGAAGAGGCAAGAGAAGGTGGAGCTGATGGTGGACGAGCGTAGGTGAACTTTCATCATGTGAGAAGCATTGATTGCATTTACAAGCCAAGGAGTTTGGTGAAAAGGGAGTGGAGAACAAAACGACTATGTACTGCTAGACAGATACGCCTGAATGAATACTCAAGAAGTTTATGGGGTTACGTCAGGATGAGGGCTGACGAGGTGATCAGTGCTAGTTCGGGACCAACAGATGCTGCCACAGTCGTTCAGAATTTCCTCAACTCGTTGAAAGGTGGGAACGGTATGCAGCAACAACAAGCACAAGGCCAAATATATACGACTCTACCGGACTTATTATCATCGTCAACGACAATCCCTGCAATCGAATCCGCCTCCGCAAGCCAAATCGACAACCTTCTTAGCTACCTGCCGCCAACCATACTCTTGCTTGCACAAGAGTCGGCTGCTTCGATCGATGGCATGGTAGAGCCGAACGCCGCAACGGCCACTGCAGCAATGGAAGCGCTCAGCTTAGCCCAGAAGAAATCCATAGTCAAGCGAGTATTGAGGAGTCCTCAATTCCACCAGAGCCTGGGCAGTCTCACAATGGCAATCCGAGATGGTGGATTGCCCAGCATTGCCGACGCATTGGGCGTGCAGTTGGAAAACGGAGGATTGGTTCGAGGCGGCAGTGTGCCTCTGGGTGGTGGAGATGCGGTGGAGGCGTTTGTCGAGGGCGTCAAGAGGACAGTCGAGGGAAAGAAATAGAGCTGGCGGTACTTGGCAGGCACCACATATCCATATCGCATTGTAGAACTATTGCAGGGTGCGGCATTTGCCTCGGTGGCATGGCAGGCTGGCTTTGAACCAACTTACAGGTTCGTAATTATACACCTCAATATCGTATCCTTCCATTACAACATATCTTCATAAAATTCCAGCATGAGCTGCCCACAGGATATTGAAATATGGTCTGAAGTACTTTGTACATTGCATACTCTGTAGATAGGTAGGCAAGGTAAAGGTACCTTAGGTGAGATACCTTGGTTGCGTGACTGCCGGCCGGGCTGATACAGAAAGGGGCGGCTACGAACAATCCGTAGGAAGGCTGGGGCATGAACTAGGCTGGACAAGGCTTAGCGGACTCCCCTATCCCGACCTCAGTACTCTGCAAGGCGCGCAGAGAACAATACTTATCTCAGGTACCTACCCAGGTACTGTTAATTCAAACGATACGACATGACAATACTAAACCCTGCGTGACAAGACGGTGCAACAGTTCAACAGGGTAACAAGGTAGGCATCGGACATGCGCAGTTGCTGGTTGGCTGAGGCTCAAACGCGTGTTCTACCCACCGTAGTGGTGAATAGAATCGCTTGCTATTGTGATGCAGCGACAATAGGAAAGATGCAGGCAATCCATTCTCCTCTCTGCTAGTGTCCAGAGTGATGCCTTTGCTCTCTCGCGACTATTTAAAGTCCCTCTTCTGCCTCTGAACTTGATTTCCATTTCAGATTTCCTTCACACAAACACAAACACACAGATTTGTCTTGAATCCTCCATCCTTTACTTTGCCAGAAAAAAGGTCACCTGATACCGCATCCCCCCAGATATCATTCTCAGCATTTAAGTAAACAAAAGCTTGGTATTCTTTGCCTTGGAGGAAGAACCTTTAATCGAGGTCGCAAGCAGATTTCAAGTCTATTCACTCGGCCAAAAGAGCCCTATCCTTACATCACCCGCCTACCTATCTTTATTCAATACCCGAAGCTCGTCTATGGCATTCACTCAACCAACATCCCAAAGAAAGTTCCTCAGAGTACTCTACCATCCCCAATTCAGCATCCCTCCACCACCCTACACCATGGCTGCGCCTCCATTCGGTCACCAACAGTTCATGCAGCAGGCGCCACCGGCCAACGTGTTTGGTGGAGACGACTCCGACGAGGAGGAAGATCTCTCGCCCATCAAGATCTTCATCGAGACGCCCGTCCACGTCAGCGGCGACAACAACATGGTCGGCATCGACGCCGGCCTGACCGCGTCCAAGGTCGCGGACGCGCTCGTGTCGAGCCTGAAGCAGATGAGCTCCGCCTCGGGCGGCGTCCCCATGATCGATCAGGATGGCCGGCCGCGCCCCATCACCGTGAAAGTCAAGGCGGAGACCAAGATTGAAGGGTCGCGGAACGTGGTCGGGGAGCGCGCGGTCCTCTCGACCCTGCAGGCCACCGGCGCGAAGAAGAAGACCGAGGACACGAAGGATGGGATCAAGCGGGGGAGGGCTGGCAGTGAGCCGTTGACGATGGTGTCTAAGAGAGTCAAGAAGGAATAGGGAGGGATTCTTGTTCGTTGGGAGGGAGGATTTCATGAAACGCGTCGGATTTGATCAGCTATGGGACACGATCTTCTCGGGGCTGGCGTTGGCGAAGGGTTATATCCATTGCTTTTTACTTGAGCTGCTGCGGTGTTAATTTCTTCTTCATCACTGCCCGAACTGGAGGTTCCCCTTATTTCCCTACTGTGAGATGTCCAACTAATGCTTACCAGTGCAAACAAATCATGAGTACCTTAATGACCCCGCCTATCTCCCCCGAATTTGTTGGCGCCCACGACACGAGGGCCGGCGTTCACGAGTGAGGACGAGACTTGCCCATAGGTTGATTACATAGATACTTTACTATCGTACTCGTACAAATCTCGAATCCATGGCTGTCCCCTCCATCTCCTAACCTAGATAGAAGTAGTGCCCCGTTTGATGTACGCACGTTGTAGCGCGCCCGTCCCGTCTCCTTAAGACTCCGAATATCAACCATCCCTGAACACTACTCGGCAAGGAAAAAGAAACGACAAAAGTAGCAAGACGAAATCATCGGTAGTCGGTGGCGCGCCCGTCGCTCTTATGTAGGTCCTTGGCCCATTTAGGAAGCCTGCGATCGCGCTCGTAGAGGAATCCGCAGTTGTTGCAGAGTGTCTGTTGTATGTCAGTGGGGGCTTGGACGCTGCGGCCGGGGGAGGTGCAACTTACTCTCGGGCCTTGTGGTCCATCCCGGACTGCCCAAACGGCCGTTCCCCAGACCTTGCAATGCGAACATCTCCAGGTATTTCGCTCGAAGTCGTTGAGAGAGCCGCCTCCACCATATCCGGTAGCCCCTCCGACGTCAGGGGTGCCTCTACCGCCAGGAGTTCCAGACCTTGCCAGCGGGCTCAGACTTCTGAACCGCCTCTTCTTCTTGCTTCGCTCGCCTCTGCCCATTCGTTCTTCTGTTGGTTCATCAAAGTAGCCCCTATTCTCACTAGCTTGTGGTATGCCACCCATCATTCCCGCGTTTGATGAAAACCTCGCAGTCTCGCGTCTCAATCTTCGGATTTGTCTTTCTCTGTCGCCTTCTCTCTTCTCAATCTCTTCCTTGGATAATATCTCCACCTTCGGTTCCCATTCATCCGCTAAATGCTCGTTGTCATATCTCCAACCAGCTTCAGCACCGTTAGCGGCCTCGTTGGGTATTTCGCCCCCATAACCACCAACTATACCCCCGCTCTCACAGGCTTCTTTCTTAAGTCGCAACACTGCTTCATAAATCGCGTGAGTCATAGCTGGAACCCATTCCCCAGGAAGGCCGAGGTCTGCACAAGTCTGCTTTGCAAATATTTCCGCTGTCCCTGGGGGGTGGAGGAGTGACCACTCGAACTTGTCTGTGTAGAGATGGTTGGACAGGTTAATATTTAAGGAGATAATACATCGATACATATCGTCTGGATTATAATCGTCCGATTCTGGCGGTATGCTGGAGGCTGTAGCTTTCATATCCGGTTGTGGAGCACCGCCAGCCCCAAACTTTGCAGGTGAGGAAATTCCATTCAGTTGGCTCGATCCAGTTCGCAGAGGTGTAGCATTTCCACTGGCAGCTGGGGTAGATGAGACGTCTCGAGAACTTGCTCCTGCTTGTATTGTTGTCACCACGCCGTTTGCTGTGGAGGTCTGTTGAGAGTGGAATAGAGGATGCAGAGCTACACCTGCATACTCTTCAAGTTGCGTCCGAATCTGCTTGGAGATTTCATTCGCCATCTGTCCACGGTTGGGTAGGTCAAGATCCTGCACCAAAGTCTGTGCAAACTGATCTGTGGTGGTCAAGGTTTCGTGGAGATTCCATAAGAAGATATCCTTGAGCCGATACGGCACAGTTGTCTCTTGGTGTCTGTATACTGGTAGGGAGGTGTCGATGTTGTGGCTAGAATAGCCAGCACCTTGAGGTATTGGTAGAGGTGGTGGAGGGGTAAAGGCTGCGATATCGAGATCGATTCGAATTGGTATGAGTGTCAAGGGCAACGCTGCTTGCGCATAGTTCTGCATGTCAGACTTCGCAGGTCTCGCTTTACCCATCCAGTCCCTCCAAATCCCTTGTACTTCAACTGGTCCTGTAGCCTCTTTCCCAACCTTCTCTGAAGGGTCTTGCTTCGCTTGCCCCGACTCATCCCTTCGTATACTTCTCAACCCCGTTGGTCTTCTCCTTCCCTCATCGTCGTCATCATCAAGGTCATCAAAACCATCTTCGGCATAGTTAATGGCCACTGTTCCTCTCTTCGTTGTCCGGGACAAGGGCGCAGCGAGTGTCGTTGTCGGTTGGATGACGGGGGTGAGGAGGGAATTGGCGTAAGTGCGCAATCGAGGCGCATAGCTCGATATGAATGACTGAGGTGGGTTCTTGGTCGTCATCTTGATGGCCGTATGAATCTCATAACATGTCCACGCCAAAGGCGCGGGTTGTGGTGTTGATCTCTATGGATGGAGATGAAATGCGCAGGCGAGATACTTTGTAATGCGTGATCAGAGGTACGGTTCGAGAGCGCCGGTAGAGGGCGCTATCATTATCGTATAACACGCGCAACAGCTTGTTGTTGGAAGGGGGCTTGATCTGTCCAGAAAGTCCTTAAACTTTGATCTGCAAATAATGAATCGATCGTCGCGTCTTCGGAGGTTCGCGACGCTGGGATTTGACGTGTTGGCGCCTTGGAAATCAGGAACCAACAGTTTTTCCCGTCAGGCTGAGCTAGGCTGGTACTAAAAACAACCAAGGTTGGCGATACTCGTCTTTTCAAACACCATGGTTTCTACATGATTTAGTCTCTATAGTTAGAGAAAGATCAGGGCACTAGCAATTGCAGTCCATGGTACTAGTGCATTACATACCGTGCCTAAGTCACAACGACTCACAAGCACCAAGTGGTTCCTCTTCCCTGATCAAACCTTGGCAGATAGTATGCCAGTCCGTACAAGAATGTCTTCTATATTGCCAGTCCGTACAAGAATGTCTTTTATATATATACTGGTTTATTTCACTTCTTTTCCTGAAGTTATTATTGATTCAAACACAACATATGATTCTTTCTGGGAAATTCTTGTATGATCAACTCCCACATTCAAGCTCCTCTACAGCTTTCCCTTTACCAAACACTGGATAGACAATACCAGTGATTCCCACCATGCATCAAGATAACGAGGAAAGTCCTCAACAGCAAGCCCCGGAACAGTATACGTCGACTCTCTCTGTGCAGTCCAAAGCACACTTACCTCTCGCATCGCAGATGCTTCCACTCGAGCTAAAATGGTTAATCGTCCAAATGGCGTGCACTCCAAAGAAGCCCTGTCTCGACTTCATCACCAAAGGCCATGACGGATGCTTAGATCCCTGGAGCTGCAAGCTCTCTCATCTGGGCCCTGAAGATACATCGTTTTATACCGTCAAACCCAACATCACTTCCGTCTGCAGCTCTTTTCGCCACGAGGCGTATAAAACATTTTACCAAAACAACACATTCGTATTCCGGTCCATGGGTGGCGATCAAGCGGTGCGTGAGGGAGCTCGGCCCGGCGAAGCCGACCTACCCTGGGAAGATCTCCGCGACCCCTACGCTTCCCGCATTCTAGAATTCATCGACCGGCCAGAGTGGAAGAACAAAGGCTCGCGGTTCTTCAAGGACGACGGCCGCTACCAACACGGAGATAAATACCGCCACCTAATCTGCAGCATCATCATCAACATCGAGCCGAACTGGGGCTCCCAGCACCACCAGGATTGGGACTGGCCCTTGAAGGTCGACTGGAGCACCCTGCCGCATCTCAAGTACCTGCAGCTGGATCTCCGTACGTACTCGCGGCGAACATGGGACGACTCGGAGGAGGCTTACGATGAGATATTGGAGGCAGGAGCGGCGCGGATGCGCTGTTTGAATTTGGATAAGCTTGTGCTGTTTGGATTGTGTAGCTTTGATCTGTATTGGGGTGATGAAGATCATAAGCGTAGGATGGAGAAGTTATTCAGGCCGGCGGTGAGGCCTGGTGGGAAGCTTGAGTTCTTGGACCAGCAATCTTCTGTAAGGTGGTAAAATTCATGTTTTACAGCCGCGTTTAGTATTCCGGCCACATTGGCATTGACAATGATACTACAGTTCAAAGCAGATTCCTTCAGCTCTCAATCGGGATCACTTAATCCCACGGTCGGTATTCAAAATCAAGTCTACATGTATACTGACCGGGTCCAGCATAGTTTCATATCGTCTCAGTTTCACCAAAAGGCATCTCAGGAATATGTCAATCATTCAAAGAATTGTGATATTCATCATGAATCATTCATTCTACCCGCCCATCCGGTTCATCTCCCATATGCGTCAATGCCGTCGCTATACTAACCATCAAAACGAATCTATGCCTTGTGGGAAACCAGTTGTTCCTCAACTATGTCTTGGATTATATTCCAACTGTCTGCCAGGTCGCACTCGGCTTTCTTGCAAAACACATTCCATACAACGCTTTGCAGACTAGCGTAGGCCATTGATTGACCTCTTTCAAAAGCCTCCATATCGTTCAACCCTTCCAGCATAGCAATACGAGCCCAGCGGCGCGACCTCTGCGTTCCAGCGACGGTAGCCCAAGCGAAGAAGGGTCCGTATCGGAGAACTTTGTCCTCAAAAACGCACATACGCTCTCGGATGTGGCCCTCGATCATTGGCTTAGGCTGAAGCTTCATATGCTCGGAGTATCCAAGTCCCAGGGCCTTCACAAAACAGCCAAGGGTGGCTAGCTCCATCGGACTCAGCGTCTCCAGGAATTCTATTTGTCTAGTGCGAATCGAATGTTTCCTTTTCAGTCCTGCCGTAGAGTCCACCATCTGGTACATCAAGAGCAATGCTTCTCTCTTTATTTTTTCCGTACGCAGTGCTAGTTGGGATAATGGACCGTTTGCAGACCGTGCCTGCGAGCCGGTTGTCTCCTCCATGCCGAACCGGGTCATGTCCGAAACCTCATGCCGAATCAAAAACTCGATTATGGCGGTTCTGGATCTGATCTCGGAGAGCCAAGGGTATGAAAGGGGCTCGAAACTAACATATTCTGGCGAAGCAAGAGACGGACAGACGGGATAGAGGATGTTTCCGTTGACCGCAAGCCTCTTGACAATAGAATGCTCATATTCTTTGAGTAAGAAACATATCCCCTAGTCACATTGTCAGTGCCTAGGTCATTCGCTCATTGGGAGGACCGTTTCAGGGTCATCAGTGAGCAGAACCGACCTTAGAAAGACACATCAGGACCCCCACGCTCTTCGGATCAGCATCCACCACCTCCTCCAAAACCCTCAAGCAAAGCTCCGCCGGCAACTCCGATCCTTCCCTACTCCTCAGCAGATTACAGATTCCCGTTCTTTCTACTGTAAGATTATAATCCATCTCGTTCAGGGGCCGTGTTGGCCTCGAGGACTGAACCCGGGTGTGAAGAAATAAACGAGCACTGTGCCTGAAGAGGGGTTGTTTGCTTTGGTACGAAGAAGAGGTTGTGATAGAGGGAGGGGTCTTCAGTAGCCTTCTCCCGCAAGACGAGGCTATACTTGCCGGTCCCACGCAATTCCGAAGATAAAGATGGAGAGCAACGATACTCGATATGCAAAACTTGATTGATTGATTGAATGTTATGTCTGCCGACTGTCTATTGATATAGATGGGAAGTCAAGCTCGAGTTTGGAGGTATCGACAGACCACAAGGTGTTCGCTGCTATGACGGAGTTGGAGCACGGAAGGCACAAGGCTGATTAGCCTTACCTGCTTGTGACGGTCCCTACCCGTCAAGGTGACAAGAGGCGGAGCTGGGCCCGGTATATTATTCACCTATATTTATTATTATTAGGTAGTCCTGAGCTAAATGTCCGGGAGATTTTAAGGGACCAGTTCTGATTCCAGAGAGGTGGACTTTGTGTCATGTCCGCACTAACTAACTTGGTATTACTGGATAATTGCACCATGGATACGGCCTTGATTGGAATCTGCTTCATCTGCTTCCCCTCTTTCATTCCTGTCTATCTGGCTCGCTTCTCTTCGGCCTGTAAGCCATTGAGACACATGTAAGACGTTAATGGCAATGCAACGATTCTTGAGGATCTCTTGATATCTTCAAGGAAACATTTCTCTTCTGTACTACTGCACCGTAATTCAATGTTATATACTTAGGGCGGTACAGTGAATTCATTCCCGTTGGTTGCCTAGCATGCTGCTACCGCTTTGCTCATAGTCAATAATCATCTCAAGCAAACAGATCTTCAAACGAATTTAAAGATACCTTACCCCCTTCCATGCAACAAAAGACCTCCCTTTTCCAACCCACACCATGAGCAAAATCATCACGTGATGCTAATCCTAACACCATCAAACCCCCCGGTCAAGCCTTCTACGCTTGTCACAGATGCGATATGCAACAAATCCCCTCTCCCTCTCTAAATATCACGTGATGCTAATCCCGCTGCTGTTGAACCCGACTTCGACAATCTCGCAGCTGCGATGTGCAACGAAACCCTCATGTCACGCGCCTAATATCATGTGATGCTAATCCAAACGCCATTGACCCCCCTGGTCAACCCTTCCACGCTTGTCACGGATGCGATATGCAACAAAATTGCAGTGAGATATCACGTGATGCCAATCCCGCAGCCGTCGAAAGCAACGTTCAGCCCTCCCAATCTTGTCACGGATGCGATGTGCAACAAAACTCCTGTATACAATCACATGATGCTAATCTCGCAGCTGTTGAAGCACCCGTTCAACACCTCCACGACAAGCGCCGATGCGACGTGCAACAAAACTCCCTGAAAACCTCACGTGATATCATCCAATTGATACGGGATTTGTTGCACATCGCACCTGTGCCAATCTCGCGAGGATTGAACGTTGGTTTGATGCCGATGAGATTAGCATCATGTGATGCTATTCTTGTCTGTGGTCGTCGTATGCTGCTGCTGCTATTCGTCATAACCGCTCTTATCTCCTTGCGAGGACAATGTTAGAGATGAATTTTGTCAGAGCACGCACATACACCAGGAGTGGCAGATAGTGTTTTGCTCATAGTCTTTGCTTAAGGGGCTCTTCACCGAATTTGACTTGTTCTTCTTCAAAGCATTAATATGAGCTGGTCCTGGCTTCTACTTGTTCAAGGACTCCTCGTGGCCAAAGTCCGCCAATTCTAAGTGATGGACCGGTGTGAAGAGTACTTCAAAGCGGAAAAGATAATTTTCAAATAGTCATAGTTGGCGTCGCTGTCCACCTAGGTACATATCAGAATATCTATTTAATATGCATGAACCACAACGATCGTGAACTCGTGGGTATGAAGCCATGAACGCCATGCTCTGACCCTCTAGATTTACCTATCTATACTCCTATTCACCACCTCCAAAACAACGCCTAGATCATCTCCAAAGCCAAAACTTTCTCTAGACAGAAAAGGTAATCTTATAGGTCATGTCTGGCTCTCTTACTAGCCAATCGAATACGCTCCCCGTATATATAGAGGACAAAGGGGATAGGAATGAACGCGACAGACAAGAAGCCCAAGGTCGAACTCGCCCACCCAACACCAAGGTTTCTATACATCGCACCAGCAAACAAAGGGAACCCCGCCCCGAAACTGCTTCGCATGAAGTCGTTCCCTGCCAGGACCGTAGCGGCGTGGTCGGGATAGGCGTCGCCGAGATAGTTCAGGACCGAGTTGAAGAGCAGGAACGCACCGATGGTGAAGAAGCTAGATGCGATGATGGGACAGATCCAGTGGACCGCGGGTCGACTCGTCCACCCGAACCAGAAGAGACATATGGGGATACAGAATGCACCCACGCATGCCGGTGGTAACCGCTTTTCGGGTTTGAGTTCGCCATTCTCGTTGAACTGAGGCTCCTGGACCTTCCATAGATATAAGAAGAAAGGAGGAATGACGACGAAGCCACCACTAAGTTATTGATAAGTTAGCACGTGCCGAATCAGGACAGTACAGGAGTTGTGGAACATGATTCATGAAGTGCGTTTCACCCCAAGATAACGAATGCTTCGCGGATACTCAACAAACCAAGATAGAAAGGATAGGGGTGCTTACATTAAGATTCCAAGGAAAGACAAGCCCTCCTCCCCGAGATTGAAGCCGTAAATGCCTTCAAAAACGATGACAAAAGACTCGAACCAGACGTAGAGCAGGCCATAGATAAGCGCTAAATAAAGATTTAGGAGAAGAAGAATTGGTTCCAAGAAGAGAAGGCTAAATGGTCTAACCACGATATCCAAAACAGCTTCTTTTGCCGTCATCTGCTCGGCCATAATCTCACCCTGAGACTTGAGGTCTTTCCTTCCCGTGAGCTTGCGGAGGCGGCGACTGCGTCTCCAGAGAATATTCGCGGAGCTTGTCTCCGGGAGAAGAATTATCATCACGATCAATGCGAAGCCAGAAAGCCAGAGCAGTTCCCAGATTGGCCATTGCCAGCCCTTATTCATGGCTGCGAAGCCGCCAATCAACGGGCCCAGAACCGGTCCACATATTGCAGCCAAACCCCATATCGCGATGGCCCCTGCTCTTGGTGCGGGTGAGAACATATCAGCCAGTGAAGCCCCGCCGGTAGCAAGCACCGGACTCCCAAAAAAGCCGGTAAGGAATCGGAAAGCGAGAAGCATTCCAAAATTTCTGGCGTATACCACCGCGAATTGGAAAAAGACGAAGACGAATAGTGTCCCTATGTAGACGACATTTCTTCCCAAATAGGGGATCTCGGACATAGGAGCCCAGAGCATAGGTCCGATGCCATAGCCGGCCACGAAGAGCGTCAGGCCCAAAGTTGCTGCAACCTGGGAGACTCCAAAGTGCTCCATGACACCTAGTGTCCCAGCAGAGTAGATAGCGGATCCAATATATACAGAAAACGTCAAGAAGCAGATCAATCCAGTCACGAAGATTTTTCTTCCGAAAGGCCAGTTTCGTGGATTCTAGATAGTTTAGCTATTCAATCACCGAAAGAGAATGACATGTCTTACTTCTGGATCTGTATCCGAATACCATGTTGCAATGGCACTGTCTCCTCCTTTTTCTGGATCTGCATTGCTCGTCTCTTTCCCATGCCCCTCGGCACTACCAACTCTTGTGGTTGAACTGACGCGAGATCTTTCGGATCTATCCTGCTGTTGACCGACTTCCTGTTCCACCTCGGCATCCGTACTCGTGTCAATTGCTGCATCATCTCTGGCCTGTTCAGCCACTCTCACCTCGCCAGTATCACTGTAAGCCGGCGTACCCTTAACCATATATCTCTGGTACAGTTCCGGATCTAGAGTGTCCTCGCGCCGGAATATGACGAGGCGGAGGATAGTTCCAAGAGTTGAATCCCTTAAAAGTCCCCACAACATGGTGTCAAATCAAATAGGAAATAGAAAACAGCTGGAAAGAATCAACTTCAGATAAAAAATGAACAAGAGAAACGAGATATAGGAACACAAGAGCAAGAATAGCTGGCTGTCGTCATTCCGCTCTCCCGCTGGCAACAAGTTTCTATTGAGCTCTGGAATTCTGCAAAATGCATAACGCTCAGGCATACTACCGTAAGTGCCGTAGCACAATAACGTAAGTACCTATGCTTAATTGCGTAGATTCCGGGGTTTTGAGGAGAATATCAAGGTTTGGCGGCGAATTTATTCTCCGATAGGAGCGAACAGTGACGTCCTAGCCGGCTAGACGAGTATTTAGAGTGCTCATCACAACTCGCTACAAAGCATCTCTGCAAGGTACATTCACTGGTGGGGTTCGGCGATTAACGCATAATTGGTGATGTTTATTCTCTACGCGCGTCGCGTTGCACATGAAAAAGTGACCGCATATCACGTGACACAGTCTTCTACCAAGCCATAAAATTTTGCTTGGTGAGTAGAGGATAGGAGATGGAAGAATAAACTTGGGGTCTGATAGTGCAGCTTCATGCTCGGAACTGTCCGGGTCTGCTACACGGTACTGCGTGTATGCTTAAGAACTGATAGAGAAGAAATTGATATGTAGCCCGGCCACCATCCACCCCCTCAAACCCAAGGAAAATAAAAGGATTTCAACAAGTTCAAGGAGACGTGATCCCATACGGTCCCTGAGAAAGTCAACTCCTTTCCCGGGCCCTGGCCCACCTTCTGCATCGCACGTCCACTAGGAGGCAAAGGGTATCCTGTCTGCATTGGTCCAAATTGGCCTTTCCCCAGATCTGTAACTTCTCAGAACCAAGCCCTTGACAAAGAGCCGCCTCTTAAGAAAGGCTAAGGTAATGATAAAACAATTTCATTAATACGTAGGCACTCAAAGGTACCATTATAGCGCTCATGATTCCCATTCTGGGAATCACGAACCGGAAAGTAACGCAGTAACGCCGCCGTGGCGCTTATGGATGCCATCCCATCCCCTGAACGCCAAACGAATGAACCTCCAACCACCTCGGGTCCCCAGTCGCCGGATTTTCTCCTAGGTACTATACAACCTGGTCCGCATCAGGTGATCCTTGTCCGCCTTACTTTAAGCCATGATCGTCGTCTTCAATAGGCCGTAGCCTCACATCAGTTATCTTCTTCCCTCCCAAATCCTTTACCTTATCAATCAGAGTTTTCTGGGTGTCCAGTTCCGCAACATCGTCGCCACCGCCAATGCTTACGCCATTTATAAGGATGTTCGGAACCGTTTTTCTCGTCGTAAGCTCCGCAAGCCGAGCTTGTAACTTGGCGCCGAGCGGATGCTGGTCGAGTTCTACAACGAAAGGTGTGGGGTCGATGATGTATTTCTCAAGCAGAATTCCTTTGGCACGTCGAGAGTAGGGGCAGTATGATTTCGAGAATATAATTACTGAAGGAAGGGCGCTAATTAGTTACCCGCCTCAAATGCCAAGCCAAATGTGTAGAATGGGTTAGGAGAATACTCACTTGGGGATTTCTTGAGGATGTTGTTAAGCTCAACCTCAGCATCATGGTCCTCCTGGCTCTCCTTTATGGGCTCTTGTGAATCAGCAGCTGGAAACTTCTTCCGTCCGGCAACACTCCGGCCACCCTCCGCTGCGCTTCCTACGCCCACAAGGCTGGAAGGAGGATCTGGTTTCGGTGCTTTCGCATTTGCATTATCCTTTGCAACTTGCGCCGCCTTCTTCAACCTCTCCGCCATTGCTCTGGTAACCTCCTCGTCATCCTCTGTTTTACCCGACGGGGGAACGTCTGGCTCTTTATCTAATGCGCTGACGGTTTTGTCGTAAAAGTCACCCACACTCTGAGAGCCCTGGGCGCTTTGTTGGCGAATGGAGGATGACCAGAAGAGAATCGCGGCTATTAAAATAAACGCAACGATGGCGGGGATTTTCATACGGCGCAGGGGAGGCATTTTCGAAGTCCCTTGGAAGAAGGGTGTATTGAAGATTGCTGGAATAAGATCTGTCAGAGATTATTCCCTTGCATGTCAAAGAATCAACTCACTAGATGAATGATATCTGGGCATCAAGAACCCAATGAGCGTAAAGTCAAGTGCTCGGTTCGTGACGCAAGCAAGGCTGCAGGTGTAATCCAGCGAGGCCTTCCCTCGGCGACTGCTCGAGCGCGATTATAAATGAGTGACGAGCAGTCAACAATAGAGAGCTGTTATGAATAAAGAGGATGAAGGTGAAGTCGGCGAAGGCCCAAAAACCCAACCATTGATCCAATAAGGCCAGGAATATGCGTAGGGTTGTTGAAGTCAGGTTTCGTGAGGATAAGGGGAAGGACAGGTACGGGATGCGGAGACGTGCAGAAACTCCGCGTGGCGCCAAATACGGACATCCAAATCCGGTTAGAGCCATCGATCTGTGTCTGTACTCCATATCTCACGAGAGTCTAGACTTGCTTCCCGCTTCTTCCATGCGTCAAGCTTCAGGCAGGACACCTGCAAAGGCAAAGTTTATTACCCAAGGTCAGGATCCACTTGGTAAAGGGCCAGAGTTGTTTCAAAACATCCATATCATTTCTTCGTCTAATGCGTTCAACAACTTCCGACTCCCTTTAAGCATTTAGGCTGTCACTGTTTGACCAAGAGACTGGCTACATATGCGTTCTTTGCATAGGTGTATTACATAGCAGAATTACAATTAGCTTTCGTATCCGTGTGATCGTACAGGTAATATAAACCCAAGTGACCCAGCTCGCAAGATTACAAGAGCCCAGCGCCAGGCTTCTTAATTCCATAAGTCCCAACACCCCATAAATTATTTTCCTCGTCCAAAGGCACGGTTCTCTGATGCCTCACCTGAAAGCTCCAACGCTGGCCCTCTCTCTCAAGGTCCTCCTGCCTCCGTCGTTCTTGCCATTAATATTAACACCGGTAACCTTCACCCAGTCCTCCCATTCCCGAGCGATCTCCATCAGGACACCACCCATGACTGTAGCAGACGCCATGAGACCATGACCCTCGCCTTCAAGTACTCGGACCTCACACCTCCTCATCGTCTTGCCTAACCACCTAACATTTTCGACGGGAACTCTGGTATCCTTACTGCCATGGTGGATGACCACTGCCCGCGTTATGTCAACATATCGGAATCCAATCGTGTGTCTCCTTTCTAAACAGACAAGTAGATCAACTGCAGGGTTCGCGCCTGAAGTGGCCAAATCCCAGATGGCGTGCGTGAGCCGTGTGTCATATGTCATCTGTCTCTCTTTATGGGCCAAAGTACTAGCTGCGGCGGCCAAAATCGCAGCCTCGGAGTTAGGATCTATAGGGTCCTTCGCTGCTTGTTCCAACGTCCTTGGTTTCGAGGGATCTGGATAAACCGTTGAGTTGCCATGGTTCTCTTGATCCATTGCTGGTGAAAGTGCAGACTTTCCAGCACTGCTGCGTTCCGTCGTCCTCCGTTTATTTCGTCTTGGTGATTTCGGGAGGCTGCTTGTTATTGAGCTACTCGTGGCACTCATAAAGCTCGAGTTTGCGGCTTTCAGAATTGGGGTCGGCAGCGCACGAAGAATGCGCTGGGAGGTTGGTAAAGAGTTATTGGGAGGAGAAGCAGCTTGACCACCAATAACATTCATCTGCGAGGGTGGTATCCACGGCGCCAGGAGATGTATACGGCCACGGATATGTTGGGGCATTCGGAGCGCTGTTGCCAGAGCATAGATCGCACCTGCAGAATGAGCCAAGATGGAAAACTTAGTGATCTTTAATGCCTGGCATATAGCATAAACATCATCTATGTGAAGTTAGCAATTGCTTTAGCAGCAGACCTGAGCAAGACATACCAGGCCAACTAAGTGGTGTCGAAGTGCCATCGGTATATGGCTCACTGTCTCCGACACCAGGCCGATCCGGCGTGATCAATCGTAACTTCAGGGTCAAGGCAAGTTCATCGTAGAAGGCCATAATATACCTCGTTAGTCCCATGCCAACACAACAGAACACTGCGAACCCCTCTGAATCGCCAACCTCAGAGAACGAAATTGTCCTGCCAGTTTGAGGATGCTTGATCTTTTGGGATAGGCGCGGAGAGCGGAGGTAAGCCTCAACAGCATCGTCAATGGAATCGGCACTTGATGGCCGATCATCCACATGGATCTGTGGTTGCTTGGTGGGCTCAGGAGAGCCAACTCGTGATAGCAACGGATTGGAGGTGCTCCTCTGGTGTGGATCTTTCTCTGTGGCGCTTGGGCTTAAAGGAGCAGATAAGCGTTTTATTCGTGATCCGCTTCGCTTTGTTTGAGACGCTGTTATGTCTAATGGCTCAGGTGCGGCTTTGGTAGACTTTTTCTTCTGACTGGAAGAATTATCAGGGCCAACCCGAGCTTTCCGTTGAGGAACAGCCGGCGCAGGCGCACCTTCGTCCCTACTTTCAACAGGTTGCAATTCCTCCATATCGCCGCTGTCGCGCACTTTCTTGTTTGCTAGCGTGGTTGCATTTGGCGGCGGCATCTCCAGGTCATCCAGAGGTTCCATCATGCTTGAAATTCCCTCACTCTTCAGGACTTGGTGATCCCGTCGACTTCGTTCACGCTTGCGCTCTTGTTTCTGTACATCAGGCCTCTGGGTAGAGTCATCCCCATCTTCACTAGCTCGTTGCTTGCTGCTTTGGCGACTTGACCTTTGGGACGAACGTTTATGCCCTGCGCCTGTAGAATTACGAAGCGACGAATCTCTCGCAGGTATAAACCTCCCCGAGCCAATACCACCTGGACTGACTGCAGCGAGAGCTGGACTCACACCGCTTGTACGAGGAACTGCAGCAGCTGACTCGGGCTTGGGCGGGGATGACTCTTCGGGTTCTTCACCAATGACGCTCTCTGCCATGAAAGACTCAGTATCAAAGTGAGGCAGGGGAATCCGATCCAGTCCAGCGGTTTTCGATTTTCCGGCTACAGTGGGACCACTGACTCTCTTTCGTTCTTGCTCCCTTTCTCGAAGTCGTTCTTTCGAGCTCATGTACATCAAGCCCTTCGAATTCCTTGCTTGCTTCTTGCCCCAGCTATCGCCTGAAGACTTTCTCCGTAAATCGTCGGAGGTAGTTATTCCAGGTTCAATAGAGAGACTGCCGATGGTGCTTGTATCATCCCGGTCCTTTGATCCTGCCGATCCATTTGATGAGGGTCTCGAGCTGCCTCTCAAGAAGCTCTTCATTGGGGTCACATCCCGCCCTGACGCCTTTGGAGGGGCTGTTAGAGGAGAGAATCCTGATGGTGGCTTTGCTGTTCGAATAACCGGCGGACTGGCAGCCAGCTCGTCCAAGGATTCGTCTTCTTGTAGATCTCCTAGTGACGGCTGCCTGAATGCGCCATAATCTATACCGAAACTTCCACCTGATGATCTAGACCCACTAGGCGCGTTCAAGCTGCCGAATGTTGTATTGAAAGTAGTATGCATATGAGCTGGAGATGCCGGCGTCGAGTGACTTCCGCCATCGTGCTCGAATAACTGGTTCGCAGGAGAAGATATGATCGATAGAGACGTTATCAAGGACGAAATCACTTCTGGAGAAGCCGGCTGTATATGCACGCGATTTGAAGAAGGTGTCGAAGGACCTTGGAGCGACCTTCGACGAGTATGTTGTCTATGGCGGCTTGGTATTGGCGGAGGAGTTGAAAGGCTATCCATGGTGACTTAGTAGACCAGATGGTGACCCCCGGATCTGAACAGCGCGTCAGACGGTTCCCGCACACCTCACCCAGTCTTGGGAGTATCTGGGAATGCTATGATCGTCCTGGGCGATGGATTGGCACATCAAAGTCAATATCAGATGCGCAAGGCCCCACGGAGCAGAGTGCGTTTGACGGATTCTTTCGATCTGGTGGAGGCTCGACGACGACGACTTATGCGCATAGGATTTATTAGAAGGCCGGAATACAGGTAGGATATATATGAGACTTGGATGGCGTGTCTAAGGATGGATCTGAACGCGATTCGATCAGTCAGCAGTGGAATTTCTGGTGAAGTGTTATGGGCGTGCACCAGCTATCAGGAACAAGGGGCTTGTGTAACCAGCTTAGAGAGGACGGGGCACCGACATTCAGCGAGACATGGGATGTTCGGGCGCAACGACGAAGAGCAGGATCTCAACCTGTCGTGGATCTGAGCAGGAGTGGAAATGCGACAGCGACGCGATAGCGGCAGCGACAACGACAGCAGGTCATGGAAGAATAATCTGCAGAGCATAATCTCACAGAAGCTCTCGGGCGGCGGACTAGCACATAGCCAATACTTAGTGTCCGTGGGCGCGCCCCTTTCCTGGTCGTCTAAAGCGGCCAAAGGGTCAAAGAGGCAGGCAGAGAAGCAGAGAAGCAGGATGCCAAACCGGCTGCTGTCTCGCTGGATGGATCAATGGATAGATGGATGATTAGCCACATGCGAAATGCAGATGCGGATGCAAATGCAAGTGCAAGTGCAAGAGATAGAAATCTCTTCTCACACCTTCACATGGAGTCTGAGATGGCGATACCCAGGGTGCAAATAGTGGGCTGCGGAGGCTGCGGAGCAAAATGGCCCGGACCGTGCGCACGATTATTCCGGATTTAGCAATTCCCCGATGATAGGGGCACGGCCTCGGGTCCCAGAGTCGAGAGCTCATACGTTGGACGATGGGCGTCGACAAGGGGGTCGGAAAGTCAGTATTATTGGCATAACCATCATCATGAAACCAACTCCTCAGACAGCGCGAATCAATCTTGGCTCTAAGATTTCGATCGCCTTCCAGCTCGCTCCTCCAGGGCATGATGATAGGGTCATAGGCTTCAAAACTCCCTACGCAGCGTACTGTGCAGTGCTGCATGTACGTTGTATGTACTCCGTACTGCACGTATTTTGGACCCCTGAATCAACCCCTGATCCATCCCCACCTGCACTCCCTGAATACATGACTCGCCGATTCGGATTTATGTTTCTCCGCGCTCCGCCATTTCGAAACCCGGTTGTCGGAACTTGGATGGCTGTTGGTATAATGGGTCAGAGGTAAAGATCTTAAGCACTCTTGTCGCTTAGGATGTTACTATGAAAAAGGGTTGTATGGATCCATAAGGGTCGAGTCACATGTGCCAGATGCCTCATTGAGGGTGTCAAACCTAGATCTGGCAGGTTGTGATATGTAAATCGATAAATTCATTATTATGGTCGTCGCCCCTCTAAACATCAAGCATTGATCATACCCATCCCATGAGACGTGCCCAAATTCGTGAACGCACTGCGCTATTCGCTAGACAGACATTTTCATGGCAATCGACTTGTGAGGGTCATACCCTTTGATCTCAAAATCCTCCAGCTTCCAGCCGTCAATGCTCCCCCCTTTATCGCGCTTGATTTCCAGTTCTGGAAAAGGCCGTGGCTCACGTTCCAGTTGTGTGCGAAGAGCATCAATATGATCGAGATAGATATGCGCATCTCCCATGACATGCGTCAGACTTCCAGGGATCAGGTCACAAACATGAGCGAGCATATGGCAAAGGAGAGCATAGCTGGCGATGTTGAATGGGACGCCAAGCCCCATATCACAGGATCGCTGATACAATTGACAATGGAGATGCCCTTTCGGTTTACTTTCGCTACTCCCCTCTCGCGCCTGTCCCGGGAATGAGACATAGAACTGGGCAAACATATGGCAAGGTGGCAGCGCCATGATGGACAAGTCCCGGGGGTTCCAAGCGGTAAGAATCATTCGGCGGTCGTAAGGATCCGTTCGAAGCTTGTGTATAATGTCGGCCAGTTGGTCCACCCCTTGACCAGTATAGTCCGTTGACGCATCTTTATACTCGGCGCCAAAGTGTCGCCATTGAAAGCCATAGACGGGCCCAAGATCACCAACTTCACGATGTGTTAAGCCTCTGCTATCCAGGAATTCGCGTGATCCATTGCCATCCCAAATCTTTACCCCAGCCTCACTCAGCGCCAGGGATGATGTGTTGCCCTGAATGAACCAGAGTAGCTCGGCGATAATGGCACGAGTGAAAACACGTTTTGTCGTAAGAAGAGGGAGGATCGGTCGCCCATTGTCATTGAGCTTGAATTTGAGGGGCCGTGGTGCAAAAATAGACAGAGTCCCGGTCCCTGTTCTGAGATGTATGAGTTTCAAAACTCGCATTGATTATATATCGATCGGGATATTGACTTACCGGTCTGGTCGTCTTTCACCATGGTCCAGAATCTCACGGATAAGATCGAGGTATTGATGCTCCTCGTGTAATGCCAGAGACGCCATTGCTGCCAATTCACCCACAGAGTCTCCCCAGAAGAAAGGGTCGTCAGGAAAAAGATTGAAGAGTGTCTATTGAGATGTGGTAGTTAAAAACGCAATTCTGCCAAAGAGGGGTATCGAGGCGCACGTTACAAATCTCACAACGCGACAGGACGCGTGTGTTTCTCGATGTCGCGACTCGCGAGAAAATAACTGGTGGCCTGTGCACAGTTTTAGCCCGATGCAATGGCTGCCGCTAAACGTGGAGGGGCAGGCTGATTGATTGATTGATTGATTGATTATCTTCACTAAAATCTATTCTCAATTAGGTGATAGGAGAAAACTGTCGTGCTTACGTTCCAGATTTTCTCTGGAGACATGAGTCTATTTTTGATGCTGCTGCTCTTGAAAAACGCTCCTCCGATTTCAAAAAGCGGCAACCAGAACTAAGAGTATAAACTCAAATATGGGGATTAGCTATCACATACGACCACAGACTGAGGAGAATTGGGCAATCTCTTCTGTGTACCATACATCTGCTGTAAATAACCTCATTTTTTTGCTAGGCTCTGAGAGCCCGACACGTGATTATTGCCGCTTTCCTAGGGACCGGGACTGAGACCCTGGATCCTATGTAGATCCAACAAAAGGATGCTGCAGGAAGGTATAATATGAAAAGTACGGCCGTTCTAGTTTTCTCTTCTTGTCTTCCATTCTTGCGTTCATCTCTATATCTTTTGTTCTGTTCGCTACGTACTAAACGGCAAGCTTCAGAACCCCCTTCTCAGTCACACAATGGCAAGAGCCCGTCGACCCCCGAAGCCTATCATACGAAGAGGCGATTGTTAGAGAAGAAGAACGCATTAATACCAAGCATTACCGACTTATTGTGGCACCGACGAAAAAGCGGATCGGGGAAAGAAGTTGTGGACGATGGTCGAGGGACCTTTTAGTTGGGTGCAGTATGGATTCGAGGAGCCGTGACTTGCAGTAGAGGGTTCGAGATTGTGAATACCTCTGAGTTGCTTGAGTAATCTATAGTCGACGTACCCCTCTTTTCTGATACGATCTCGTGCCGTTAAATCTTCACATGGTGCTGGCTCTCCGGAACGCTGTAACCGCCCCCCCCTTTACGCGTCCATGCTGTCATATACGGCTTGCTAGCATGTCGCGTCCAAATAGACTCTCCAAGTTGTATACCCATTTGCACAAACTTCTTCTTCTTGGCACAGCAGCGAGGCTATGATCAAGATGAAAAAAAATAGAAGTGTTCGCTGGTCAATGACCAAGAACCAGCCCACGAGAAGTCAAGATGCCTCAAAGCCTCAAAGCCAACGAGCCCACAAGCCCACAAGCCAGCAAACCCCACAATCCCCAGATCCCCATGAGAGGCCAGCAAGTCCACAAAGTATGTGTCAAGATGCCTCACTTCCCTGTCTCACTTGCTTCACCTGCCGCTTATTTCAGAAAAGTCTCCACGATGATCAATCAAGTACGATCCGCCCGAGATCCCGAATCAGTCTTTCCTCGTTTTCCAGTCCTCCCACTCGTAATCTGGCGCGCGCTGCTTACTATGACATTGCCAAATCCATATCCCACTGAAAACCAACCCAGAAGGTGCGAACCCGATCAGTGCATCTTTCCAAAGCGGCCTGTAACCATCCTTCAGCGTCAGGCAGACATGAAAAAGAACGACGGCAGGAGCGACGACCGCAAGGACCATCAATATAGCGATACAAAGTGATGCATCATGTACCTGCAAACGGGCCGGTCCGAGTGAGAAGAAACCGTAACGATCGGGTATGCGGAAGATGCGAGATTGGATCCAGTAACCTCTGATGCCGATCGCAAGCAGAACGGGATTCAGTGTGTTAGGAGCAGTGACCTAAAGCCAAGGTTAGCATAAAGACCTATAAGGAAGGTAAGGTAGGTAAAGCACAGTTGCAATCGTGGAAGCTATCTATCATAGGATGACCTACATGAGGACCGAGGGCCACTTTGAGATCGTGGACGAAACGACGAGGAAGAGTTGCCATTGTGAAATACAGTCGGGGGTGTTCAAGTCAGACGATGGTACGATCTGCACGAGTAGGTATCGAGTAGGTATGAGCTCAGCTTGGAGATTCGTAGATTCGTAACCAAAGAGAGGTCGTGTCATGCGCAATATTTTGCAGCGTCGAGGTGAGAAGGATGTCCTGGACGTCGATAGGTACATGTCACGTTCCCGGATGACGTAGGTAGATACAGCCGCGCGCGCAACCAACTAGGTACTGTGGTAGGGGGGTGCGTTCTGTTTATTGGTGGGTTGTATTCTCTAAAATAAAGAAGCCACCATGGTGGGTAAGGTATATAAGGTAACTAGCTAAGCGAACCCCCGTTATGTAATACGGTCATGTGACCGCTTTCCAGCGCCACAGTACCTACCTAGCCTCCCGGTGCACGTAATTATTTGCACACGAGGGATCTGATCGAGAGATTACCTTTTAGAGACTACCTTTTGAAAAAAATGATTATACTATCAATTCTTGATTAAAATATATCAAGAAAATACCAGCCTAACCGAAAGAACTCCAACTTTCTTCTTGATTTATTTTTATGTTTTTCCAAGTTATGGTTCTTGATTAACAGGAGGTTCTTTAGAGAGGTCGATTTAGGTGTGCAAGTAATTACGTACACCGGGAGACGGTAGTTGGGTGGGTGACTACCAGCGAATACCTGCTGTTGTATGTTCTTTTGGCCTTTTTCCTTTTTGCTTCCTTGACTGGATTCTACATGGCCTGCGAGTAGTCCATCACGTAAAAGAAAGCCTTGAATAAACCTGATGGACACTTTCTTTTTTGTTTCTTCGCCCTCCTCGATCAACCCAGTTGCTTAATTGGAGTGCTATATTCCACCTAGATTTCTCTAAACAAGTCCGTAAAAACAAGAAGAAAAATGGGAAGGTTTCTCGATCGCTGGCTGGCGGTGGGCGAATGTTAAGGTGTTGCGGCCCGATAGATGGTGCTTCGCCATTGAAGGCTTGCAGCCGCTCTGCATGCTTCCACATTGCACCCAAGCTGCACGTTGGGGAGATGCGGACTCTTCTAGATTCGTGCCGAGCGGTTTCGAGAAGCGTAATGTATTCAATCCCGCGAGCGAGTGCGCTCGTTCATGCCCAAGGACGCCTCGTAACTCCAGTCCTCCCAATGCACCGTACCTAGAACCTCCAGTTGTTCGTTCAATCAATCAGTCGCTATCCTCTCCATTATCCAGTGCTTCATCCTCGACTTCCCTTTCCTCCGCCTCTTCCTCCTCCTCCTCCACATCCCCTGTCTCTTCCTCCTCCTCCTCCTCCTCCTCCTGGTCATCATCCTCCGCGTCGTCTCCCTGGTCCTCCTCTTCGTCGCCCTCGTCGTCTTCCGGATCGCCCATCATATCGCCCTCCCGCATCTCGCTCGACTCGTCGCCCACGCTGCCCCCCGTCTCCCTTCTCGCCTTCTTGGCAGCAGGCTGCCCGTCCCGATCCAGGTGGCCCTCCATCTCACCCACCTCGCCATCCTCCCCTTCCCCAGCGCCAGCTTTCCCCGATGCCTTGTCCGCCGCGACCTTCTTCCGATATGTATTCCGCTTGTCGGACTGGACCTCACTAAATTCTACCCCGCGCGCGTCAGTATCGCCGCTTTCTTACAAAGCAGTAGGGAAAATCTCACTCTGGAGCTCCGCCTCAAGCCGCGGTCTGAATTCCGGAAACTCTAGCTCTTCGAGCGCTTTGAATACGTCTTGAGGTGCGATCGTCTTGCGGTTTTGACTTATAGCGTGTTCGTTGGAGCTGTTGTCCCGCTGGTATTAGCGTATGTGAGTGAGAGGTTGTTGAGGTGGAGGTCTTACTGCGTAGTTAGATAGTTTATGAAGACTGTGGCGCTTTTGGTCATTGCTAACATGGCATTGCCTTGGATCTGGGTATTCGGCGGCAGAACACCCTTTGCCAGCCTCGTCACTATGCTCTTCGGAAGGTTGAGATCCTGCCAATTAATTCAGCTGAATATTCCGCAACCATGCATCAGTTCCCCAGAGGAGAGCAGAGGATGTCGAGTCGGAAAGAGGAATGCGACACCCGTACCTCGATATTTACGCCCTCCCTAATAGGCTGGTCCTTTGCAGGCGTTCCCTCATCTCCAGTAGCTACTTTTGAAGCGTCGCTTTTTCGAGGGGGCATTGCGATTGTCAAGTATGGAGCTAGATTGAGCTCGGGTTTATATCTCGGTCGAAATGTTCAGGATGGCGGGCAGACTTAGTGGGAGTGGAAATGTTTCGGTAAATTGTGCTGATACTATAAGGTACTGATAGATTGAAGGCGGTCAAATTCGCGTCCAATTGATAGGCGTTTAACGCGACGTGTTGGTGTGCACGTGATACACACTTAGAACATGTGCGAGTTCAGGGCGGTTGTATGAAAGAGGTAATTTACTTATAAAATAAAAGAGACAGACTCGAACCGTGAGGGTTGCTTCTCAATATAAATGTTGCCACATTTTTTCATCAAGGTCGAAAAGAACTGAGCTGGGTAGCTAATCTGGTTCATATTTCCGCAAAACTACAAGTTCAATGATCCACGATCGTCACGGGTATACGGGGTCCATTATTTGGACCAGACCTGCCATGTACGCCTTCCCTAGTCGTATGCATGAAGAAAAGCTGCATGTAAGGAAAAAAGACATGTCATGTTAATGCTGACTCTGCATCTCCGATAGGACTCAGCAGAATCCTCGTCCAGCGGAAGATTCCACTTAAAACTATGCAATGGCTCTGCCAACCTCATCCTCCTTCTCCAATCGCCTTGCTTGTGATCTAGGTCGTGGTGAGAGACCTCCAGCGGTGAGCCCATCGAATATCGACGTTCCAGGGGAGCTGCTAGTGTGATCCGTGTCCCTCACCTCCTTCCCAACTGAGTCGAGGTCAGGATCGTACCAAGGGTGTATCCTTTCAGGCTCATCACTTTGTCTCGACAGATTCTTCGCACTTGTGCTACTCCTACTCTTTGTTCTCACATGACCCAGAGGGGTCTTCGACAGGAGCGAATTTTGCCGTTTTACGGCCGGGGGGATAAAGGGGGCGGCACCGGGGATAGTCTCATCTGTCAGACCAGCCCTAGCGTTTGGTGCTTTAGCCACAGATGATGAAGAATGATGATGTGCGGAGGATGGCGCCGTTGGGCGTGTAGGATGCCCTGGAGATTGTCCTAATGCGATCGAGCCCATACTCATCTCGAGGGGAGGGTAGACCTGGGGCTGAGGATCCGCGTTTTGGTGTTGTTTTGGCTCCATACTGGTACCGCGCCATGACTGAATCTCCTCATCATTTATAGGAGTTGCGCCACGGTTATTGAAGGGTGCTTTGCCTTGGCAGTAACGGCATGCGAGGAAGATTGCGGCCCCAATCAGGAGGAGACCAAAGACGCCCAGAACCACGGATAGAATGATTACCACGTCCCGATGATGTTTCGACATATGCCTCGCGGTGATAATGTGAGTCGATATAGAAGTAGGGGTCAGAGTTGGGCTCGAAGAAGAGATTTCCAGATTCGTGGGAGCGCCCGAAGAAGGTATCCCGCTTGTCGGAGCGCCTGCGTTAGTTATGGATGTGAGAGCCGAACTGGTGGGAGTGGTGGAGGGACCTGGGGCCAGAGGTGATGCTGTGGTTGCTGAAAGGGGTATATGCGTTTGCAATGGCGAGGGTTGGAGAATTTCATTCGAAGGGGAGTCTGCTGCAGAACTCTGCAGAGCGAGAAGGCCTTGTATATCTGTGTCTTTGCCTTCCAGCGAATCTAGAGATCCAGCAGGCACTTGAGGCGTGGGTGTCACGGCAGGTAGAATTTCTCGCTGGCCCGCCACAAGAAGCGGAACACCGAGTAAAAAGAGAAGCAAACTTGGCCGAGAGGTCTTCATCTCGACAGCGCAGGCGCAACGGGTAAAAGAATGGCGGTGAAATAACTGCAACTCAACACATGGTTGTCGTTGTACGGGCCGCGCGAACAAACAGAAGACGTCGAATAGAAGTTTCAAAAGGCAATTCGGAGCTCAACGATGGAAAGAAAAATAAAGAACGAGGGTTGAGTAAGGTAGGCAAAAGACGCGGTGACCAAGTGATCCTCCAGTGATCCTGCGACCAGACCAGCTCAGCACCGTTGAGAAGGGACGTCGGGGGGGAGCAGACGATGAAGAAAGGTCGAGATGCAGGCACCGCAGCATCTAAGTAGTAGACTGGTACAGGAAGGAAAGAATATGATATATGATGAGAATGGGAACGAACGTCGAACGGATACATTACCGTACAGTAGTAGTCTGGGACATCCCGGGCCGCAGCGGGGACAGGCCAGGAGGAGCAGTGCAGCTGATAGGGCGTCTTCAATATCCCGGAATCCCCTGGGACCCTGGGTTACGGAGGGAGGGTCGCAATGGGGTCTGTGAGGGGTTGTGAAGGGTGTAGTGAAGGTGGTCATTATATCAAGGGGTTTTTTTTTCTTCTTTACATAAGGTACAGTCCTGTCGTGTGTGTACACTGTACAATACTAATAACAACCAGTAATACAAGACCTATTATTCCTCCTCCGTAACATTCGACGCCATTGCCGAAACGTGCTGGCCATGCCCCATGGCGCTGCGTGGAGAGGGTGCAGGGTCCTGCGTAAGGACTACAAGTACAAGTCTACGCTATCCACCATCCCGAATGCACCACACAGAGTTCAGAGGCCCGATGGGTCAGCAGTGGTCGAAGTGTTGTCCGGCAGTCCCTTGCCGTAGGGAGGGCGAACTCCTGATATCAGTCGCTGGATTTGACCGGCCAGTTCAGGAACAGGAAACGGACAGCGGGCCACCAGACTCGGTATCGCAGACTCTCTATCAGATGGGGATTTGTGTGTATTCTGTACATGCATTGTACGTAGGCCCTCGTCACCGATCATACGAAACCCGCAGAGTAAGATCTTCGATCGATGATGTTTCCGCACGGCTATGTATATCAGATACCCGTATCAGCGGCCAGCATTCATATGATCCTGCTTCCGTGCTGACATAGAGTACGACTATCCTTGCTATCCGACTATCTATCCGCCGTATCCATACCGATAACGATAACATACTCCGTGACAACCGGCTTCAAAGAGGAGCAAACGCCTTCTCCCACTTCTACAACTACAACTTCCAACATAACAAATCACGTACGCTATCTGGATTCCCATAGTCTTTAGACTCTTTGTGATCTTCAGGAACAGGGTCTGTGGTATGTATGTCTCCAATGAGACCACCATCCCAATATTTGGAATAAGATCCTCCTATATTCCTATATTCCGTGTGCCCGTACACAACTGAACCCCCCTCCCCCTTCACCCCCCTCTTCTTCTCCTCCCCCCATCCATGCCAGCAGCTGCAAGACAGACCCCCCTCTCCCTGACCGCCACCCCGCAAACGCGTCACTAGCCACTACTGCACCACATCCAACAGCGACAAGACAGGAATCCAATACTCTGTACCTTAGTCTCTCTATATTTAAGGAAGAGCAATGCGACTATTGGGCAGGGTCTCCTTCGCCCAATGAACAACTCTCCTCTGCGTTTCGAGACTGAGACGCCCTCCCATCCCGTGCTGACATCAGATATATGGATACTTTTATCCTGCCCACCCAGCTGAGCAACCATGAGATACAGCCTCACCACGAGTCCGCCAACACCAGCAGTACATGTGGCAGCGTGGCTTGAGAATCCCGATTTTTCTCTTCCCTCTGAAACCCCCAATATTATTGACGAGGGAATCAATTAGGTACCTGTATGTCGTCTATCATGTCATGCAAGCATTCCCCCTCTCCCCCCCCCCTTTTTTTCTCTACTCTAAGAAAGAACATCGAAAAAGCAAATCCAACATAAAAGAGCCCCAAGACCAAGAAAAGAAAATAAATAGAAAAAAAATCCAAGCCCAACCCCCCTTGCATCAGCTAGCTAGCTAGGTAGATAAGATCTTCACGCAGCTCCACGATTTCCGGGGGTGTGTTTGCTACCTACCTACTAAACGTCGTGCCACCCAGACAGACAAATCCCCCGTCAAAGAACAGCGACGTGAAAAAAGAAGAAGGGCGAGGAAAGAAAGAAAGAAAACAAATGCACGCTTGCTGTGTTATTTTGCATCACATGAAACTTCGCGAACATACATACATACATATCTTAGATAGATAATGTAGGTAGCTACCTTACCTACCCAACTAATGCTATGCTATGCGTGCGTGCGTGTGCGTGCCAAGTATGTAGCTAGGTACATACATACATACATATTCTTTTCTCCATATGATCGCTGAGGATTGATAGGCTGTGCTTAGTACTTGCTTCTGTTACAGTATGTACGTTTAAAATATGCTGTGTTCGCATCCAGGGGATTGGTTTGGGAGTATTTGGATTAGGTGGAATGAATAGAGGTTTGAATGAATGATGCACGAACGAAGCTGTGGAAAGCGATTGTGGATGAGATGGGATGGGCTGAATATATATAAGTGCTGCAAAAACCAGGGCATCAGTAGCTCCGAGAGGGAGGGCTTCGTGCCACTCACTCTTGGATAATCGTCATTGTGCTTTATTTACTGCAGGGAAAATTTCAACCGCAAGAAGGTCTACATATCAAGAGAGAGAGGCTTTGTGGTGTATTGAATTTACTTCGCCGCTTTCCATTTCTGAAAATCGGTCCCTCATTCTCCTATTATAGGTACCTACACACGTATATACCGTGGGCTGTCAAAAATACAGATTATCTATTGTTTTCCAGTTTACCCATACATGTATATACATCGGGCCGCCAAACCATTATCATCTATTGTTGCCTCTGAGACAATTTCGTCTCCCAAGAAAAATATCTCTATCAAATGACTGAGATGGCCAGTGTAACATAGAAGACCGCCCGCAAACACCACCACTCCTGAACTCCTGAACTCATCGCTATGCCTTTCCATGTATGCTGAAACGCTATGTTTGTTACCCTGTAAACCCGAAGGGAACGCCACCTTTGCCTGCGCTGCGCTGGCTGCTGGCTTGCTGGCAACAAATTTGGAAACAAGAAAGAAGATGATCGTGAGATTGTCCAGCACTCACTCATCCAAGGCTGCTTCTGGAATGAGTAGACCCAGTATCACTAGGAGTTGTTGGCTCAATGGAAATCTGGGATTTGATGGCCATAATCCACTCGTGTTGGAGGAGTTCCGCTGCTGTAGCACGTTGTCTCGGATCCCGGATAAAGCACTTCTTCAAGAAGTCGATACCCTGTGCGCTCAGCTGGTCGGACGACGGTAGCTGCGGAGGATTTCCTTGAGCTATGTTATACATGATGGCCCATTCATTATCGAGAGAGGCCCAGGGTCGGCGACCTATCGCCATTTCGAGAATGACACAACCAAGGGACCATATATCGACAGCCCCGGCTTTTCCTGGATTCTCGCCCTTGATGACTTCGGGCGACATATACATCGGGGTTCCGGTCATGGACTTGTTGGGCTTCCCCATAGCTTTTGAATCGCCAGCAACAAGCGTTTTGCCTTGACGAGCAATAACTTTGGCGGCGCCGAAGTCGACATATTTTATCACGCCGTTGTGGTTGAGGAGAATGTCTAAGATGCTAGTCAGTCACAAGATTTGGGTTGACGTTAGTTGGAATTACTTACTTTCTGGCTTGATATCGCGATGCACAATGCCACTTTCATGCAGGTACGCAAGTCCCTCAAGTAGCTGCAACGCGTATACCATGATGACTTGCTCGTCCTCAATGCGTCCATGCTCTAAGAGACCAGCCAAGGACCCACCAGAACAGAACTCCATGAAGATGTAGACCTTGTCCCGATGGACTTCAATACCATGATATGACACAACATTCGGATGGTCCAGGAACTCGAGCACGTTCATCTCGTCCCTAATCTGCCCAGCGATGGTAGGAATAAGGCTAGGATCTTGTAAGCGAATCTCTTTAACAGCCATCAGGTGTCCGGAATCCAGATCAATAGCAGCGTAAACTGTCCCGAAAGTGCCACCGCCGACGAATTGACCTTGCTGCCACCGCATGTTCACGTTAGATGCGGAAGAGGAGAGGTAGGTAAGCGATCGATCCGCCTCGCTTGACTCTTCCAAGACTCGACCGAGCGGTTGTCTCTCTGCTTCTTTTTGTTTTCGGATTTCATCAAGTTCGGCCAGTTGCTCGAGCCTTTGATTGAGAATGTACCGTGATGATTCATCATCGTCCAGCATTTTGCTCATGTCCATCTTCCTGAACTGCGAGGCCAAAGCTTCGACTCGCTGTTTCTCAGCTTGGGCGGCAAGAGTTGACCTGGCCCCCATGACATCAAAATGAGAAATCAAGAGAGACATGCAACCTGCAACTTTGGCACGGAGTCTCGCATACTCATCTTCGCCAAGTGCTAGGATATGCTGCCCCTGAGTCATAACCATTGCAAATTCCAAAGCAAGCACAGCCCACCTGAAGGTCTTTCTATCGGTGGCGACACAATCATCACAGACGAAACTAACCCAATCCAAAGCAAGTTTGGTGAGTTTAATGTTATTCATCTGCTTTCTGTTCCGATCCATGTAGAGCAAGGACCTCTGACCAAACTCGGTTGCGAAGACGAAGCAGGTTTGAATCAACTCTTGGCAATCCAGACCCTCCGTTTGCTTCCGCACAATTTCAACGCTATCCATGATCAGATTCGAGAGTTTGTATACCACTTTCTTGATCTCGGTCAGCTTGGTGTTGACCTTTTTGAGGTTCGACCTATGTTCGACCACCATGTCTAAGTGCATATCGATGGAATTCAAGAACGCTGCTCGAGCAGCAGCTAACCGTGCTTGTGACCCATCCGCAATCAATCGAAGGTGCCCAATCTTGACATCGCTTGACGGCTCTCTGATATTTGCTTCTACCCGACGGCCGTCCCATAGCATTTGGCTCTCTGGACGTAGCACCAGTATGTATGGGTTTGTCGGATCTTCCTCCATGTCCTCTGAGCGATAACACGTTCCGAGGATTGATTGAATATCTTGCGGGCGATTGTACAGCGAGGGGGACGCTATCAGGAATATTCCCTCATGCTCAATGCTTGCAGTGTATACTAGAAAATGGCCAGTCTCAATAAGCCTCGAATACAATTGCTGAAGACTATCACGTCTCATGGCAATGCTAAAGTCGGTGGCATTTTCAAAGCGGTCACTCAGAACCCTTGAGAAGCGCTGCAGCATCCGCTGACGAACACGGACGGAGTCTAAACTCTGCTTGTAGCGTTTTGTCATCTCGGCAGCGCTTTCCTTAGGCTTCCTCTGAAGTTCCTTTTCGAAGGTTTGGGTCAGTCGATAGAATGCTTTATGCGTCAGCGAGCTAAATTGCTCCGCAACCTGGACATCTCCACCTTGAAGGTGGCGGCCAATCTCATTCGAGAAGTCCCATTCCTGCTCTAGGACCTCAGCTTCCTTGAAGGTATTTTTGTTTCCGCCAAGCTTCCAATTCAACATCTTGAAATAGAATTTCAGCGCGTCTAGCACTGTCTGATCGAAGGATTCGTCTATGCACGGAGGCAGATCCCATCCTGGTTCTGGCTGGGAAATATCCAAGTACTCCTGCTTTATTCGGATTGCGAGTTTCAACAGGATCTGAAATTGTTGTATCATCTGCTCGATCATCATACTATTTTGCTGCGCCGAATCTCTCATCTTCCGAGCATACTGAAGACGAAAGTTTATGATCTCTTCGATCAAGCGAGACGGGAAGTTGATGAGCGTCAGTAACTCTTCGATGTACGGCGGTAAATGACGCGTCGCAAATGCCTCGAAATTATGGATGAGGGTGCTTTTGGCTTTCATGATAACCTTTGCAACGCCTAGAAGAATACTTTTATCGCCCTGTAAGGATCGTAGACCATCTTGCTTCAACAACCTATCGATGAACGAAGACTCATCTGATAGTCCGTGGCCGGATGGTGAACGTTCCTTCGCCCGGGTGAAATCCAATTCTTCATTGCCGACCCACTTCTGTAAGATCCCAAGCTCAGTATTGATGAGCTCTGTAGTATTGTGCCATGAAATTACAGCGTCGCAGGTAGCATGATACTGTGGGGAGGCCGCTATTGTGTTTGCGAGTTCCAGAGCTTTCCGAGAGGGGTAGAAACTTTCGCACTTTTCGATCTTCTTGACAATGTCTCGCACTTGCTCGATTGGAGGTTTCCCAGCCTCACTCTCCCCTTGCACCTGGAACCTAACAATCTGGTCCAGCATGGTATCCAGCGTAGCACGGGTGTCTTCAATCATCTTTCGCTGTGCCGCAAGAGTCCTCCCGCATATCTTGGAACGAATTCCCAACCATATTTCGGTATAGAGATTTTCCTCTTGCTTGTTGGAGGCGCCTATCAAACGTTTCTTTTCCTGCCTCACGACATCTCCAGTCAGGACAGTGGCGAGCATGCTATGCCATTCTAGCCGTTCCCGATTTGCTGGATCCTGAAGATCCTCTGGCGTCGGCTGAATGTCATCGTTGCCGTAAAACATCAGAGCTTCCTGTTCGTAGGAATCATTGTCGAAATGAAGGTCGGAAGGTGACTCATCCTCGGTATCTGAACCTGTTCCATACCCAGCACTCGGCGTATAGGGTTCAAAATATTCGGAAGGCTGGTCTTGCCGTAATCGCTGCACATATGCCTTCTCCTGTGTCCGATATGAAGCGTTTGGATCGGGTCTGAATCGTGCTGACGATCCGGATCGATTCCGGCCTGATACCGAGATATATGAAGGCTGTTGGGGCCTGCGCGCGGGGGCGTAAGTATTGGACGGCGTTCGAGCTGGAGCGGAGGGCCTCTGCGGTCTGCTCGGCGCCGCACTGAGAGCTTGGTTGGTAGGAAGTGATGTTTCTGTTCGGTTATAGCTATTACTCGACTCTGCACTTCCTCTACTGCGTCCACTCGAGCCTGCACTACCCAATGAAGCTCGCGGATCGAGAGGAGAGAAAGAGAGGTGTTGGGAATGTCTGCCGACTGCAGGAGGTTCTGGCTCTTGTAAATCGCCCGAAGAGCCGGATTCTGCCGAATCGACTGTCTGCATATGCGGGCGCTCCATGACTCTTGGTGATTTGAGATCGTCGAGGAGATGGTCCTCTTCCTCGTTGGAAAAGCGTGCCGAGTGAGGCGAAGGATCAATGTCGACACTCATGGTGCGATGGGGTACCAGAGAGAGGAAGAGGGAGGGTGTTGATGTCTCAGTCTCAGCGAAGGTAAGATGTGTCTAGCGCCGAGTTCGAACCATCCTCGATCGGAAGGGAGAAGGCAGCCGGGCGCAGGGACGAGAGCGAGACCCAAAGGGGAATTGAGGCTGGAACTGATCTCGATTTCGGCCAATGTTGATGTTGATGTTGAGATAGCCCAGATGAGCCTCGAGATCAACAGCAGAGGTGTCGCACTGCGAGAGAAAAGCGATCCCTCAAAATACGTGTGGCAAGAGAGGGGACGACGTTGGCAGAGCTGCTGCTGATAAGGAGAGTAAAAGCGAGTCGCAGACGACGCGACAGTCCCTTTTTTTGCGTCGAATAGGTACTTCGCACAGCACCAGGTTGAGGACAAGACCAGAGGGGGGCCTCTATACGGCACGTCGTAGAACTGCCGTAATCGTGGTGCCCTGGGGCGGTGGCGGTACAGTACCTCAGGTACAGGGGACCTCGACTGCACCACGGACTTGTTGGTTTGCGGAGGAGGCGCCGTAAGAGAGGGACTGCGGCCTGGACGAGACTGACAGCGGTCGGACCGTGGGATATCGACCACGGGAGATCCGCATAGATATGGTATATCAGAAATCTCTGCCGGATGAGGATGGCATGGGCAATTCGAGCATTATTCATTGCTCTCCACCCAAAGCATCTTAGTCGAGACTCGCCACAGTTGCCACAGTGGCGCACCTTTCTGTCTGGGTGTTCCCCAGCGCTGCAGCCAATGGATGGCCGTCCCGGATGCACTAGCCACACTAGCTGCACTAGCCACACGCGAGCCACTCTGGAGCCATTCTCAAGCCACTCGCCCGTGAATTATGGTTACCGTAATGGGAATCGCGGGTTTTGCTCGGCTGCACCATCCCGGATCTGCCAGCCTCGCCATTCACCAATTCGCGTGCGGCTCTCGCGACCACGCCTAGGACAACTCGTGAAACCCCAATTTCTAGCCCACCCAAGATCACGAACAGCAGCTGTTACGATAATTGGTATTCATACATGAATTATCTCCGTCCTCATGACACGCCTATCAATATCTCAGTGCTATGTTTATGTCAAGTCGAGATGAGCTCCCTCTCTCTGACGCGTCCACCACGCGTCGGGTCTTGACGCCGCCTTCAGAGAGTCGAATCGGAGGGAGTGATGATGCTGGCTCCAGTGGAAGGAAACGCAAGCGCGATGGCAACGCAATGGAAGTGGAAGACTTGCTCAAGGAACCATTTGTCGTAAAGGTCAGCGAGCACCTCCCCGTTCCCTCCCACCGTGACATTAACGGAGGAACAGCCTTATCCGTCCACTCTCTTTGTCAAGCCCCGGTCGCTCCAACCACTTCTCCTATTGCCTAGATCTCACCTCCCATTATCGTCACTTGATATCACTTCCACTGCCAGTGCTCTACCGCGATCACGGCTTTTCGAGACTCACGTTAAGATTCTGGAATTGGAAGAGCGAATGGGAAGCCAGCCAATGGTGTTGATAGCAAGATTGGATGATGGGCGCACGCTATATGCAGTGGAGCGTGAGGAGCGGGGTCTCTATGTCTTGTTGCAACTTGGTTCGTGGGTCAATCTGCAACAATTGAGGGCCGCAGCTGTGGTTTCGAAACCAGATCTATCTAAGGCCTCGGAGAAACAGTTGGAACCTGGTGTCATTCCACCGGCTATTCCTCTGATAACCCCAGGAGTCAGTAGTTATAACAAGAAGAAGCGGCTTGCGATTGAAGCTATCCAGTCAATGGTCAAGCGCCCGTCATCAGGGCCCCTCACCGAAGCACAGCCGGCTACGACACACGTGGAACCGGCTCAGGACTCTCAGTCCACGGAACAACTAGACAAGGGCCCACCTTTAGAAGAGAGCGATATCACGGCACAACCAACTGCCGGTGAGATATTTGAAAATGTCCGGAACCAATACTTCGAGGCTCTTTACTTATCCAAGGCATGTCCTACCATCGAATTTGACATACATATAGTTGACCAGTTTAGGCTTCTCTGGCTTATTTTGCAAAGGGGCCGTTATCGAGGGCGCGTGCAGCTTTCCATCTCGACTATGATTCGGCCCTCGACATGAGGGAACATATTGCATTTCTTGAAAGTCTGATTCTGTCCACTACTCTTATTGATAAAAAGTACCGAGACGGAGTACCTGGATGTGTCGCATCGATCGATATTCATGACAATAGCGCTGATGACGCCAAACAAGAAGCTGAGAAGACCAAAAGAAGGAAGAGTACCAAGAAATTGAAACCCGGTAAAAACGGACTGTACCCATTGGAAGATGTACTCATCAGGCGATGGTGGGCGGGCCATGATGATGAAATTGAATCTGGAGCACCTGGTACATCAAGAGAAGACATCACTAAGAAGCGCATTGGCCAGCTGCGTATCCGGGAGACTCAACTTCAGATGATAATCATCCTTGAAACTCTCGCGCTTCAGCCCTTAGTGTCTGCTTCAGGAGACACCGGAGACAGTTTGCCTACTTCTCTGCCAACAAAAGATAGTGAGGGTGGAAAAGCAAAACCAGCAAAGTCTAAAATGCCTGAGAGCCTGTCGACGCTCATTGATGTTCATATCGATCGGCTCTGCATATGGCAATCTATTGTCCTCGAGTCTGTAAAGGCACCTACCAATGGCTTAACAACCCAGAACGATAGCTCCGCTACCTCGCCTATGCATACGGACAATTTCCTCAGGGACTTCTGCGTTGAAGTTATTGTGCCCTTGTAAGTCTGGCCTAAAACGTATAGAAACTCATCTGACGACAAAATAGCTTCGCAGCCCGCCTTCCTGATCGCTGTGCTGCTATCAATCGCAAGCTTGGAGGCCCTGTTGTGGTGTCTCACACGAGACCAAAACTATCCAAATCGGCAAGCGCCCCAAGCGTGAAGCCTCGGCCTGGTGCAGCCACCAAGCGTCCTGTTCCTGTAAAGCCACGTCTAAGCCTACAGCAGGCCTTGACTGAGGAACGCGAGCGACGTAGCATTTCGCGCGGGCCGGGCAGGGCCATCTCACTGATGCGGTCTGCCACACCAGTAGTACCGGTCTTGAAGAGAGAAGGAAGCGAAGTACCATCTCTCTCGAGCATTCCTCCAGCTGAAAGCCAGCCTTTACAGGCAAATAGGGGTGGAGTTCTGAATTCTAAGCGATTCTCTCAACGAGAAGTTGACATGAGCAGTCTTGTGCCAGAAATAAATACAAAGAAGAGGAAACAGGCCGACATAGAGGCGGAACTCAAAGAAGCAATTGCAGCGCTCAAGAAACCAAACCGAGAATTGGCTGGGAAAGTTATGGTCGAGACCGCTGAGAAACGGTCGGCCTCGGCCTCCATGTCTCGAAGTAAGTTCATAGTAAAAGTTGCAAATCTTGGTGCTGACAATCCATAGAATCCAAGAAGCCTGTTAGGAACCCGCTCTTCCAGGGAGTGCAAATCTCAGCAACCCCGAAGGCCAATCGACATAAGGATATGTTTACGGAAAACCAACGTCCAAGTTTGCCAAATATGACAGAAGATGTGGATTCAACTGTTCTTCCCGCTTTAAGTTCATCTAGGATTCCACAGTCAGTTGCTCGGCCACCCCCCGAAGCGCAGACCCGAAATCCATTATTTTCTTTCATTCAGGCGACACCGACTCGGAAATCCTCTCACTCCGGAAACGAAATGCCCAGCATGACGGCTCCTAATTATGATGGATGCCCTCCTTCGTCGCCATTACAGCCGCGCCGCTCCAGTGGGAAATTATTTAATATGGTGCCCGAATCGGCCGTAAAGGACCCTCAAAATTATGGATCATCTGAAGGGATCCAGGAGACACCAGTAAAGAAGAGGCCAGAGGCTGCGCTGGTTCACAGCCATCCCGAAGTATCAACTCCAGCCTGCAATAATGAGAATTCGAGATCAAGAGGAGGTATAGACGATGGTTCGAAACAAAAGTCTGGGGAAGCACATGAGGATTCTATTTATAAGTCCTTGGGATGGGATGATGCTGATGATATGGATGACTTTGCATGATTGTGTGCTTTGGTAGGGAGTATCGGCTGATGAAATGGCATTAGAATAGGGCGTATGAGGGAAGCATTGCATTTGATCATAGCGACGGCGTATGAGGAATATTGTTTCTAGCATTGGGCCTTACATCCATAGTAGCTGGGACCATGGGAACGCAAGACAATCGGAATACACTAGAAATGGTAAATATAAATAAGAATTGTCTCGAAACATGCAGATGATACAGCTAAGGTACCTACCCAGCACGTAGTGGTACTTGCACGTGCCATTGCCATTACGCTAGTCAAATAAGCTTAATCACGTCGATAGGGAATCCATCAACAGACTCAGAAATCCAGAATAGTCTCGACGGGCCCCTGTTTACAGATTTTGAGACGACTTCTTCCTTTTATAGAGAAACTCCCAGCGCATACAAAAGCCCAAGAACTACGCCCTCCCCTTCCAAGCTTCTTCATTACCATCTACCATCTAGCCCCAGTCCTACATCAGCGCGTCTGCCACAACCCATTCTTCACAACAACGATGGACATAGCACAAGGCACGCCCCCCCACGCTACGCTCTCCCTTCCCGTCCTCACAAAAAGCTAACATCATGCAGATTACGTCCTGAAAGCCTACGCGATCTACAACGGGTGCGAGCCCTACACGCGACCTTTCCGCAGCCTCCTATCCGAGCTACAAGCGCGCGCGTCTCCCTTCGTCATGCCATTCCTCAACACCGTAGCCGTCAAGGCGCAAGACTCGCCGGGCATCGTGAGCGTTGGGATCCTGGTCCTCTTCATACTGATCGCGCTCCAAGTGCTGAATCTCGTGCGCCGCATCATGATGTGGTGGATCCGCTTGCTGTGGTGGATGACGGTCAGTGGCTTGTGCGTGGTGGTTGTCGCGGCGGTCTGGCAGAGAGGGCCGGAGAGGACCCTGGAGGATGCGATAGCGTGGGGAAGCCAGCTAAGTGAGGTCTGGTGGAGGGAATATAGGAGGTGGGAGGGGTATCAGAATCAGCAGAAGGGTCAGTATAGTAAGCAGGGGGGCTACGTATATTGATATGGGATCGATATGGTTTGGAAGAAGCTTTTTTTTTGGCGTTTGGGATATGGAATCGGGAGGGCTATGGATACCTATCATCAGGGAACGAGCGTCATTCCTAGCACACGAGATTGGACAGTCTGGATAATATCATGAATGGATAATGCGGTATCTGTTCGAAGGAAGGTACAAACCATTCATTATCCTATCAACTGTACGTTTCCATATCATTGCATTTTGCAACACTGTGATGATACGCTACAAAGCCAACTGTAAGAACAGCCAAAACCAGCCGTAAAATACAGTCACGTTTCGACGTCCTGCTTCCTCAAGACCGTCTTCTCCTATATCGCAAGTTTTATGAAAAGCGGCCCTATCAGGGAGGCTTAATCATAGATAACTTCGCCATTTGATGGCGTCCGCTTTTGTGCGGCACCCTCCCCCTCGTATCCTTCATTAAATCCCCTCCCCAAAAGACTTTAGCCTCGGGCAAGATTGGCTTCTTGCTAGATTCGGCGCATCTCCTCATTCCGCCTCCTCGTCCATGTTCGTCTCATCGAGTGGATCCTTGGGTTCTTGAGCCTCGTGGTATTGAATGGATTCATCGATGTAGCTCAGGACTGCACCGACACTGTCCTCGTCCTGTACATCCAACTTTAGGTAGGAGACCATACTGAAGCTATCGATCAGCCCCGCAACCGCTTTATTCAGTTTCTTGAAGCTGCTTCCCCGCATCACCGACTGTGTGTCTCGAGGAGCTCCTGATCCATCATCCTCCTCGCCCGCCTCCTCGGCTTCATCATCCAGAAGCGTCTCATCAGGATCCAGAAAGCGTTTTAATTCCCTCTTCCCTATTTGTCCCTTGACTAAATCCATCTTGGACAAAATGTTGACATGCGGCACCTCCAACATAATCATAGCACTCATAGCACTCAGCGTTCCTGCAAAGAACTTTGCCTTGTCCACCACAAATGTCGCTTCTAGCAGATACGCCGCGCATAGATTGATATCTAAGGCTCCTGTTCTGGTCAGGTGTTTCACTAGAGTGGGTAATATGGGGATATGCGTGTAGAGTTCGATTTGTCCAGGCATGTCGATTATTATGAGATACTCCTCGGTCAAAGGGTCCAAGGCTTCGGTGAGGAAGTCGAGGTTCTCGAGGAGGAACTCGAAGCAGTAGATCAAGCCCCCGTTGGGCCCAAGGCCCATTTCTTCCATGACATCCTCCAGCGAGATGAGATCCTTGATATCGAGATCGGGCTCGTGTACGAACTCTTCAGCTGCGGGGTCGAGGTTCACGTAGAAGCAGGATCGGCGGTTGTTGCGGAGGTGGTTTATGAGGGCCGAGCAGAAGGTTGTCTGGAGGACTAGCTGTTAGAAAGAGCATCAGGACAAGGACCAAGATGTTTCAATCACCTTGCCCGCGCCCGCTGGGCCCATAATGAGTGCTCCGAATTTGCTCATGGTGACGTCTGGTGGGATGTTGCGCTCAGCCTTTCTCGAGGCTCGCAAGAAAATTTAGGAAGGCTGCTGGGCCCCGCGTCTGCTGAGGTAATGGAAGGGAAGGTGAGGTAAGGTAAGGCTGGGATCCCGTGATTTACAGCGTATTCGGAATTTCAGCCGGACTTACCTTACTCCGTACGGCGCCTCTGTCCTAGGTTCGGGGAGGTAAGATCTTAATAATTGCTTACCAACCTATGTATTTTCCACGTGGGGGACCTTTTCGCACTGCCGACTCTTTGAGCCTTTCTGCCAGGCGCCCTGTTGAACTCCGCATTCAAAAGCGCGGGCTCCACGGAGGCGGTGAATGGGCAAGCGATGGTGCAATATTTCTGTTCGCGTGCTAGCGCCCTTAAACACAGCGACACCGCAAAAGTTTGAGACCCCGCCTATTTTCATCTCTCCTTTGGTTCCTTTTCTTCAGTCTGCCCTCCTGCTCCCCCCTCTCCTCATCCCCCATCTCTCATTCACCATTCATCGCGATCTCTCCAAATTTCGTCTTCATCTCTGCATTTATTTCTGCCTCATACCCATCCGTTCGCAATCATGTCTACCCAAGCCAATGGCACGATACCCCACCACAACCAGGGCACTTTCCTGTTCACCGTAAGACTGCCCACTCTCTGGCTGTTTTTGCCCCTCCGCTGACATCCTCTTTCAGTCCGAGTCCGTCGGCGAGGGCCACCCCGACAAGATCGCTGATCAGGTCTCCGATGCCGTCCTCGATGCGTGCTTGAGAGAGGACCCGCTGTCCAAGGTCGCTTGTGAGACTGCGACGAAGACCGGTATGGTTATGGTCTTTGGCGAGATCACAACCAAGTCACGTCTTGACTACCAAAAGGTTATCCGAGAGGCCATCAAGGATATTGGATATGACGACTCCGCAAAGGGCTTCGACTACAAGACCTGCAACGTCTTGGTTGCCATTGAGGAGCAATCCCCCGACATTGCCCAAGGTCTGCACTACGAGGAGGCTCTTGAGAAGCTTGGTGCTGGCGACCAGGGTATTATGTTCGGATACGCTACCGACGAGACCCCAGAACTCCTCCCCCTGACTATCCAACTGGCCCACAAGCTTAACGCTGCGATGTCTGCTGCCCGACGGGACGGCAGCCTTCCTTGGCTTCGACCCGACACCAAGACACAAGTTACAGTTGAGTACAAGCACGACAACGGAGCTGTTATCCCACTTAGAGTGCACACTGTTGTTGTCAGCGCTCAACACAGTGAGGACATCTCCACTGAGCAACTGCGCAAGGAGATCAAGGAGAAGATCATCCAGAAGGTTATCCCAGCTAAGTACCTAGATGACAAGACCATCTACCACGTATGTCCTACCTGTCGCCTGCTCTAGAACTTCTCACTCACACGTAATAGATCCAACCTTCCGGACAGTTCATCATTGGTGGACCTCAAGGAGACGCTGGGCTGACTGGCCGAAAAATCATTGTTGACACATATGGTGGATGGGGAGCTCACGGTGGTGGTGCCTTCTCTGGCAAGGACTTCTCCAAGGTCGACCGATCAGCTGCATACCTCGCCCGTTGGATTGCCAAGTCATTGGTTAACGCCAAGCTTGCCCGCCGGGCACTCGTCCAACTTTCATACGCCATTGGTGTTGCGGAGCCACTTTCAATCTTCGTCGACACCTATGGTACATCTTCCCGAAGCTCCGATGAGCTGGTCGAGATCGTCCGAAAGAACTTCGACATGAGACCCGGTGTGATTGTCAAGGAACTCGACTTGGCCAAGCCGATCTACTTCCAAACCGCTAAGAATGGACACTTCACAAACCAGAACTTCAGCTGGGAGAAGCCCAAGACCCTCACATTTTAGACGGGGATGATGATGTAGCCATGATATGTGCGAGACTCAACGTCTCACACAAGCGAGCAAGGGTTTTCTAATCTTTCCTATGGAACTCTCACGGCGAAATAATTGAATAATAGGCATGGGTGGTCTCAACGACCTCGGGGTACCGTTCTGGAGTTTTCTCGCTTCACGACGTTGGTCGTTTCTGCTTTGCGTTGGATTTTGCGTTGAATTTATGAGCGGAAAAGCCTTTTCTCTTCCGCTATTTCTCGCAATGAAGATAAAAGTCTTTCAACATAGACCGTGGATAAGGCGGCATGAGGCTCGTGTGAGTCTTTGTTCTGCATGGAGAGCATAGCATCTGGCGTTACGGAGAACTTCAACACCTTCTCAGCCAGATTTCGGTCCAGGTCGGGCAACATGGACAAGAGATTGTGCTCTCGAAGCTACGTGCTGAGAGTGGGAATTTAAATAGAACTGGTAGGAATAACAAAATATTACCGCCTTCTTAAGAGCGCATAGTCTGGCTGCCCGTTCTTCTTATCAGAGGCAAGAGCTCGTAAAATGTGATTTGGAATCTTGCTGGACAGGTAGCTTTTGGCAACGTTGCCAGCACGATGCATCCCGTAGTATTATTATAGTAGTGCCGCGATTGCCGACGAGCAGCGCAGTAGTCATCAACGGTCAAGCATCCAGGGCAGGGAGGCCGGCACTCTCTCTGCACAACATCTCGATCTTCTCGATCTCATCTCGGCGGAGCCAGGGGGTTGTGGAGAGGAAGAGAGGTCGTTGGCAGGTGTTGATCAAGGCTCCCCCCCTAAGCTCTCCAAGACGAGAGGTCTAGACAATGAGGCTACTGGTGACAATGTGGGCATTGTGGGGAGTAGTTGGAGTCACTAGCAGCGTTACTACAGTAGTTGTAAATCCATGCCGGAGAGAGGTAGATAGGTGGATAGGGGTAGGGGACTAGTATTACAGAGGGAAGTGATTATTCGGATCGGCAGCGCAGAATGAATGGACGGCACAGCGGAAAAAGAAGGGGAGGATGGCATTATTGGTTGGTACAGTAAGGTAGTACTGTAGATGATGTTCTTATGGGGGGAGCACGTATTCGGCACATGCCATATACAGCCCCCTAGGAGGATCAGGATGAGGATGAAGATCGGGAGTTGATGATAGGTTGGCCGGGGTGGGACTAAAAAAAGAACAGCAGAACGGCGGATTACCGTATTATTCCTCCCTCGAGGTCCATCAGTCCAACTTCTACTAGCCTGGTCAAACAGTAGTAAGGACAGGTCTCAGTCTCAGTCCTCGACATCAGGATTCAAGAATGTTTAGGGCTCAGACGACGGCGGAGGAAGCGCGGCGCTTGTGATCAGGATGGTGTAACATGGTGAGGATTGGAATAGTACTGTGGTCTGAGACGGTGGGCAGTAAGGTAGTAACATGATATTCTACAGAGTCTACAGCAACTTCACAAGTAATCTCCTCGTACCCACGTGCCGCCTCGTTCAGCAACGCCTCAGGAATCTAGCGCTGGGAGCTCAGACCAACTGGCCCAATCGAGCGATCATACCTTGGTTTCATCAAGGCTTCTGTCGGGGAGGCCTTATGTAAGCACGGTGGTTCTTCCCCTTTCTACAGAGTAAGGTAACAGAGGAAAGCCACGGCGCCTCGCCCTCGCATACAGCGGTGTGCGCCTGGGATTCGAGGACTGATGTGAGCCTGCGAGCCTGTGAGCCTGTGAGGTGATAGGAAGGCCGCCCGGGCCAGGATGCGTGGAAATTGGAATTGCTACCCTTTGTAGTATGTGGTTTTTCTACGCAGAGGCTCGGCCCGCGATGCTTCCTCCTTCTTTCCTCCGCCCGGGAATTCTACGCTGTACCTGTGCAGCACATATGTACCCCATGCGTCTGTATGTCTATGTCTATGTCCGGAGCAGCAGTTCCCACGGGGGCCGATACGGTACGTGGATAGCTCTTGTCATGGTGAGGACCGCCAACCTGTCTGACGCCCTGGAACTCCTGTCTCTCTCGCTACGGCCTAGACAGTAGCGCCTTGCCGTCCTGGGCGTAGCGGCTGTCTGGCCCTGAACCTCGCTTCACGCACAGTGATCCCCTCGCGCGCGCTGATTGGCGTGCCTGAAATCCTTGAATCGCTTCGGGCTGCGCTAGACCCGTCTCATCCTAGCGCCATCCCCCTGACCCGGTACGCCTTTCACGACGCTTCGCCCTTCTGGACCGCTGGGCGCCTATCTTCCTTGACCTCCCTTCCCACACCCCCTTTCGCCCTTCCGCGTCGCTGCGACTCTGACTCGGCCATCCCTATCGCTTTTATCACATCTTTCCCTTTTCCAGCCCTGTCTTGAATTGGCCCTTTTCCCTCCTCTGCACTCTGGCACCTCCAATGTCTTGTGTGCAACCCAGGCCAAACCCATCAGGAAACCATGGCCGCCGACCCACGTTCCCCAGGGAACCTTAACAACCCCTCTGCTCCTCCTCCTCCTCCTCCTCCTCCTCCTTCTCCTCCTCCCCCGTATGCTCCTTTTGATACTTCCTCCGCTTCAGATCCGTCGGACCTCTCAGCCTCTGCCAACCTGCCAGCCAAGCTTCCTCCCCAGATCCCGCAACCCGCCGACACCAACTCCAACTCCAACAACTCTCCCAGCCCAGCTCCGCCGCTCAGGTCCCGCGCTGTCTCGTCCGCTTCAGTTCGTCGCAAGCCTTTGCCATTGACGGCCTCGCACCTAGCCACGAGGTACTCGTCCGGTGAACACCTCGCGTCCACCATCGAACGGCCCGAGGAGAGTCTTTCGAACTCGAGGCCCTTCTCTGCGGACAGCCCAACCCTCTACGAGTTTCCTTCTACCTCTACGCTTCCATTTACCCCGGCCCGCTCTTCCCTGAGGTTCTCGAAGTATGTCACCACCATAATTGTTTCATGAAGCTTTTGTCCGTATGAGTTTTAAGCTCCCGTATACTGATATAGTTCAACCAACAGACCTTCCAACGAGCACGCCGCGCCATCTTTGGACGCCCCGTCTTCCGAGAGTGCTACAACCGCGAAGCAAACTACCACCGACCAGAGTTCGAACCTCGCCGTTCCGTCGCAAGCTCACGGTCCGCTGGTTCCTGCGGCAGAGGATGCAACTTTAGCCAGTGATTCGGCCCTGTCATCTGCTACCGAATCCGCCGCTCCGTGGTCCAGCCATTCGAGCTCTAATAGCCTCGCGGATTCCGCTACTATGTCCATTTTCTCGTCCAAACCCCCACCACCACATACAATAAACGTGTCCAGCCCTCCGTCGCGAAGCTACTCGGAAGAATCAAGCGACTCTCATACAACCATCCAGAAGCCACAGCCGAAGTCCCCCGGGGGGTCCAAGCTTGGCTCATTCTTCGGATGGGGAGGTAGTGCATCTCCAGCATCTTCGACGACAACATTTTCGGAGAATCCATATTCTCCGCTACCATCGCCATCTCCCTCACCCCAGACACCAGACCACCCCCCTACCCCCTCTAATGCCTCCAAGCCAACAACCAGAAACCCACCTACAGCTATCGATATTCCAAAAGCAAATGCTAGCGCGGAAAGCTATTTCGGAAACGCACATCTTCAACTACCCTTGGCAACACCCTCGTCCCCAATACAAGTCGAAGAGATGGAAAAGGAACTAAAGGATATTAGTTCGGAGCTCGCCGCCTCTATTCGGCGGGAGATGGACCTGGAGGATCTGGTGGAGCGATTACAGTCAGAGGTACAAAACTCGTCGGGCGGAGGAAAGCGCACCAGCGACTATTTTTCAGATTCAGGGACGACGGCCTCAGTAGCGAAATATGGAGAAGTAGATTCAAGGCAAGAAGAATTGGATCGCATGATCCGGAGGACTGAGCAGGAAAAGGCGCAGATGAGGTTAGAACTCACGGAGAAAGTACAAGATGAAAGAGCCCGCCGGAAATATCTTGAGGCCCAGATCCGGAGTCTGGAGGAGAAGGCGTCACATGTGAGAACGCCGAACAATTTGCAGCCCCCCTAGACTAACCTTTCCCAGGTCGACCTTGCCTCTATGAACTCCATCGATGCAAATGGACGTCTGAAGGACCTCGAAGCGACTTGCGAAGACCTCCGACGCCGGTTGGCTGGAGAGCGACAGATGAAAGAGAACTTCGAGGACCTTCTGACAGCACTGAAAGGGGAGCTCCAGGATTCACTCAATGAACGTGACAACCTCCGAGATGAGATAGTGCCGCAACTCCGCGCGCGAGTCGAGGGCCTTGAGGCCCAAGCGGCGCAGCACGAAAAGCTCACATACGAACAATCGAAGATGCAGCAAGAGCTGCAGACCCTCAAAGACGAAAACGTATCACTGATCAATGCGCAAAAGCAGCAGAAGAGGTTTAGTATCATCTCTGAAGAGATTGGAAATGCGCCCGTGCCAACTAGGTCTAGACCTCCGTCACTCACACGGTCGACATCAGTGAAGACGACTGAGTCACGTGAGGCACTTGCGGAACGGGTGAAGGATATCGAGCTTCAACGAGACGCCCTGCACCGTGCCCTCAAGAGTCTGCTGGAGCGACAGGAGCACCAGAATCGTGAGAATCAGAAGAAGATCCGTCAGTTGGAGATTGAGCGAGATCGAGCCCTCTCTAGTTCGCCCAGACGGTTAGCTTACGACAAGGAGGTTGCAACTCTGCGTGAAGAGATCAACACACTCCGTCGTAGGGCCGATGAGGCCATAGAACAGAAATGGCAGTGCGAGAAGGGCCTCAGTGGTCTGAAGATGGACCTCGAGCGTGCGGAGCAGGAGATTGGATCACTACGAAACCTACTCCAGGAAAACGACATCTTGATCCCGGCGACAACACGTCTCAGTAGTGGTTCCATACCTGAAAGCGGCCAGGTGTCCTCGGAGTCCCTCGAACAGGCATATCGAGATCTGCAAAAGGAGTATACAGCCTCGTTGGAACGGGTCAAGGCTTTGGAGCTATCGGGTCCAAAGGATGAGGAAACGATGATGGCGATGAAACAGCTAGAGCAGAGCCTGGCAGATGCTATCTCCGAGCGAGACTTCGCAAGGCAAGATGCTGAGGCCTTCCGAGAACAAGCAGAAGATCTCCGGCAGTCGGAGACGGCTCACGTGAGCAACGAGGTCGCCCTCGCTGAAGAACTTCGTTCCTCTGCCAAACGTGTCGAGGAGTTGGCAGCGCAGGTCCGGCAACAGCTTGCCTCCAACGCCACTCTCCGACAACGACTGGCCGAGACGGTAGAGCGTGGGGAGAAGGAGCAGAGGGCCAATGCTAGTAAGATCATGGCCTTGCAGAGCAGGCTCAAATCCCTCGAGGACCAACTGATGGCCGCTCAACAAAACTCAGAAGAGGCGATTACTCGCCATGAAGAGGAGATCCGCGGTATCAAGGAGAACAACAATGTTCAACTGCAGCGCATGAGAGATGGGATGCGCTCCCCCCGGATGTTCGCCTCCCAATCGGCCGTCGCGCCGATGTTTGCCAATTCGACCAAGGCACCGCGAATCTCCCTCACCACCTCTGGGAAGGCCAAGTCTGTATCCGAGGACTCGAATATGGAACTCCTGAGGCAGAGGGTGGTAGAGCTGGAAAGTGCTCTTGCCGAGGCGGATAAACAGATGGAGGATGTGGTAGGACGTATGAACGTCGCGCAGGTCGAGGTCATGAACCTGCAGAATGAGAGGGAGGAGGCCGTACGGGCGACGAGGAAGCTCCAGAAGGTGATCGAGGAGGCGAAGCTGAGGAAGGCTTTTTAAGGGGAGATTCGCTCTCGAATTCGTGATGGAGAGAAACTAACTTGATCTGTTTTTATCTCCATATTTTTGATTCTTACTACTGCGCTTAGCGGGGACCTCTTTACTAGCCATGAGTCTAGTGCTCATGGTGTTGCATTTTCAGGAGTTAGAAGAACCATCATCATCCGGCGTTCAAATTAGGGCATGGATGGGAGGACATTCGGAGTTGGAAACTTTTGGACAGGTGTATGCATTACCGGATTAGCAATACCCATGGTTGAGCGGGGCCAGCCGTCGCCGGCGGCTTAATTTGATACAGACGAACACTCTGTTGTACAGATAAGGATACTGGAGTGTGCGTTCTCGTCTTGTCTTCTTCTTGTATTATAAGCGCGAGCCCCGCCGTCACGGGTGCTGTGTATATATACTTAGTTAAACTCTTACCATGCGAAGTTGGCTACTATCGAGAGATGGAATACATACATACATGCATACATAGGTACAATGGGTCCCTTTTCATCATCACGTGTTTTTCAGATTCTACTTAGGATGCTCGTAATTCCTCTTCCTTTCTGTGTCCCTCTTGCCCTTCCTCATCCCTATCTATCTTCTATTCTATCTTATTCCCATCACTCCTACACAGAGCGAATTCAAACTGTGAATATTAAATTAGAAACGTCTCGCTAGAATACATTTTGTTTGTTTGTATGTGCACTCTGGTGGTACTGTGGGAGAGGCAGTACGGGATGGTTGAGGGAGGAGGAAGGAGGTTGGATAGTGTGTTAATGATTAGAAGAGATAGAGATGATGAGGTAAGAGAAGGAGGGAATTTAAAGAGTATCAAAAAGACAAAAAAAAAGGGACGACCGACTTAAAGAAAAGAAAGAAAACCAAGCAAAAAGAATTAGTAGCTAACCACATAACAACTTTCACTACTTCACTCCTTAAGCAGAACAGAACACAGGAACAATAATAATATACCTCCGCAAGGGTCCGTCTAAAAGGGTCTCGGCAGCTTCCGATATTAGTGCATGATGGATGATGCATGGGGTTTAGCTTGTTCAAGTGGGGCCCTAACCCAAGATAGTTGGTGGGTGGTTCCGGTGTTTAGTGGTTTGGTGTGGGGGGTTTGGAAATTTGAAGATGTAACATCTGTACTGTATGTATGTATAAGGCAGGTATGTACCTAGGTATGCAATGTGCATGTACCTACTCTGAATGAACGCACAGTAAGGTATGTATGTAATGAGATAACTTATAAATTTCAACATGTCCAAGAAATAAATAAATACCTAGATACACCTACCTACCTCCTCTTTCTTTTCCTACATCTAGGTACCTTCCTAGAGCACTTCTTACTCCTTCCTCGCCCACGCAAAGATACATCGATGAGGGAATTAACTACAGTCCCTATAACTAGTTACCTTAGGGTAGGTAAGGTAGTCAGCATGAAAAAGCAAGCAAAGCAAAGCAAAGCAAAGCATAGAGTATCCTCGGTTAATATTGCGATGCGCATGCATGCATGCATGCCCGCACCAAAGGACAGTGCGCAAATAATTGATTTGATTTGAGTCTTCGTATCAGATGCGTGCTGCTTATCAGGCCAAGCCTGTTAGTTGGTCTTCATACATCCCTTCACGTTCGTAATATGGCGTGCATGTGGAGAGAGAGAGAGAGAGGGAGGCTGGGTGGGTGGTAACTTGTAAGGTATGATGCCTGTTGGAAAGTGGTGGATGGATGGATGGATGGATGGTTAAGGTGAGGTATTATGCGTGGTGCATGTACATAGGCTATGTATGTATTATGTATGTATATGTAAGGTATGCACTGACTGACTGGTTTTATAGTATGTATATATTGTTACCAAGAATCTGGTGGGAAGAATAGAGCCCAGATGTCTACTCTACATACCCATCTATATTATTCCTGTCCTCCCCCCCCTCAAGGCAAAGCAAAGCTGGTATTTGTCTCGGGGCACCTCGGGACACAACAACGCCCTGCTCTCCCGGCGTCGCCCGCGCCCCTCTTCTCTTGTTCTGGAAGATCGCCGTATCGGGCTAAACCCGGGCCCATGGAGATCAGGGCGCTTGGCAAGTTCGGGACTAGGTCAGATGGATCATTCGACGAAGGGGCTCTTTGCTTCTTCTTGAACTGTTTCGGTGACACGGTAATCTTACCTGCGTTATGATTCCAATACGGTGAGACAAGTACATATGTATCGACATCGATAGATTATAGATACTTACTTGTCCAGAGGCTATTGGATCTGCTGATATATTTATTCTGATGATCTCCCCAGAGACGTAGTAGAATCGCATGGGACGCACTCCAGACTCGCTCACATGAAGCCAGCCGGCCCCGAGCAGCGCACTCGTACTGTAGCTTAACGTCTCCAGTACCTCCTCCTCCTCCGTACCTACCTTAGTACAACGTTGTAGCCCTACTACTGATACAGTACTACAGTAGTAACAGTAGTCACAGCACCCTACTTGCACCTACAGTAGCAGCAGCGCTGAGGCAAGGCTGTTATCTCGCTTCCACGACCGTGGCTTTTTACCTTACACAAACTGCAAATCGGAACCCGATCTCGCGGGGGCTCAGGGCGCCGACGGGCCGCCTGTGATTGGCTGAGATTTTTCTTATCTTTACAGGGCCCACCGCCGAGACGCTTTGGGGGATGGTGGGGACGCTAAGCCCTCGCTAGTGGCTGGCGGGCCCCGGCTATCGCTGCAGGGCTTTGGGGGCGCTAGGCCTGCTGCGGCATTGTTTCGCGCGGGACTCTTGTACATCTACAGTCTACAGTTACAGTCTACTGCTCCTTTACTGCACGGGATAGTAGACTCTACAGTAGTCACTCGACGCATCTCCGGAATTTCCATTCGTCTTTCTATTAGTCCCGTCGAGAGAGGCGTATTTCGATCCCGGCATTTCACTTAGCGTCGACCCCGTCAGCGTTGCTACCTTTGGCATTGGCTGCTCTGATTGGGTGTCCCGACGTCCTGATACTGCTAGACCTTCTGCCTCTGGCCTCCTCCTCATCTTCCTCTTCTCCGCCTTCTCTCCATCTTTTGCCCTCTTCTCTCCTCTCCTCTCCTTTCCTTTCCCCTCTCCTCCCTCCCCTCTTCAACTTCAACTTCCTCTTCCACAAGTTGGTTGAGATCTAGTTGTGCGTGAGGCTCCTCCCGGTCTCGTGCTCTCCTCCTCCGCAGATTCATTCACTTGAGATATCGCGGTCTCCCAAAGCAACCCCGGATACCTCACTCTTAAGGATAACATCTTGCGCGCCTCCACCTTCAACCTCACCTTCAACTCCACCTCCAACGTACCAATACCAACTGACCACACTCCTTGTACACCTTCGTACCCTTTGACTTCGACACGTCGACCACTTTCTTCCTTCTAGCTGGACTGCGTCTGCCCACTTGATCTCCCTCGTCTTTCTCTCTTCTTTCTCAACATCTACTGCCCACGGGCAATCCTCCACCATGTCTCTTACCGTCGACGGGGTCGACTTGGACGCTCTCAACTACACTGTCAAGGTCCCCTACAATGGCACCTCTATGACCGGCGGCGACTCCTTGCACGATGATCTGAACATCTTCTACGATGTGAGCTGAACCCCCTCCTACACCCGTCCAACAACAACATGCCGCTGACACGAACCCAACTCTAGGCCGGCGATATCGCATGGATGATCACTGCCACCGCCCTTGTGCTCCTCATGATTCCAGGTGTCGGGTATGTGCATCTACCGAAACGTGGTGGCCGCGTTGCACCGGACAAGCTGACCTGTGTTCTCGCGCTGCAGTTTCTTCTACTCTGGTCTGGCCCGCAGAAAGTCCGCCCTGTCCCTGATCTGGCTCTCCGTCATGGCCACCGCCGTCATCTCCTTCCAGTGGTTCTTCTGGGGCTACACCCTCGCCTTCTCGCACACCGCCGGCAAGTTCTTGGGTGACATGGAGAACTTCGGCTTCCGCAACGTCCTCGCTGCCCCCTCCGTTGGCTCCTCCAAGATCCCCGACCTGCTCTTCGCCATCTACCAGGGCATGTTCGCCGCCATCACTGTGGCCCTCGCCGTGGGCGCCGTCGCCGAGCGCGGCCGTATGCTGCCCTGTGTCGTCTTCATGTTCATCTGGTCGACCGTGATCTACGACCCCATCGCATGCTGGACATGGAACCCGTCCGGGTGGGTTGCCAAGATGGGCGGACTCGACTTTGCTGGTGGAACGCCTGTCCACATCTCGTCCGGGACCGCTGCTCTGGCCTACTCCATCATGCTGGGCAAGCGCCGAGGTCACGGTAAGGCAGCTATCCGCGCACTGTCACGCATCTTTCAGGAGTCGGACTAACGAGTGGTGAAAATAGGAACGCACGAGCTGAACTACCGCCCTCACAACGTTACTCACATTGTCATTGGCACCGTCTTCCTCTGGGTGGGCTGGTTTGGATTCAACGCCGGTTCCGCCCTCGCGGCCAACATGCGCGCCATCATGGCAGCCGTGGTCACGAATCTGGCTGCCTGCGTTGGTGGCATTACATGGTGCGTACTGGACTACCGTCTCGAGCGCAAGTGGTCAACCGTCGGCTTCTGCTCGGGCGTTGTTGCGGGCCTGGTCGCCATCACCCCCGGTTCCGGATTCGTGCCGGCCTGGGCCGCCGTGATCTACGGCATCATCGGGGCGGCAGGTGCCAACTACGCCACCAAGCTGAAGTTCGTGATTGGCGTCGACGACGCGCTGGACATCTTCGCCGAGCACGCCGTCGGCGGTCTGATCGGCAACATCCTCACGGCCTTCTTCGCGGCCGACTACATCGCGCACCTCGACGGCTTCACCGAGATCCCCGGCGGCTGGCTCAACCACCACTGGATCCAGCTGGGCTACCAACTGGCGGACTCGGTCTCGGGCGGCGTCTACTCGTTCGGCGGCACCTGCATCATCCTCTTCATCATGAACCTGATCCCGGGCCTCTCGCTGCGCGCCTCCGAGGAGGCCGAGATCCTCGGCATCGACGACGCCGAGATTGGCGAGTTCGCCTACGACTACGTCGAGCTGACCCGCGAGGTCCTGAACGATATGGAGGACGGCGGAAGCAAGTACTCTGGCGATCACCACGGTCTCGCCGCTCACGAGAAGATGATGGGCGTATCTGATTCGCAATAGATATCTCCCTCCATTCATCCCCTCTCTCCCTTTCTTTCTTTCTCCCCATCCGCCAAAAATACAAAAGAAAAAGAACCACCAAATGATCTGATCACCTGCCTGTCAAACCGCAGACTAGGAGAATCTCCCCACCACCCACCACCACCAATCTTCTTGTTTTCATCAAGTCATCAAGTCACCTTGGCCCATCCATCCATCCATCCGAGGATCACCACGTTTCTACCTTGTCTTGTCTTGTCTTGTCCCGATATATGATCCCCATCTGTACAACTTCAATTTTCAATCTTCAATATCCCTTGGCCATTTTATTGGCATGCCCACTTCTTCCCCCCCTCTTTTTTCCTTTTTTTCTTCTTTTTTCTCTTCGATTGTACCTACATAGGGGATCATCAGGGGGGCTGTGTGGTTTGGAATTTGGAATTCGGGATGGACGATGGGATGGGATGGGATGGGATTTCGAAGTCATTGCATTTTTGCATTTGCATTGTATCGCGTTGTTGTTAGCTACCTTACCTTACCTTGCCTAGATACCTCACCTCATTTCTCATTTCTCAAAAAAGCGAAGCGAAGCGAAGCGGCTCTCAGACAGACATGAACAGACAGACACACAAAAAATGAAAACTGAAAACTGAAAAAAGTTAATCAAATCCCTCCCTCTTTTGCATGGTTTGGCACTCTGTTCTTGCAAAATTGGTGGGTTTTTTGTTGGTTGGTGAGATAATACGGGAGAGTAGGTTGGCTGGGGCTGGATTGGACTGGTTTTATAGGTAATGAGATATGTTTGTTTGTTTGTTTGATGGTGGAGAGATTGTCTGTCTGTCTATGTCTACGATGTGATGTGATATGTCTTTTCAAGTAATTGGTTGATTGGATCATCATTGATTGATTGATAGAGTTTTGATTGTTGTCATATCTATCTATCTACTTCGAGATCTCATTTCTTCTTCTTTTACTATTTTGATATGTGTATGCATATACGTATATCAATCAATCACCATCCCCCACTTCTCCCCTCCCCCTTTCCCTCCCTACCTCCCCCTCTTTCTCCCTTTCCCTTCCTCTCTACGCTAAGAGATATAATTAAATAAATACAATCATCCGAGTTATATATCGTTACTGCACGCATATCAAGCAGCCGTCTCCCCAGGCTGCAACGTATCCCAATACCCCGAGCAAAAGCATCTCCTCTGCTGCATAACCAACCACTGCAACGCCTGTCTCTGACTCAACACATCCTCCATGACCGCCGCGCAGCGCGCACACCTCCGCCAGCGGACCCCGTGTCGCGCAGCTCGGTCCGGCTCGTCGCGCGTGCGCGGGTGCGGGTTCGGCAGCCACGCCTTGCGGAAGCAGTCCATGGTGCGAGCGGCGCGGCGCCGGCGCGCCAGGGCCGCCGCGTCGTCGTCGAGCTCGAGCATGGCGAAGTCGGCGAAGAAGAGCCGCGCCGGTTCGATGTCGTCGCGGACCGCGGCGAGGAGGCCCGATGGCCGGAAGAGCTCCGTGATGACGGGGACGAAGGCGTCCGGGAGGGACCCGCCGAAGAGCATCTTGATCTCGATGGCGTTGCGGGCTTTCTCGGCGTTGGGGGAGCCTGAGAGGGGTGGCGTGTGGTTGGAATAGGCGGTTTTGATAGAGTTGGCGACGCCGGAGAGGAGGGCTTCGAAGGTTTTGATGCGCAGGATGGCCGAGGCGGTCAGCGTGGCGATTTTTAGGTACGCGGCGCGGAGGGCCGGGGAGAGGGAGGGGATGGGTTGCTGGGCGTTGGGCGTGCCGTTTTGGGAACTGCCTCCTGGGTAACCGGGCATCGTGTGGACGATGGCCTTGCGTGCGATGTGGTCCAGGTGTACGAGCCGGCGGCAGATGGCCGTTAGAAAGCCGCGGGTTGGAGAGGACAGGAGGAGGTGTAGGCATATGTTGTTTGTAGATCGGAGATGGGTGAGCAGATCTGGGAGAGAGAGAGTGCTGGGATTCGTGAGGTCGATTGACGCTGGGAGGGTGCTTGGGAGGGTGAGGAGCGTGTCTGTTATCCAGGCCATAAGATCGAGGACCCATCGGACCGACCCAGCAAGTGCGTTTATCACCTCTGAAGGACGTCAGCAGAGGGCGTACCAAGAGTGGAGAGCCAACAAACCTGGATCTTCAAGCGGTGATGACTTTTCGTTGTTTGGCCCTGCGACCTTCATGTTCGCGGCCATGGTCACCAGTACGACAATATTCCGTACCTGTAGAACGACCCAGGCGAACTTGCCTGCGAATGTTCGCGGATGGAATTCCCCCTTGAATCCAAGGGAGTTTTGAATGCTCAGACATAACTGGATTGTCGTGTTTCGGATGAGCACATCGAAATGGGTTTCCTCTGAATAGTCTACATAAACCTTCAAGATGCGAGATAGCTCTATTAGCCAGTCGTAGGCAAAATCTATTTCATATTAGCTTATCCGTTTTGTGCATTGGAGAAATTACTCACTACTGGCTTTGGCATGCTTGTGAGCAGTGGCAAGGACATCGTCGTAGTTAACATTTGTCATTACTGCTGTGGAGCACGATAACGAGAGTGCTGCAATAACTGCAGCATAACGTGCTAGATATTGTTAGATGACAATTACAGTCGGCATCTTGTACAACTCACCATCTTCTATGCTAGATCCGATATCACCCATGTGGTAGTCAAGCTGCTTCCACTTGACCTTTCCGTCATTCCGGATTTGTACAACAGAGCAGTAGCTGGGTGATAAGGCAAAGTGTAAACCTGCAGGTGTTAGAAACAAACCAGGTTAGAATAAACCCAGAAACCTACAAGGTTCATCTTCAGTATACGAAAACCCAATCTGGGATAGATGCCAGACCCTGTCAAGGTCACCATCCGTAAATGTTTCTAGCATGGTGTTGCGATCACGATAATCAACAGAGCTATCGCTATATGCGAAGCAAAGTATCTTTCCAAGATTCATAGGCTGCATTGCAATAGCTATTTTATTCACCGTGAAGCTTTCAAGCTTCTTGAGGAAATGGACACTCTAATAATCGTCAGTGAGAACACGTGCCCGCAATCTTGATCTCACTTACCCCTGGTTGTGTACCAACACTGTTCCGGCGGGAGCTCAACTGCTCGAATTCCGGATGGATATTCTGTTGCTTCTCACGAACTTCCCATCTGTCTATCGTGGTATGGACATCTTGGTTGTAATGTGACATCGAAACTGGTAGATGAGAGCGAACAGCTATGATCGTTGGAGGGGTACTTGGACCAGAAGCGTCTATGCACGGAGGCAAGAACTCGAGATGAGATAGGTGGGTTGCCGTTGACTCTACATGTGAAGCATTCAAATTTTCGTTAGGGATGTCATGGAGCCAGCTAGTGGCAGCAAGATGTCGAGTTTTGACAGTTGGGTTCAGAGGTAATGCTGCTGGGTTGACCTTCTCTGCCGTCTTGGGAAGGCCCCAGTCAATCAGAGCTCGTACGGTACGAAGTTGCTTTGAAGAAGTAGCAAAAGCAATTAATAAAGTACCAGCTGGTTCAACTGTTTAGCTAGTTTCGACTCTAACAGAAAGGCAACTTACATTTGTCGGAGCATATTGCCGCATGGGTAATCAAATCATCAGAAGATACGACACTTTCCAGTTCCGTGTGCGACTCATACCACTTACCATTGTTCTGAGGCCATAAGACTCTGAGAACGCCGTTCGTGGTAACGCAGACGAAAGCAGACTTGGAATGATTTGGGTGGAATGGACCGAGGACGGGAGTCTGAGAAGCTTCATATCGATAGTTGGATCCTTCTTTGATTGCTGGGCCATTCAAGATTGTCTAGCAAAGGGTCAAAACAGAAGTCCAAAAATATGAGATACCATTATACATACTGGACGGTTTTGAGGGAAGGGTGCCAAATTCAACCAGTAACAGCCTACAACGGCATGCAGATCATCCGTGGTATCTATCTGAGAAGGCCTAGCGAGAGTAGGCTTATTCAAAGACGAAAAAATAGTCAAGATGTTTACCCTTCCGGCAGCATCAATGACGGCTAGTTCAGAGCCAGTAGGACTCCAGCATAAATGCTTCAGAGGGCCGCCATCCATGCTTGTGGTCAATTGCGGCGTCACTGTGGGCTCGCTCAGACCCCAGGTGCCATTCTCAGGTGCGCAGCGCAGATTCCGGAACTCCACAGTAGTCCCGTTTGCACTGATTGATGCTATGCTGCCCCATTTTGACCACGCAATCGCCCTGTCAAGAGTTAGTCCTGGTGATAGGCCGGCGAAGGACATCCTGTCTTACTGGCAACACCCACTCCCTCTGAGCTCATCAATCCTCTGATATAGCTCTTTTGTGGGCGGGCGCGAGGGCATTGATAGGGCGGCCCCATCTTCAAAAAGATCATCGATATCTACCTCGCCGTCCATCATTAAAGGCATTTTTCAGCGAGGTTTCCGGATAGGTATTGGCCCAGCATCGACAGAGTCATAAGAATTGAGAGCAGCGACTCAAGGATACAAATTTCCAGGCATAGTAATATGGGGGATCTCCCCAAAGGAGGCGAGAAAGCAGTTGGAGGACTGACAAGAGGGGGAGAAGAGCAGCGGAGATGCAGCCTTGCGGATGAGGTTCACAGATCTTGCAAGGATTGTGCGGGAGGGCTAACCGGATCTGGATAAATGATGAATGTGGGATACGGCCACCATCCACCCAGCAACCGAGAGACAGTTGAGTTGAGATATTGAAGAATTGAAAAGGTCTCTAAAGCAAAGAGGAAATGGATTGTTTGTGAAGAAGAGAAAGCTTGTGTGTTTTGAGTCAAGCAAGAAGAGGGAATCTTCTGGTACTCCATTAATACAACTAACTCTGTTGCGCCCGAGCATGCGGGCTTCTTTGACGTCGGAATCAATTGAAAGCTGCGGTAATGTCCTTGGGAATCACCAGATGTGTCGGATAAGGCACGGAAGTTGGCGTCAAGAGATCATAGAATCATAATAAGAGAAACCCGATTTTCTCTTGTTCGTTCTTCTCCAACCCACAAAAGCATCCGCGCCGATTGAAGAGAGCTCCAGCTGCTTGGCCGCCCCAACCTCCAGGATCCATAATAAACAGAACACGACAACCGTGCCTTAGCCGAGCCGAGCTAGAGATCCGCCCTGCAAGTGCCCGCTCATTGACAACCTCGCACGCTTCTTCTTCTTCTTCCCCTTCACAACCCCCCTTCCTTCAACAACATCGCGACTCGACAATACATTCGGATTCGATAATGATACCCTCGTGAGTTAGAGGCGCTCATTCCGGTTTTCGCTCGTTCGTGCGCCCGCCGACTCGCTCGCTCCCCTCGATCGCGACATTCGAAGCCATGCATTCGATCGGCTCGTCCTCGCCCCCTTCGTCGCCCCTTTCCAGCGTGGCTTCCAGGTCTCCTACTCCTCCGGCCGATTATCCATCACCGTCCTCGAGCAATGTCTCCGACACTGGATTGCCCGCGCCCGCACTTGACCTGCCTGGAAGACCGCCAGCTCGCGATGGGCCTCCACCCGCCAAGAAACAAAGGATCATGAAGCCGAAGGAACTGAAGACCGAGTATCTTGATCTATGCGCCCTTAATGATTGCTCTGACGAGGCGGAACATAAGGCTCAAGATCGAAAGTTAAAGAGACTAATGGAGGCTTTGCGCTCAAAACGGAAAATCGTCGTCATAGCTGGAGCTGGTATCTCGGTCTCTGCAGGCAGTATGTTCCTCTCCAGTTTCTGGCGCCCAATTTTGCTAAAACCCCGTAGTACCTGATTTTCGCTCTCAAAATGGGCTTTTCAACACATTGCGCAGTCAACACAAGCTAAAAGCGTCTGGAAAGCACCTCTTTGATGCTTCGGTCTATCGAAGCGACTCGTCGACAAGTTCTTTCCATGACATGGTCCGCGAGCTATCTCATCTGACACAAAATGCCAAGCCTACACCATTCCATCATATGCTTGCGACTCTCGCCGAAGAGGGCCGATTGCTGCGCCTATACACCCAGAATGTTGATGGCATCGACACAGCCCTGCAACCTCTTGCGACCACCGTCCCATTGAACAAGAAGGGTCCTTGGCCTAAGACTATACAGCTCCACGGAGGACTGGACAAAATGGTTTGTAGCAAATGTGGACACCTGTCAGATTTTAATGGCGCTCTTTTCGAAGGCCCAGAGCCACCGTCGTGTACAGAGTGCGAAGTGACAGACGGCGTACGAATAGCTGGAGGCCTCAGAAGTCATGGAATTGGCCGTTTAAGGCCGAGGATGGTCTTGTACAACGAGTTCAACCCTGATGAGGAAGCTATTGGAGCGGTTAGCACCGCGGATCTTAAAACTCGACCGGACGCAGTAATTGTGGTAGGCACAAGTCTCAAAGTGCCTGGAATTCGGCGCCTAGCAAAGGAGATGTGCGCTGTTACTCGAAGTCGTCGAGACGGATTCACTGCTTGGATCAATTACGACCCCGAGCCTGTTGGCGTCGATGTCAAAGATTGCTGGGATTTGGTCGTCCGAGGTGAATGTGATGATGTTGCACGTCACGTGGGCCTGCCCCGGTGGGACGACAAGGACTGTGGTGACTATAGTCTTGTACCAAAGGAAGAGCCTAAGGTCAAGAATGGTATCGAAGTGGTAATAGACTCCAAGCCTCTCGATATGGTTAAGAACCAAGGAATCATCACTCCTGGAGCTAGCCCTCGACAGCAAAGCCCAGCACCCACAAAAGACATGGCGAAATCGAAGCAGTTACAGCTGCCATTTGGGTCTAAGGTTGCTACTGGAAAGGAGACGAAGCCCAAAAAGAAGTCTGGCAGGAAGCCATTGCCTTCGAAGCCTATGAATAAGATCACCAGTGCATTTGGTCAGACGAAGACCTCGAAGCCCGCTGCAAGTAAACCCACGCAGGCGAAAAATGAAGCGGGTGCAGGAAAGAAACAACTTAATGGTGGACAACTCATGTTTCCAAACCTTGCAAAGGAACCTTCAACCCCGCCGATGGCAGCTGTCTCTCGTACAGACCACCGTAACAACTCGGACATATCGTCGTACAGGAACGAGAGCCCCAACTTCGTACAGGGCAAGAATTTTGAGATACAGGTTCCTAGCAAGCAGGAACGCTCTCAGCATCAGTACACGCCTGATCCCTCTCTCCACTCGGATCAACTCCGTTCTCCCCAAACTCCAAAGACACCTACCCGAGAATCTCCTAATTGGACCGAGACTATTTCCCCGAAGGGAAAATTGCCCCATGGCATGCAGGAGATACTTTCGTGAGCTATCCTGAAGTAGTCTATACACCCACGCGCGTTTTCCATGTCATAATTCTCATCAGCCACAAGACATTGGGGAATCAATCGAGGCGGCGTTACGGTTAGATTCGCGAGTCGTCCTTCATGTAGAGATTTCGTTGCTGAGAACCGTTACGCGCATACCATGCCACTGGGGCCAGTTTAGCATACTACACTGGAGGAGGTGCCCCGCAAAAGGAAGGAAGGCACTTACCAAGCAGCATTATGTATGTATTGATGCATACATATCGTCGTTTGCATGCGTCAGTCACAGAACCACAGCCGTATCTGTGAAAGGCGGGGACGGAGGAGTTCTGGATGTCCCTTCTATTCAAGCTGGCATTACTATTGTACATAAAAAAAAGAAATTAGAATTCGATAATCGATATTCTGCCATTTCTCCCCCTTTTGACAAGTGAAAGTGATAGAATAAACACTCCGCTAGCTATTATTATTCTCTAAACAAATACTTGAAATGCTCTCTCTCTCTCTTCTTGCTAACCCATCCATAAGTTAACTGACCAACCGTAGCGAAAACAAGCAAGCAGATTTAGAATGAGAAAAAGAGGGGTTGATATAGTGATCAGATGGAGCGAGAGCCGTCTTGCGTGAGTTGGATCTTAGGCGGTTGATGCTATATAGATAGATAGGGGGTTCATTCTTGTCATTTGAGTAGGGAGGAAATGCAGGATTCGAAGGCGCGCGTGTGATAAGAGAGAGGGGGAGAGAGAGGTGGATTTTCTTCACCCTGCAGACTTTGTATCAAGTGTGACCATAACTCTAATAGCTGGGTCAGTCAGTCTGTGAGAAATGCAATATTCCGCTTTCACCGCGGGTTGCACGGAACGTCGTCTCACGATGTTGATGTCGCCACTTGATCAAGAAAAAACGATTGCGGAATGATATATTTATTTTTAACGTAACGAATATAAATTACGCGCTGCAAAATATGCCTGTCATTCCTTCTCTTTTCCATTCTCATCGTGTTCTTTTTGTAGGATATGCCTTTCTCAACTACAGGAGAAAAAGCAAGGCCAAGCCCTTCGTAACGAGCCGAAACTCATACATAGAATCAAAGCCCCAGCCGGAGCCCTGATATTTTCCCCTCTAAAACAGAACCGTACGCCCGTTGAATGCAATGATTCGGCCGCGTAATTGAACCACCGGCCTGGTTGATCCGAAAAGTCAAAAACCACACTGAACGCCTACGCAATGGTATTCGAAAACAAATTTTATGCCATACAGTCGACGGCAGGGCTATGCGCCTTTGATGGCAGCTGTTGATGGAGCAGAGGTGCTGTTGGGGGCGGTTGATTCTGCTGCACCACCGGTATCTGTTGAAGGCCCCGCTGCTTTATCGTTCAAGTTCTTCAAAATCTTTATATACATTCCTTCTAGCTGTGCACCGGGTGGAGGTGGATCGAGAGGCCATGACATGGCGACATAAGACCTTCAAAATGTTAGCAACAGTTTGGGATCATCAGATTCCGCTGCTCACCAGAAACTTGGCCGGAGTTCTTCACTCTCCTCATCTTGTGATAAAGATTGAATAAAGTCACCTATAGTCACCAGTTCTTGTTTCATAACATTGGCTCGCTCCTTCTGGGATTTGATATTGGTCTTCGTAGCTGATTGCACTCGTTTGAGGCTATCCTTGATTGGCTTAAAGATAACCTTCATCATAGATTCATGCTGGTGGGTTGGTTTGCTATGGCCGTTCTCAGACTTTCGCTGCTTTTGATGTCGATCATGATGACGATCATCATCACGACCACTATGTTTTCTCTTCAACTCAGGCCTGGAGCTAGTACTGTCTTCGGTGCTATGACGACGAGGATCCATGCCACGATGCTCGCCATGCTTGTGGGAACGATCTCTTTCGCGGTCATGACCATGATGTTCAGGTTGACGGTGATTTTTCTTGAACTGGGGAGCGGGAGAAGCAGAGACGGAGCCTCTGGTCTCGGATCGTCGATGCCCATTGCGCTCATGCTTTTTGTTATTCCGATGATGGTTCTCGACAGCACGCTTGGCAGCCTGATTATCAGAATATTTGGCCTTCAAGACTGATAAGAGGTAATCAGAACGGCGAACAAGATGAACTGCCCCTGGCGCCTTGGCCACTTTCTCATCCCCTTTGTTCCGCTCCTCCTTCTTATCAACACGATGCTCTTCCAAGAAGAATTTGTCTTGCAGTCCTAAATCAGGATCATCCCGAATTTGAACCCATGCTCCATAGCCGTGTCTATGTATACCTACCAGGAGCATGCCATCTTCTCTTGCGCCCCATTCACAGGAATAGTGAGCGGCTTTGGATGCATCGGGAACACGGAAGTTCTTGTAATCAGCCACAGAGCCGATCACCTCCTTCAACATTCTCATTTCACCTGGTCGTTCCAAGACGGTTTCAGCATTTAGTCGCTTGACTCCGAGATAATCGAAAAGAACGGCTTTCTTGTCTTTCTTGGTCAGTGGCTTATTAGTCTCACGCTCCATTGCTTCAATCCGTGCAGCATCCTCCTTAAGTCGTTTAGCACTCTCGTCCGTGATGGCTTTTAAGGTAGAGCGTAGCAAATCGATATCACGACCGACAAGACGAGCATCTTTGATCAACTCTTCGCCACGGTCATCGATTGAACCATAGCGAAGAAAGGCCCTAAAAAGGTTCCGGGCCTCTTTCTCATTCAACTCTCGCTTTGGGTCAGCAAGGTTTGCTTGCGCTTCTTTCTTCTCATCTATCTCGTCCTGTTTGGCTTGGTCCCGCTCGCGCTTTTTTGCTAGACGCTGTTCTCTCTCGTATTCGGCCGTGTTCTTCATAGCAGCTTTCCGCGGAGCGTTTTCTTCAACAACCTTGGCAAGATACTCTTCGTGGAGCCGCTTTTCTTCTTCTGCTTTAATACTTGCCAACTGGTCTTTCGGAATGATATCGTCCCATTCTAGGTCGATCTTGACATCTGTGTATTCGAAGCTCTTCAGAAAATCCTCGCCACCGTCGGCGACCATTCCTTCTGGCACTTCTGTTTTATGCTCTTCTGCATTTTCAAGAACCGAGTCGATATCAAGCTCTTCAAGTTTCTTTTGATTACCGGACTGCTCAAACATTTTCTGGCCTCTTCTTTTAAGAATCCTGGAAATGTCTTCAGATGACTTGGGATCGTCTATCTTGCCAGCCTTGATAGCTTTCTCGCGAAGCTCCTTTTTATCCTTATCAGTGACGCCTCTCTGGATAGTGATAAATTCGAGCATGAGCTTGTTGCGAGCACGCTCGAGGACTTCTTCTTCAACTGTCTCCTTGGACACCAATCTATAAATACTGACAGGCTTCTTCTGTCCAATGCGGTGTGCGCGAGCCATTGCTTGTAAATCCGCCTGAGGATTCCAATCTGAATCGAAAATGATGACCGTGTCGGCTGTCATCAAGTTGATTCCAAGACCTCCGGCGCGCGTGGATAGTAGAAAACAGAAGTCGGTGCTATCTTCGGCATTGAAGTGGTCAATGGCGACTCGTCGAGGTCCAGCTGCTATGGTGCCGTCGAGGCGCTGGAATTGATAGCCTCGAAGCTGAAGATAATCCCCTAGGATATCAAGCATCTTCACCATCTGACTGAAGATTAACACACGGTGATTGTCTCTTTTCAACTTCGTTAACAATTGATCGAGGAGCATCATCTTGCCGCTGCTCGCAATGAGACCTTTCAGTTGATCTTCACGTCTCGTACTGCCTTTCAGAATCTTCTCCTCGGCGTTCGGAAACATGTAAGGATGATTACTGGCTTTCTTTAGCTCCATCATGATGTTCAGTAACGACTGCTTCTGCCCTTTGGCACCCTCATTGAGTGCAGCGTAGTTCCTCGTAAGAATATTCTTGTAGTAATCTAACTGGACATCAGACAACTCAACCCTGATAATTTTCTCGCTCTTGGGCGGTAAGTCATTCTCGACTTTCTGTTTCGTTCGGCGAAGAATGTATGGTTGGATCATACTAGTCAGAGCGGCGATCTTTTCGCCTGCAGCCTCTTCAGTTAGATCCATGTTCTCCTCAATATCCAATTCACCCGGCATGAGGAAGTCCATAAGGGCGGATAACTCTCCCAGGGTATTCTGAACAGGTGTACCGGTAATCAACAACCGAGATGGAGCCTTGAAATCAAGGAGTCTTTGGTACAATTGAGACTCTCGATTCTTTAGGCGATGAGCTTCGTCGACAGCCAGAAACTGCCATTTGATCTGAGCCAAGAAATTTGCATCGGCAAGAATGTATTCATATGACGTGAGAAGAACATTGAACTTTGGTTTCTTTGGATTCCCATCAGCAAGTAGTTCGTAGTCTCTGATGATGCTCCGGGATGCCTCCTTTCCGTTGTAAATAACATAATTCATGTCGGGTGCCCAGTGATCAAATGTATCGGCCCAAGCGGGTATGGTCGTAAGAGGAACTACAACGAGAAATGGACCTTCCTGACGTCTATCATGACGAAGCCAATTCATAAAAGATACTGTTTGAACTGTCTTACCCAAGCCCATCTCGTCTGCCAGGATGACATTCTTATTCCTGCACCAGTTGTAGGCAAGGAAGTTCAGTCCAGTGATCTGAAAATCTCGCAGTTGGCCATTCTTGATATATTTCGGTTGTTCTCGAATCGCTGTGTGCGGGCTTCTAGTATTAGGATTGGACTCAGTCCGGTCCGAAGTCAGGGATCGAGAGCTACGATCCAAGAACCGGTCAATTGCATCCTGAGCGATCTCGCTGACCAAAGAAGCTGATTCCCAGGTACAAGACTCGTAATAGAGACCCTTCCATTTCACGAAGTACTCAGTTTCCCCATTGTCATCACGTGAACCTATGACCCTCTCAACTTTGGTATAATCAAGAAGGGCGTCTGAATCACGTTCCCGATCCAGCATCCACTTCTCTCTTTCTTCAAGAGGAACGTCCTCACCGCGAGAGATGTGAATATCATCGAGAACTATCTTTCTGTAATAATTCTCAAGTCGTCGAAAGCCGCGTACGCCAGTCAAGGATTTCGTTGTCTCCCAGGTAGCATGGTAATGAGACTTTCCTTGCCACTTGATGTAATATTCGAAGTCATCCCGGCCTAGGTCCTCGTTGTGTATATCCTTCCCTTCCATAAGTCTGTGTTTCAGGACAGCATCGATATATGGAGAGGTATCCTCGGTATCAGCGACCCAATAGTTCGGAGTCATCATTTCAGAGTCATCTTCCAAGTCTATATCGCTTTCCTGATAGGCCCCAGCCGTGACCTGTGCAGCTCGTCGGCTATTCCATCTCTTTTCTTGGTAAACTGGAGCGGTATTGCCCGACTCCAGTTGGCGGCGACGGTGTTTCTTTGTTAAGCTTTTGGCACGAGCACCTCCATAAGTATCGGAATCAGAATCGGAACTGGAAACAGAGCGAAGGGCCGGAGTATCACGTTTTGACGCTTTAAAGGAGTATTGTATTAGTCATGGGAGCGATAGCGACGACGAGGTTATAGGGGTTAGGGGTTTCATACAGGGTCGAGAGCGCTCTTGCTTTCTTCGCTTCCCTCTATGCGCGGTCACGATATCGGATTCAGAGTCTTCGTCATCGTCATCGGACTCAATCTATAGTCCATCAGTAGTTGAGCTGCAGTTGGAAGTACGGAAGCTCCGTTGCTTTCTAGGTTAACATACGATGCGTCGATGTTGAGATGGACGACCCTGAAGGGAGAATGTTAGCATGGCAAGTGGCGGTCTGAAGGACTGGTTATCGTACACTTCTTCGCAGGCCGTATAATTCTGGATTGGCCAGAATGTGTTCATCTTCTTCGACGCCGAGTTTCCGCTTCGCAGGACGACGAGATTCAGTTGAGGTAGAACGGTCATGTCGTCCACCATTCGTCGCTGCAGGAGTAGGGTTTTCTTCGATATCGAAATCGGCATCATCGGATTCACCCTGAGCTTCTTCGGGAGATGATTCAGAGTCCTCGGTGCCTTGAGCACCCAGTTCAGATTGATGGTCTATGGAGTTCGCCGGCGAGGGCTCATCGATGATGGGAATGGCAACTTCGGAAAGGTCAGACTCACTGTCGTATGGAGCATCGTCGTTCGTGAGTGTGGTATTAGCCAACGGAGAAGTATGTCCGTTGGAAAGAGTTTGTAAGGGTGTCGATGAAGATACTTGAGTCGTCGCCGATAGAGGGGCTAGGACGACGATGTTAGCAATCTGGGCAAAATATCTTTGTAGGGTCGGATGACGCAAGGCCCTAATAACCCTATGACTGCAAAGAAAAGGATTGTGCGATCTTGAATTCAAGACTATTTCGGTTCCAGAATCAAGGGGACAATGTCAAAGCTCGCCGGCGCATTGTAGATAGTTCAAGGCATCTTAGCAGACAGGGCTGATGATGATCTCTGACCGATTGAAGACGACGTGGGATGTGCGGGACTTCCAAAATGCCTGGAGATCATCGGGCGAGTCGAGATACGTCGAGTCTGCCAAAGATTGAGACCTCTTGGGTCATCCGGAAAGATCCCCTCGACATATAGGGATCCTATAGGATGGAATTTGAACTCGGCGGACGCCCAGCCTTGACACGACGAAGGATCTGAAATGGGGACTAGGAAGAAGGGTAGACACATACAAGCCATGGTAAGCAGGCCCCCCTTGAGGCAGATACTGTGATCGTGGTCAAATAAAGAGCGTGGTGCTGAAACGATGTTGTAGTTGGGGGGGGAAGAGTGAATATTGTAGTTGTGGAGATGTCACGATTTGGCAAGGTAAGACGAGGCAGCCTTCAAGTTCAGGACATAACGAGCACATCTGCCAAAATTGTCTCGCTTACTAGCGCCAACCAATGACACAAGGGCAAAGTGGTCTTACTCAGTTGGAGATTTCAACTTCAACAATAAATTCGCAGTTCACAAATATTTCGACGGCAATATCAAGGGACTAGCAGGAAGTCCACGCCACCTATCCTTTGTGCGATCATCGAACCCTCTCTCTCAAGAGGAGTCCAGTCTTCGATAAACAAAATCCCACGACATCCCAGTCCGGAGCCAACAAGATGGCGGACAAACTCACGCGGTGCGTTCACAACCTTCTGCAACCTACGGAGCAGAACAGTAGCCGCGGGCTTCTCGTAGCTTTGCCTTGAATTTTACTGACAACCTGGTTTTATGCAGTATCGCCATCATCAGTACGGACAAGGTGCGACTCTTTGCCACTGAAGCCCTACCCCACTACTACCCCGCATCCGACCAGATCGATAGCTAACAATACGTTCCTCAACTAGTGTAAACCGAAGGTATATACAAACACTGTGCCTGTCTATACCTGGATCGTGCGCTAAGTGGATTTTCACAGAAATGTCGACAAGAATGCAAGAAATCTTGCCCGGTTGTGCGAAGCGGACGTCTTTGCATAGAAGTTACTCCCGAATCCAAGATTGCGTTCATCTCTGAGACTCTATGTATTGGATGTGGTATCTGTCCGAAGAAGTGCCCATTCGGAGCGATCAATATCATCAATCTGCCAACAAACCTTGAATCTCATGTCACGCACCGATACTCAGCCAACAGCTTCAAGCTTCATCGATTGCCCACACCGCGCCCTGGACAGGTCTTGGGTTTGGTGGGTTCCAACGGTATTGGAAAGAGTACTGCGCTCAAGATTCTGAGTGGCAAATTGAAGCCAAACTTGGGGAGGTATGACAATCCTCCCGATTGGCAAGATGTCATCAAATACTTTCGAGGTTCTGAGTTGCAGAGTATGTCCCACAAATGTCCCACTCTTGCTCGTAATCTAATGAACATGTAGATTACTTCACCAAGATTCTCGAAGACGACCTAAAGGCCATTGTCAAGCCCCAATACGTTGACCGTATCCCTAAAGCAATCAGGAGCGCAGACAAGACCGTCCGAACCTTGATTGAAGCTAATGCTTCGATGGACAACATGGACGAGGTTCTTGATGTCCTTGGTAAGAATATAGATCTCGAAATCTCGCCTTCAGACTTCTAATCCGTATGGCAGAGTTAAATCACATTATGGACCGAGATGTCAACCTTCTGTCTGGAGGAGAACTTCAGAGATTTGCTATTGGCACTGTTTGCGTACAGCAAGCCGATGTGTATGTTATGCAACCTCATGGAACTATTCTTTTGCTAATATATTTCAGCTACATGTTCGATGAGCCCTCATCTTACCTGGATGTCAAGCAACGATTGAGTGCCGCAAAGATAATCCGTTCGCTCTTACGCCCAGATGACTACGTCATCTGCGTCGAGCACGATCTCTCTGTCCTCGATTATCTCTCTGACTTTATCTGTGTTTTGTACGGAAAGCCGGCCGTCTACGGTGTTGTGACACTCCCTGCATCAGTACGAGAAGGCATCAACATTTTCTTGGACGGTAATATTCCAACAGAGAATTTGCGTTTCAGAGAGGAGTCCTTGACTTTCCGTATTGCCGAGGCTGCCGATGAATTCATGGCTGATCGATCACGTGCTTTCCACTACCCCTCCATGGAGAAGACTCTAGGAGGTTTCCATCTAGGTATTGAGGCTGGTGATTTCACTGACTCGGAGATCATTGTTATGATGGGTGAGAATGGAACTGGCAAGACAACTTTCTGTAAGTTGCTAGCTGGAGCCCTGGCCCCAGATGGCAATCAGAAGGTGCCTGGTATGAAAGTTAGCATGAAGCCTCAGAAGATTACACCAAAATTCGAGGGCACTGTTAGACAACTCTTCTTCAAGAAGATCAAGACGGCATTCCTTCTTCCTCAGTTCCAGACCGATGTCGTCAAGCCTTTGAAACTTGATGAGTTTATCGACCAGGAAGTTAAGACTCTTTCAGGAGGAGAATTGCAACGAGTGGCCATTGTACTTGCTCTGGGACTTCCAGCAGATATCTATCTCATCGATGAGCCTTCCGCATATCTGGATTCCGAGCAGCGTATCATTGCTGCACGAGTCATCAAGCGCTTCATCATGCACTCGAAGAAGACTGCCTTCATTGTCGAGCACGATTTCATCATGGCAACATACCTTGCGGATCGTGTCATTGTTTTCGACGGTCAGCCAGGTCTCAACGCTCGCGCAAATGCCCCCGAGTCTTTGCTCACCGGCTGCAACAAGTTCTTGCAGAACCTTGACGTTACTTTCCGTCGGGATCCCTCCAACTACAGACCTCGTATAAACAAACTCAATTCACAGCTTGATCAAGAGCAGAAACTGGGAGGAAATTATGTAAGAGAACCGGCCAGGCGAGGTTGGAGAAAGATGCTAACTTTGATCATAGTTCTTCTTGGAGGACGATAAGAGTACTACTGCCTGAAAAGGGCGTCCCAACTGATTCACTCCCCCCCTCGAATGATGCATTTTCAGGCGTTACAGGATCAGCATCAAGGAGAGCACAGCATACTGGGATTCAGGGACTAGATGAGGAAGGCGCCTCATGCGATGATGACGACCCAGATGACTAACGATGGCGACGGCAGTCTACCCCTGTTGCCTGGTCCTATTTTGATTACTACCTTTTTTTTGTAGCATAGGTAGCTGATCAGAGTAGATTGAGGGGCAATGGATCAAGTGAGTGGCTGCCGTCCATTTCATGGAATGATCTCATGAAATCAAATTGAGGGGAAAGTAGAGGCTATGGAATTGGCATTGCTTATTTACATAGTGGGTATTATGATTTTTATGCAGCTGATGGTCAAGATAGCGAGACTGTCTGGACTTGTAGGAAGGAAAATACACACCAAAAGTCGTTGATCTCGAAATCAATCCACTTCAACTCTATCTGCGTGCTGAACCCACGTGGCTGTATGCCCTCTGCCGAAGTCATCATGCCATGAAAGCGTGCTGGTGTGCAATACGTACAAGTCTTTCCCCAAGCAAGCAAGAGCCAGCTAACTGATCTACTCTTCTTCAATCTCGCCTTCTTCACTACCTGAATGTACAGCCGGTTCTTCTTTTGGCGGTATTGCCGGGGGAGGCGTTCTAGTTCTGTGACGTCGTTCACGGGGAGCTGGGATCGGGGAGCGCTCACGTGGTGTGATCTCTCTCCTTGTTCTCTGTATTTGTCTTGGTTAGAATCATGACTGTTATCGAATGATTGACACAATGAAACGGGAGTTCGTTTCTTTCGTAAAGAAAAATAAAATAAAAAGGAATATTCAAGGAAATAATGCCACGACAGGTACGCCCCCCCAATTAGGAGCAGGTAAGGGTTGCCGCAGGAATTGAAGCAATTCAAGTGAGGCCTGTCAGTTATGAACTATCATAATTGATGATGGAGCCTCTGCGTTGAGCTTGCAGCTTCGGAATTGACATCAATAACGCTGGACATGCGACTAACCTTTGCTACCCTTGTGCTTCCAGCACTTTCGCCGTCACTATCAGCTCTTCGTCGTCTGCTCGGTTTCTCGTCGCCCCAAGGTAATTCATCGATGCTTCCTCTCGGGTCACCTCTGCGGCGGTAGAGTTTCTCACGCTCATCCTCTCTATCTCGTCGTTCGCGGTCATAGTGGCCCATTGAATCGTCGCGGCGGCCTCGGTATGGTCTATCGAGATCACGATCTCTTTCGCGGCCGCGATCGCCTCTACGGCCAGGAGACAATAGAGTATCTGCGACGCTAGCCTTGCGATAATTCTTTTCCCGGTCGGCGATTGCCTTTCGTCTATCTGCTTCGTATGCATCTGGCTCGGGGCTGCGGCTTGTCCTAGCATGACGTCCACTTGGGCGATGTGATCTCTCACCTCTGTCTCGGTCACGATGGATAGGTCTATCCACTGAAGCTCTATCACGGCGTTTGAGACGATCCCTTTCTGCGTCCTCTTCCTTTTCTTTCAAACGTCTGATAACTTTGTCAAACGCAGAACGACGCAGCTCATCGGATGATACAGCAAGATACTCTTCAGACCTCTCGATGCGTGGTAGAATCCTCTCGAATGTATCATCAACCCGGACAGGAGGTTCAAGGTGCTTAATCAGGGATCTAAGTGCATCCACAGCACGACGTTGCAGACGCTCAGCTTGGTGCTTATCGTCTTCTCTTCGCCGGGATACTTTCTCATGAAGCTGTATACTAATTAGCAAATGCATAAAACAATATGATACGATATGACTTACTCGCTCGAATATCAGTGATAAAGCATCTCGATCAATGTTAGCAGTCCGTCGATCATTCTGCATTAAGGTAAGGAACTCCTCAAATGTAGTCTTCTGCTGAATTTCAAAACGTTTATCCTGACATGTAGTTAGCTTTGTATATCAAGGATGCATTAGGAGATTGACATACATCCAGGACATCCAAAACATCGTTTCGGGTGCTTCGCAAGGCACGTTCTTCTTCCTCAACCATATCCCAGAAGAGATCGAGAGGGGTCGATCCTGACTGACCAAGCATGGCTGTGTATCTCTCATCTGATGCGATTAATGGGTATATTTTGCTCCATTTTGATCCAGCCTTGATCTTGTTATTCCTCTTGAGCTCTTGCAGCAGCTCCAAGAAACGATCCCGGTTTTGTCGTTCTCTGCGGGACTTCTGGTTCTTCTGCTGTTGGCGAGCATCATTGAAAGTCTTTTCGAGAGATTTGATATGATTTTCAAAAGCAGTCAACATGTCTGACTTGCTGAGTGCCTTGAATTTCTGATCACCTTGAAAACGTTGATTTGACTGGATGATACCTTGTGCCTCAGACCACCTTGTATATGGCTCTAAATTAAGACTCCTGAGAATTTCGACAAGCTCGTCCATCGCAGCTTTTCGAGTGCTTGCTTCACGCTCGGCATTAGCTTTCTTGAGTTCAATGATATAATCTTCGAATAGTTGGCGCCGTTCATCGTCATCATCCGTAGAACGAAATATAGTTTCTCCTTCAATTATTGGTCGTGCTGTCTTCCAGCGTGTGTAATGTTTTATCTCTGGATGGCTTCTCAGCATTGTAGCAAAATCTGTTCGGAGCTTTTCAAGTCTCTCTTTTGCCTTGTCTTTTTCCTGAAGTCGTACCTCCACGGCGTATTTCTCAAATGCTGCTTTGCGATCTTTGGGATCCTTCAGAGCTCTGTATTGGGGATCTTTGATAATCGAGCGCATAGTCTTTTCCCAAGTCCAATCAGGGGAGACATTGGATCGGCGTAAAAGCTTGAGGAATGCTGCTTCTGCTTCTTCGAAAGTAGCATAATCAGGATCAGTATTCGCAGGGACAAAAGCTTGAGCACGACTTCCGCTGGTATCATTTCCATATGCAATTTGACGAGCCTCCCCCAGAGGCTCTTTTGCACGCGGCTGATCAAATTGTGAAGTTGAGAACCCTCCTCCAGCGACAAAGGTAGGAGCCCTTTAGAAATTAGCAATGCTGGGCGCAGAAAGAGGTCATGTTATAACATACGGTGCAACTGGTGTCTGGGTCGCATTTTCACTGGCCAATGCTTCCTTGTAAACCGCTGGCATCTCCCATGAGCTTTGCTTCGTTTCTGTGTTGTACCAGTACTTTCTTCCTCCCTCTGCGGTGTACTCCTTCCATGGTTGATTTGCGAGCGCACGCTGTGTCCCAGTTGTTAATGAGGTATTCGCGACGAACTAGGGACTGCATTCTTACCTCTGCCGGCGTCATTAACTCTTCGGGCTTTGTCCATTGTGTAGCTTTGGTGATTGTGTTATAATAGTAGACGCGACCCTCGGGATTGCGCGCCTCCTGCCAGAGACCTGGCGGAGCTGCATGACCGTTGGTTCCATTTGTCCCGTTCATGATGGACTGTGTAGCAAATCCACACAAAACTTGTTGTTCAAAGGGAGGATGGTGAAGGCAGGAGAAAATAAAGTTCGCAGGAGCTTCTCTCAGCCTTCCAATTCGCTAGCGCGATTTTGGAACCCAAGGCAATTTAATTGGTAGACGAGTTCAGCTTGCCTTCAAGATAACCTCGATTTTTCAGCCTAGTTGTCCCTCTCCTAGAAACGAAGACGAGATTATAGCTTTGAAAGCATCCTGCGAGCCTCATACTTTGGTACTATTGTCTCAGCATGTAGCAAGCTCTAATTCTGGATATCCTCTCGCCTCCTGTTTTGCAGAACTAGCTGTCACGCTGTCAACCTCAGTTGCACCCCTACGAGGCGCGGATTCTCTATCGCCGGCCGCTCGACTTCTTTCGCATTAGGTCCTTCTGCTATGATGGCTGAATCAAGGGAAGAGGAGGGGCGCCCCCGGGGAAGTCTTGAATTCGTTGAGAGTTCTGTACTATATACGATTATCCCCTTAGCAAGTGATCTCGACATTGAAGAGGCATTGAATAGGTCTGCCGAAGACCTTCATGGTGGACACGATTCTCCCTTCGCTGCTATCCCACAAAGGCAGACGCTCTTTTTTGGTTAGTATCCTAAACAACCATAGAGGCTCTGTGTCTTACTCATTGCTAGATCCTAGATGAAACCGTCGACGTCTACGTTGTACTACAAACCCCCTATTTCGACGAGAGGGCATTACGATCATATCTTGGGAGGCTTGTCATAAATCTTGAGGCGCAGGTCGTCAATGCCCCAACGGAAAACCATGAAGGTCCGTTGGGACAAGAACTCGTATACCATGGCTCTGTTCAGGACAGTGAAGACCCGTTGATCATCGTTCAAGGACATGATGAGACCGAAAACAAGCTTGGAGAGGGTCATATACTTATAGCATGGAAACTATCGGCATTCCTCGTCAGACCTCGACTTCGTCTTCAAAATCCATCAGTTGTCTTCTCTGCGACGGCAGGTCTTAAAGCTGCTGAACAGGTACAAACTGAAGTTTTAAGAGATGAATATCTTCCGAGCCAAGTTCCAGCCGGCATGAATCTCTTAGAATCGTTCGGCGATGATCCATCTCTTGGAGATGTGAAACCACGACTCTCTGCTCTCAGAGTATCACGAGTTGCACCAGGAGGTCTTGCAGGCAGAGAAATGATGCGGCCGTTAAGGAATGTCTCTCGTCAAGCAATCAAAGTATATCCAGCAATCAACGCACGAGTGAAATATTCACGGCCTGGTATGTCGCCTACGAATCCCTCAGTGATAGCCTCGTTGGATGTCGATATCACACCTTTCGCTGGTTGCGAGATCATGCTTACGAAAGTCCAACTCGACGTTACTGGTGGTAGTATAGAAGACCTCAATACCGCCCCAGGGATGAAACTACCTATCACGGGTCTTCCACAAGACGATATCACTTTCCTTTATCGAATAACGCCCGATGATTTAGATGTGACGAACAAGACTCTAATTCGAGCTCTTGATATTTCAATAGCAGCCACCGCAAATTGGTCTGCAGTCTGCAAACCCCAGATTTCGATGAGTTGGACAACCTCTCTTGACTTCACACCCCCAGTCAATCCGGGCTTCGGTCTCCCCACGCAGCCCATTCAACGATCACACCGCCCCTCTCAACTCTCAATCGGTGGCTCGACCTTTGAAACGGTTCCAACAGTCTCCGCCCTAGCCAGCACTCGGCCAGATGCTCTCCCATCTGTAGATATCACAACCCGCCAACAGCGCAATTCGTCCATACCCGATTTCGGTGTAACCATGACCTTCGTCGGCCCATCCAGCGAGAACCCCATATACCCAGGCGTTCCCTTTTTCTGGTCCATCTTCATTGTGAACCGCTCCGACCGACCCCGCAAGCTCGCTCTCATCGCGCTCCCCAAGCGCCGGCGGACCGAGGCCCGTATCACGCGACCCCCGTCGACCGGCCATGCCAGGCAACGCAAGGATCCCAAGATTGCGGACGCCGTCGTCGACGAGAACATTGTCTATGCGATGCAGCGCAACTCCGCGGTCGAATCTACCGATATCGTCTGTCTAAGCAGCGATACTCGAGTGGGGCCCTTAGCCCCATCGTCGTGCTACGAGGTGGAGCTCAAGTTCATGGCTTTGAAAGTCGGCATCGTGAGCCTGGAGGCTGTGAGGGTGGTGGATTTGGGGACGCAAGAGCATGTGGATGTTAGGGATTTGCCGGATATAATTGTATCCTCACCTCTGAAGGCACAATGATAACTACCTATCAGGGGTTTCCCCCTTTTTTTACACGAGTTGAGCAGCCGGTGTAAAGTAAAATGTGACTTTTATGCAAATACTTCCAATATCCCAAAACCTCCTTCCAGTACAATAACTAGATTTTAGTGTGTTCGAAGGCCTAGGAACTATCTTGGACTGTGAAGGAAGTAAGGTAAGTGCTGGAAGGAAAGTTATGTGAGTGATAGATATATAGGTGTTTTGTGTTTGGTGGGGGGGGGATTGGCAAAGAAAGATGGAAAGATGGGATAGATTCAGCATGATGGTATGAGCGCATGGCACACTTATGAGTTCAACATGCTGATGATTCACCAACATGTCTTCATTCCTAATCCCATGAGTTGTAAATATCCGATGATGATGTATATTTCTTGTGATTGATTCTTTCATGGGACATAGATAAGGTATACTAGAGAGAGGACTGAAATGAAATAGAAGAATGCTTGTGGCGTGGCTTGAGGTTATGATGAGAAAGGAATTGGAATTAGGTATGAGGAGGTAGTTGCTTTTTTCATTGAAGAGAAAGAGAGGGGGGGGGGGGAATGGATGCGCAAGATGGTTTTTGGACCCCCCCTGGGGGGATCACGTTGTTGAGCGAAGCTTCAACCATCGATATCAAAGAGGAAAAAGAAATCCATGACTTATTAAAAAATACGTTAAGATTTATTCTGCCCCGGAGGGTCTATATACCATTATCTAAGCTAAGCATGGGCAAAAATCATCAAGCAAATGGGGGTATCAAAGAACGAAAAATAAAATAGCTCCAACCAAATACGCCCCCTAATAAATAGATAAATAAATAGATCTGCTTTGTGATATCCCTGATATCCATGCCGGTCTTGACAAATGAGATTTGGTTGGTGTGTGGTGTTTCAATGTCTGCGTTATTCCGTACTTCATATTCATAGAGCTCTTGCTTCGCCATCGAGGATTCTCCGCGCGGCATCTAAGCGGCGTCTCCAGGATCTCGCCTCATAACTGCCCCGTGATTCCTGCAAGCCTAGGACACATGCCCCGAGACTGGCCACGAGCTGCTCTACCAAGAGCCGGTCTTCTTTCTCGAGCATGTGTACTGGTGATTGATGACCCCCATTACGTTGGCTGTCGGCCAATGATGCAGAGTCACTGAAAGAGCGATTGGAACGAGTATCCAAGGTACCGTTCGAAGACTGCTGCTGCTGGGATTTCGGCTTATTAACAAGGGGAAAGCTCCGGGTTGTGCCTGTGGAGCCGGAGTCGAAGGACGCAACAGAAGGTCGGTGGATGTTCCTACCGTTCCGCCCTTGGGGGTTATGGATCGCGGAACCAGGCCTTTGTTCTTCCTCTGGGGCTCTGTTTCCGTCTGATAGAGACCCAAATGTCAAACGTTTGGTACTCACGTGTTGAACAGCGTAATCATGATCCTCATGGTCACCATTCTCAGATTCTAACCCCTCTGTGGCAGTAGCAAAGGTGTTGATTGTTGAGATTGACTGTGCACTCTCAGATCGCAGATGGCCAAAGGGATCCCTTGGACTTTCGCTACGCTTGTTCTCGCCATTCATTGGTCGGGCAGGGGGTCCTCGAGTAGTTTCCGCAGAGTCAGTAGAACTGATGCTGTCTCGTCTGAGAGCTTGCTGACTGATTGTTCCCATTGAACTGTGGAGGAAGAAATGCTCATAGTCGAATGCATCTTCCCGATCCTCATGAGATATGGTAGTGGTGTCATAATAGAGCGACGCATCGCTCTCGTAGTCAAGTTCATCATCGTAATCATTGTCGGGGCCCTCTTGATCACCGTCTTCTGCTGTTGTATGGAACGATTCCCCATCGTCTAAGGTCTGGGGATCATGGTTACTCGCTGAGTCTTCTGTGGCATGATAACCCTCGCTGACATCCTCATAGGCGCTCGTGGCTTCAGAGTTTGCATATTCAGGAACCGGAGTCGCAGCGCTCTGCCCAGCATGATGTAGATTACCATCAACGGTGTCCTCTCTCGGCTCGAAAAACCCATCCTTCAACGGAGAATGTCCAATCCCTGCATCAGCACTGAGGCCTGGCATGGCATAGCTCTTAGCAGCACTATACCACTGCTCAGCAGCGGTAAAAGGGCTGGGAGTCCTTAAGCTTTGCAAGCTTCGGCGTTTCATAGTATCATCCCGAGCGCGGTCCCGCAAAACCGACAATCTCCCTTTCAAATCATGCATCTGGTCCCGTAAATCTCGCATTTGCATGGAAGACGTTGATCGTGTCAGACCTATATGTTCGCTAGTCGGATCATGATACCCTTCTTCCAGATTAGACCTCATGCTAGTACGATCCACCTCGAGTTCAGGAACAGTGTCACGTTCGCTCAATGGTTCAAGGTGCACGCCATGGGGGGATGATCTCTTGCTCAATGGCGGCGAAACCCCAGAATGTTTGGTCTCCTCTCGAGCAGTCCCCGCATTCTTGTTTAAAGGGGGTGATACCCGGCTGCTCTCAGTGACATTTCTGCCTATATACTGAGCTGCTGCACTTGCGGACCGAACAGGGAATGGTGCGGTTCGAAGAACGGAGGGAGTCGATGCGATCGATGTTTCACTGTAAACTCTCGAGTGCCCTGGGCTTGTGCTATGTGATTCACCCGGCTTGTGGGACTGAAGGTTTGCCGTAGGTGTCATACCAAGTTGGGGTGATGTAAGACGATCGTTTTGAGGGGTTGGAGTCGATCGAGATAATGGACTGGTGACATGTATAGAAGATATTGAGCCCGAAGGTGTGCTATAAAGGGGGCTTCGGGCGCGCGAGAGATTGCCCTCCATATTCTACATTACACATTAGCACTCTTGAAGTTTACTGGACGGTTATCAAAGGAGGCCCAGCCTTACGTTCAGTCGCCTCTTGGCATTTTGTAGAATTTCTTCCGCCCTTCTGCTCAAGGCGGCGCTCGAGTTTGGGTCATCGTCAATGCCGTTCTGATTTCTCGATAGTCGCTCTGTCTCCATCGCAAACACTTCCTCGCTATAGGAGTCGGCGATGCTCTCCTCATCATCACCCTGAAAGTTGCTGTCATCCACACTAACTCCATCATCATCAAAGTCCTTGAATAACTCGGCTGGCGGCGGCCCGTCATCAGTGATTGTGCTCGTTGATCCTGTCGAAACCTTTCTCTCGTGCGCCACCGGTCTCGTTCGCTTTCTTGCATTGTGCCCCAGTACCGGGCTAGGTCGGAGGGGAAAGCCTTGCGCCTGCTTGAGGAGCCTTCTCTCTGCTGGTCCCGGCAATTTTCGCCCAACTGTACTCTCTGCCTCTGTCACCTCGCCAATGTCTGATAGCATGGTTCCATTCCCGTATATTATCGGCGTGGTGGGCATCACAGTGCCCAGATGGGTATGTGGAGGTCCAATTGAGAACTGCATGGTCGCTGGGTCGGAGCCCCTCCACTCGTCGACGGATGAAGCTGATCGATAAGGAGGGGAATTCGTGGAATCGTACTCGCCGTAAGGAAGGATCATATCGGGGTTCGTGAGCGTAGGGGAGGCGGGCAGGGAGGGATATGCCGCCATCGCAGCTGTAATGGTCTCCGTCTGCTGCATCTTGCCGATCCGATGCAGATGGATGACGCCTTGATGTTGACGGCTGGACGGGCCTGGCGTTTGTACACTACAGTACACTCTGTCGTTTGGTACAGCAATTGGCAATTGTACGCCGGTACCTAGCCGTTGGAGGCCCTTTTAGTGGACTCCGAACGGTATAGCACTGTCCAACGCCCTCCAAGGGGTGAAAAGCAAGGGTCGCGCGACTCAGGCTGTGAAGAATCGTCGGGGGGGCGGGACTGGGTCGGCAGATACGAGGCGGAACAGCCAATGATAAACGCTCAGGTCCTGGATGGAGGAATCGTGATCGTGGTCGTCGCTGCACGGGTGAAAAGCCACGCGAAGGAAGCAAAGCAGAGCAGAAGAGAAAAAAAGATTGTGGCAGGTATGGAAAAGCCGATCTCGAACTTTTCAGGGAGATGGAGGGAGGGAGAGCGACAGGGGCGATACATTCCTTGATATATGATATTCCTCCGCATTAGCTACATCTGGACATGTAGCTCTACGGAAGATGTTTTGCATGGTGTGGCTCACCGTACGGCGTGCTCTGTCAGTCACCGCCTACCGGGGCGGCAGGAGTCAGCACCGGCAGAAAAAGGCGGCAGAACAGACCGAGGGAGCGGATCAGGTCTAGCGCTGTCATGAATATAGCCAATAAGGTGCCTGGCATAGATGCGGGCAAGGGAGCCGCCCTTGAAAAGGCGGTGTAAGGTGATTTAGGTAAGGGGAGATCACGTAGGTTGACCGTTGTAGGTACTTCGTACCTAGGTACTTCCGAGCCTCTCTCCGCTCACTGCTCAGGCTCTCAGATCGCTCTCGAGCCTCCACGCTCCCTGATGTACTGTACTCTGCAGACCCGTAATATGGATTTGTTTCATGTTGTTTCGATGACAATTTGCGTTGTGTCTTAGCAAAGCACCATAAAACTCGTCCATCCCGTGAAGGATTCTATACCTACCTTACCTTACCTTACCTAGGTTTAGTCACGTGACACAATGAATCGGCCAGCTATGGTATCTAAAGAGTATAATGTAGTTGAGGAAGATTCCAAGCTTCTTTATTTATGGATCTCACGTTTCCAGAATCCTGGACGTACTCCGTAAGTGGTACTGTGGCAGTTGAACAGTAGTCGTAGCTGTACGGAGAAGCAAGTACAGTGCTCCGTACGGAGGTACCGAATACCAGCCCCCCTGCCCTTGGGGAAATTATTCGACGGGCCTGAATCGCCTGATACCATTGGTCAGAGAAACATCCAAGGCTCCAACGTCTGCCGTGGGACAGTGCTTGAACTTCCTATTCCAGCTCGCCGGCGTGTGGGGATCGGTGTCAGAAAAGGTTATCCCAACCCAAATCCGAGCCAGTGGTGAGTCTGGCGGGGTAGAAGTTTACGTTGTATATAAAGAGAAGGAGGGGGAGTCTTGAAGTGGAAGATAGAAACAAATATTATAACTGATTTGCGAAAACCTTGACCTCACTTCTGGCATTTCCTGAACTGAATCGTCATGGCTCGTGAGGACTTCGTTCTCGCGCCCTGCCTTCCTGAGGACATCGACCAGATGATCGATGTCTACCTGAATGCCTTCAAGGATGACTACTTCGGCTCCTTCACCTTCCCTCGATCCAACATCCCAGAAGACGAGATGTATCAGTGGCTCCGCAACCGCTTTCTTAAAACCCTGCGCACGCCTGAATATCGCTGCTTCAAGGTCACGGAGGTGAGCACCGGCAGGATAGGTGCGTGGGTGCGATGGCAATACCCTCACACCCTTAGCGAGGAGCAGAAGGCCGAGAAAAAGCGTGAAAAGGAGAGGGAGGAGAGAGAGAAGGCTGAGGGGAAGTTACAAAAATGGCCTCGGGGTGCGAATCTGGAGGTTTGCGATATCAAATTTGGGTGGTTGGACCGCATGAGGGAGAAGAATGTGGACGTCGAAAACATGTACGGTACGTCTAATTCTTTCCCAGAATTATGTGAGGAAAATGATAGTTGACCTTTGAATAGTGATATTATTATTGATGACAGACCCAGCATATCAAAGGAAGGGTCTGGCTAACATGCTATTGAAACATGGGCTCGCACTCGCAGATGCCGAGGGTCGGAAAGCTTATATTGAAGCAACACCGGCCGGACATCCTGTCTATAAGAAGCTGGGCTTCCAGGATATTGATGTCCTGAGTGTGGACTTATCAAAATGGGGCGGGACGAAGCCAGGGACGAATACCATTATGCTTCGAGATCCGCAGCCGGTCTGATATGTAAAGTCTTGTTCGAGCATTTCCCCTGTAAAACATGGTTTCTTCAACCATAGACAACGTGCATATGCGAAGCAGAGTACCGAACAAGTCTCATTCGGGGAGAAGCCTCCTACCGTTGGGGTTTAATGACATATTCGCTGCTCCGGCGGCCTCCATGGCACGCCCAGAGCTGCAAAAATCTTCCTCTCATCTGCGCTCTCAATCAGTGTTCCCTCGGTCATCTTGACTCTGCCAGGCCCTCTCATAACATCTTTGTAAAGACCTCTCTGATTCAGCCGCCATCCTTTTCGACTTGACAGCAATCGAATGCTGCGATTGAAGATATCATCACCAGTAAAATATATCAACGCCGCTCCTAGTTGAGTCTCTGGAACAAGCAGGAAGTCTATCCTTCTCCAGATCGGTTTTGATGCACCGGGGAGGACGCAACAACCGTGCCATTTCGATCCGCTCTGTGAAGGCACCGAAAGCGCGGCTACCAGAAACTTGCTCTCCGTGAGTTTACTGATTAGCTGATTGAGGAAACCCAACAGCTCTTGGCTGGAAGACGTGGATGGCTTGGTCAACAAGCAATCAATATCTCCAGAACTGGAAGCCCCACGCCTATAGCTTCCACCAATTATTACCTCCACTTTTGGATCAAGAGCAGCAGCGGCAGCGCTGACGACGTTTCCAAGAGCGGTAACCTCATCTCGAGGAATCCGCGTCAAAAAATCATCATAATGTTCGATCCCCAGTCGCTGATTGTCGGTTAAGTGGGCATGAGACTTCAGGTCTTCGAGAGTCTTATGCCCCTGTTGAACCCACTTCCAAGCCTGGTTGATCCCAACGCCGTAGATATTCATAAAGAGTTGTAGGGTATGATAGTTGGAATCCATCATGGCATTTTCAAGCCTCCGCAAGCCATTCGTGAGCACTATCTCCTCAATCTTCAATGCTAGTCTGTTCCCAATAGTCGGAAGATTTAATGCTTCCTCATAGGTAGCTATCTTGTCGGTCTGCCTACGCAGCGTTCCGATAGCTTTTCGATATGCTGTCTGACGCCAATGGTCTTTGGTCTGGACATAATAGTCGGCCATCTTTTGGAGCACTTCAATTGTTCGCGCATTTGGGTTCGATTCAGGGGTAACACCCGTCCCTCCAGTCATGCAGGTGAATTTATCCTGATTGAACGGACCTTTGTTAGAGCCCCTGAGCTTTGATTTGGGGGCACTCCGAGAACTTGGGCGTCGAGGCTCATCATCTGACCCTGAATCGTCAGGATCATCGCAAGACGGGGGTCTATCATCCGCATGATCATCTTCTTCGTCGTCAATGGGTACATCCTTCATACTTCGTGCGACTTTGATCATCTCATCCAGTTCGTCCCTCAACCAGACAGACTCCGGCGTCTCACATATTATACCCGCATGGTGAGATGTCTCCTGTGGGCTTTCCGCCACTACAGAGTTCGTATGAGTTGTATTTTGTGCTAACCAGACGCCTTCCGATGATTCGGGCAATAGCTCCCTCGCGTTTTCCTTTCCTTGACTTACTTGTGTTGAGTTTTCACTTCGAGGTGGTGTTTGGTTTGGAGGATTGTGGTCCCTCGTTCCCGGGTTTCTCTTTGATGCTTTGAGCTCAAGTGATTTATTAGATTTCTGCGAGGTCGTGTCTGGTGTATTTTCTTCTTGGAGAGTCTCCGGATGTCCATCGATAGCATATAGTTTCTGCCTTGGATCGAGCAAGAATCGACACTTGATCGAGTCAATAGGATATTCTTCAGACACCATAATTGTATTCGATGGTAGCGTCTCAAGTCTCAGGAATGCCATCACATCCTTGAAGGTAATACCTTTATCAACCACAATATGGGTCGTAGCTGGTGTAAACTCCCTCGTCCAAGTTGCACCAAATTCCCTTGCCTTGTTAATTCGAGTTCGCCGTAAGGGCGCCTTATCGTCGGGTGGGATGTAATAAAATATTTGGCCCTTGAAGATCTGTTCGTCTTCGGGCACGAGCTTGATCGAAGACTCCTTGCGCAATTTCTTCTTGGCATGCAACGGTTCCAACCCAGTGCGATTTCTCTTCCCGAGCATTGACTCAATTCCTGTGCTATAATTTAATACCAAAGTGCCTGTTCCCAAGGTGGGACTTGAAGCAGTGCGTTGTACTACATGGAGATTAGGTTCCGGAGTATCTTCTACGACCGGTATTTCTGACGACAGCAGTGCTGCCGACTCAGAGCGACCTAGCGAAGACAGACTCGGAGGAAGGGGTGTCTCCTTAACGAGACTTGCACTCGATAGTGGGGCAGATATTGTTCGTTGAAATCCTGGCATTTTGTTGATAGTAATGGGTGTGCGAATGTTTTGGGGCGGAAACTCCGACGAAAGGGCTTGGGGAGATGAGAGCTTCTTGCTCTTTCGGAAAACATCTCGAATATCGTTTGTATCATCTTCCTCGTCTGAGGTCTCATTCAGAGCCGAAAGCTGATCGAAGAATAATCTCTTTGCGCTCAACTTGGTCTTGTCGTGAGCCTGGTAGTTTCTATGTTAATCCGGGTGGATGTAGAGAGCGGACTATATTACTACCAGAGACTGACCATGTTTAGAATGCCCATGTGAAAGACAAATGGACTGCAGCCTTCGACATGGAGAATTAGATATTGTTCAGACAGGCATCACTTGGATAGCTGTATAATATTGAGATCGTTTGATCTGGGGCTTATCGGGCGGCTTATCGCCCTGAACGCTGACTAATCATCCAAGTGCGCTAAGCAAAAATCCAGAGGTTTCTCGAGATTTTGCGATGTGCAACAAAACATTTCCTCCCCCTATATCGCGAGCCACTCTAGCCCGACAAAAATTCCAAATAGGCTACACTACTATACAGATGTAGAACTACATGTCTATCATGATTTTATTTAGAATAGAAGACCGAAGTCGTGTTGTGCTATTGCGGATTTTGCGCTAAGAGAGCGCTGAGGTTCGCTTTCGGGGTGTTAGTTTGCCTGAGGCACATACTGGGCGATGGGACGAAAATCATGAGGACTTGATTTTCTATGCTACAAAACCCTGTTGCAGGATTCTTAATCGCTGAGAGTCTTGTGATCTTTTTATATTCTTGTTGACGAAGATTTAGTGATTTTCAACGACCTCGCAATTAACCCCTTTCAAAGTTTCATACTTGTCGAGGTCTCCAAGTTCAGGAACACTTTAAGTACTAGGCAGTTCTGTTGACTTTAACCTGATTATTGCTAAATCTTTGGTTAACCAAGTATCAGAAATGGTAGTATTGAGATAGGATGGTCTTGTATAATTCTATAACAATCGACTTATCATAGTCTCTTAGCAGCATTCCAGGATGGCGATCGGCCATACCAATAACTCCATCAATCTCAAACCTTCACTTGTGGGTTCACGAGAGTCAAACGACAAAGTTCTGAGACAACGTGTTCGTAAGTCTATAACAAAGGAATCTGACCATCCAACAGTCGTCCCACCATGAAGCCAGGTTCCAGAGTAGCCAAAGTACTGAAAGCCAACAATCCAAAACACCGTCCACTGCTACCCTCCAAAAGAAACAATCTGTAGACCGACCAAAGTGCTGAAACCCCAACACGATAACTAAGCCAAAAGGCTAAAATATCTCCCACTGATACCCAGAAGATATCAAGCTGTCGACGAGCCGAAGCACCGATATTCCCAAGAACATCGAGCTATAGAACAGCCATGACACTCAAAGTCTAATGACAATACAACCATAAAATAGGAGGGAAAGAAGAATGATGTCCTGTCATTCGCAAGAACCTTTAACCGAAGAGCTCCATCTGACTTTCAAAACGGCCTTTTTCACCCCGCTCGGCTTCATAGCACTCCGAAGATCAGGACCAAGGCCATTAACCTTGCGAAAGGTTGTCAGCACTGGCTCAGGTAATTGTAGGGCTGGGATGTGAGATGCGCCGGCTTGAGAATTATGCAGAGAGTCATCATACACTCGTTGCTAGAAAGAATATCAGTATAACGATTTTTGAAACAACCAGATTGCATACCAGAGTGACTCGTCCCGGGCACAAACGGTGCATCAATCCTCCGTCAAGAGTGGCAGTTATGCATTGGCTAGGTAACCCCTGCTCCTCTGCCTCGACAGCATCCTCTCTGTCAAAGAGTTTTCGAGCAGTGCCGCGGCGAATAGTTGAACTTTTATTAAAGTAATAAGGGCATTTCGTTGTCCACGTTGGAGCTGAAGCCGAGCCTGTTTGCCGACGAACGCAGCTGATCATGGCAAACGATAATAAACAAATAACAGTGAGTCCGAATATCGAAGCCAAAACACCAAAGAGACTAGTTCGCATCTTGACATCCTCTTTGCACCGCGAAAGAGCATAGCCAGTAAGGTTGCGGCAACTGGTTTCCCAACGAGCAGGAAGTATGTTGCGAGGGAAAGGTGGCTTTGTATACGTGTTATGAGATATATTGGTCTCTTGTGGACCCGCTCGAGCATCGATGCATCCATGGCATTGATGGGTTTGGCCCTCATGCAGGTCATCAGAGACGGTGATGGTAGAATGTTCCAGCTTAACAATTGACTCTTCAAGATTGCCTACGGAACCCTCGCTTCTCGGTGCCACCTCAAGTTGGTGGTTTATGTTGGAAGGTTTAGTGAAGCATAGGCCATTAGTACACCCTCTACGTCGGCGATAGCTCACAGGCAGAAGAAAATTATTTTCCAAAACAGGATTATCATCAGAATTGAGGGAGTTGAAACTCTTTGAACCTGTATTCAGGCCATCTTTCTGTCCAAGATCTTGAGGAGAAGGCCGTATAGAACCACAATGGTTCACCGTGGGAGAAACCACGTGTTGAGATGGATAAGGATGAAAGAGCAGATTTGCAGCTTTGGCTAGGATGTTAGCCGCTGGTACCTGCTCGACGGTGGTGGTGGTATCATAGTGATGGTCGACAGAAGTAGCGTAATACAAGTTACTGTCGATAGACTGAGTGGTGTTGCAAGAGGAAGAGGCTCTGCGGGATTCGAGCATGGTGGCTGTTGGGTAGATGACGGCGAGGACTAGGAGTGCGAGACACACCCATCTGAGGGCCCAATTTCCGATGACCAAGTCGCTCATCTGAGTATGCGTACGCTTGCTCTCCATGGTTTGGGATGATCGCTGATTGAGATTAAGCAAATTGAAGATACTGGAGAGGCTGGAGACGGCTTACGGTTTGGATCGCAGAGGAGCGAATCGAAGTGGCCGCCTCGAGTCTCCGAGATACCAACACGTTTGAGGAGCAGAAGAGTAAGCGGGTTTCTGGTTTGAGGATGATGCTGATCTTGTCAGCGTTTGAAAGATGTATAGCTCTGTTGTGTTCGCAAAATGGGGGACGCTGAGTGAACAGAAGCGCAAGATGTTGATGATAGAGAGAAGAGAAGAAGAGTTGTCGAGAAATGGGAGGGGTAAGCAAACAGACAAAGGGCACATACATCATACGTAGGTAGACTTGTTCTCTGCGGAAAGGGCGACTGAATAAAATAGCATCCGGAGGACTGTGTGATCTCAATCCAGCACGGAAGGAGCATGTTTCGGCCAAAATGCTTCCCACGTAACTTTAAAGGGACTCAAAACCTTACCCTGCAGGAGTTCAAATGGCTCAGCATGACAACTGAATCATCAATGCCATTGGGATATCTACTGCAGACCATGCGTTGACTCTCCAAGTCCTCCTTGCAAAATATTTGCATTCACAAAAATGGAACCCATGTCCGACCAGTCATCAGGGACCACATTACCCATCGGGTCATAAACTGGCTGTTGGACGAAACTTGAAGCGCCGTGGCTATTTCTAGATATGTCATCCACGTGCTGCTTTCTTCGATGCAAGATACCAAGTAAGGATCCCGCCTGAGTCTCGAAACTTGACTGGAGAGCTTGGGCATCATCCCAGCGAAGGCCAAACGTCCTCAGAGTTTCCTTGATATGAGCAATACAGTTGATACTCCTATCGACATTATCACCTCCTGCGTTGCTTGGCAATGGCGGAGGTGGTGGGGATCCGGGAACGACTGGGGCATATGAAATGATGCCATTTAGGAGTTGATCTTGATTCTCCGCGAGAACCGCTAAGAATTGGCTGCCAATAAAGTATACTCGAAGTGCATCATGGTAGGTGTAAAATGCAGTATTAATGGGGCCTCTGCTGATTGGGAATATCTTCTCTATGTATGCAATGCTATATTCGAAAATCAGAGTCTTCCCATAATTTGATACGGACTGCACACGGCAGGATGGTGCAAGGCAGTAGACATAGCTGTATAGGAGCTCAAGGTCGAAGAAATTCTTGAATGCAAGAGGTAATGTTTCCGGGAGTGATTCGGCCCATTCATGCATCTCCTGGCACATTTGCCAGATATAGGTTGATGCATGTTGCAGAGGATCTCGACTAGACTGAAATAGTTCCTGATACCATGATGATTGTGCGTATCGTAGCTGGAACAGAAGCAAAGCAATTTCCAAAGAATGCGGTCTTGCTAGAGAATTTCCTGTCGCTTCGGATGAGGTTGTTGAAGTTGTGGGGGACGGATAGGCCACGCTTGTCGAGTCATCAGTGAATGAGAAGGCTCTGGCGTGAACCATGCTGATAGATCTATGGAATGTGAGTATTACAGACGGAAAGGAAATTGGGGTCTTTGGGGCACACCTATCTAACGAATATACGCAGTAAAAAAGTTTACGACGCATCTCCAAACTATTCTTGTCTGGTTGTTGTTCTTTTGGGGGATCTTGATGGAATCCTAGGTCTATAATGGCACGACATGCGAACCCGATCAATTGCCAGCTGTCAAAATGGGCGGGGTCCAGCATGGAGTATTGAACAAGCAGAACCAAGGCCTGGATCTGTGATACATATCCTGGCATGAGAACCTTATCCGCATACCGTAGAGCACGCCCAACCCATGCAAGACCATCCGCAGAGTATGCATCTCTACTACTTCGAGATTGAGCTGTCGAGGCAATGGCAAGAACCATATATAGAAGCCAATATTCGAACTCTGTGACAGGACGGCCATTCACTTGATAAACGGCATCAACGGCATTAAAGAGTGCAGTTTCAGGGAAGGCAGGAAATAGGACGAAAACGTTGTCCAGATAGTACTGGATCAGTGCCATTGCCTCGGCTCTTTGTGGGAGTTCAAAGGGGGTTGGCTTGGGCACCGTCTCGTTGTTCGACGCCGCGAGGATAAGACGGGCGAATGTCATGTTTGTGGTACTCGGTTCAAAATCCCGAGTGGTGGCATTAACTGAACTGTAGGTAAGATGTTGTCAGCATAGATATATGAGGCTTGCCAAAATACTAACAGAAATCCAAAATCCGACACGAGCTCATTGACATCCGCGGCTTCGCGCCGTCTGGCCGCCTTCCCATGGATAGCGGCACGAATGGTTGCAAGTGAGTCTTTTCGATCCGGTACCTGAGTTGGCTCATCCACATCGTGCATTGCTACTGAGGCCTTTCGAGACCTAGCATATGAAATTTTCCGCTCAAGCTTTTCAATGCGAGATTCTAGAGAAGCAACATAACTGGGACAAATTAGCCTAGAAAAGGATGGATTTAGACGCGTTTTTGACTAACCTCCTCTCTTTCCCTTTCGCAAATTGATCGTTGGCACTTGAACATTCGCCCGCCCTTCCCGACTTCTCGCAAGCAGTGCAGGCGGGCAATTTACCATCGCACTTCTTCTTATTAGTCTCAGCATTTGTACTAGAAACAGGAGCTTAGACCTTTATTTTTGCCGCGCGACCTAAAGACAAAGTCAGACGAGTCGTCGATGGGAATGATGGGAATGCACGGTGTGAACTCACACCTTGAGCAAGCAGAAACAGGTCTCGACACTCTCAACAACGGTGTATCCGCAGCGCTAGGGCGAGAAGGATGCATCTTTGCGAGAGAAGTCTCTTTTGGGTTTTATTGAACAGGTATACACTTCAAAATACCATGCGTCTCCGAGCTTTACAGACAGAACGTATCGTGTCAGCCTCGTGGCGCGCGAATGAGAATGAGAATAGGAATACAATGATGAAGATATGGTTGATAGGTTTGATTGATAGTGTCGTCAGATCTTCTTGGATTCTCTTTACCGACAGAGCACCTCTCTCTGGCTTTGATGAGGCGGTTGAGATAGCGTTGTTGTGCTGACTATCGCACCTGACTTCAAACAATCGGGACTTGCGGCGGTGGCTTGAAAACTGGATAAGAGATGTGTAGCCACGAAGGCTGGAACTCAGCAGCGTCAAATCTCTAATAAAGATAGGTGGCCAAATAGTCTAGACACTGGACATAAGTTCTGTCGAGCTATTTTTTTCTTGGGGCTAATAGAGTTGATCGAGGGAGTCTGAGGTCATGCGATGGCCGGGATATATTTACCTATTTACGGATACTTTGTGCATATATACATACACACACACGTGTACCTTATGTATATATATAAATCGAGCAATGAGGCCCTGACGACCATGGGGTACAGCTACCTAGGTACCTAGTAACTGGCCATCAATCTACCAACTATCCGACTGATGATCGGTCGAAGGCGTTTCAGAGCATCGGCAAGTCTCAACCTAAGCCCTCAGACAGACCTGTGCCGCATGCATCCCTCGTGGCGCGATAGCCCTCCGTACTGATGCTCAAGTATTCGCAACCATTCCTTACTAATACAAAGTGGTTGTGATAGGGCCATTGTTCCCACCGCCCAGCAGTTGTTGGATCGACAGCGGGGTCATTCTTCTCGAGTCCTAACCAGAACTTGAGTCGTGTTTCACGAGATCACACCCAAACTATTTATATACTTCACAACGAGCCACGCTGCGGCAATCAACCCGTCAGTCCGCTTCAGTCCGCCTCAGTCCACCTCTGCGTGAGCTCTTCTTGATGCGCATCCATTCCCTCCTGTTCAGCTCGATTTCTTGACGTCTGGGTGGTGATTATTATCTCGTGGGATTCCTGCTTTCCATTGCTTGTTGTACATAGCCCAGGCAGAGACAGGGAGGACGCTCTAGAATCTGCGTCATCGACGATGGTGAATCCAACGAGACCAAACCCCAGAGAGTCTTTTTCAACCGCACTCAGTTAGAGAGGTACAGCCGTGTCGATGGATGCCGCGGATTTGTTTCGGCAAGCTCAGAGCTCGGTCTACCAGGCTCGTCAGGCCAAATCGGTCCGGGAGAGTAGCCATGAAAGCGACGACCATTCGCCCAGAATCGCGCATACATTGACAGCGTGTTGCAGGTGTCGCCAGGTTCGTAGCTCCTGGTTTGCGTCCAGTGCTCAGATGAGGGTACTAATTGTTGAATCAGAGGAAGACAAGATGTGACCCCAACCTCCCCCGATGCCTTCCGTGTGAACGGGCCGGCGCTCAATGCGAGTATTTCGATACAACAAAAGGGAAGAAGATCTCTCGAACTTATGTCATCCGACTTCAAGAGAAAGTCCGGGCCCTGGAAGCGGAACTCAGCCAATATACGGAAGAAGAAGGGTTTCCACAGAATACGGAGGATATCGTACGACCTGGAGGACTTGTTCACCTAGGTGAGAATGACGAGACGCCTCGATTCTTGGGCCCCTCGAGCGGTATTGCAATGACGAGATTGGTCATGGAAGAGGCGAAGAAATATACGGATTCCAGGAGGATTCGGGAGCTCGTGCCCGAGGTTCGCCAGCGCCGACCTCCTACTATGTCTCCAGAAGCATCTACAGGGCGTAAGAAATCGTACCCTATGATTAGCGCGGTCCCAGCACCAACGTTGCCCGGCCGTTTGGTGACGGACAAGTTGGTAGAGGTCTTCAATCAGAAAGGTTGGTATTGTCTCTACCCTCTATCTGCCAGATAGGCTTGAAAGAGCATTAACTAATGTGTCGTTAGCTCAATATTTACTTCCTACGCTGCATGAACCAACGTTTGCGAAGGACCTCCAGGATGTCTATGACGGAAGTACTGATCCATACAAGAACTTTGTTCTTCGAATGGTGCTTGCAATCAGCATGCAGAAGCTGGATCCTCAATATGCTGGTCTAGCAGATAGTTATTACTTGGCCGCAATGGCATATATGGAAGATGTGATACGACCGAAGGATATCAAAACGTTGCAATGTTTAGTGCTGATTGCTCAATATTCCTTGTTAACCCCAACACGGACCGCCATCTACTATATCGTGGGTCTTGCTACTAGGCTCTGCCAACAACTTGGCCTCACAGAGGAAAAGACAATAACTCAAGGCGTATCACTGGGTTTAGTTAATCCACTTCAGCTCGATATGAAACGTCGCCTTTTCTGGATAGTTGTTTCCTTGGAATTTGGTCTTGCACACACCATGGGAAGACCAAATGCCTTCGCTACCGGACAAGACCACGTTGATGTCGGATTTTTTGAGACCGTAGACGATGAAAATATTACAGCCGACGGTATTCTGCCGGGTCCGCCGTCAGAAAAGAAGCAAGTTGCCATACACTTTTTCCGGATGAGATTGTTGCAGGCAGAAATCCGACGGGCATTGTATCAGAAGAAACGACCTGAGCCGAAGAATGATGAACATCCCTGGTACGCCCACATGGAACAAAAGCTCAAGGATTGGGTTGACGCTTCTCCCGAAAAACCAAACTGGTGCAAACCTTGGTTCGTACAATCCAAGCTACCTCTGCGTTGATATGCTGACAGTCCATAGGTTTATTAGTAGATATAACACAATGGTCGTGTTTCTTTTCAGACCCTCGCCTCAAGTCCCGAAGCCATCAGTGCGTTCAGCTATTATGTGCTATGATGCATGTACCTATAACATCAGGATGCAGGCCAAGCAAATAGAGACTGCAATGGTCGACATCACATGGGTATTCCTGTTGACACTTTTCATGGCAGTGAATACAATTTTGTGGACAATATCCTATCCGGAAGTTCGTTCCTTGCACAGTAAAGAAGAGCTTGAGGATCACATAAATATAGCCCTTGATACTATTATCAAGTGCCAGGAACGCTGGCCTGGAACCGCAGCCGCCTCCGATCTCTATGAGAAGCTTGCCAAGGCTTGTCTGCGAAGTTACGATATGAGTGAGGACTCGCATCCGCCATCATCACTATCCGCGAACTCACCATCATCTCTGGATACCAACTCACCACCCGCATCAGAGCATTCCAGTGCTACAACTGGCTCACAAGCATATTCGCAAAAGACATATAACCCGCCACCTCAGTTTGGTGTTGTGTTTAATCAGGTTCCGGAACCGATCCCAACTTTTGACTACAATAGCTCTCTACCAGCACCATATCCCGGCTTTCGGTCCAATTCGATCTTTGCAAATCCATCCAGCATGCCGTCCGATCGCCGTTTTAGTTACTTCCCTCCTGACTGCCCGCAGCCCGCGACTTTGCCGGAGGTTTGGGACCCCACGGCACCATCGCAACCGCAGGATGCAACTCAAGAGCCAGCACTTACGGGCTATCCAGCGATATCAGACCCTTCCTACTTCATGCAACCTACGCCGTACTCTTTCAACCCGCAAATATTCTCGGAACAGGTTCACCGCACAGATATGCGGCAGGGAAGCCTCAGTCAGCAGCAGCAAATAGAACTGATGCAGAGCCTTGAAACGAATGGGTTGACAGAGATTGACAACTTCATGAATCTCTCGGCGCAGTATGAGAACTCCATCAAGCTATAAAGTCATTCATTATGGTGGTTTTGAAGCTATTTTTGGGTTTGATATTGGTCGACAATGAATGTTGCATTTGTAAAGTCCTGGGAGGTATTCTTTTGCGGTTTTGAGATCAAGCCGCATAGAAAGTTCATTAAATCCAGTGGAAGATATCGAAATCAGGGAGGCGATTCACCGATGTTTGATCAATGGACAACACTTCTGACGACCAATGTGGAGTTTGAGGCTATAGAGAAGGCAATCCGGGGAATCGGTGATCGACGGCGCAGAAAAAGGATTGGTCTGTTGGAATTGCACTATTTGGCGGAGGCCTTTCTGGATGGTAGATCTGGGAATTTTGATTTTCTTCTCGGATTTCTTTTCTGGTCACGAATGATGATAGAGTTATGCATAACCCGTTACGATATCCATGTTTCAATTTATCACTTAGTATCATTAAACTTCTTCTCAACACCTTCAGCGATCTCTCTCATACTCTCAAATTGGCAGGTAAATCCCATCTGTTTCTCTAACCTGTTCTGTTTGTCCTTTCTCTCAATCCATCAATGCCATGTATCCCGTACTCGTCGCCGACATCATACCATGCACCAATTCCTGTGTCTATGTGTAGGGTCCCCTCCCTCCCTTTCAACTCTCAACTCTTCCCTTCATTCCTTATAACAATTGTCTAAAATCACTCCCATTAGACCTATAAGATCCAGTATTCCCAAATTCTCACTTCTTTCAGCGACCCCGAAAGCGTCCCGGTAAAAGAATCGTCATCAATACCACTAAGAATCACAAGCATGTAATATGCTCTTTCAAGATCTTTCGGACCTTCAAACTTGGGATTTGTAACGACGGATCGCTAGAAGATTTTGAGTTTTTGGAACTTTAAATACGATGGAACATGGAATACACTTAGGATTTATGATCATAGGTATCCTTTTCCTCGTCAGATAAGAGATTTAACTGGCCTTGGGTTCGACCTGAAGTTGCTTCAAGCTTAAATCCCGGTAATGAGTTAAGAAATCTGCACTTGCAGGGGTTACTTGCCTGCAGAAGGTCCAGACCAGGAGACGAGAGGGGGTTGGTTGTAGTGTCTGAACCAATCGAGAAGCCTTGTTACTTTCTCTTGCAAGCCATACACCTCTCTTTTGAAAGGGTAGGGTCGAACAGGCGTCCTATTTCCCAATTATGTATATGATTGGTAAGTATTCGTACACTAATTTACCTAGTATTCAATATCGCAAGCTCAATCGACTTCTTCCTCAACAGGTTCATACTTCTCTGCCCCATCAACCTTCAAGTCGACCGCCGAGGTTTCGGTTTCGTCTTCAGCCTTGCCCTTTGATCCAGGCTTTGTAGCCCTTTTCTTCTTACGAGGTCCACCAGTTTCACCACCAACAGGGGCTTCTTTGATCCAACGGACAATAGCTTGAGCTCTCTCAGTACTAATGGGATACTCTTTCCCATCCTCCTGAGCCCAACGCTTGGGCATTTCTCTACCTTCAGCCTTTCTAGCCTCTTCTTCTTGTCTTCGTTGTCTAGCAGCAACTGCAGCATGAAAGCTAGCTTCGTCATGAACCCTATCATCTTCTAAGGCTTCCATTATGGCTTGTTGCTTCAGGCGTTCTTTTTTCTCTGCAGGAGTTTCCTTCTGCTGGTTTGTAGGCATCTGACCCGGTAAGGGAGCTGGAGCGCAAAGAGATTCCCATGACTGTTGCAGCTGTATCCAATTGTCCCCACGGCGGACAACTTCGATCCAATCAGCACGACTTGGAGAGCGTGACGCTTGAAAAATTGGATAGCCATCGCAGACTCGGGCAAGTCTGGCTACCATATGGGCGTGACGCTGAAGCTCTCGAGCTGATGTCTGTATTAGGCAATGACAAAGAAGCAAAGAGTGGAGCGCATCTGTAAGAAGTGGGTGATAAGTCAGAGCCTCATGGCAATCAGTCTGGGCGAGAAAAGCTTTTGCAGCTTCATTCTGGGAAGCCTGCATTTGTTGCTTTGTTGTAAGTGCGGTGGCCGTCTCTGGATACGGTGGTAGATCTGCAGGCGGCGTTGCTGAGAAGAGATCTGAGATCTGATATACTGCAGGCGCAGGAAGGGTCGGGAGGTCAGCGTTTCGTGATAAACCAGGTGAGGGCCGACTTCGATTTGTATGCACGCCGTTGTGAGGAACAAGAGCATCAGATAGTTGACCATTACTCAATGAAGCATTACTCTCGAGATCCAGGCTTCTTCCATGATTATGGGGCCTTGGTATCTTGAACCCACTTGCTGCTTGGTTTACTTTGCGTACAAACTCCTCGGTGATCGTAGCTGGAAGCCCGGGAGTATAGTCGAAATGAGATAAATAAGAGATGTAATCTCTGAGAGCCCTCTTAGCGTTTGTCTTGACGACCTTGCGGGCTTCCAGTCGTTTTCGGCGTGCTTCTCTTTCAGCTGGAGTCAACTCGACTTCCTCTGTGGGTTGATCGCTATTACCATTAGCATCCTGGGGCTGGGTACCGTTAACCCCATTCTGGGAATTCTTAGGTGGAAGAGCTTCATTGACATGTTGACAAGCAATAGTTAAGTAGACACCAGCACGGTGAAAAAGTAGCTGAGTCTCGAGGCTGCTTGGCTGGTCTTGCTCATCCAGCTTGATTTCCTCCTTCCGTCGGCTGTTACGTTGAGCTTCAGCTGCCGCTTCGCTGGCTAGTTGAAGTTGTTGTCGTCCCGCTTTATGTTGGCTCTGATAGTATCTACAAACTTGTAAAGCTCTCGTGAGATCTTGGGCTGCGCCTATAAAGTCATCCTTAAATATCTTTGTGACAGCACGCGTCCTCAAGATTTCACCTTCATGAGGTCTTTCGGCAATGACTTCATCCAATGGCTGGAGACTGGTGCACTCAGCAAGCTGACGAGATGGTATCTTTTCATGGAAGAAATGAACATATTTCGCATCAGCATCGAGTGGGTTCCGCTGCAGCACAAGCTGGGCCACATCTTCAAGAGTAGATGCAGATTGCATGGTTGCAACACTACAAGCAATCTCATCCAAATGGTACGCCTTGGATAGTTTCTGTGTCGCCTGTTCCCTCATCCTGTGTTTTCTTTCCCGGCTAAGCTTTGCATTCCCCCCTCCTCCACCAAGGCCAAGTCCTAATGCGACCCCGCCATTGCCCAGTAATCCATTGCCCGCATTTTGGGAATTTGTAAGGGACGAGGAGGTCACCCCGCTGGCTGCTCGCACAGCGAGGTTCGTAGCATCATCGACTAGTTGTCTTATTTTGAGGAGGTCAAAAAATACTGCAGGGTCGATAGGTCGAGGTCTAGGTAGATTGTAGTTACTGTTGGCAAGACTTTCGAGAACTTCGGGGGGCAATTGAAGCCATGGACCGTGGAAAGAAGAGATATAACGCCAATGCCTGTAATTCTATTAGCATCTGAGCCTTGGTCTGCTTTGGTCTGCTATGCGCAACGTGTCGTGGCGACTGTTAAATTTTCGGCATAGGGTCCATGATACCTCGCCGATATGAGGTTACAGAGAGGCGCGCGCCAGTCTGAACGACCCCAGAAGATAACTTGAACAATAGGCCCTGAGACTCACTTGTTGCGACATATGATAAGAGCGGATGTTGAGTGTTGCTGTTGTGTCTTCGAATCTTTCGCTGGTTTCGCTGGCTTTGCTGTTGATGCGGCCGTTGACGCCGATGGGGAGTTTGTATTTCCTATCTCGTCGCCCTGGCTCTTGTCTTTCTTCTTCGCCATGGTTATTCCGTATGAATGCCGTAAAATATGATATCTGGTACCAATATTCAAAAGCAAGGGACTAGATCTTGTCCCCTCAATGGGTAATTGTCGTCAAGAATCCTTTATCAAATTTGGTGAACATAATAGCGTCTCAAAGCTAGAAGAACCGAGTGAGCCCAATGAGTGCAACAATCTGCTCCACCAAGATACAGTGCAAGCTTGGTGTATAACACCCACAATGAATGCAGGTCAACGTGTAAAGAAGTAACGTCTCTCACATTGCTATTGAAAGGTATGTATATTTGGTGTATAAAAGTCGGGATATATAATTACTACTACTATATATATGAGCTTCACCTATGGTGAATCTACCTAGGTAGGTCTATCCACAACCTAATCTTCAGGAGAAAGCTATGGGCGCTATTATCTTGTAGGGATATGTCAGAAATCAGAAGGAAGTCTACCTATGAGTACACCCCAACAGAACATGCTACTGAAAACCCTTGTATGCTAATCCACAAAACCAAGGACACCATGTATTTATTTGCAGATAAGTTAGCACGCATGATGTCCAAATGACGTTCCTTCTCCCAGTTCCCTCGTTCACAGCAGTGACTCCTATCCCGGTTTCTAAGAGCTGAGTGCAAGACATGCATCTACTGCAAGGCCAACTCGTCCTTCTTTTTGGGTCACCACATCACTAATGACTTCCTTGTCCAAATCAGGGAACATTCCAGCAAGGGTCTCGACTACATTTGTGTGTTCGGCTCGCTGGATCCGTTGGGCTTCCGCCACCTCGGCGCTTGCCTGGCGTGCTGCTGAATCTTCCGCTGTTAGTCTGTTGCGAACGTTGCTTTCAAGCACATTGCTTGGCCGCTGAGGGCTTCGGGGACGGTCTGTGCTTATCCGGGGAGATGGGCTCACTCGTGGCGTATTTCCTGGCAAAGGAGTTCGTGCGGGCCCGCCTTGAGATGAGCTGGTTTCTTCCGAGAAAATACGTCCAATAGAGGACAGGGGCCGCTGAATTGTTCGAAGAAGACTAGACATCGCTGCCTTGTCATCCCCTCCGTCACCACTGTCATATTCGTTCGACGAGGTCGACTTTCGGGGTACTGAAGATTCGGCTTCCACAGAGAGCCGCGGTATTACTTCAGGCTGGCTAGGAGCTGCTTTCTCCGATAAGTGTGGCGGTGCAGGTGCTTCATTTTCTGCTTGGTGCTTTTCAGCAATGGCAGAAACTGCGGCTTCGACGTTCTGCTCGAATTCTTCATCAGATATAGTCAGAGTGGTTCGATCTAAATTCTCAATAAACTGCACAGCTCCCAACTTGGAATTTGTTAGTTCGACTGCCTGCTGTGGGTGTAGTAAAAGTACTCACCAGCGATGAGAGGTAATAACCAGCCTCCCCGCCTAGCTTTTCTTGATTTCTAAATCTCAGAATGTATTGAACATTTGATACGAGATGCTCGGGGTTCGCTTGGAGAACGACATAAATCAACAAGGGCATAAAGGAGTCTGCCGATGAGTCGGCCTTGGAATGCTTGAGAAGCCCTATGCGGATTCAGCAAATTGAGTATTTGACAACAACCAGAAAAACTTACCAAATATAACTTTGCAACAATTGAGAACACAAATAATCTTGTCTCGCGGAGCCCTGTACGTCTTGATCTTGAGAAGCTCTAATATCAAAATCAGTCAAGGTGGTCTCTTGAGGATGCTTTCAATTCTACCTTGCTCTGCCAAGATTAAGAATCGCTTGCCACTTTCTCCAACCGGTGGTATATCTAGGTGTTCTTCTCGGATCCAACCATAGATACTAACTTTCTGTGCTAAGATCTCGTCTCGTTCAACGTCTTCTTGATGCTGCCCCCTTCTCCCAGGTCCCATTGGACGCTCACCTCCCTTCCGCTTTGGTTTTGATCCGGGAATTGGCTGAGGTGGTGGTATTGCGGGGGAAAAGGTTTGCGTATATAATCGATTCATGACAAGCTTTTCCATACCTTCTCGGGCATTGTCAAACTCTGCGTCTGAGACCTCTCGCCAAACTTCGCACTGGGCCATTTTGTTCGTGATGAATGCCAGAAAGTCGCTTATGATCTTGACCTGCTCATGTACCATCCATTGCTTTTTGCCAAATTCTTGTAGGAAGGACCGTAAGAACTTAGCCACCGGGTCAGCTGTTCTATGCCGGAGTTGTTCTAAGAAACGATGGAAATCGAAAGGGAGATCCGGCTCTGGTTCCGGGTCAGGAGGTGGAGGTCTATGCAATGGGGGCGACTTCGCATTGTCCGCATATCGATCGTCCTGCATTCGGGGCGGACTAAAGTTGTGTATTGAGCCAGGCTTTGGGGGGATCGCAGGACCGACATCGGATTGATTTCGTCCCTGTGTGTTCGATGAAGAATCTGAAGATATTCTTGAATCCAACGTAGCCTGCAGCGTAGCTTGAACTGCACTCGCTGCACTGGGATTCAAAGGCTCCAAACTCGACTTTCTTGGAGGGTGCTGCATTGGACTACTGAGAAGTGGGCCAGCAAATTCAAGCCTAGGTGACATGACTTCCTCATGACCAGGACCGTGGCTCGCCAGGCTGAACTGATCCATAATACTTTGGATTTCCGTCCTAGAGTCTGCATCGCGCTCATCCTCGCTTGTTGTATTCTTCTCGTCAAAATCGACATCGGATCTTGTAGGGGATCTCTCTGGTTGTGTTGCACTGGGGTAAGAAGGTTTCCCTGCAGTATTGGACGTTGATCGCGAGGGTGGTTGCGAGGATCTTGGGGCTTTAGCGGTCGTGTCTCGATTAGGCTGATCGCCAGGAGAAAGATGTTGTTGTGGGTTTGTGAGCCCTGGCTTCAAGGTTGCTGTAGAGGATTCCATTTGATCTCGAGCTGTCGTTGTCTGTTCTGCCTGGGCGTGCGTGTCTTCAGAAGACTCGTTTTCTGTAGTTCCAACATCATCGCTGTTCTCCACAGGTTCATTCGTCGCGACACCCAAGGCCCCTTGAGCTTCATCCATCTTGCCTTTATTGCTCGGGGGCGGTGAGACAGGTCCTGCTCCGCCATCAGATCCCATCATGTTTCCATCATCCGCTGGGACCTGTCGGCCATCTTCAACACCTTCACCCTCTTTCGAGCCCACCTCTGACAGCCTTGTATCCGATAGCTCCTCTGCGAGATTGGAGATATCTGCCGGCTGTCTGGGAGGAGACATACATCCGCCGGCGCCTTAGATAGGCGTTTGCGTGCCTTCTGGTAGTATTGGCGGGGTACTTTAGATTCCACCGACTCGGCGAGATTCGTCGTGTTTCGTGGGTATAAGGCGCACACACCAGAATATCTGCAAATCAGGCATCGAGAGAAATGCAACTATCTGATCATCGTTATCGTTCTGGTTAGTATGTCCGATACGCATCCCTTTTGGTAGTGCAAAGGCACTCTGAGCGTTGACTCGGTAGCGTTGCTATCATGTGAAGCGAGATCGTCTGGTATTCTAAATTTGAGAAGTGCTCGAATCATCACTTGAAAAAAACTGCATCCCAACAAAGACCACATTGGGGTCTGTAGTCCAACGTTGTTCGCTTCCCAAGAAGCACAGGATGATCCAAACTCATCCTTGAACAGCTAGAGGCACGACATGTGTGGTATTTATGCGTCGATCTCAACTCGAGGCTTCCAAATTCCAAGCCCTGGATTGAAGCACTTGCTGTGCAAGAGAGGCCCCGACCATGTTGGAGAAGTGCAAGCAGAGATAGAGGATGATGGATTGACATATTATCTTTCCTTCACATCAACTGTCCTCGCTCTCAGAGGAGGTCATGTCACCGCTCAGCCCTTCATCGACCCCCAGAGTGGCTCCGTATTGTGCTGGAATGGTGAAGCCTGGAAGATTGGCCCAGAGACTGTTGCTGGCAACGACGGTCAAAAGGTCTTCGCTGCACTCCTGGGAGCTAGCACTACGCAAGGTATTGGCTCAGAGTCGACCAGTAAGGTTGTCGAGACCTTGAACAGCATCTCGGGGCCTTTTGCTTTTGTCTTTTTTGACAATATTCATAAACAGTTGTTCTTTGGGCGAGATCGCCTTGGACGACGTTCTCTCCTTCATAATAGTCTTGATGATTCAAAATCTATCGAATTTTCAAGTACGGCAGATCCTGCAAGAGGCCTCTGGGAAGAAGTCGAGGCTGATGCCATTTATGTGCTTTCATGTAGGAAGGAGGATGCCGGGAAGGAGGTCCATCGTTCAGATCCAGGACTCATCTCGGCATCAATACTACCGCTGCACAGATATGCTTGGGGCGTTTCTGGACAAGCACTGCAATCCGCTTCTCGAGATATGATGGAGATTTCAAGCGTATGAAAGGAACTCGTCTACAATCAGCTCCTAGCTGACATTATGTTGCAGGTGCCATCTTTAGGCGTGTTTAACAGAAGTCTCCCATTGAGCGCCCAAGTCCTCAACGCCCAGACTTCATCTGTGAGGCTGTTGCGTGATCATCTATGTGAGTCTCTTAAACTCAGGATTCTTAACATTCCTGAACCTCCCGGTTTTGACCAATCACATAATGTACGCGTCGCTGTCCTATTCTCTGGCGGCCTTGATTGTACAGTGCTGGCGCGTATGGCGCACGACCTGCTTCCGCCGGAGCAGCATATCGATCTGGTCAATGTGGCGTTTGAGAATCCTCGAGTGATTCAAGCCGCTGAAAACGCGCCTAAATCAAAGAAGCAAGCCAAAATGGATACTAAGAGCCAAAATGATACGAAAGGTCAAAATGGCGCAACCTTCACAGGAGATCCTGTCAGAATATCACCCTACGAGTCTTGTCCTGACAGAGAAACTGGGAGAAAAGCTTTCCAAGAATTACAAGAAGTGTGTCCTAATAGAATCTGGAGATTTGTTGCAGTAAGTTTTGTGTCACTAGATGGCTCGTCTCACATGACTGACTACTCTATAGGTCAACATACCGTACACAGAAACAATGGCACATAGAGAGACTGTGGTCAGTCTGATCCACCCACACAATACGGAGATGGACCTTTCAATAGCTTATGCACTTTATTTTGCTGCCCGTGGAACCGGGATTGCGTCATCTAATTTGGATCCGAGCCCTGCCCCCTACAGTACACCAGCTCGTGTGCTCCTCTCTGGCCTTGGAGCCGATGAAATGTTTGGTGGATATACGCGTCACGCAACAGCTTTCAACAGGAATGGCTTTCCGGGCCTGCTTGACGAGCTCGAGTTGGACGTCAATAGGCTAGGCAAGCGAAATTTGGGTCGTGATGATCGTGTTATCTCCCACTGGGGTCGGGAAGCACGTTTTCCATTCCTGGATGAGTCACTGGTGAAGTGGGCAGTTGAGTGCCCAATATGGGAGAAGTGTGGCTTCCAGACGATCCCCTCACAGGAGCAAGAGGTTCCGCAGATAGAGCCTGGCAAGAAAGTGCTTCGTCTGTTGGCTTACGAGCTCGGGATGCATTCTGTGGCACAAGAGAAGAAGCGAGCTGTAGGTGTGGCCTTCTTGTCCAAAGTTCTAGCTGACATTCATCAGATCCAATTTGGGGCGAGAACGGCAAAGATGGTAGTTGGAAAAACAAAAGGCACTTCGCTAATATCATGATCTGATTTGGCTATGATGATAATCCAGATACTGCTGAATTGTACTTGTGTGCCTGCGGAAGCTCATCCATCTGCTACTCCTGTGTTTCTGCGTGAGTAGTAACCTGAGAGCATTGATGGATGCCGTTTGGAACCCACACAGACGATGATGAAGTAGTAAAGGCAAGTCTGAGCCGAGGAAATCATAGAAATGAAAAATGAGCACTTCCAGTTCCAAGACACAAGGTGGAAGATGAATGAATGGTATTCCATCCTATAGACTCACGAGTATTGGCCCTAGAGCAGATCGATCTTTTTAACTATGTGCTCTAGAATAAAGCCATACATTATGCAGAATCTATACTGATTTGGTACCACAATCCCATATAGACAAGCCCACCAGCACCTATTCTCCACGCTATAAACAATGCAAGTAAACTACAAAATAAGCTTCATGTTCATCATGCCGTCATGCAAATCTTCTCATCGTCTGAGGGTGCTCAAGAGGACACTCTGACCTCCTGAGCCCTAGTCCTTCTCCAAGTCCTTCGGACTTGGGTCTCCAATTCCATCCTCGTTGATAGCAAAGAGACAATCACTCTCGGGTAAGCAAGGACTGTCATAGATCTTACAGATCCTAGTCTCTCCTCGACCCTTCTTTAGACTCAATCTCGTTGTACTGGCATGTGCTATTATGTTTCCTCCAATGGGCTTTTTGGGATCAGGATTGAACATGGCGCTTGGGCCACCATCGACCTGAGCGACGACCTGATTTGTGATAACTACCGCGATACCAAACTCATCTGCCAGGCGTTGGAGACTGCGCATGAATTTAGCCAAATGCGTTTGTCTTGAGGATAGCTCGCCACGTCCAACAAAATCTGTTCGATACAGAGAAGTAGCGCTGTCAACGATAAGTAAAGAGAAGCGAGTCTCACACATCATAGCAGCAGCTTGGTTAAGCAGCTGCAGTTGATGATCCGAGTTGTAAGCACGAGCGTAGGCGACATTATCTAGAACCTCTTCGCCGGATAGACCATATCGATTGGCAACTGCAAGGAGACGGACGGGTCGAAACGTCCCCTCGGTATCGATGTAAAGGCATTTACCTTCCCCTCCTCCCATGTCGAAAGGTAACTGGCAAGTAACTGCCAGAGTATGACATATCTGACTCTTCCCCGTGCGAAATTCTCCAAATATCTCGGTGACTGAGCCGGTCTCAATACCGCCCGCTAGTAATGTGTCGAGCTGCTTGGACCCGGTTGTAATGGATATTAATTCGCTTCTTCGCTGATGCATTTCAGTAGCGGTGGTGAACCCCATAGGGACGAGTTTAGAAGCTATCAGCATGTCAGAAATGGTTCTACATGTTCTATAACGTCACTTACCCTCGGTTAATATCTTTGTGGCCTTCTGCTCCGAGATCCCTTTAATCTGTTCAAGGAGTCGTCGCGGCGTGTAGGCAACCGATTCAACCGTGTTGTAGCCGCCCTCCACTATCAGCTGTATGTCCCTTTTTGTAAGACCAGCTACGCCCTATATAATGACATGTCAGTCACCTCAAAAGCAACACGGTTGAAAGATACCCACCTCTAATGCAGACAGTGGTGTTGGCGCGCCTGGCCCAGCCATACCCCCATCTTCAATTCCGGACTGAGATGCCTCGATTTCCTCTGTCATCGTGAATGCTATTAGCCGCTACCTCCTCGAGATTCGATGCAAATCCTGGAATCGTTGATGCAAAGTACTTCGAGATTGTTGTCGGCGGAGTGGGTAGGTAATTCCTTTGCTAAGATAGGCATCAACGCGTCGGAGGGACAAACAAGTTGGGTACGCGCGAAAACTAAACGCGTGCACGTGACGACTGTCTTAAAGAGTTCAACCGTAGGTAGACTGAGCAAAATTCGAACCACAAGTCAAATTGAACGATATTATGTTCAATGCTATTCGACTCTCTCCTTCTGATCATCATGTTATGGTTGAGTTAGCCCACACCTCTCCACTTTCAGTTCTCTTCGACCCCGCATCTTCGCGACGGGCCAGAGAGCGCGTCTTGGATATAAAGTTGCGCAATATACATTAATGCATGTTTCCGCTTGAATGGATATATCATTGTTGTATGCCATCCAGCGTAATGGCGTCTAACGCCAGTGTTTTGATTGATTTACATCACATATCTACCTGTCAAGCAGATAGAGCTTCTTCGCTCTCTCGTTTGGCGATACTCCTGAAATCACTACTAAAGCTGGTTGTAATGTGATGCTATCTTCAGCATAAAAGCAACCGGTCACTTGCTATATTTCGGTCTTGGATGCATGGAGCACCTGCTACTTTCTCCCAACCAAGATTACCTCATAGACCCGAAAATTCTCAACTTTCCCTTTATCATGGAATGAGGCCATTGCTTATGGAGGCTGAGATCTATCCATCCTCGAAAACAGGAAAATGGATTCTCAGATCATTCCATTATATCAAAAGCCATTATTAAGCCATTGGGTTCTGGCCTTTCTTCTGAAGCCGATTTGAATGTCTCTTCTTATCATCAGAAGCCTGTCGCTCTTCTTGCTCCACTCCCTTGGCTTTGAACTCTGGAGGAACGCCAAAGGTACCAGCTGGGAGTACTTCGAATCCAGAATTAACTTTTCGTATAACTCTGTTAGCATGTAATTCTCCGGGTTGGAACGATGGTCGGGCTTGGGTTTGAGGTGAAACCGGGACTTGTGATTCGGAAAAGACGGTGAATTCCTGCCCAGTTTGTGCATTCGCAGCCTTGGGCCATACTGAGGACTCCGCATGGCTTGTAGGTACCTTCTCGAAAGGATCTGAATTTTCGCTCTCTGGAGATTCAATAGGAATTGAGGAGTATTCTGTGTACGAAGTTTGAGGAAGGAATGGCATTTTCGAAAGATTCGCTAAAGGCTGAAAGCTGGAGGATCGGGCTGCAAATCGAGACATTGATTGGTTTTGAATACCCGCTCGTGTTTCTATACTTTTTGGCATACCTGTGTCCAAATAAGAAAGAGAAGATCGTTCGTTGTTGGCTACAGCGCCAGAAGATGAATTGCATTTCTGCTCTGTAGAATAACTTTCCGATAGTCGATGATACTTGACTTTCTTCGCTGATGTCTTGCCTTCCAGCCGACCAAGGGTCCCTTCATTGAATGGCACTTCCCCATGGCTATTGAAACGAGGGTGGTATGACTGCCTGGGTTTGAATGACATGTGGTCACCAAGGATTTCTTGAGGCTCGTGGTCCGATCCGCGGGGCAAGCCAAGGGGCGCGCTTTGTCTCACCAGTGGCCGTCCGCCGGTCGATAAAGGTCTTACATCTTGTAGGGCAATGTCCATAGATCTTCGAGCACTTGTAGGTGAACTAGTAGCAAGATTGGTCGAGGTGCCTCGCAGATGGCCAAGCTTGGGAATAGTGGCTATCGGTAAGGTGTTATTCGAAATCCAGATCCCATCAACTTGGATACCACTTTGAATTGCTCTGACTCCAAATGGCACTTCCTGGCTCTTCCGTGACTCGACGGACTGGCCACTCCTTCTCAATTCAAGAAGCCTTATTCTCTTCTCCTCGTTAATCTGCTCTTGTCTCCTCACGAATCGATTCCTCCATATCAATCTAGCGTATCCGACGCCAAAAACAGCGAGTATCATCACAGCTAATACCTGCAGATCATCAGCCAGCGAACTGTGTTGGCCTGTAGGGTGGAGACTCAAAGGAGCTACCCACAAATGTCATCTTCTCCCAGAGAGCCCAGGAATTGAAAAATGGCACTGCCATAATGCCGAAGCTCCCTCGTGGAATCTAGAAAGTTGTGCTACTGTTGTGAAATTGAAGGAAAGCCCTGCAACTAAATGCAGGATAGTTTTCGAGATGAGAGAGCGGAGAGTGTCAACGTTGTAAGAGGATGGATCAATCTGCTAGAAATGAATTTGCAATTCTGCCATGTTGGTGTCAACGACGATAATAGCAACAGATCCCGTTGTTTTCGGCTTCTTTTGGAAGGCAAACTTGATCCGAATACAGCAAGTAGGCTTTATCGTTGTTGTGAAATTGCAGGGTCAACGAGGAGGGAGGGTTCTCGAGTGGGAGACTGTTTTGGAAGAATAACGACGTGTCTCTGTTTTTTTGTAGCTATACAATAAACAAGATGCAAATATTGATGTCACGAGAGTCACTCGCAGACCCTGCTACTACGAAATGTGACACGATGTAGATACAGATGATGGCCCGGAAACTTCGTTGGGTAGGTGCACCTTTTCGTGCTTCGGATAGCTGCATATTATTGCCACACTACCAGTCGACATTCACCGTCGACATCCTAGATATCTCGACGGACTGAATATGATTTCGAAGTGGATGACTTAAAACATGGGTATTTAAGGCAGACAGAGCTCCGAGCATAAAATAGTCCCCCAATCAACGGGCGGAATCCGAAGATCAGTGTGACAAACTCCTGACTTGGAAACAGAATGTAGTGTGTGAGAAAAAGAGCTACTCATAGTCTCTAGGCAAGATACTTACTTCTATGTGCTTAGTCTCTGTTGCAGAGCAGCAACAGCACGAGGCCAGCCGTACATCAATCTTTCATGAATGGGCCTGCATTATGTTTGGGGTATACAGAGCCCGGTGAAAAGTCTTCACTGCTAGATGCAGCTTGCCAGCTTGACTTCCTCTGAAACCAGAGCCTCCTCCGAAAGCACTCGAAAGTTAAGCCTCGTAAAGAGGAAAGAATGAAAAGTCTTGGAGTTAGCCGGTACCTATTGTGGTTCTGGAGGCTGAAATTGGGCTTGACGCCACGCAAATTACGGGGTAGATACCTTAGGTAATAATGCAGTAAACATGCATTATACAGGATATAAGGGACCTGAATTTCGTGGTTCAAAACCACCTGCAGTGTCCGAAGTCTGTGTGTATCCAGGTGCCAGATCCTTTTGCTGTTCGAACTGTCGGTGACGACATCGTCCCTTCCGGGAGCTTTCCATCATGACTTCATGTGCGTGTGGTATCCCACGTGAGAGTACCTACTGGGTACTCGTTGTTACAGGACTGGTCTTACCTTAATCTTGTGGCATACGATTGATAGTGATCTATAATACAATATCAAGATACCAACACCTTGTGCACCATTTCATGGGCGATACCTGAGGTACCTACGGTAGGTACCTACCAGGTACAAAGGGGTCCCGTACGAAGGCCGAAGTATGATTGATCGACAAATAGCTGCCGTAATCGTTCGGCTGGCTTGATTTGGATCTTGATCTACCCTAAGGTAGATTAGGTCAGCAGTCTAGTTTATCCATCCATGGCATCTCCCCCACCAACACATGTCTCCCTCAGCCGCGGAATAACGTCACTTCATTCCTTGATTCGTGTGGAATCTAACCTCGACCCTGTTCCTGGAACATCTCTCTCTCATTCTACATTCAATCCACCCATCTACAATCCTTCAAGTCTTTTGTATCTTCTCCAAGAATCGCCAATTCACAATGCCAATCCGGAATCTATTCTCAAAACGGCCAGACGTTCATACTGGTTTAACGCCAGCAGAAGAGAATGTTAGGCCCTTGGATCAGAATGGCACACACCCTACATTTGAGAAAGTTGATACAATGGGGTCAAAGTCCTCTGCAATGAGCATTAGAAGCAGGCGCAGCGAGGAACCTGTTGAATACAAAATGAGTGGTATGCGAATAGCGCCGTACTGACCCCGAATTGTATGACGACTGATTACTTCGCCTCTATAAACAGTTGTCAATGACAGTGGAGTGTATCTACCGGTAAGTTTCCAAGTATTGTACCTTCGCGCGCTTATTGATTTTGGTAAGCCCTCACCAATAGAAAAGAAGGGTCTTTGGCCTCGACGATCGAACGTTTCCAGAACTTCGAATAGTACCCGTAATAGCGAGGATATCGAGCCCTTTTCAATCTCGCGCGAATCATTCGATTCATATCGGAGGTCATTTGTGAGTGTATCCTGGAAAGAGGATGGGATTCTGTGTCTAACACAATGTAGGATATTTCGGCCAGGTCTCCTATAGTCCAGCCAGAGAATATGCGGCAGAGTCTTGATTCTGCAAGATTGCCCAGGGTACCTCGGTCAGCAGTTCGTGAGCGACGGTTTGAGAAGCAGCCACCCACAACAGAGGAAGCATTCGAAGACGTTGGGCTGAATGATGAGCAGACCAAGCAGGTGAAGAAGAAGGGGTTCTTCTCAAGACTCGCAGATGGCCCAGAAACCAGCACCCAAGCTTCTACAGGCTCCAGATTTCACATTGGGGGAAGAAAGAGAGGGCAAAGTGGTGTGGGAGAGGAGCTGGGAAGTATCCAACCCCCTGGGACTGCGGGTATAGCGAAGGAGGTTGAGGAGGTCCATTGAGATGCTGGCTTTCCATATCTGTATTTTACTATACATGAGGGCCAACATATCTGGATTTGAGGGCGTTCAGGCACTTGGTTTATGGTACCTCGGCCCTATCACAATCGTTGAAGGTGGAGGGCATCGTTAGCCCTGGTCAACGCATCGGATTTAGCAGGCCTATATAATGATAATAATGATAATAACGTAGTTGCAATGTCACAAATGTCTCTCAGAAAGGGTGTAGATATGGTCGAGGACGTCCCCACAGACTTGCTCAGGTGTAAGTGAGAAACGTTCGTTTGGGTCAGGAGTGTAGCCCTTTGTTGTTATATCGGTTGCATAGAACCATAAAAGATAGTCCTGGATCGAAACAAATCAAAATGTACCTTATAAAGGAGAAAAGAGGGGTTCAAGAGCCTCTCGGGACGAGGCTTACCGTAAGGTAAGATATCTCTTAGCGCCGTCGCTAATCGCAATCTTCAAAGCCTAAAAAAAATACAAATATATTCTGCCGTTACCGAATTCAACAGGTCGGCGGCTTCTTTCCAACCTTCTCTTTACAACTCCACTCGCCCTTAAACATCTCCCCAAATAGAAAATGGCGAAGACAAAACCAAACAATAAAAAGGCGAAGAAGCGCGAAAGATCAATCCTCAACAAAGTTGCGCCAAGTCCGTCGAAACCCTCAATCCCGCCCGCCTCCCCCTCCGTCCTCCTTGCAGAAGCAACCTTTACTCTCCAACAAGGTGATATTGAGGGCGCAGTAAAACCCGCAAAGCGTGCTCTTAGCCTGCTAGACCCAAACTCCGAAGAAGCGTTACCAGCACTCAACCTTCTGGGAGAAATACACATTGAGTTAGGAGATATAGACACTGCGCGGCAGTACTTCTTGCAAGCGGCAGCTATTGACGAAGATGGCACAGTCGGCGAGGATGTCGGTGGAGGAGCGGAGAAATTCTTGTGGTTGGCGCAGCTAAGTGAAGAGGGGGGACAGGATAGTGTGAATTGGTTTGAGAAGGGGGCTATGAGCTTGAGGATACAGATCCAAGCTCTACTCGACCGCAAGACGTTGGATGCTGAAATAGAAGCCATGTTGCAGGAGAAGAGGAGAAAATTGGCAGTGGCGCTGTGTGGAGTTGTAGAGGTATATATGACGGATTTGTCATGGGAAGAGGATGCGGAGCAGAAGTGTGAGGCACTGGTCACGGAGGCTACGATGGTTGCGCCTGGATTTGCGGAGCCGTGGCAGACGTTGGCTAATGTTAGGATCTCACAGCAGAGGATGGAGGATGCGAGAGCGGCGCTGAAGAGGAGTCTGGATTTGTGGAGAGAGTTGCCGCCCGAGAATGACCTGGTGCCCGATTTTCCCACGAGAGTTAGTCTGGCAAGGTTATTGATGGAAGCAGACATGGATGTCGATGCTATCGAAGTCTTGGAGAGGTTAGTAAGTGAGGATGATAGCAGTGTCGAAGTTTGGTATCTGGGTGGATGGGGCTTATACATAATGGGTGAGAAGCAAAAGAATGGAGAAGTGAAGGCTGAAAACGAGGATGGAGAGAGCTGGAAGATCTCATGGATATCGAGCCGACAATGGCTTAATCAGAGTCTTCGGCTGTTCAAGCAGCAAGAGTATGAGGATATACGACTGGGGGAGCATGCAAAAGAACTTCTAGCATCTCTAAATGCCGAATTAGGGGGAGAGGGCGCCAACGAAGATCAAGATGAAGAAGATGGAGACGAATGGGAGGATGAAGATGGCAGTGTGGAAGACGAGGAGATGACCGGATCTTGAAGTCCTATCCTCAAGTATGCTTTCGGTCGGGCTGGCATGGAAAATTCGTGTGTTATTTCGATTATAGGAGATATCAATCTCTCTTAGGCGTTCAGGAGTTCTGGCATGCAAACAAGGTGCTATGACCCAAGCCCATGAGCTTGTCTTCAGATATGTATGTATTGCATGATATCTACGTTGAAACATTGATCCACGTCACCATATCCGCTTCCAATCCTCAACGCCCACAATGCAACCCCCATGCTATATATCTACGCCTTTCGTCCCATTCAAATCATATCTGACCCGTAATGGGTCCTGTTGAGCAAAGCGATTATACCCCGATTAGACCTTAAGTTTCTCTACCCCTTCAACAGGCACCTCATCACCATCGTCGTAATCCTCATCAATCTTCCCAGCCAAGCCCCTTTCCCAGAGTTGTTTCCCTGTCAACTGAACCACCGTATCCTTCCCTCTGTTCTTCTTCTTCTCGGCTGCCTCATCCGCCTCCTCCTGCTTAATCTTCATCTCCTCCATCTCCTTCCTAAACGCTTCCCGCCATTTTAGGAAAGTCTCCCGCGTAACTGGTGTTCCGTGGAATTTCTTATTCTCCTCCCTTTCAGCCTCCAGGACTTTCTGCTCGTGTTCACGCCGCGCTTCCTCTTGCCGTGATGCAATGAGTTGCTCCGCATTATCCTTCAGGGTAGACACTATCGTGAAGATCATGGCCATGCCCAGATTCTCCTCGATCGTTTCTGTTAATCCATCTAAAAGGCTTTGCTTGTCCGCTGCTACGCTGAAGTATGGGTGGACGGGCGCGTTTGGGACAGGAAGAAGATCAAGGATTGGCGGTTTTTCGGGGTAGTCTTCTGGGTATTTGACTTGCAGCAGCACAGTTGGGGGTTCAGATTCGTCGCCATCGTCATTTGTGACGTCTAGTAGGACTGATATTCGATATTCAATCTCCGAAATATCTATTCCATGTGTTAGATACAAGTTGTCATTTGAAGAGTGACAGGCCTCTGGTGAAGCGACGTCTATGGCTAAGGCGGCTAACCTTGTATTTCATCAGGGAAAATACTGTCAAGGACCTCCCGCTCCTCAATTTGCTCTTCTCGTCCCATTTTGCGAAGCTGTGCACCGTCTCTCAAGTTGAGCTCGGCGGCTCAGCCTGAAGTTTTCAGAATGTGGGGTTCCGAGATTGGTCTAGCTCCATTTGATTGACCCGCAGAAAAGTTCGACCGATAAACTTTCAAAAAAGTTTTGGAGTTCTGCAGAATTTATAGTTGCTGCAACAACGCAACAATGCCTACTGCGGTTTCGACAAAGAATTCAATGAATGGGATCAAGAGGAAAGGAGCTCCTTCTAAGGATGCTCATGCAAAGGAGACCAAGAAACCCAAAATTGATTCGGGTCTCAAATCAGCAATGAAAAGCAAGAAGGCGAAACCGGTCAAGAAATCTGAGGAACCGAGCGGCTCAGATTCTGATGGAGGAGTTCCTCTGGATAGCAAGAAATCAGCAGATTCAGAGGATCTCGACGAGTCAGACACTACAGAATTCGCTGACGACGACGACAAGCCATCTCCAGTGGCTAAAGATGGTATACATCCTGAGCGAGCAAAAGCTGTTCTGGTGAACAGTAAGAGCCCTTTGAACACTGAATTGTCTTGACATTAACAAGAGCTAGGTCAATCATCGAAAGAAGCGCATGCAAAGCAAAAGCAATTGGCCCTGGAACGAAAAGCAGCCAAGCCTTTGGCAGAATCATTGGCCCGCACGAAGAAGATATGGGAGCGTCTCCGCCGGAAGTCACACGTCCCACATCAGGAGAGAAAGGAGCTGGTTGCGGAATTATTTGAAATTATCACCGGCAGGATCAAGGACTTCGTATTGAAACATGACAGTGTCAGAGTCATTCAGACTGCCATCAAATATGCCAATTTGGAACAAAGGAAAATGATTGCAAGGGAGCTCGGGGGTTCATATCGACAGCTTGCGGAGAGCAGATACGCCAAATTCTTGATTGGGAAGCTGTTGGTTCAGGGCGATAATGAGATCAGAGACATCATCGTGCCGGAGTTCTTTGGAAATGTCCGTCGACTTATCAAGCATCCTGAAGCTTCATGGATCCTTGATGATGTGTATCGTGGGGTAGCAAGCAAACAACAAAAGGCGATCATACTTAGAGAATGGTATGGTGCTGAGTTTGCTCTATTCCAAAAGGACAGTTCGGAGAAAGTGGAATCAGATCTTTCCAAGATCCTGTCTGAGAATTCGAGCAAACGTGCTCCAATCATGCGTTCTTTACATGAACTCATCAATCATCTCATCCAAAAGAAGATGACCGGATTCACACTTTTGCACGACGCCATGCTACAGTACTTCCTTAGCGCGAAACCAGGTACCGAAGAGATTACTGATTTTATTGAATTATTAAAGGGCGATGAAGAGGGGGACTTGATGAAGAACTTGGCATTTACTAAGTCTGGATCGCGAGTTGTTTGTCTCGCATTGGCATATGGAACTGCCAAGGACCGAAAGCAAATCCTGAAGACGTACAAAGATACTTTACAGCTGATGGCAGGCGACCCTAATGGTCACAATGTCATCCTCGCAGCCTACGAAGTCATTGATGACACGGTCCTGACCTCCAAATCGATCTTCCCAGAACTGCTGAGCAAGGATGCGGAAAAACAGGTCGAGAACATTGTCTTCTTTGCCAACGATATCAATGCTCGCACGACGCTCCTTTATCTCTTCCAAGGTCGAACCAAGGCCTTATTTCCACCAAGTCTCTCGTCAGATCTCGAGCTTCTAGCAGAGGTCGATACCGTCCGCACGACGACTAGCAAGAAGGACCCCGAAATCAGGCGAAGCGAGTTAGCGAAGGCCTTATCTCCATATCTCCTAAATGCCATCCCCGCTGCAGCAGCAGATCTTGTTGCTACATCTTTTGGTTGCCAATTCATTACCGAGGTGTTGCTTGGAGCTGAAGGCGACAAATCCGCAGCTTTGGCCGCCGTTGCGGAGACCGCAGCTGGAGATCCAAGCTACGTCGAACCTGCACCTGCTGAGGGAGATACCACGACCACCGAGAACCCTCAACCACAGTCCCACATTGCGAGCAAACCATATGGCGGAAAGATGCTTAAAACGCTGGTTGCGGGCGGTCATTTCGACCCCAAGACTAAATCCGTCGTACCTGTGGTTCCAGCTCTGAATTTCGCTGATATCCTGTATCCAAAGATCAAGGACTATATCATTGAATGGGCCACGGGGTCCAGCTCTTTCGTGATACTGGCTCTTCTCGAGTCAAGTGATTTTTCGAAGAAAAAGGAAGTTCTCAAAGCGTTGAAGGATAATAAGGAGAAGCTCCAAAAAGCAGCAAAGGAAGAGACGGTTGAACAGAAGGCGAGAAGAGAGGAAGCAGAAGCTGCTGAGAAGGCTGCTGGGGGTTCAGGGAAAGGAAAGAAGGGCAAAAGTGCAGAACGGAGGGAAGTGGGCAATAAAGGCTCGGCGCTCTTGTTGGAAAAGTTATGATAGATTTTCCTAATGGATACCCAAAATCATGGCAATATCAAGACGGTTCGTCAGGTAGCTGACAATCCATGCTGCATATTCATGGAACATGCGCCAGTTGGTCATAGGCTTTAAATAATGTACTGCATATCCTCCTGATTCTTGTAATTTTCCTACGTCGTGAGGCCTATGATTCTCAGGGCGGTTGTGTCCTTACAGAAGTACAGGGTAGATTGCTGCTCTGGTCCAACCCTTGAAAATATCGCAGATTTGGTATCCCTTCCAAGCCTCACGGCACAGACGCCACGGCGCGCCAGTGCGGGAACGGCTGATTGCGTTATTCCGCAAAAAGGTACGCGTGGTCTGGGGATCCCGCACGTGATACCTTATATTGCTTACGGACTCCGTAGATTATTTGCAAAATGAGGATACGCTCTGAATTGTCCAAGTCCAAGTGATAGTTTTCAAGCCCAGCTAGCTACATTGGGGGGATGGTCAGATGTGATCATTATGTACTATACTGTCCTAGGGTAAAGTATAGTATCAGATACAATATCTGCGGAGTTCTGCTCGCAGACAATCAGAATCGCGAGGATGAAGAGCTTCGTTCCACATAACTCCTCGCACCGTACTGAGCGCATGCTCTAAGAGTACTTACCTTAGGTAGCATACACATAGCAAGTATTGCAATATACAGTATCATGATTTGCTCGGCCGCCCCGAAAGTTCTGATATTCCAGCTGCAGGCAAACTCCTAGGGCCCTTCAAAGTCCGCACAGCCTCGTACGCCCTACCTTCCCTACCTACCTAGGTACCTAGGTACCTCCTCGTACACACAGCCCTTCACACGAGACTTGGCCCTGTCTTGGCAAGTAATAAAAATGTTGATGACCCGCACAGCACAGCGGGAGGAGGTCAAACCATCCCGCTATCTTTTTAATCTCCCTCCCTCCTATCTTGCCAACGTTCGTCGCTGTTGTTTGTTTTTCTTCAGATCGGTCGTGGTGAACCCCACAACATTCTCTGTCTCGACTGCTGGCTGCAAGGAATCAGTCGACTCAACACCCCAATTGCGCCTCGCGCTCTATCTTCGCGCCACGACCTTCAAATTCCTCAATTGAAGCTTATCACTGTGTCGCGTTCGTTATCCAGCTGACAATACCCAATATTGCTTCGACCCACCTGAAATACGCCTAGACAATGGCTGCGCATCTCGGAGACACCATCCTTCACGGACGCGATCATCCCGACACCCACGCTTCTAGTAATCGCTGGCGCCATCAAGAATCGGGATCCTACGCCAAACACGCGTCAGCGCGCGAAGGAGATGAATCTAATGGCAGCAGAGATCTCGCGGACTTCTTTAATAGCTCGAGAGTGGAGCCAAAGCCTACATCATCTGGTCCATCGTCCGGACCCAAACACCAACCTATACCCGTGGGTGGAACACAAGGCACACAAGATGGAGGCTGGACAGTGGAGTGTGGACCTCTGCTGAATTATAGGCGTATGGAAAATGAAACTTGGTTTGGAAGTGTACTAATTGTGACAAGAGGGGGAGGAGCAGGAGAAAGCCCGGCGCCCGAGTTAATACTGAAAATAGGGGGAGGCGTACAAGCAGCGGAACCCATTCAGAAGATTGAAAAGCCCGAGAAGCTTGAGGGGGGTACCAACAATGAGCATTATGGAATAGTTAATGGGGTGGACTATACAAATTTCCAAGACCCGGCTTCCAAATCTGAGTTGCCGCAGCGCGGAGCGCCTGCGCACGGAGTACTTGAAAATGGTGCATCAGATAGCATCAGTGGTGCTGGGGAGACCAACATCATCAAAGGCATCAGATTATATTCCGACCCGTTGCATACATTCTGGCGATTTGATTTGCAGGTGCCCATGCAGGAAGCGGAGCTACACTGCGAGTATAGCATACCAGGGCTTACTTTTTCACAAGACACAAAGACTGACAAACAGAGCTTCTTCGTCCCATCGAAACTTGAATCTATGAGGGTTATGTTTCACTCGTGTAATGGTTTCAGTGTTGGGACGGACGAGGAAGCTTGGAGCGGTCCTGCACTTTGGAATGATGTTCTTCGAGTTCACAAGAAGACTCCTTTCCATGTCATGTAAGAACTGTGCCTATGCAGATATTGCACAAGCTGATTGATGATAGGCTTGGTGGTGGAGACCAGATCTATAATGATGGCATCAGAGTCCATGGGCCGTTGCGAGCCTGGACAGATATCGCAAATCCTAAAAAGAGGAGAGATTTCCCTTTTCCTGAAGAGTTACGGAAAAAGTGCGACGAGTACTATGTGAAGAACTACATCCGATGGTGAGTTTAGAGCAGATAAAGCGTTTACCACGCCTCGATGAACATCTAGTTGACTTGTTACAGGTACGGAACGGAGCCCTTTGCCAGCGCGAACGGAAAGATCCCCCAGCTGAATCTATGGGATGATCATGATGTCAGTAAGACCCTTTTGTAGTGGAGGAATCTACCCCGGATATCCTTTGCGCAGCCCTCCTGACAATTCAACAGATCATTGATGGGTTTGGCTCATATGTCGATGAATTCATGCAATGTGATGTCTTCCGTGGTATCGGAGGCGTAGCACAGAAATACTATCTTCTGTTCCAGCATCATCTTGCGCCTCCGATGTCAACCTACACATCAGGTAAGTCATAAACCCATAGCGGTTGTGACTTTTGCTAAAACTCTGCAAGATGCGCCTCAGTCATCGTCAGCCGAAGCAGGAGGTGTTGATCTAAGACAGCTTGAGGATACATATGTATTAGAGGAGAAGACCATTGACTCCAGCTATATCATTGGCCCCAAGCCAGGCGTAAGTCGATACAGAGCGAATTCTGATATTTGCTAACATATCTATAGCCATACGTAGCACAGCACTCACGTAGTATTTATGCTAGACTCGGAGCCAGGATTGCGTTCTTCGGTATTGACGCTCGGACTGAGGTATGCCACAGAGCCCAGGAGATATGACTGAACTAATAGTATCAGCGCACTCGAAAGCAAGTTAATTACCCTGAGACCTATGAAGTTATCTTCTCCAGGTTGCGAAAGGAGCTCGGGGCCGCTCGATCTTCCTCGTCTCCCATACATCACCTAATAGTTCTGTTAGGAATTCCAATCGCCTACCCTGTAAGTTTCTTCCATAATGCGCTCGTTCCGCGTTTACTAACACTGTCAGCGATTGACATGGCTTGAAAACATCTTCTCAAGTCCGATAATGGGGCCTATGAAGTTTCTGAACAAGAGATTTGGTTTCGGTTAGTGACTCGCGCGGTATATGTAAAATGATACTTACCTTTTATCAGGCGGTGGCTTTTTCAACCATTTTGATGGGAACGTGGACTTGTTAGATGATCTCGATGATCACTACACAGCCCGGACTCATAAAAAAGAGCGTCTCTTCCTTGTCCATCAGCTTCAGGCTCTTGCCTCTGAATTCTCCGTCCGCATTACCATTCTTGGTGGTGATGTACACCTGGCAGCCGTGGGTCGATTCTACTCCAATCCCAAGCTGGAGATCCCAATCATCAACGATCATCGCTACATGGCAAATGTCATCTCCTCAGCCATTGTGAACAAGCCTCCTCCACATGCAGTTGCCAACCTTCTAGCGAGAAGAAACAAGTTACATCACCTGGATCAAGATACCGATGAAACGCTCATGAAGTTCTTCGACAGGGACCCTGGACGTGTATCTATGACTTCAAATTCTAATCATGTCACGATGCCCAGTCGGAATTGGACCATGATCACCGAGAACCATGGCAATAGCGGAGCTGTGCAAAATCACGAGAATGACCGCGCAACTAATGGCGGTTCTCGTAATGGCACTGTCGGGGATGGATCTATCAAGTCGATCCCGAAAGCCAAAGATGGACACTCGTGGCTTCACGAAGGTGAATTCAACGCAGGGACGACTCACAAAGCCGCAGATAGTGAGAGACATGGCAAGGATTCAGATGGGAGCCTTGATGTTTGTATCAGGGTCGAGATGGATCAACATGATAAGGAAGGGAAGACTCAGGGCTACGGTATGACTGTTCCGCCGTTGGAATATAAAGGTGCAGCCGAATCCACTTTGAGGAAGAGAGATAATATCCCCGGGGCTATTAACGAGAGAGTCTAGGCGCTGGTGCCTATTTGTGTTGTATATGAATCGAACTGTTAGTAATTATTGGCTCTCAGGGTCCTTGGATATTCTGCGAGCTATCTAGAGCTATCAAGCCTAGAAGTTTATAGCCTTTGGCTAATACAATCTTACCGGATACCCCACAATAATATTTGACCCGTTTTCAGTAACTCGGGATATTTTTGCTGATAGGTCACCCCCACTAACCTCTTATCGAGTCATCACTGTTGATACAGCGGCCAGTTACAATCACGTGATCGATATGCCCGGGCTTTGGCCTTCCTTGAGCTCACCTTTCGGCTTCGTTACTCGACTCCTTTTGGACTCAGAAGATCCTGTGCCTATAGTATTAGCCATTCATCAACTTATGGGTTTAGTTAGACAATTATGATGAGTTTTGGTAATAAACCGGTAATTTTTGCGCAAAATCATTACGATGCTGATGCCTTATCGAAAAGTAATTGCCTGACCCGCACCCAATCTGGATTCGCGGTCTCCGCGGTCTGGCCTTGCGAACAACCTCATCATAAAGCAGCGTGAATTAACGGGGCTTCCCAAGACGAATGTTCCGTGCTCAAATTGCAGAATGGAGACGGAGCCAGTTCTCCACCAGCAGCTACCCTCCGCATACCGCTCATTGCAGCCGCAAACTCCTCAAGCAATCCAGCATGGCCAGCCGCATCTGACCCACCATACTCTTGCATCTCAGGCTGGTCTTGATCTATCGGGCCTCGATGACAATGACCCAGTCTTCCACCAGGATCTTCGATTACAAGACCCAAATGGGCATGCTTTCCAATCTCCACATCCTTTTGATCGAAATCATGGGCATCAGTCTATGCAGGTTCAAAACAATAGCAGCCCACATACCCCTCATCAGACCAGCACCAACAATGGTGGGCAATTCGGCATCTTGACGACTGGTCCTATCCAACATAATTCAATTGGTAGACTCCAGCAAGAAGAGGATATATTCGCTTCACCAGATGGATCAGATCAAAAGAGCAATGGCCATCTCAGCACAAAAATTGTTGTTGACCCCCCCAATCTTGCGGAGTGGCGTCAAAAGCTGTTCAATGTTGATGAGATAATTACCCTCAGTGAAGAAGAGTACGTTCTCCTCCTAGGCATCGCTACAACATACTGACTATACAGCGCAGGTTCGAAACATATTTTCCCCATGTCGACAATGTCTACTCCCATCGATCTACCCAGCGTTACAAGAGAAAACCGTTCGTATCCCATTACTGGGATTGCCGGCTGAAGGGACGTCCACCAGGGACTCCAAAGTCTGACGACCCAAATAAAAAGAAGCGCAAGCGCACTGCTCGAGAACGCGATCTCTGCGATGTTAAGATCAAAATAACGGAGTACTTTCCGGGTGCTATGTTGCGACCAGACTTTGTCCCTGACGGAGGACAACCAGATCCTCAGTCGAATAACTTCTTTGCGCCAGGACAACCAGGAGGGCAGGCAATACAGCAGCAACAGCAGTTTTCTATGATGCCTGTTAATAGCGGTATTCCTCCTAGTCATCCAGGGGCTAACGGTCAGCGATACTATACAATCCAGCGGGTCAACGGCAATGGTGGGAACGGCAAAGGCGACGGTGTTGCAGGCCCACATAAGCATCCATTATCAGAGAGCGATCGCGTCAAGAAGAATAGTGTACAGCGCTATCTGATGAAGAAGGATAAAGACGAGAAGAAGACACAGGTCAGTACGATATTTTTCTATTTCTGGCCTGATCCTCGTGGAGTTGCCATGTCCTTGGTGAAGAACAAAGCAGCGAGTGTCGATTGGCCTTTCTCTCAGTTGCGGAGATCGGCCCCTAAATCTCTATGGATCTTACAAATAACTACATCATGGCATTTCTCAATAGTTAGATAATCTCTGCTACATTCTCAACCAGTTTTCTCCAAACTCTTACATCCATTCTACACTGTTTCGAATAGCCACAGAAGGCCAAGCAGTTTTTACACGACTATGACTGACTCTGTGGATCAACAGAAGACTTATCACAAGAAGGCCAGTGGAAATGCTTTAGTTACTGTCAGAAAACATTCTAAAGAGTACGAGTTGAAATTATTTGGAAGTTGCTTTTGGTGAGTTCCTCGCATCGTATTTACCCCGGTAGTCACCGAGTGACGTCAGCACCACCCCGCCATTCGACTGACGCTCTCCTTTAGTCCATTCGTGCAGCGTGTCTGGGTTGCATTGGAAGCCAAGGGTCTGCAGTATCAATACGTTGAAGTCGACCCATATAAAAAGCCACAGGCCCTTCTAGATGTCAACCCTCGAGGGTTGGTTCCTGCAATCCGCCATGGCGATTGGGGATGTGGTGAAAGTACGGTCTTGATGGAATATGTATGCGCCCATCACACTCCTGAAGAAAAAAGCAGGTATTGACGAATTTTACAGCTGGAAGATCTTGGTATTGGTCAACCTCTTCTGCCGCAGGGTAACCCTCAGCTGAGAGCTACCTGCAGACTTTGGAGCGATCACGTAGGTTCTCAACTATTGTCATCAAACAAACCCGAACTAACATAGAATAGATCAATCGTAACATCGTTCCCGCTTTCTACAGTGTTCTACAAGCTCAGGACTTTGTCACTCAAGCAGAGAACACGAAGAAGTTGCAAGCAGAAATCGCCAAATTAGTTAAAGTTTGCGACCCGCAAGGACCTTTCTTCCTCGGGTCACAATTGTCATTTGTCGACATCCAATTCGCACCCTGGATGATTCGGCTCAGCCGGGTTCTGAAACACTATCGGGCTTGGCCAGATCCAACACCTGGTAGTAGATGGGGACGCTGGATGGACGCTGTGGAAAATAATGAGCATGTGAAAGCGACCACGAGTCTAGACGAGCTTTACATCGATAGTTACGAACGTTATGCCCAAAATCGTCCAGATACATCAGAGCTTGCGAATGCAATTAACGGCGGATACGGTTTACCATGAATTGGGATTTATAGGGATGTAAGGGCCTCTTGCGGTGTTCTGGTAAGGAGGTGGGGTTGTCGGGAGTCTTGGAAGGAGTATGGAAGGAGTATGGACGTGTACTTATTACCGCTATTATCGCTGAAAGGAACGTGAGAGGATCTGTCAGGATAGTATCAAGGAAGGGCAATGAATGGTAACGAATAGTACAGGATACGACCTTATAGATGGAAATGATTTTCATTTTTTGGTCTTCAATCATTTTCTGCCACACAGTAACAGATTATGAATTATTCTTCACAACATACCATTGTGCCTGACGCAACTAAAAAGCTTCTCAGAAAGATGCTCATATTTTCTCCTAATCAATCAAACAACCGCTGATCCACAGCACAATGCCTGGCCATCTCAAACTGCTCATTCGTCTGGCAAACCAGCGTCCCATGCTTCGCTCCCTTCTTCCCCACATTCTGCACCACATCCTCGATCGACTTCCCATTTAGTTCCGCATCGATTTCAAAGCCTAAGCAGCTCACTTCCTCCACGACTGATTGTCTCAACTTATCACTCCTTTCTCCAATCCCCCCCGCAAATACCAGTGCATCAACCTTCCCACCCAATGCGACGTAGTAGTTTCCAATATATCCCGCGATCCTATTAACAAAAATGTCGAATGCGAGTTTCATCTTGGGGTCATCAGAAGAGGCGATGGTGCTGAAATTGGTGGTTCCGGTAAGGGATTTCCATCCAGACTCTTTATTGAGGATTTCTTCTGCGCGGGAGATGTGCAGAGATTTGGTCGAGTGCGGCGAGAGCTTTCCTACATTCGACGAGTAGTGGAATACTAGACTATTTGTCCTCATCTCAGTTGCCATTCTCCTTTCATCTCAATTCGGAAAAGCCATACCTGGGATCCAGAGTCCCACTCCTCGTCGCACCGGGCAAACCCGCCAACGGCGTCAAGCCCATGCTCGTATCCCAACTCTTTCCATTCTTCACGGCACACGCACTCGCGCCACTGCCTAGATGCAGCATGATCAGGCTTGTCTCGTCCTCTCCCTTACCCAGGAAATTGGCCACGCTTCTCGTGATGAACGAGTAGCTGATTCCATGAAATCCATACTTCCGCAACCCGTTCTTCTTTGCGATTTCCTGGCCAATGGGGTAGGTACGCACATGCAGAGGGAGCGAGGAATGGAATTGGCTATCAAAGACCGCAACGTTCCTCATGTGCGGCAGCTCCTGCACACAGAACCGGACAATGTCCAGCGCCGGCGCGTTGTGCAGTGGCGCCAGGTCGGTGAGCGCCTCGAGGCGATGGTACGTGTCCCGCGTGATGACTTGTGGCCGGTCGAAATTGCCGCCGTGCACCACGCGGTGGCATGCGATTTCTATGTCTTCCTTCTTGGTGATCTCCTTGAAGTCCGGGTCATTGATCAGCTCGTCGAGCATGCATTTGAATGCATCGTTCTGGGAGGCAATCTTGCGGTCGATGCTCTTCCCCTTGGCTATGGTCTTGCCATTCCGAGTGTACTTCAATTTAGGGGGAGGGGCCGTCAGGCCGTCGATTTGCGTCTCCGCCAGTTCTTTTGGTTCTTGCCCTTGCGAAGCGCTGTAAACTGAGATTTTGACCGAGCTGGACCCGGCATTGATGGAGAGTACGATTTTCGACATGCTGGAGAAGAGCGTGTGTGTTGGGTATGGGATTCAACACAAGAAAAGAGGGAAAGGGGTTTTCAAGATCGTACGGTTGGTACGGTGCAACGCAAAAGCAAGGAAAGCCTCAGCTCTTACCGGTACACGCAACAAGGTGCAGGCCGACAAATAACAACACCATATGGCTGCTCCATCCAACAAACATGGCATGACCATCAGCAATCGGGAGATGACGTGAAATTGCGGATATCTGGTTATCACAATCGAGAATCGAGCCTTATCGGTTGGCTGGGGCTCGGGGGCCAGACTACTTAGGGGCCAGGGATAGATAACCGGGTAAACCTGCCTCTGCCGATCCGCGGGGCGGAGAATTGCCGATGAGGGGAACGTCGCGCTTTGAGAAGGCTGAGGCGACCGAGAGGACCGGGGCGGCTGCGACGACTGAGAGGAGGTCCGACACGCATATGACGTTCGACATTTAACAGAAAGTCGAATGATTGCATCTCCTGTCTCCATGGGCGAATGTTCGTGACGCAGCCATTAGGTGGGCAGATCTGTTTGTTCGTAATGAGCCAATGAACACATCATGCCACTCTCAGCTTTACAATATCTTCCCCTCATCTCTGCCTCGTATGAGGACTTTGCATTGGTCATTGACCTGACTTCAAATCTAACATTGACCTGAGTACAAGTGCAGCCTATTACGCTGTACTGCCCCCCTCTCTACCACATAAACAGATGCACCGCTTCGTCGTTCTGGCATCACTCTATCACAAAGATCAATTAATACCGCAACAGAGAGCTTACCAGAATTATCGCAAAGATGCCTGGAGAAATTATTGACAGACCGAACCCACCGCCGTTGTCCTCCCATATCTCGAGCGAGATTATGGGGTTGGCGGTCCAGCTTGAGAAGATCAAACTTAACGATGCTGATCTGCGAGGCCTTGATGAGTTCAGAAGAGCTAGCAATTACATTGCTGCGGGTGAGTGTCTCTCTAACCTCTGGATTGATTGAATGATCTTCCAAAGTCTAGCTGTTTTCGAATAGTTGAATCTCTTGCTAACTGAGGTAGCTATGATCTTTCTCCTCGACAATGCTCACCTTGAGAGAGATCTTACCTTCGATGATATCAAACCAAGGTATGTATTGCTACGTGCAATCAGCACCCCCATCTATACAGCGACTTACATATTACAGGCTGCTTGGACACTGGGGAACATGTCCAGGTCTGACGCTGGTATATGCTCACCTCAACTACCTCACGCTCAAGAATAACCTCGACCTCATTTACGTTGTTGGTCCTGGCCATGGTGCACCAGCCATCTTGGCCGCCCTCTGGCTCGAAGGAAGTTTGGAGAAGTTTTACCCTAAATACGCCAGGACCAAGCAGGGTCTTACAAATCTGATCACTGGTTTCAGTACACCTGGTGGATTCCCCAGTCACATCAATGCGGAGACACCAGGCTCTATTCACGAAGGTGGAGAGCTCGGGTATGCTCTGGCTGTTGCTTTCGGTGCTGTCATGGACAAGCCGGATCTTGTCGTGGCTTGCGTTGTTGGTGATGGAGAGGCGGAGAGTGGCCCGACCGCTGCTGCCTGGCACGCAGCTAAATACATCGACCCTGCTGAGTCTGGTGCCGTTATTCCCATCGTTCACGTAAATGGGTTTAAGATCTCGGAACGTACAATCTATGGATGTATGGACGACAAGGAGATGGTGGCGCTCTTCACGGGTTATGGGTATCAATGCCGGTTCGTTGAGGACCTGCAGGATATTGTGAGCTCATAACAGTAAAGCCAGGATGATGGGCTAACTGTTTCAGGACCGTGATCTTGCAACGAGCATGCAATGGGCCCTTGATGAAATTCGTAAGATCCAGAAGGCTGCTCGGTCTGGGAAGCCTATTATCAAGCCTCGAGTGAGTACTGAATATGTTGAAACGGCATCATGGCAAGACTAATACGAGACGACAGTGGCCAGTATTGATCATGCGGACGCCAAAAGGATGGGGTGGACCCAAGAAGGTTGACGGGGAAATTGTCGAAGGATCGTTCCATTCCCACCAGGTCCCATTGATGGCTGCCAAGACTAGCAAGAGCCAGCTTGCGGCCCTCCAAGACTGGCTACTCTCCTACAAGCCAGCCAGGCTCTTCACAGGAACTGGAGACATAGATGACTCCATCAAGTCAATAATCCCCCCAGACAACAAGAAAATTGGCCAACGCCCAGAAACTTACAAGTGCCATGAGGTCTTGAACGTCCCCAACTGGAAGAAGTTTGGTGTCGAGAAAGGAGGTCTAGAATCATGCATGAAGGCAATCGGCAAATTGATTGACCAAGCTATGGTTGACAACCCAAAGTCTCTCAGGGTCTTCTCGCCCGATGAGCTAGTCAGCAACAAACTTGACGCTGTCTTCGACCACACCGGGCGTGATTTCCAATGGGACGAGTACTCCCGTGCCCAAGGCGGCAGAGTGGTCGAGATCCTCAGTGAACACACTTGCCAAGGGTTCCTGCAAGGTTATACACTGACTGGTCGAACCGGCATCTTCCCAAGTTATGAGAGTTTCTTGGGCATCATCCACACGATGATGGTTCAGTATAGCAAGTTCAACAAGATGGCCAGAGAGACCACCTGGAGAACCGATATATCCAGCATCAACTATATCGAGACCAGTACGTGGACTCGGCAGGAGCACAATGGCTTCTCTCACCAAAACCCATCTTTCATCGGAGCGGTCCTCAACCTGAAGCCCACCGCGGCGCGTGTCTATCTCCCGCCTGATGCTGTAAGTTTTCCGGACCATGTATATCTTCAGCCTGCTGACCTTTCAGAACACCTTCCTCTCAACGGTAGCTCACTGCCTCCGCTCCAAGAACTACGTGAACTTGATGGTCGGTTCCAAACAACCGCAACCCGTTTTCCTCTCCGTCGAAGAAGCCGACAAGCACTGTCAAGCCGGGGCAAGCGTCTGGAAATTCTGCAGCACAGATGACGGCCTCGACCCCGACGTCGTCCTTGTCGGGATCGGCTCCGAACTCATGTTCGAAGTGGTCGTCGCCGCTGCCATCCTCCGACGCAAATGCCCCGCGATGCGCATCCGCGTCGTGAACGTAACGGACCTCATGATCCTCGAAGCTCAGACGCGCCACCCGCACTCCCTCGGGGACGACGAGTTCAACAGCCTCTTCACTGCGGACCGTCCCATCCACATCAACTACCACGGCTACCCGAACGAGATCAAAGGGCTGCTCTTCGGACGCAAGAACCTCGACCGCGTCTCGATCGAATGCTACCGCGAGGAGGGCAGCACCACGACGCCCTTCGACATGATGCTGCGCAACTACGTCAGCCGCTATCACGTCGTCGAGGCCGCCATCAAGGGCGCCGCGCTGCACAACCCGCGCGTCGCCCTCGATCTCACGAGCATGCTCGGCGAGGTGCGCCATCAGATCTCCAAGGTGCAGGCGTACATTATGCGCCACGGCCGCGATCCAGATGGCACGTTTGATATCCCGCGCTTTGAGGGGACGGCGTTCCGACATGGCGCGGCGGGTGAGACGTCGGGGGAGGGCAATTTCTTTGTTAATTAGGTTTGTTAGGGGGGTGGGGAAAGGGGGTAACGAGGATGATTGTGTGTATGTGCTTTACCTATAGGTACCTCCTTGTCAAAAAAACAAATAATGAAAATAAAAATGAGATGAGCTGAGTTTGAGTGTTCATCTTACCTACTTATCTTATAGGGATGTGAATATAAAGGAAAGATTCATGTTATTAAAGCCATTATAAAAGCCTTAAGATATAGATAGGTCTGAAATCTCCCTTGTTTTAACAAAAACACAAGCCGACAGCTCCAAACCCTCTTTATCTATTCAAATTATTAATATACCTTACCTATATACAAAACTTATATTCAACTCTCCCTTACCTTACCTTACCCAATTTTTAACAATCCCCTTTTAACTTGACTTTAAAGATGTGTACAACTGCTGCTGCTGCTGCTGCTACTATGCTACATACCTTACCTACCTACCTAGGTACCTACAGCCAGTAGGTAAAGAATGCAAATCAATCAAGTATGATCTGATCTGATCACGTGATGTAAATAAATGACCCGCCCCCCCCC